CATGAACTTGTTGGGTTTCCAGAACGAGAAGGCACTCAAGTCCATGCTGTACTCTTCGTACCCGGTATCTCTGACGAGAGCGGAGCGACGACCACAACCTGGATCACCGATTTTAACGAAGGACCTATCCGCTTTGAGAGTGTACACAGTATGAGTCTTCCCTACCCAAGCCCGCGTGAGACCTTCCTTCGAATCTCTATCTTCGCGAAGGTCACCGACATCCACCTCGATAAGCTTCTGAGCTGGGATGATATGCGCGACTCTGCAGAAAAACCCAAGCAAAAGCGCCGTCATGCGCGATTGCCAGAGTCGGAGTTTTACACAGAGGATACACATGACATCTTCTCACGCATCCAGATACAAGAAATCACGGACGATGGGACCTACCAGCCTGTTGAGGTAACACAAAGCAACGTTACGGACGCCGGGGTATACCAACTTCACCAAGGTCTTGCGCGTCGCATCGTTGTCAACCTTACACACACTTCTGGAGATACAATTCAGTGGGAAGATGTAAAGTCGGTACGCATGGGTCACATTCGAATGGTCGACGCAGCTGGTAACAGTCCCAACTACGGCTCACCTGTGAAGGAAGTACCTGTCGATCTCATCTCCCCACCCGTCATTCGGAAGAACGCCGATGGCACCACGAATGTCAAATTTGTAGGACGATGGGACAGCACGGCTCACGCGTCACAGATACTAGATCGCGCGACAAAGGACAACTTCCGCGTCAAGGTCACGCTCCTCTTCGACGTCACATCCTCTAAACTTATCGAACCGATGTCCTTCTCTTTCGACCTTTTTGTACAGATTCGAGGCCGCTCGTATATGCGCCAAGCGTCACTCTTCTCTTTGGCCAGTATCTGGAATACTGTGAAAGTTGTTCACTCGACAGTGGGAATCTTCAATGTCGCAATCCGTCCCACATCTGTCAAGCGTGCGACAGACCTCTGGCGCATGAACACAAAAGACGACTATGTAAAGGGTGAAGAACAGCTTTCGGGCTGGACACCTCGTGGTGTCTCTTTGGTACGCGACTTCATTGACGTTGAGAAGCGCCGCGCTCGCATCGCAGACATAGAAACGGCGCGTTCCGTCTTGTCGTCGAAGGCACTGAGCATACCCACTTCCGCACTTGCTTCCAACAAGGATAAGCCCTTAGAAGACGCTCAGATAGCACTTCTGCAACGCATGATTTCACTCTGGAAAACCAAGAAAGCTCCGGCAGAGATCATACTCAACCCCACAAACCTTGAGCCACCCGTCAATGGCGCCGCCTTCGCGTCACGCTCTTCTTCTCCGTCGCCAAACCCAACACCTAGCTTAACAGCTACCGTCCGTTTCATTAGCAAAAATCCGAATCTCATGAAAGCGTCCTATCTCCTCACCCCGGATCCAACGAACACACGCTGGATCCGGCGATACGTCGAGCTGCGGAAGCCTTATCTCCACATCTATTCATCAGATGGCGACGAAATCAATGCCGTTAATGTCAGCACCGCGCGCATTGATCACTCACCGCAGATTGCGAAACTACTTGGAGGCGGACAGCAAAGTAACGGACAAGGAAATGCCGGCGTGCACAAGGACGTTGTCTTTGCCGTCTTTGCCAGAAGCAATACGTATATCTTCCGAGCGAGAAGTGAGAGGGAAAAGATTGAGTGGATATTACGATTGGATCAAAGTTACTTCAGCAGCGAGGGTAGTGAGGCGTCGTCGTAAGGGCACAAGAGTATCTGGCCAGAAAAATAATATTTAGACACGAAGCGCCATATGAGAGGTTTCTGATTCTTGTGTCTAAGTTGTAAAACAGTAGAAGATGGTCGACTGGGATGTTGTTCCTGTCTTGTTCCTTCTTTGGCGTTGCAGTTGGGCTTTTTTATAGCTTTTCTTGGGATACCCAGAGCATAGTTGATGCTCGTCTTGCGCGATTATTTAGCGTAGAGATTATATCAATTCAGCTTTATTGCTGCACGACAATCCTACTCTGATCAGCGCTGACGATCCTCATTACCCAGTCTGCTCGACTTGCTGTTCGCAATAACTGCGCCTTGTCGTAGATCCCGCCCCGCAAGCACCGACTAGCTCGTTCCCAGAACCCCTCATACGCGACTTCCCGAGGCTAACATCTAGATCGACACAACTTACTCGAAGGACACTACGATCTCCAATGCACAATTTTAGAACCACAATGCATCTCGTGTTTCCACCTGGATCCACCTGTATGATTGGATCTGAGAGATAAAGAAAGCAGAAGTCGGCTCACCATGGCTAATACACAGAAAGAGAAGACGCAGCATGATCTGGACGACGTAAAGCTTGGATCATATCTACAGCGAGAGATACTCAGTCTGCAGACACCTGTGATATCGACAAAGATTGGATATGGACAGAGCAACCCGACATACTTTGTCGACGATGCCTCTGGTACACGCTATATCCTCCGGAAGAAACCCAGCGGGACTATCATCTCACCTGTCGCGCACCAAGTCGATCGAGAATACAAGGTATTGAAAGCACTCGGAACGGTAGAGGGTTTCCCCGTCCCAAAAGTATACTGTCTATGTATGGATCCTTCAATCATCGGGACTGCTTTTTACGTACGTCCCATTCTCTTTTTATCTTTTAACTCTTCCATCTAAAATGTACTGGTAAACAGATCATGGAGTTTGTGAAAGGCCGCATAATAACGGACCCCAATCTCTCCACCCTCCCTCTCTCAGACCGCCGCGCCGCCTGGAAGTCCGTTATATCTACCCTGGCCTGGCTCCACTCCATCAACCCAGACAGTATCGGTCTATCATCCTTCGGCAAGAAAACCGACTTCTACGCCCGCCATTGCAACACTTTTTCCCGTATCGAAGCTCAACAAGCTCAAGTCCGCGATGTCGCTACTGGCCAACAACTTGGCCGTGCACACCCCCAGTTCGACGAGATCGTAGCCTATATACGAAGTCATCTGCCTAGCGAGCGCACTTGCATTATCCATGGGGACTACAAGTTTGACAATATCATCCTTCATCCCACAGAGCCCAGGGTCATTGCTGTGCTAGATTGGGAGCTGAGTACGTTGGGGCATCCGCTTATGGATGTTGTGTATGTGACTGGTCCGTATTGGAACCGGGCTAGTAAGAGTGGAATTCCTGGAGGGCCTACGGTACAGCAGGTGGTGAGAGACGATCAAGGAGGTGACGTCTATGACGAGGAGAATCTAGCAGAGAACGGGTTGCCAAGGATGGGGGAGCTGCTGGATGTGTATGAGCAGAAGGCGGGTTGGGATCCCAGAAGGGATAAATGGGACATCGCGAGGGTTTTTCACTTGATGAGGGTAAGTGTCTGGATTTGTCTTGTTTTGTTCTTGTATGATGAGGTGGATGTACTTCAACGTTACGATGTATGGCTCGAAGGCAGAAAATACATCATGCTAATGCTGCTCCAGGGAAGTGTGATAAGCCACGGTATCCAAGCAAGGACCATCAGTGGTCAAGCCAGCAGCTCTTTCTCCCACATATACTTTGAGAACACCAAACGAGGACTGGACGAAGCGCTGCGACTAGTGAGTCAGACCAAAGATCGAGAGACACCAAAGAGCTCGCTGTAGAATGATAGACGTCATGAAATATCGAACGTCATCCGCGTCACAGATATTACGCGTCAAGCGTCTCGGAGCGTTGGTCGACTTGACGAGTCCATAGGTACCATACAACACGCATACACTGATCTACATCTCCACTTTCCCCAATTCCCCATCGACTCTCCATCTTCCATACACTTCAACCCCACTGTGCTGTTAGAGACGTTCCCTTACTCAGTCCACTCCATGGACGTCTTTTCTTGCTCGCCAAGCCCGCATCGAATTTTATCCGGTCGCGATATACACACACGCATTGTAGCAACACAGTCCTTTCCGTTTCGCTCCGGTACGCATCGCCGTCCCCAATCGCATCTGAAGCGTGGTCCAGATCAGGACAAACCAAGCCTTCACTTGAATCACAAAGACATCTTTTTCACGAACCAAGTACCAACCAAGACCGTCTTGGCTTCTGTGCATCAAACAAAAGATGTCCGCACAGCGCAACGCACAGACCATCAGCGGAAGTTTCTCCGCTTCCTGGTCCGGTCCACCATTGGCTCAAAAAAGGGGGAGGTACGTGTCAGAGATGATGAAGTTCCGCCAAGGTGGCCAAGCTTTTCACGATAATCCTCGGAGGTCGGAGGTTGTAATGCTGGCGCGGCCACTAGTATGTGAGACTGTTGAGGTGTTTCATGCAGTGTATTATCTGCCGTTTTGATCGTCTGTGTGCTTGTCAGCCTTGTTTTACGCGGAATGAGAGCGGAGATGTGATGAGATGGGGTTGTGATGAAGATTTCCTGGGGAAGGGGTCTTCGAGGTAGTGAGGGTCAGATCATGGTTCATGGAGAAGAGCTGCAGAATGAGCATGACGGAAAAAAGAGAAAGCACCAAAATTGGTGGGAAAGAGCAACAAACGCGCGCATGCATTCGAACATTGTTTGTGGATCTATATGAATTGGACGTTCTATATGCCCATCAAAGTGCAGTGCGCAACTTCAAATCATTGCCCGTGGTATCTGTTGCCCCTTCCCATTTTTTTACGCCGACGCTATGCAAAAGCTGATAGGAAAAAGATAAACTCGAAATACAAAGACTGAGATTGAGATGGTGCATTACAAGTTGTTCTGTTGTCGCGCCCTAGGTCTAATGCTTGGAATCGATGGTGGAGTGTGATCTATAAGGGCAGAAGCGTTGAGACCTGCTGGCGGCTTCTGAGGGGAGAAGGCAAGAAGCAGTGGCGAGAACAGAGAGGATAAAACATGGGGTATAAAGGAGCGTGATGCTTTTGGCTCACGTGAGGCGTATACGTGGTTGTACAACGAGTGATAGAATCAAACCGGAAGAGAAAACGCCGTGAAGATAAGTTGACAGCAGAGATCGCACGGCGTGAGGCGAGAGTGTCGAGATCACCGTATTTTGGTGCTTAATGATCGGCAATGTCTTCGTCCATGCCGGGGTAGATGATATCTGCCACGTAGACGGCCTGAACGTGTTTGAACAGGACGAAGAACCACATGGTGATGACAGCGATGGTAAGACCGTTCCCAACATAGAGCACCGTCTCATCTTTGAGGGAGTTGCCGATGGAAATGGTAGCGATGACGAAACCGGTGTTAGGGAAGACCATAGCCCACCATCCGAGATGGAAGTAAACAGCCCAAGAGTTGATGACCTGAAAATGTTGTCAGTAATTGATAGGAATGTGGTGTTGTAGCAAACTTACAGCGATAAGAGTGACCATGAAGAACCACATAGCCAATACCCAAAGGAAAAGCGCGACAATTAGAGCCAGAGTCCTGAGTAGCTTGGCATCGACGAGGCCGTCTCCCTGCAAATCGAAGTCGTCAGGGAGAGCGTTGGCCATACCAATCAAAGCTAAGCAGGTGAAAGAAGGCGGACCGACAGCGATGAACATGGCTCCTCGATGCTCACGATCGGGGTACCCGACCTGCATAAGACGGCCAATGTAATGCGCGTACATGAGAATAGCTACCGTGAATCCAAGACCCTGGCATCCAAGTCCTGCAACCAGAATCGGCATTCTGGCAGACACAGGCTGTGAAGCGGCAATCGTCGACGCGATCGTACCCGAAAGCATGATAGGGAAGATAGGTAGAAGCCACGAAGGCATGAAGCTGGTGAGCTTGTATGTATGGCAGCAAAAGAGGAACGAGTATTGAAAGCTAGCCAGACAGAAAGCGAAGAAAGTGTAGGCCCAAAATGCAACCGCCATTGTGGTGACTGCCCAAGCTCGATTTGGATGATCCGCTTCGTAAGCTTCTATGACGTATTTTTGAGTACCGGTGATGATCGTAGCGATGGAAAGAAAGAATGGTCCGAGGAAGAGGCCTTCACGTTCGTGGGTGATAGAGGCTTTGAAGGATCCAGCATACTTGGTGAAACGAAGGACCATAGTCATTGTTACAGCAGTAAACAGCATGAGGTTGAGGATGTAGAAAACGGCACCGATAGTGATAAGACCAGGGAAAGAATGGGGCTGGATAGCGATGAGCGTACCAAGACCACCCGTGGCCATGGTCAGGGTATAGTTCGCCCATGTGTAGTGCCTGATTCGCTCTCCAAAGGTAAGATATGGCTGATTAGGATCCTTCCTGCCAGGAATCTTAGTGTGCTTGTCCCATCCGGAGTGGCCATCGTCGTGCTTGTGTTTCTCCAGATCGATCTCGTCCATTGGTGGCGGAGACTGGAGAGCTGGGTCTCTGAAGGGGTTCTCTGGCTGTTGTGGCCTTTCCTTCGTATCGATACGGTATCCATTGGCGTCGACTGGGCCGGGGAAGTAGCCTGCGTCAGAAGCGTACATTGGCGCTGGAGTTTGCGTTGCTGGCGTGTTGTTCGCCCATGTGTTGGTGCGAGTGGTCTCACCAGACTGGAATGGGAACTGACTCTGTTGAGGTGCGACAGGTTGAGGCTGGTACTGGTTCGATTGTAGCTGCTGCTGTTGCTGCTCCAGTGGCTGTTGCTGCTGCTGAGGGTTGGACAAGCGGGAGTAGTTGTTTACATCCCGGCTTGACTGAGGCGAGTGCTGAGATTGACGAGGTCCAGAAGGCAGTCCATACTGGCCTTGCTGCTGGGGAGTCTGCATACGAGGACCCGAGGGTAGGCCATACTGGCTCAGTTGCTGTGGTTGAGGTGTATATTGGGGTTGTTGTTGCTGGTCGGAAGCGAGAGGGAATCGTCCATTCTCGAAATTAGGGCTGAAGTTATCCTTTGTGCCAAAGGACAAACCTTCTGGTTGGTAGCGAGTATCCATTGTGAAGTGAGAGAATAGGTGGCCTGCACCGTAAGAAGACTAAAAGATGGACGTGACGGCAGATAAAGGAAATAAACCGAAAGAAACTATGACCACAAAACGCGCAATAGGGACAAGTATTGACCTGCACAGGGCAATTTGATAGAAACCCAAGAGGCGATGCTCGGGATTACACCAGTGTATTAACACGCGCCGAGCGGGATCAACATGGGGCTGTCTCTTTACTATCGGTCCTGTTTCGAACGGCGTGCCAGCCTAGCGCCAAAGGCCTCTGGTAGCTAGTCAGAGCGGCTCCTAGGAGCAATGGTGGGATCTCAGAGTGCTTGGCGAGGACGAAGTGTTGCGTATGTCCTCCTGGTATCCACATCAAAGCGTCGAATAAGCTCCGGGCTGCAGCCAACGCACGTGCTGCTAGATAACGACCTGAGGTCGTCTTCGCTTCATCTAGTCCCAGGAATGGAAATTCCACCTTGGCAGTGCACGATGCGCCAAGACGTTTGACCTAGCTTCCGTCGCTTAGCACATTCAAGACGAATGCTTATCGCATTCTTTGATCTGCACCGTGGCTATGTTGCTTGCGTACCTCGTGGATAACTTAATGTATGCCGGTCGATTCTCGTCTGTTAACTCCACTCAGTCTCGATATGGCGGTTTCCACGTCGTATGAGTATACGGGGGTGCCCTTTCTTACACCATGTCTGTCATATGGAAACATTTTACAACTCATATCTCTAGGGTCTAGAGCAGACCTGACGCATCGCTTCAAGAGCAACAGGACCGAATCGCTCTGACACGGCATCGGCTTCGCGCCGCGGAGCAGGGTGAGTCCCTTGGACTTCAGAGAACCCCTTGTCGGCTGGCTGGCGGTCTCCAATTTGGATCACCATGAGATGGTGCGGTCCGGGATCCTCCGAATTGGCCAGGGTATCTCCTAAGCGCGGAACGTGGGCAACGAGAAAATAAGATGCGGCTCGAGCTGTTGAGCGGCGGTGATTCGTGGTCCAAAAAGGGGCGTCGAAACGGATGACGAAACGCTTAAAGCGGAGCCCGTTGCGTCGGCTTTGATGCCAAGCATCCCGCGCAAGACGCACCAAAACCAGGGGCCACCGTTTCGCAGCCCGAAGAAGCCACAACCGCATACTAGAACATAGATAAGGTTGAGGGAAGTTTGACACCGGCGGCACTTGATGCTTGTGGGCGCTCGGACTCTGTCGGGCCAAGTTTTCGCGACAAAATCTCGAAGTCGTCTCAACAATGCCAGAAACCTCGCCCAAGATCCACTCTGGTGTTTGACTCTGCTTCGGCCAAGGCTAAGCCTTAGGCAAAAAGCCTATCTTAACCCATCGACTTCTCAAAAAAGCGCCGGGCCCCCACGTGCGTTCGAGAAGCCTGCCTATAGAGTTGATGCTGCCACGCAAGGTGAGCGCGTACAAGCTTGGAGGTTGCTTGGAGAGAGAGGATGCTCATTGTCCACTTCGATGTAAACCTTCAAAGTTTATCATCGCCATGGCTCCGTCGCAGGTGGATAACATACACTGCTTCGCGTACGGTGGGTCTGTGATGAAGAGGTGCTTTCTGGGCGTGGGCGGTGCATTCTCAACGCCTTCTCAAATTCGTGCCACCAATCGGACCGTGATCCAGTGTTCGAGGCAGTGCTGTCGATGCGTCGATGACGCGCAGAGCCCAACGTTGATGCAAATTGTGAATGATCAGAGGCAAGGGATGTAAAGATGGTCAACGGGGCAAGAGCTGCCGGATGATGATGATCTGCACCTGGGCATGAGGCTGAACGCTAAAAAGCGGGCTGCGCCGTGCACTTGCCAAGAAAAGTCTTTGGGCACTTTTTCACATGTCAACATTGCTCCTACCACATCATGCACCCCGTTGCTCGCGGGCGAACAGGACGGCGCGTCGCGGAGCACTGCGGAAGAGACAAGAGTTCGCCAAGCTGATATGTGTGTAGCGTCCTTGGTCGTACATAAATTGCGCTCATCATGTCCTCGCAATGCTCTGATGTTGCATTGTTGGACGGCTTCAATTGCTGGTTACTTTTCAGATATACAGGTGTGCTGCAGACGCGTAGTACCGTACAGTCAAGCGTCTGTGTATGTGAATGACTTTGGCATGTGTTCTCATCTAATTAATGCCGCTGAAGTCTCGTATCCGCTGTGATCCCACGTAATCCTGCCCAGAAAACGCCCGAGAACACCCGGCTTACTATTAGAAAATCCTTCCTTCCTTCAGCATTGCCCACAGTGATAGATCTTCATCTTGGCTCAGATCGATCGCGCATCGCTATCCTTTCTTACGTTCGGCGAACCTTGTTGCCTCTCCCTCCTGAGAGTCCAGCAAGATCCACATTGCGGCCTCAGCTCACACACGAAACAACCATAAATGAAAGTGAGAATGGCTCATGTAGAGATCAATATATGGCTATTACTCGTACCATGCCTTCCTGGTCAGCTCTAAAGTAGCGATTGATGGCAGTATGTCAAGAATGCATCTAGACTGTGTCGTTGTCCCGAACCTTCTACATCTTGCTAGCTTCCCTGAGCACCTCTCGGGTCAGTACTTCGCCTTTCTTTCTCACCTCGCTAAGTCTGCCCATCTTCAGCAGCCTTCCTATCATCTCCTCGTCTCCGTGATGGCTGTTGTGCTCGAACTCCGGCTCTTCGCCATATGCTACTCTGGCTGCATCGACTAGTATCCTAGCTGTCATACCAAAGACTCTAAACGTCGTGAGGGTATCGATGGCGCTAGGTTCCGGCCTCGGGTCATCTCCATCGGGTGACTTTTGTTGCAATGAGGGCTCTGGTGGGGATTGTGGAGAGGATCGCGAGGGATTGCGTAGCAAAGATGGAGATGGAGGAGGCCGTGGCATGTAGAAGTTGTGCATTCGCCAGCGTGATTCGTGCCAGTCTGTCCAAGAACCTCGATACCACTTTTCAGGCCTACCGTCTTTCTGAACTGGGGGTGGACCTTCACCGTCCCACTCCTTGCGCAAGAAATTATGGAACGGCGCTGTGAAAACAGCAGCAACTTCTCTGGGATCGAGTCGCGGCATAAGCTTCTCTTCAACAGAAAGGCCGCTCGCGTCGGAGGAAGCAGATACGTGGGTAGGGCGCAAGAAGGCAACGCAGGGCCGCACCCCAAGTTCAGTCTTGGCCAGATTTGCGGGAAGTTCGCAGAGGTGTTCGACGGTAAAACCCCGAAGTTTGTCGTCGTTCATAGGAAGACCGATTTCTTCGTCAGCCTCGCGACGCGCGACGTCCCATGGAGATTCGTCGATCGTGTCAGCTTTGCCTGAACTGTGTAAGTAGGCAAGTCTGATGTCATCCCCCGCATGACTTCTGAGCAAGTACCTCCAGGCAGCGCAGCTTGTCCTGCGTAGTTGCGCAACTGCACACTTCGCATCGTAAGGACTACCTTGAGCTCGCCATGACGGTCCGGAAAGAGCAATATGAGGACGGCGGCGCGTCTGGTAAGAGGGCAATCATACCATTGCGTTGACGGAGGCGTATATGTGCGGAGGCGGTCCAGTGCGCGCTGTCAGAGTAATTAGCAGATGGCAGACGAAAGGGCTATGACGTGATGAAAGGAGCGGAAGCCTCCAACGCCGAAGGCACAGACGTACAACAGATCTTTGCGAAAGCGCCATGTTCGCAATGGCTTTGCTTTGGGCGAGCCATGCTGTCGGTCTCATGAGGTTGCGCCTGTGTCGGAGCCGGGGCGGAAGCATGAGACTCGGTGGGGTTTATGGGCCGAGGTTATCGATAGGCATTGGCATGCAGGAACCTCGTGGCAGCCCCCAGAGCCTTCCGCACCCTAAATAGATACCGTGCGGAGACACAGCGTGCTCGACGTCAATGGTCGACAGATAGTGGTTGTAGTCCAATCACGCAGGCATCGCAGCAGAAGAGTATGTCAAGTAACTTGCATGCAATTGAATCGCATCTCTATATGACAGGAAACTCCCGATCGTTATCATCGACATGCGTGGCATCGGAACAGTGCTACAAATCCCACCGCGTAAGCATGCGTTGACGACGTGCAGCAGATCCTCGAGGACATAGGAAAATAGCATGAAATTGCAGAAAAAGACCCATCCGTCAGCTAAGCATCGTGTGTCTATCATATGCAGACATTCTTTTAGGGAAATCATTTCGCACATGAGAGACCAACGCCAAGATGCCGCGATGTATAGACGATCACTCGTCCTACCTCGAACCACTTTTGAACCGGACCAAACAGAGAGAACACCTGACCGTGCAGGTGTACTCGTATTAGAAGATCACCGCCTCTATCCAATGCACCACCGAAGCGTTAGTGGGCAGAGCGAGGCGGCGACAAGAAGATAGCAGTACACAACTTCTTAGATGAGGTCTGTCGGCAAGGTTAGCAATCAAGCTTGGACTTGTAGGAATCGATTGGCACTTACCAGCCACGTTCATGGGCATCTCCTCGATCTGTGTGCTGTAGAACTGTTCGATTTCGCGCATCATGCGGACATCGTCAGCGGTGACGAAGTTGATGGCAACACCCTTACGTCCGAAACGTCCACCACGACCGATGCGGTGGATGTAGTTCTCGCGGTTGGCGGGCAAGTCGTAGTTGATGACAAGGGAAACCTGCTGGACATCGATACCACGGGCGAGAAGGTCAGTGGCGATGAGGACACGGGAAGATCCGGAACGGAACTCCTTCATGATGACATCACGCTGTGCCTGGTCCATGTCACCGTGCATGGCCGAGACAGTGAAGTCACGGGCAGTGAGCTTGTCGGTGAGCCAGTCGACCTTCCTGCGGGTGTTGCAGAAGATGACGGCTTGGGTGATGGTGACAGTCTCGTACAAGTCGGAGAGAGTGTCGAGCTTCCAGTCCTCCTTCTCAACAGCAATGTAGAACTGCTTGATACCTTCGAGGGTAAGCTCGTCCTTCTTGACAAGGATACGGACGGGGTCGCGCATGAACTTGGTGGTGACCTCGAGGACGTCCTGGGGCATGGTAGCGGACAGAAGGACGACCTGGGTGCTCTGGGGCAGAAGCTGGAAGATGTCGTAGATCTGCTCGGTGAAACCACGAGACAACATCTCGTCGGCCTCGTCGAGGACGAACATCTTCATGTGGTCGGTCTTGAGGACGCGACGCTGGATCATGTCGTGGACACGGCCAGGAGTGCCGACAACGACCTGGGGACCGTCCTGGAGGGCCTTCATGTCGTCCCGGACGCTGGTGCCGCCAATGCAGGCGTGGCACTGGACGTCCATGAAGTCACCGATGGCGACGACGACCTTCTGGATCTGCTGAGCGAGCTCACGGGTGGGGGCGAGGATAAGCGCCTGGCAGGCCTTGACGTTGGAGTCGATCTTTTGGAGGGTCGAGATGGAGAAGGTAGCCGTCTTACCGGTACCGGACTGGGCCTGCGCAATGACATCGTTGCCTGTGGTCTGTCAGTTTTGTTTCTTCCGCTGTGTTGGTGGTGTAGTGGGGGTCGTGTGTGTGTGTATGGGCAAACTCACCCTTGATGACGGGCATGATGGCACGCTGCTGGATAGCAGAGGGGCGCTCAAAACCGTAGGCGTAGACTCCACGGAGGAGCTCGGCCTTCAAGTTCATGTTGTCGAAGGAGTCGGTGATCTCGTCGTAGTTGGACTCGATCTGGCCTGCGCGTGGGTTAGCCTGGGCTCGCAGCATATTTCGCAACTGAGGCTATCATGGCCGTCGCTGTCGCACTGCGGGGGCGCGCATGTTGCAACAGCGGCGGAGCAGCACTCGGACAGGAACTCACCCTCGGGCACATCCTCAAGACCTTTGTCAGCCATGATTGCGACTCGGTGGAGTGACTACTGGTACTGGACCGTAGTCGAAGTGTTGCTCGTGGCGGGGTTAAAGCGGAGGATCCTCTGGATACCGCCGCGTGTGTGGAAACTTGTGTTGTAAAAACTAGATACCAGATCCTCTACAAGAGAATCGAACGGGTATCTAGGGTAGTGTGTAGTATTTGTTGTGTGGTTGATTTGGTGGTGGAGGGAGCGAGAAGGTGGGCGCTTTTTGGCTTAAGAGGTCGGCCACAAAAAATCTCAGCAGTCGGCTAGTGCTAAAAGCACGCTAGTTCAAAACCGCCCACGGGCTCCCACCTTCAGCTTCGCCTTCACTTCCACTGGTTCGTTACAGTGTCAGCCTATGACTCCTCTCTTCCGTTTCCAGGGTTTGCCTCTTGATTCACTCGCAGCCTTGAAAACGCCCGCGCTGAGCAAACACTAACCTTGGTCCCCGTCTGTTTGTGAAATGGCGCCCGGCATCCTGGAGCACCCTGGCATTACCACTGTCGAATCACGCCCGTCGAAGAGAATAAAGACTTCGGTGGCGACCGAGACCCAAGTCGACGATGAGGATGTGGCGGCGGCAATCGCAGTGCCCTCGCATCCCCTGGGCATTAAGCCGGCCGGAAATGCTTTGACAGCGTCCGAAAATATCAAATCAAGATGCGGCTTGTTCGCTAGTCTCCCAGATGAACTTTTGAGCCATGTCCTCGAGTCATTCGAGGCTGACGTTTTGATACGTCTGGGGAGTACGTGCCGGGCTCTGTATGCCTTCACTCGACTGGACGAATTATGGCGGGCCTTATTCGTAAGGTGAGTTCAATGGTTGATATACGCAACATCTCACATTGTCCATCTTTCCCGTTCTTCTATGGTTCACAGTCATGACCCATATCTCTTGTCATCTCCCAGTCATATGTCAAATCATACGGTGCATGCGAAGGACGTTGTTCCTTGTAAGCTTTCTAGACGAGATATGACTCTGCCGGCACGCCTGATTATGCATCAACGGCTGTGTTCGCAAGACAACATGCGCTCGCGAGATCAGCTGAGCCGCTGAATCTCGCTCTATTGAAATCAGATCCGGGCGTATTGCTCAACTCGGTTCTATATCGTATCATGGTACATATGCGATAATGAGACGTACGCTAGGATTGGCATGTGCTGGCAAGATGGTACTGTTTTCTCAGCAATTTTCTACCAGACCTGTCTCCTCCGTTTACTTTGTATCAAACAAAATCGGGCAAAGTGCAACGTTTCTACAAGCAAATGCTAATCATCAAACAGCTCCCCAGCTGAAGACTTTGAATGGCGTGGAACATGGCGAGCAACCTATCTCAAAATACCTAGAGAGAACGTTACTTCTATTTCATGCACCAATCTGTTTTCGGACACACTTTACCGGCCATTTCAATGCGCACACACAACACTGAACACATATGCGCTCAACATCCCAAAACACAATGAGATAGCTCGACTCTCAGACCTGACTTATGAAGAGTATGCTGAGACATGGGTCGACAGACCCTTCGTGCTCACTACACCCGTCAAGCAATGGCCTGTATATGGTTCCTGGACACCTGAATACCTTCTCGAGAGATTTCCAGTTACGAAGTTTCGTGCGGAAGCAGTAGACTGGCCCATGAAGAAGTACATGTCTTATATGCACGACAACGCCGACGAGTCACCTTTGTATCTTTTCGACCGTGCATTTGCCGAGAAGACCGGCATAGACATCACAGCAGCACCACATTCCAAAGAGGCGGCATACTGGAGCCCGACGTGCTTTGGCGACGACCTTTTTAGTGTCCTCGGCGAGCATCGTCCCGACTGCCGATGGATGATTATGGGTCCTAAGCGCAGCGGTTCTACATTCCACAAAGACCCCAACGCTACTTCAGCTTGGAATGCCGTCTTAACTGGCAGCAAGTACTGGCTGATGTTCCCCGCTGGCCCAGGTATCGAACCTCCACCAGGTGTCATCGTCAGTGACGATCAGTCTGAGATCACTTCTCCGCTCAGCATTGCGGAATACATGCTCACATTTCATGAACTCGCACGCCAAACACCTGGCTGCAAAGAAGGAATCTGCTACGCCGGTGAAGTCCTACACGTACCGTCCGGCTGGTTCCACCTTGTCCTCAACCTCGAAGATAGCCTCGCGCTCACGCAAAACTTTGTGCCACGAAAGAAATTACCCGACGTCCTGGGCTTCTTGCGCGATCAGAGGGGCGAAGTTAGTGGGTTCAAAGTGGATGTTTGCGATCGTGCTTATGAGCTTTTCGTAGAGAGACTGCAGGAGCAGCATCCTGACTTGCTGGAGGAAGGCCTCGCGGAGCTAGAAAAGAAAGGCAAAAAAAGTAGAGGCAAGTGGGAGCAATTGACCAAGGGAGATGAGGAGGAGCCTGTAGGAGGTTTTAGCTTTGGATTTGGAGGGGATGACGACGACGCTGATATCCCGTGAGTCTGGTACCGTTCGGACAAGTTATTGCTTGACATGATACATATACAAGGCGTGCTATCATTACGCAAACGCAGGTGACACATTGGCAAAGTGTTTTCCGTACAATGCTGATTTTGTAAGCTATGCTTTTCCGTGGGTATCATCTAATCATAAGGTCATAATCATAAGCACAATATCGTATCTCATCCTCCCCATTTTACACCAGCTCATTTTGCGTGGTTGATAATCTCGGCGTACATATCTTCAGGTATCTTGCCGGCGAAGCTCATAGCCACACCTACGATCTTCTGAGCATTTAGGCCGGGCAGGTTACGTAGAATAGTGTTGGGACTATTGATGTGTCAGTGACGTTACAAAAGAGCGCGAAGAGTAAGCTCACCTTGGACTGTTCAAGATGTCACCGCGAATGAGAACCAACTGAGCCACAATGCACAGGATGTTCAGATGCGGTCCGTACGCGAAGAGGAAGTCCCAAAGCTGCAGGACCTCAGGTAGTGGCGGTGTGCATGCGCACATAGTAAGCACGGATGCGAAAGCATAAATCTTGGCTTCCATGTGGTGTGCCATGAGATGACCGTACAGCTTAGGATCGACAACCTCTAGCACTCTGTCTACAAGCGCGAGACCTTTGTGCACACCTTCCATGGACCCCCTCACATAACCTGGGCACTCGTACGTGATGAGTCGCTCAAAGCCCGTGAAAGCCTCGACTTCACTCCTTGCCGCGTACAGGAATGGACCACAAAGCACATTCATTCCCTGCACGTATCCAATTTGCTCGGCGTCGTTTGTAGTAGACGCTTCTGTACGGGTGCCTGCAGTAAGGGAAGGGCGCGACATCATCGAGGTATCTGGACTACCGCCGAACTCGGATAACGTGGGTGGGGACTGCCAGCCATTGACGCGTGCCTCGTGTGCATCGTTCAGTCTCCACGCGACCGCGTTGAGCACACGCGTGATGCTGTTCTGGGTGACGCGTCTTCGGAAGAGAGGATCGCCTTGGAAGGTACGGAAGGTATCGTTTTGGATTTTGGCGTGCGCTGGAGAAGCGCCTTGACGGACAAGGTCAAGATATACGTCGGTCTTGAGAGGAGGCGCGTTGAGCAGTATGAGCCATATGTAGATGCGTAGCTCCGACTGAGTCAATGCGAGGTCAGCATTGAGAACCATTGAGCAGTTCTAGAGTGCGCCCATGCGCAATGTAATCGCATGGGGTATTGTGGAGAACGTACCATGCCCTCGCTGTTGGCGGGTATACCTTTTGTCAAGATTGTGTATCGCAATTCCTGAAGGCCCTCCTCTGGACTACTCGCAGAGGCTCCTTTCAGGAGCAACATGTCCAAGTTCGTCATTTGGTGTAGTTGTTCAAGAAACACGGGATTCGTGAGCGATGGGATTCAAATTGGTGTCTCCCCGGGGTCGAACTCTCCGCGTTACGGTGTGCCCTGGCGCCTTGGCACTTCGATGCGTCTCCGGCCCCACTCCATTCGTGGACATCCATTCCACTATTATTCAACCTTCCAGTACTTACGGCGTACAAATGCTACAGAAACTCCGTTAAGTTCGTGGACAGGAGAGGTGTCCGAATCGATTATTATGTTTGTTGGTATCACTTTCGTGTCTACATAGGTATTCTAGCCTATGTCTGGTCTACAGACGTATTCTTGGAACTATCGCTGGGACTCTGATTCGAATGCCCTCAAGAAGTTGACACGGCCGTACAGTTGGCAACGTTCTAGCTCGAGGCGTATTGAGTCAACCTCCATACCATTCCGCCGAAGCTGCTGCTCCTCCGTAGCGATGTTCTTCTGGATATCCTCAGAATGTTTTGTGGTGATTTCTACTTCGTACGTGTGTTTGTACGAGATAATGGATAGGTTTGAGGTATCGGTCATTCTCCGACTTCTGAATCCTGTTGTCAAAGAGTCGAAAATGCGCAGAAAGTGGTCAGGTTACCCACCAAGACAAATGAATCAGCTATAGGAGGTTTGTCAAGTCATGCTAAGGTACCAACTCTGTCAGTAGAGACCACCACAGGAAGGACTGCATGAACAGGTGACTTTAACATCGCAAAACTTGACTTGGCGAGTATCTATGCCTACTGAATGTTTCAGGCGGTTGCTACTCTTGCCTTCCAGGGAAAACAAGACGGGTCAATTCTGCAAGGGGCCCATGGTGAGCATTTAGCATGAAATTCAGCATAGTCGGGTGGGGCTAGTTATCCGAAAGGCCGTATTATTGGAGTGTTGTCGTGCCGTCATGATATTTACTACATCAGCCTCTAGAACGCCGTAGAATATTATGTACAGGTGGAATTATAACGCCATCAGCCCTTTCTATCACACCTCATCTCCTCCTGGTCGACGAAGTTGATGTTTTCTTGTCGTCCTTCTTTGTACTTGAACTCGTCGCCTTAGGTGCTGAGGTTATCGCAACTGAGGAAGAAGTAACCCTAGCTACAGACGGGGGTGAAGTGGTTGTTGGCAGTGCCGTAGAAGAAGCAGTTGCCTGGGAAGAAGACGAAGAAGCCGGTCGAGTGCTGGTCACTAGCGTGCTAGGTCCCTTTCCTCCATTGGCCCAGTAGTCAACAAGAGCGTCTTCGAGCTTTTCAGGTTCTGTGTATGCCTCCAGAGCTTCGAGTTCGGCACATTTCTCGTAAATGTGCTCCTCCTCGTTGTCATGGTCGTTGATATCCTTGGATCGGTACTTCTCCTCCATCGGGTCGATAAACTTGGTTGTTTCGGGGTAGCCGAAATCGGCAAGACTGGTGACGTTAAAAGCAGCCATCATGTCGTGATCTTCGTGGATAAGGTTGTGGCAATGGAACATGTATACACCATCATAAGGAGCGTAACGGGCGATGACTGTAACCTTTTCGTTCACACCAAGTAGAACAACATCCTTCAGGGCCTCTTTTTCGTAGTTTAGGACGCTTCGCTTGCCGCCGGTACGTGTCAGAATCTGGAAATCGACAAGGTGGATGTGAACCGGATGGCTCCAGCCCCCAGATGAGTTTTCAAGCTCCCAGACTTCAACCGCGCCGCGCTGTGGCTTAGCAAGGATGCGGTTCTTGACATCGGCGAACGTGACACCATTGACTGTCCATTGCCCATTGGTGCGTCCGAACTTGAAGCTCCTGTCGATGCCACTCTTCTTAGGTGGGAATGGCACTGTGCGCAGCGAGCCTGGAAGAGCGCCATTGCCGGCTGTGTTTGAGACGGACGTCCCAACAACGAATCGCATAACCTTATCAGTGCTGTTGTAGTCCTCGTCTGCCTGCACGTCACGAGCATTCTTCATTGTTACGTTCTTTCCGGAATACGTGCTGAAGTCGACCACGATCTCCCAGCGTTCGGCCATCGAGATTTCAAGGTTGTCGCTTTGTACAGGCTTGGTCATGAGACCAGTATCCGCGCCGATGACGTGGAAGGGAACCTTTTTAGCTGTCGGGTCCTCGAGTGTGAGCTTGAAAGCACGGCTGATAGCTGTGTTGAGTATCCTGAAGCGGTATTTGCGAGGCTCAACCTTCATGTACGGCCATGGTTGACCGTTAACGTGGATGACATCGCCCCAGAGCGAATCGGTCTCGTCTTTGGGGTCAAATAGTGTGCCATCGCTATTGTACTGCTTCGATGCCAAAGCCAGGGGAACATCGTATGCGCCTGAAGGAAGTCCCAATGCGTCCTCAGCAGGGTCGTGAAGTATGTAGAAGCCTGCTTGTCCGAAGTAGGCGTTCTCGGCTGTGTGATGAATGGCATGGTCGTGGTACCACAATGTTCGTGCACTTTGTTTGTTTGGGTAGTCTGAGGTTCGTCAGCATTGTATGATACGATAATGCTGTTCGGTGGTGCCTACAGTAATCTTTGTATTGACCAGGCTTGGTAGTGTCTTCGGCCCAACCGTCAAAAGGCGCGCGGCTATACGAACCGTGGAGGTGCACCGAGAGATCTTTGTCGCCATGGTTCTTAAAACGAACGATGGCTTCTCGACCCTTCGTCATCCTGAAAGTAGGTCCAGGTGATACTCCATCGTATCCAACGAGTTTAGCAGGCTTCAGCCCACGATAGACTTGTTGTGTGAAGGGCTTCACGTCAACCTCATAGAAGTCAATCTGGTTCCCTGTAGTCTTATTCGTGTAGGTGTACGATTTGGCCTTATCCTTGGGCATGGGAAGCTCGTTTTGAAAAATCTCCTTGTATACGGGACTAACCCAAGCATCATCGCCGGCCAATGCTTGCGATGCCAAGAGGGCTGCAACTCCAATCGAAAAGTAGTTCTTCATGGCGTACGGAAGACGGATGAAGTGGAGTGATAAGCAAGTACGAGTGAACTGGGCTGATGCTTCGTTGTACACAAACGTCTTGAAGCTCTTTATACTCCCGCAGCTCGCTATTTACAACAGCTAAATGGTCTCGAACGCCCCTACCTTGAAGCTGCTCAGCCATTCCAAAAGCCTCACCATACCTAATCGTGTCAAGTCCATCTCTACAAGGGTACTAGGTCACCGTGTGAAGCGGCATGAGACGCCATTTGGCGTTTTCGCTAATATCGTCTGGGTGTGTCGACATTCGCCTCGTTCCCGTACTCTTCGAACTATTTCTCAGGAGAGCTGGAAAAGTGGTATCCATGCCTAAGCAGTGTTCCAGAGGCTTGGTACAAGCAAGGGCTAGGCGATGAACGAAAGCTGGCGAGTCTTGGCATACAGTAGTACGGCAATGCCGTGATGGCGGAAGATTATGGGTTGATATTTTACTCTGCCGAGTGCAGAAGCAAATTAATTTCAAGTACCGAATTGTGCATACGTATCGTTGGATTATATTCCGACTTTGGTAAATCTTCTCGACAACAGGCACCTGACTATTATTTGCTCTTGTTCAACACTCAAGACAGATCATAGACGCCTGATAAGAGGCTGACCAGCTGTGGATTCTGTGCCGGGTAGACCGAGGTTTTCGGGCGAAGCGGTCTTAACTTGGAATGGCTGATGTATAGCCAAAAAAGTCCTCGTCGATGCCTGGCGTTCTACATACCTAGGCGAACGCCTAGACACGAGCGGTCAAGAGGATTAAGGGCCCCCACAGAAACGACCATGGCAGTCTCGCCTTGCTGGGGTTGAACAGTGTTGCCAGCACTCGAGCATGCGTGAGCTATGAGGCACTAATACTAGGTCATAACATCATGCTGGAGACCGGTCAGCTTGGCAGGCTTCTTTGGGAGTCCAGTGGGTCCAAGAATAGCAAAGGTGAGCCCGGGGGACTGGCAGCGGATGCTTGTCATTGCGCCGATGCTGTTTCTGTTCGTCGTAAACAGAGAAGTGTGAAGGGGAAGCTGCGGGAAGAGAGGTCTGGACTGTGATCATGCTTTGATCGACGCTATATTAGCGCCCGTCGGCCTTGGCGTGGAGTTCGCTCAGCCTGTCATTTGAAGCTCTCGACGCCACGACGCCTTTCCAACAGCTCGACCTCAGCTACCCCGTAACGCATCATCTGCGCGGAGATCATGCGTGCCTAAACACGGCTCATTTTCTCGTGTCTTGTACACACAGCGTCAGCATTGCCGAGTCAGAGCGTCACGTGTGCGAGTGATCTTTGGTTATTTTCTTTCATGAAATCGCTAAAAGGGCAATTTTAAATGGATCAGGGTCTGATCGGGGAACAGTGTTTCCCGTGGGTGAGTATTCAAAAACGATTGTAGCCATCGCCACGCTGGCAAGGCTTAATACTGGTGCCACGTCTATGACATTGGCTCGACGTTATGGTCACTTGTTCTCAACAGACATCGTATCACCCCCAGATCTCCGAACGTGTTGCATACAGCATTGTTGAATGCAGGTAGCAGGGTTATCCTGTCGCTATGCTCAAGGAAGCGTGTTCGACACACCTACCTCGCAATCGATTCCGCACCGAGCCTTGCTTTGGCACAGTATCGGAACATATCTAGCATAGGAGGCTTTCCGCTAATCCTCGATCTACCCGCTTACCCTTGCGCAACCCCGCGACGGCACTTGGACACGCGAGAAAGATTACACTAAATCGAGGTCACTATTCCAACAACATACACCGATCTTAGCAGTGTATCCTCGGGTATCCCTACACGTCTTTTCCGAGACAACTCTTCATGTTGTTCAGTGGATGGTTGGCATATTGAAGTACAGTCTGTATAGGCACATTCCACGTCGTCTTTACCATTTCTCTATTGCTTCGCTGTCTTCACGCCACCACAACTCTGAGTCCCACAAGCTGAGGCTGTCAATATGCAATGGCGAGAGGCTAGATCAGCCCATGTTCGACGTCTGCAAAGCTTCTCCATCATAGTCTTTCCGCTGTTGTTCGAGGATACCGCCTCATCCAATATTGGCTTGCAGGACGCCAAGTCCGCTGAACCAGACGCGAAAGCTTGGCTTCCACTAAAGGTATGGAAATACGAAGAGCCTCAGCTGTGGCTCCCGCCGCTTCTGTAATGTCGTGTCCGGTGACCTGGTTAGTCTTCGGTGCTGCCGCTTTGCTCGACCATGTGGCAATCAACGAATGGGGGTCACTTTTCGTATGTCTCGCAAACGCTGACAAACAGTCTCGTAGCAATGGCTACAGTGTCAACTGTAACAACATCTCTATTACCCGGTGGTCTCTTTGCGTTATCTGATTTTTGAAGCTTGTCCGAAATATACAGATAAGATATGCAAAATCGAAGGCACGTATACTGCACCAGACGCACTAGCAATGGCTTGCCATGATTTGTCCAGCAAAAATCCCATTCTGCACTCCTCGTTGTCACTTATGCCGACTGCACACCTTCAATTACTGTCAACATACAACATCCGCTTCACATCACGATCAAGAAAGCGCGCACTACCGGCACCCTTCGCAACGGCGAAGGGCTAGTCGTGATATGCGGGATAGACCAAAACTTAGCATTGCTTTTTCAACTCTTCGCCAAACTAATACCTTTCTGTTAGACCAGGCAGCACAACCAAAGCCAATGGCTTATTATGTAGTTTATCGGCAATTCAGAATCGCTTGAACTAGTATGCCTTCCCTTCGGCATCTAGAACCTTTAGCTCAAAGATCCTGCTCTTCCAAGTACTTTTTCATGGCTGAGGTATTTCCAAACTCTCTGTACGTAACACGTACACGAGGAAGCTTCTGCCTCATAGTCCTGGTGAAGTTTTCTTTGGCTTCATTGATTTCTGTGCTATTTGGTGGCGGTATAGTGTCATGTTCCGTCTCGTCATCATCATCTGAATCTCCGAAAACTTCTGTAGCGGACAACAAAAGCTCAAGGTGCGATAGGTTCTCAAAAGCACGGAAGGTGACATGGTGATACTCGCCTTGATCTTCCCTAGCAATCTCAACCTTTTCCTCTTCAACGTCGTATCCGGGATCTTCTCTCTCCGCCAACATGTACAAGTCCGTCGAATCGACGCCGATCTGGATAGAACGTATCAAGCTCTTCTTGTACTTGTGTTTCTCATTCTCACACAACGACCAGAAGAAGTCTTCCCAGGACGGCTGGCAGCTAAAGGACCAGATGAGGAACCGATGTGCAAGGCTAGCAGCTTCCCTGTAGAATTGTCGGCATACTACAAGGGGGCTAAACGTAGAGTTTTGGGGAGCTTCTGGTCTGATAGTCTGTGTGAAGGCAAAAGTCCAGATGAGATCGCGTAATTCGCGGGGCATACGAAGAAGAGGCGATTCAAGTGCATTCCTTTTGGTGCTGGTATTGTGTTAGTGAGTGAGTAGATTGTGTAGTAATGTGCGACTGACATGGATTTCTGCCAATCGGTCTTGGGCGCCACGTCAAAGATGTTACCGTCTAGTTTTGGTAAAGGCGTTTGCTCTTCTGGTGATGAAGACATATTGTACAGTCTTGGTTTTTGTCTTGGTCCTAACGCGAATATGGAAGCATGTGAAAGTAGAGAACGTATTTGATGGCGGTGTGTAATCTAGTTGATGCAAGATGATGTCACTGCTCATCGCTCACACTCTCTACCCACTGGTTCGCATCACGATCAATCATCATCGTGTACGTCTGAACAAAATCCAGGCAAAAGAAGATCAGATCCAGATCTATTTCATAAGAACTTCACCCTCCCAAACCCCAAACTCAATCTTCCCCCCATCCAGTTTTCCCCTCTCCTCATTAACCCACCCCTGTACCAACATAACGGCATGTTCTCTAATCAATGTCTTTCCTTCCTCGTCAACCAACAAAAGTAATACCATCCACTCTCCACGCCCGTCTTTACTGATCAACGGATGATGCTCGGGTTGCGCGTCTTCGCCAGACCATCGGTACAATGAAGAGTATGGCTTGAGAACCGGAGGCACGGCGGCTTTGACGAGGGTGAATAGGGAAGACTGAAGGGCCTTGGGGACTGTATCGACGTCGATCGTCGTAGTGGCTTGTGGGAGATCTACATGCACAGCGACCATGACAGATTTCGGCCCTTTGCCACTTTTCGTAGTGAGATGTGTCGGTAACATTTGAAACGATGGCTCCATCGCCAGCGATCCCATCTCTTCATACACTGCGAACTTGGCATCCACAATATCGAACACCATCGCTTCACCCTCACCATCCTCCCGGAACCCCACACCCTCCTCCCCCTTCTCCAGGTCCCTCGTCTCCTCCAAATTCAATTTCCGACTAACGCCGTTGTAGCCTTCTGCCTTCAAGTATCCGATGTCAGACACGACACAAGTGTACATGTACTTGGGTAAAGATCCCTCTTTCTCATCATGCGTGTACTGGTCATCGTTCTCTGGAGCGCAGAAACGCAGAGCATGTGTGACTCGACCGGAACCAGTATCGGGTACGTTGAGCAAGTCTCTGAAATGGAGTTTGGTCCAGCGGAAGAATGTACTGGCGTTAGATGGGCTGACGTTGTGGAGGCGAGGTTGGACGAGGAGCAGGCCTTGTTTGGTCTGTTGGGATGGCGAGGGAGGTGAAATCGCGGAAGGCATTTTTCAAGTGTTGTATACAATTTTGATTGAGAAGCCGCTGCCACAACTTTAGATACATCTGGCTATTGCGGCGAGTATATGTGTGTTGAGCTTCCTTTTCATCTCGTCCGTACGCTGTGCATCCTCGGACGGCAATCGCGTGGAGTCCCGGAGTTGCAGCTGCAGGAGCAACCCTGTCTGCATATAGAAAAGCACAACGATTAGCCTAGGTTCAAACTTGGCCCCCGAAGCGTGCATACCGGTCAGAATATGGGGCTTGGAAATGTGCCGTGCGTAAGCTTACGTTGATAGTACTAGACGACGCAGACCGTCTACCGACATACGCTGGGGTTACACCATTTGAAAAGTTGATTCGTTTCAAAGACAAAGTAGATGAACCGCCTTGACAGACAAGCCTCTAATCTTGTGGCGCGGAATTTACATCGCGCTCTCCCTTCCTTTACTAATATTTGGTCCCCAGTCTCCCTTCCCCTAACCCATCCAATCTGAGGTATACCATCGTACAATAAAAGCAAGCACTGCGACTCCCATTGTCTTATGCTGGTACCGCGGTGGTAAACTCCAGTACCCCAAACTCTCCAGAAACAACACAAATGTATCCCTATAGTACCGGTGAATTGAACCGCTTTCCTTGCCAATATGTGCTTTACATATCCTTGGATCTCTAATTCCGAGGCAGATGTAGGAAGATTGTACACTTCTCAATCTCAACATCCTCTTTCTTCGCACCACCACTTTCAGGTAGACCTTTACGGTCTTTCTCTGCAACGATCTCAACTTCAATGCGGTTGACGCCAGCAGCAAGTTTTGCTTCGAAAAGTGGCTCTCCTTTCTTCTTACCACCCTCGTAGCCGGGACTAGGGCTGGTACCGTTGATGCCTGCTGTGACAGGAACTCGGTTTGCTTCGAGTGTCTTGTTGCCATTGACAGTAACAAAGAGGCGGTACATGCGGCTTGTCAATGCAATGGGGACTTTAGGAATGACTTGGATGTACGAATTGGCTGGTGCGACTACCATTGTGGCACTGTACATAGTCTTTTGTTTGTTCGCTGGGATATTGACAGACCATGGTTTGGATGGATTGAGCGCGGGATGAGTATTTAGTGTGATCTTGGGTATCAATGCTTCGTTGATGTCTAGATGTGTTAATTACTGGTTTACTGAATCGGAAATGCCGACTTACCTTTGAGTGGAACCTTCCTGAAACTATCTACGCGAGCCACTGGTGGAGGCGCGTAGTAAGTCGGCGCTTGGTATGCGGAAACGTGGTTGCCATTTTGGAGCCCAACACCGTTTGGATGTGGACTGCCACTTGCCGGACGAGACATATGTTGTGGAGGAGCCATGTTCGGATGTGGTGTTTGTGCAGGGACGCTGAGTCGCGCAGCCTGGCTATCAGGCGCAGTACTGGCTGGCCTGATAGCACTCAAGGCAGGTGACTGTACATCTTGTTTAACACCGTTGACTGCCGGTGGAGACCCTGCAGTCTTGCCCTGCGCGGCGGAGAGTGGTGCAATCGTTGAAGCGACGCCTTTTGGTCCAGTAAACGGATTGGCAGGCGCCGTTGGCGTCGCAGCTTTCGATGGAGTGGCCGACCGGTTGCCCATGCTGTCAAGAACATGTCGTTGTTGTCGCAGAAGAGCGTCATTGTCAACGATGACACCAGGCGTCGCAGAATCACGGGCACTTGGAGTGTTACGTTCTGACCCTGGGCTCGGCTTGAGCTTGAGCTTGAGCTGTTGCTTGGGGGCTGCAGCACTAGACATGTTGAGCTTCAGCTTTGGCTGCGTTGGCTCGCTGACTTTGGACTTGGCTTCTTCGAGTTTCTTGTTGAAGATTTCCTGTACTAGTCAGTATTAAGCAATCAGGAAGTAGGAATAAACTACGTACCTCAAGCTCGAGCGAGAGGTTATAGATGTCGCTGCCATCTTCGTTGTAGATACGAGCATTCTTCCAGATAAGACTGAATGCATCTTCGAAAGCGTCCCAGCTCTTGAACAGTGTATGTCCTGTCGGGGCTTCGCGTCCGATGACACCGCGAACCTTCTTTTGTATGGCGGCCAGCGACATTGGGTCCTTGATCAGCTGGTAGTAGTCTTTCAAGCTGCGCGATGGGAGGTTCTGGAAAGGTAAGAATATTTGTAAGCCTTGACTGGAGGGTGTTAGCATAGAGGCAATCCAGCAGCGAGCATGCAACTTACTCCTCAAAGTCGATAATCTCCCTCACAATCTGCTCCTGTGCTTGCTGGAACGTCTTCCCTGCGTAATCGGCACTGTGGTCGTCGTCGTCGTCGTCTTCCAGCGCAGCAGATGCTGACTGTCGCAACTTTGACGGTGCTGGTGTAGCCGATGCTGCGATGGCGGCCGCTCGTCGGGGGCGCTCAACAGTCTCTATCGTAGCAGGTGTAGCAGGTGTATGTGCAGTTCTTGGGGTTGCCGTGATGCGGGGCGGAGGTCTCGACGGAGTAGAGTTGTCTTCGCCTGGAATCGGGGTAGCCGTTGCAACGTAGTTGCCATCACGGTATGCAGGGTTGTGCTTCACCATCCAGTTTGAGGCGGTCTTGCGAAGACGCTCGGCATCTTGGTATATGACCGAGTTCTTGTCGTTGTAGGCTTTCGCATTGTTGACCAATCGTTTGCAGTCGCTCTCGACTTGAGCCAGAGACGCGTACTCTCCGTTGTTGAGTTTATTCTGGACCTAGATTAGCAGCCGGAAGGTAACGAGGGCATAGGCATGAACAAGGGACGGGCATACCTCAATGGTATCTATAGCAATAGGCAGTTTCGTGAATTCGTAGTAGTCGGGTACTTCAGCCTATGTGCAAGTGTCAGCGGAGGCTGCTCTATGCGGAGAGCGCTGTGGGAACATACCCTGTCTGGAAGGGAGAGGAAATGGACTGCGATGGGTCGTCCGCTGCAGGTTGTCAGTGGAAGTCGCTTGACGTGGCTCCCTGGCGAGTGTGGAAGCTGCCAGTGTGCAAGCAGGTTCAGGAGCCAAGCACGTACGTCTTGTCTTTGGCCTGCTTCAAGCTGTCGAGGAACTTCAAGCCGGCCGTTGTGGTTGATTCGACCGTCTCCGACTTGGAAGGGGTTTCGGCCTGCACGGAAGCGGTCCCCTGTCAGCATTGTTCCCGAGATTGTGTGAGTAGAAATCCTCTGTTCCCGACTGCATCGCCGGCGCGCGCGTGGTGTTGAGGGAGCGATGAGGGGCCGACTGCGGTGATGGCCTACTCGTCGAGCCCCCCAGGTGTCGCGCTTCTGGTCTAAGGACCATCCCGCATCGCGACCATCACGCCTCCTGCATCTCCCAAACACACTCGACGATGCATCAACCACCACCATGGACTGCACGTACCGTCCCTTTTTGTCGCTTCGCAGGGCGACCGTCGTGGTCACCCGCTGCATTGCTGGCCGCCTTGCGCTTGGCCGCGCTCTCCATATTCGGTCAATTCGTGATCGCGTAGTCTGTCTGAGCGGTTTGCAGAGGGTCTCGAGGCGGGTAGGGATCGTGGCGGCGGTGCAGTGAAATGCGCGTTCGGTCGTTAACCCGGTGGACGCGCCGCAGTGTTCAATCTAGGGCTCCCAGTTTTGCCAAGAAGGCGCGCACGGTCCCCTTGCATCACCAGATGCACTGTAATCGTGCTTCATCACAACAAGTCAACGGCAAACCATGGCCACTTTTACCTGCTAGCATCACACTGCAAACGACTGAGTATTACCATTGAATTGTTTCTAGGTAGTGGAGCCTGGTCGCTATCTTCCAGGGGTATACTTGGGAACTGGCACCTCCGCTAATACTGCAGCAATCTCGACATGTTTGTGGCATCAGACCAGAACCAAGGAAAGTCATCCAGAGTCTGCATTCTCACTTCTTCACGGGCTCTGACGCCTTCTTCTCAAACTCCGCACGCGCCTCCTGCTCCTTCATCTCGCGCACCTTGGCTAGTACAACTTCTCGGAAGATGGCTCCCTTGGCAATTCTGCTCAAGCGTCCGGGTCCCTTTCCTGTGCTTGCATTCTCGTTGGTCGCTAGACCCTTGTCCGCTGAATGTGATGCAATGGCTTCACCTGCAGCTTCGCGGGCATTAGCAGGCATGTCTGCCTCTCCGGGTACATCCTCTTCCTCGTCTTCTTGCATCTTGAGCGCCTCGATACGATTTGCAAGCTTGACGAGCTCGATGCCGCGCTTGAGGCGGGCCTTTGCTGCGTATGCCTTGATTTCTGGCACCAAGTTGTGGTCTGTAGCAGTGCTTCCGCTGAGCCAAACGTGTTTAAGAGCAGCCTAGTATTGTTAGTGAATTGCAATGGACGCGAGCTTCTTCATCGTACTTCACTAGTCGGTCGCTTGTTTGGGTCGGGTTCCAGCAGCTTCTTGATGAACTCCTTGGCTTCCGGACTCACTTCCTTCCAGTATCGCTCGTGGAAGATGACGCGGCCGTTCTTGCATTCCTCAATCAGATCCGCAAGGTTCTCTGACCGGAACGGCGAGTATCCACACAGAAGTGTGTATGTGATTACGCCCATGGACCACATGTCAACGGGCTTTCCATGGCCTTTCTTGAGCATGACCTCAGGGGCAGCGTATCCGAAAGAGCCAGCCATGGTGGTCAGGACTTCACTCTTCGAGTCGAGCATCTTGGCGATACCGAAATCAGCAAGGACGAGGGAGGAGTTTGCATCGCGTGTGAGGTAGAGGAGGTTCTCTGGCTTAAGATCTGTTCAGGGGTCAATTACTGGGTTTGTGTTAGAGACTCGGGCCATACCTCTGTGAACAACATTGTTCTGGTGTAGGTAGTTGACTGCATCGAGTACTTGTCGGATCGTCTCAGCGGCGTCCTTTTCTGTGAACTTGCCCTTCTCGCAAATGCGATCGAACAACTCTCCACCAGTCGCCAATTGGGTCACGATGTAGTACTTGTCCTAGTACATGTCAGCTCCACAGCGCTATGGACGATAAATGTGTCGCGCATACCCTCGACTCAAACCAATCGTGGAACTTGACAATGTGAGGGTGCTTCATGCGCTGCAGCATCTCCAACTCATCATAGACCATTTGCTCGTTTCCGCGCACATTCTTCTTCAAGATGATCTTCACGGCGACCTTGCCCTCAGGACAGTCAGCTTCTCGGACAATACCGTATGTTCCAGCGCCCAGTGTCTTTCCGAAGCGGTATCGAGATCTGTGATTGACATGTTCAGTACAAGGAGGAGCGCGGGGCACGTGGGTACAGACTTGCGATCATAGCTATCGGGCTGGCCGTGCAGCTTGTTGAGCATGTTTGTCACTGGAGGGCAAGTCAGTATTTAGTATTGCGATGCGCAACGCTGAGAGGGTAGTACAACTCATGATGGGCGAGCTAATGGGCAGCTATATGACTGCTGCAAGCTTATTCTCAGGCTGAGGGTGAGATTTGGGTTGCCTATCAGGCGCGTTCAGCTGGTGGTGGGGGTCGTAGGTGAGGGGTAAGAAACACTCAGGTAGCAATGCTCTCGTATGAGGAAAAGACAAGGCTGCAAAGGAAGGTCGTGAAAAGGAGGCACAGAACTGAATCGGGTCAGCAACAAAGGTCGAGCGTCTTGGGAGAACTGGAGTAGCACCTAGCCTGGCTGTGGGGCAGGCGCATTCGAGGGTCGTGTCCGCCTCGCGGCCTCCAGGGTTTGAGGCGCAGCGCCAATGGCCAATGGATCAAAAGCTAGCAGCGGCCCCCTCAACGCTTTCTTCACAGCCGTGTTTGTCGCGCTCGACGAACGACATATGCGAGGCTGCCACAAACTGCGAAGACGAGTGGGTGGGCATGGCATACACACTCTGTTACAGCATACACGCGTCCAGCAGGGTCAGCGTCAACGGGGTGTGGCGCCTGTCATCTTGACTCGCAAAGCATGGACGTTTATCTGCTCGCAGCTTCTTAATGATAAACTTCAAGGATATGGACATTAGATGCCTCTTATAGTACGAACGAGTCCGTACCTTTTCGTATTCCAGCTGCCATTCTAGTATATTACGCCGAGACCACCTGAGCAGCCGCCGCTAGACGATTGCGTGCAGCGCATATGAGAACGGTAGTTTCTGTGCACCTCAGAAGGCGCGAGCTTCCCAATGTTCGCAGAACGCATGCGCCACAAAGGTAGGGCCCAGAAGCCGCCAAGAAAGAAGAGAACCGTTCGTCTGGTCCCGCAGGCGCAAGGCTGGCAGGTTTGCATGTGCGATTCCTACGTCATGCCCCTTCCGCGTACATAATCTGGGCCTTGATCGACAACGCCCACCAAACCACGCACATCACTTGTTCAATCTGCCAAATCCCCTTTTAGCAGTACTGCACCACCAATTCCAATACAGACTACTTCACGCATACCGACTTTCTCACCATCCTTACTATGGCGATCGGCATCTTCACCGTCCTCGCCGGCTTGATAGCCTTGGCTGCTGGCTACTTCTACTTCTTCGGTATCTCCCCAGAGATGAAGCGCAAGATGGAGAACCAGGCTCTGAAAACCATGGGCGAGAACAAGATGTCCTACATGGCCAAGGGTAAGTCTTACCATATTTGCAATGCACAATTACTACCTGGGCAAACACTGACATGTTCCAGACCAAATCAACAAGCTCCCCACCTCCGACCAAGAAGACGTCAAGAATCTCAAGCAGAGCATCAGCAACCTCGCGGGTGGTGCTATGCAGAACCCCATCGGCGAACAAGCTGGTGAAACCGCTGACAGACTCACGTCTCCGCTTACCGGTCGCTAATGTGTCTTCTTTGTCTAGTCCGGACAGCGTCCCAGGTCTGGGGTTCGGCAAAGGATGTCTCGAAGAAGGTTTCCGAACGGTTCTACTAGGAGGCTATACAGGTTTATCTGAATGCCTTGCTTGATTGTTTTCAGGCTTTGGTAGGCACGTCCAAGGAGACGGTCCAGAAGAAAGCAGGGTAGCGATACGATGACGGAAAGGCGATATTGAACATCCCCTCGGTAGGCGTTTGGTGGTACCTTTGTGGCTTCTTGACTGCAGCCTTTCCCTTGTTACCCCTTCAGCAGACGTGGGCTACACCCTCATGACCGTCACGACTCTTGTGTAATCATCTCCAACCTTTAATGAATCTTTTCCGTATTCTATCGAAAGAGTTGTTCCATTTGGCTCATCATCCCACCTGTATCCCACCGCTCCATACCAACCAGGCGACACCCTCCCAGCATAGGACGATCCCCCAGAACACAACCTGAAATCTCACCTTGCGTGTCTTATGCTGGAAGTAGTGCATGCCCACCAGCGCACCCGGCCATCCCCCTACCGCCGCCAGTGTGTGCAACGTCACCTCTTTCACCCTCCACTCCAGATTACGCGCCTGCATCTTGTCGTAGCCATAGAAGAGGAAGGTGACGCCGCTGATCGTTCCGGCGTAGAGGATGGAGTATATGGGCAGCTGCGAGACGACATAAAGGCGGATGAGTGTGACGGTGGGTAGGATGAGCGAAGCGGTTCCGCAGACGGTAGCAACAGTCAAGGGTCGATGGCGAGGACGCGCGCGTGGTGGCATCTTGTTGGACTTTACTGATAGTAAGAGAAGGACCGGGCGTCTGGGCGCATCGCAACAGAGGAAGGCACAGTGTTGGCAACGTGCTGGTAAGCGATGGGCGTATGCGCGAGCGAAGCTTTGGCGGTGCCATGTCGATCTCCCGTCGGTGGTGGTGCTTGGACGGAAGGGGTATAGCTCATCATCTAGTACGGTTATCAGCTCGGTTCCAGCTCTTCGTCATTCAGCGTTGCAATTACACCTCGATCATGTCGACTTGTAATCCAAAGACATTCACTGACTTGTATATTGATAAGATGGCTATTTAAACGACTTTGAAGATCTTCGATCTGAGTTACAATGCTATTCAACAATCTAGAGATTCCGAATTTCTTTTGGATTCATGCCATACGTGCGCATGAGCTCTTGAGAAGTGCCAACAGATGACACACGTGAAGGCACTATCCCTAAGCACACCCTAGGTTCTTCAGGTGGTTTGGCAGAGACACCGCACCACGAGGATGGACCGCCACGAAGTTTGATGCCGCCCTCTCACAGTCCTGCGCCTCCAATGCGAAGAGCGTCTGCCATGCTTCGGTGGAGCGTTCGAGATACTTTTCAACTATCAGCACATGGAACCTAGCACAAGAGTATACATCGAAGTTTTGTTGTAGTAAACTTACATTCGGTTCCTCCTGGCACGCCACCGGACATTTTTCCCCTGACCAGTTTCCCTCCCGAAGCACCGTGTAGCGAGCCGTCTCATAGCAATACTCGATGCACTATCTGTCGTCAGAAATCGTTTCGACACGGGGACGATTGGAATTTACCTTGCCGTAGAGCTGATGGGCTGGATATACGGGTTTGGATTCGCTCCTTGAGACTTTGGCGGCCAAAGCCTGCGATGATCTGACGTTTGGCCACGGATGTGTATTCTCGTAGACATTCTCTTCGGTGTCCCTGAAGGCATTTGCTGCTGATGCGTGTGAGGCAAATGCCAGAACAGCGAAAATCGCAGCGAAAAGGGTACCGATGTTGAACTTCATGATGAGAGTTTGTTTCGAAGGGTTGGTTGTTGAGAGTACTCTTGAAGTGTCTGAAGGTAGTATGTTAGTTGTGCGATTGGAGAAGATGTAGCGGTGTGTCCATCTCATATATTGATTTCCTCCTTCAGACTTATCAGTGCGTAATGGTCGACCTTGGTTGTCATCTACCCCCATCCCATGGTACTGAAGCGGCAATGCAGCGTTGTAAGTCCCCGCAGTGGTGTCCGTCCAAATACCCCAAGAAATCACGAATAGAGCGTCAAATCACAATCAATCAATCGGTCATTCCGTGGTACTGCAAGGATGAGCCACGAATACGTTCCTTGTCACCTACCACCAGCCTTAACGCAATTCACGATGATCGAATGTTAACCAAATGTTCTATGATCACGTACAAATCACCAATTTGACGGTCCAAAAAATATTTCGACGTTCCTCTTTCCCCAAATTCCCATCCAACTCTGGTAATCGCTACCCAGCACACCTGGGGACTGTCAAGGCCTAGTTATGGGTCCCCAATAAAACTTTTTCAGTGCCGTTTCTTCCTCCAAAATATTCCTTTGTATCTTGTTCCTCAATATCTCGATCTGACGATCATATTCCCAGCGCGGCGTATCTGCACCCCTCATACCAATAAACCTTGCAAACATCCTCATCTTAATCTTTAATCGCTCCAGGTCAGCTAATTTGCAGTTCTCCGGCAACGTCTCGCTAGTATCCAAGAAAGGCTGTTGCCAGTTCATTGTCTGTGGGTATTGATGTGTAAGGTCGGTGGGATGTGTTTGAGAGTAGTAACTCGCCAGCGCATCAAGTTGGGCTTCTGTTAAGAGGAAAAGGTGGAGCATCGTGGATGGAAAATCAGGTGCTGGCTTCCCTGTCTCGACGTGTACTATAGGAGCGATGGTGAGGCGCATTTCAAAAATCTTGTGGACAAGAGCCGGATTGCGACCCGATAGTCGCATCTTCCTCGCTGCACGCCTTTGTAAAATGCTCAAATTTGTTCTATTTGCTTTATCGATCCCGTTTGTGACGCTCATACGTTGGCTAGGCATATGACTGTTTGGTAGAAAATGCCTCGGTTGATTAAGAATGCTTGCTGACTGGTGAGGTTTGCTGCGGAAAAGGGTGGATGGTATTTGGTATGAAACAGCCGGGAGTGTGCAGCGAGCAGGGTTGAGGGGCCGCCGTAGTATATAAGAGTGACACAAACGAATAGGATGGGTGTCAAAAGAGAACGGGTATTGTTGGAGCTTTGCTCTTTGTCAAGACACCGCCACCTAAGACCTACTGTCCTGACTCCCAGTATCTCGTGAAGAGTAGACCCTTTGTCTTTCATCTGTCACGTGTCCATTGTCTTCGAAAGGATGATTGAAGGTTGTTGCTGTACAATGTCGAGCATTCCATAGTATTAATGGCGGTAGTCTGTGAGGTTGGCGAGGCTTGATCATCCTTCTTGACAAAGTGGTGGCGTGTTGGCTGACTTTGTGATGCGTTGGCCAATCTTTCATGGTCTGAACACCGCTGTACAGATCTGTTTCAGGTACTGCCAACGGTGAATCTGTAAGAACTTTTCGTGTCCAGAGCTTGTCGGCGGAGTTAGTTATGGAGATCAAAGTCTTGGGAAGCGTAAAGCACCGCAGTTAGCAAGCGATAATGAGACTGTGTCTCAAGCATCGAGAATGGCTTGGAGAGACACATCGTTCTCGGCGCCACCAACAGGCTCAGTACTTTTCCAGAACTTGCTCAAATGTCTTGCGCCACTGGAAATAAGTTAGTACATTCTCGACGTTTTGACCTATTGTCTTACCTGTCGCACAGAATCGTGACGATGCGATGCCCAGGACCAAGCGTCTTTGCAAGTTTCGTGGCAGCGACGCCTTCACCGTATCAGCGCTGTCTACTATTGAACGGATCACAACTTACAGTTCACAGCACTAGAGCTTCCAACGAATATGCCGTCATTTTCGACCAACCAGCGCGCCATGGAAACCGCTTGATCGTCATTCACTCTGATAGCGTCGTCGATCAGCTCCCGGCCGACATCAAAGTTATGTGTCACTCTGTTGATACCGATCCCTTCAACGATGGTATCCACCTGGTGTCGCCGCCGGGTTCCTTCTCTCTCCTTGGGATCGAACATAACGCCATACTTGACACGGTTGTACAAGCCACTACCAGGAGGATCTGCTAAGACGACCTTGAGGTTGGGTAGCTTGGACTTTAGAAACAAGGCAACCCCAGAGATAGTCCCTCCAGTACCAGCACCACTAACAAAAGCATCCACATGACGGGCGGTTTGCTCATAAATCTCCGGTCCAGTTCCAGTGAAGTGTGCACGCCAGTTGGCTTCTGTTTCGAATTGATCAGCGAACAGTCCTCTACCAGGCTTGTCAGGACTAGCAGTATGCTCCTCTGCTCGCGCTCGTGCGAGGTTGACGAATTGCTTCTGATCTACAATGGGCGCTGGTCGCACTCTTTCTACCTCTGCACCGAGCTTTAGGAGAAGATCTGACTTTTCGATTGCCATGTCGTTTGGCATGCAGCTTCCGCTTGTCAGCGAGCATTCCAGGGTTATCATGCGTCAGACGACAACTCACATGTGTGCTTTGTAGCCGCGTGCTCTGCAGATTGCGGCTAGTGATATGCCAGTACTACCTACGGTGCCTTCGTAGATAGTGTCACCAGAATGTGGGATGAGAAGTCCCTTCTCTTCGGCCTGATGTAGAGGTCAGCAACAACAGCTAATGCTATAATCTCTTGCACTGTGTTTTTCTCGTACCATTTCGATGATGCTGAGAGCAACTCTATCTTTTGGACTGTTGCCAGCTCCATTGAGGAACTGTCACTTCACGTCAGCGCTTTTCTCGAACATATCTCGTATGTGCCTTTGTACCTCAGCTTTTGCGAAGATGTCGCAACCAGTGAACTCAGAAAGTGATTTAATTTTGATGAGAGGTGTGTTGCCTATGCATCCTTCGATACCTTCTTTAACGTCATCTGCGGCTTCGTCTCCGCTGAACTCCAGTAAAGTTTTCTTCAACGTCTCTAGGTCGTTGATCTTTGCGAGCTGCGACAACCACTTTTGCTGGCGTGCCAAAAGTTGGTCTTTACTTTCGTCATCGAATTCCTCGATCGGCCTCTTCTTATTGTATGCAGTAGTGAGGACGATCCCCAGCAGGAAAGCCCCCAGAATATAATATCTGGAGCGATCGGACATGATAAGGAACCAAAATTCGAGATGTGCATTTAGAAAGTTGAGCCAGTCGGAGTTCTATGATATCCCCGTCTTGGCGCGGCTGCCCGCAAAGCTCACCACGTGCATTCGCGCGGAGACGACCTGGGTACCAAAACTCTACCGCCGTCGCGACGCATTCGTGACAACCGTCTCCGGCGGCAATGGACTCGCCACTCGCTACGCAGCTTTTCCGCCAGCTCTTCTCGCATAGAGCGTCGCAATGTCTTGCCCGCGGAGCTCGACCAGCGCTCGCAGGCGCCCGCATACCACACCACCAAACACGAGGCAAGGCCACGCGGTTGGGTGAGGGAGAAACGAAGCGGGAGAGCCGATGGACACCGAGAAAGAATGCGTTTCCCCAAGAGAGAGTCGAGGAGTTTGAAAGATACCCGATGGTCACAGCGGACATGCTGAGGAGTAGAAGAGAAAGACCGCGCAGAGTCAAGATGTTGTTGCGTGACTTTATAGAAGGTCAGAGGCTTCTCATACATGGTAGTGCCAAGCTCACGGATGTACAGACAGCTTGTATAACCCCAATTACGGCTACTTCTCCAAGCAAGTCGTCATCTTCTCCCCCGGCGAACCGTTCGACTTCAATTCCATGGGCTCTGAGCACGAATTCTTTCAGCAACTACGACACCGCTATACCGCTTTCGAAGACGATCTTGACTATCAAGAACCAAACGATCTCCGCCAACTCTGGCACACGCCGACCGAACTCTTCTCACCCTACTACGGAGAAGCAATCGCGCGCTATCTTGTAGAAGACTACAAGTACAACTTCTACCCATACCATGATCTGAACATATACGAGATGGGCGCGGGTAACGGTACAATGATGTTGAACATCCTCGACTTCATAAGAGACGTGCATCCGGACGTGTACGAGCGAACAAAATTCAAGATTATTGAAATTTCGAGTCAACTGGCCGACCTCCAACAGAAGGGTCTAGGACACTCAGCGTATGCGCGTGGGCACTCTGACAAAGTGGAAATCATCAATCGGAGTGTCTTCGACTGGAACACTTACGTCTCATCGCCGTGCTACTTCCTCGCCTTGGAAGTTTTCGACAATTTTGCACACGATGCTTTAAAGTACGACTTCGAAACGGGCCTTCCATATCAATCCCATGTCATCGTCGATCCTCGTGGAGAGCTTTTTGAATACTACTCCCGCACTATAGACCCCCTCGTTACCCAATTCCTCGAACGCAGACATGCTGCCTGTACCAATTATCCACATCCGTTACAAGGCTCGAGGCTCATGAACAACCTGAGGAGTCTGGTACCGTTCCGCTCTAATATGAGCATGCCAGAGTACATACCCACACGGCTGATGCAGTTCTTCTACATGTTATACGAGAAGTTTCCAAATCACAAGTTGATCAGCAGCGACTTCCACAAACTGGGCGATACGGTGGAGGGTATCAATGCGCCAGTTGTACAAACGAGATATAAGAGGCAGATGATTCCTGTTTCGACACCTCTTGTAAGCTCAAAAATCGGTCCATTGTAATGGAGTTACTAACGCGTCTCAGGTGCACCAAGGCTATTTCGACATACTCTTTCCCACTGATTTCAATGTCATGGAACCCATGTACACAACAATAACCGGGCGCTTCGCACGAACATACTTACACGAAGACTTCATGGCTGGCAGAGCAGATATCGCGGAGACGACTACAAAAAACGGCGATAATCCGTTGCTGAGCTGGTACAAGAATGCCAGTGTAATGATTACTGTGTAGAACGTAATCACATGGTTCTCTTGTGGCCAGCATGTAGGAGAGCAATACGAAGATACCAGTATGAATAGGCAACTACTCGGGCTCCTGTCCCTTCCATGTCTCCTTGACAGCACTGACGTCCATTTCACACACCTCGGCATGCTTCAATACCGCATGCGCCTTCTTCACAACTGGTGCATCAATCATCTTGCCATCCAATGTCCAGGCCCCTCGTCCAGCTCTACTCGCCTTTTCATCTGCTATAACTATCCTTGTCGCCCACTCAAGCTCCTTCTCTCCAGGGCTAAACGCTTTGTGGCATACCGCAACTTGACTAGGATGTATGCACTGCTTGCCGTTGAAACCTAAACCTTTGCCGTTCAGACATTCTTCCTCCAGTGTCTTGAGCCCTTGCTCGCCCTTGTAGCTGGTACACACCAAGTCGATGGTGCTGGGGAGCTCAGCAGCTCGAGCTGCTGTGGCGATGGCACTCCTCGCGTAGAGAAACTCCATGAGCGAAGGCGTGCGCGTAAGACTCATATCCTTTGCAAAGTCCTCTGCTGCGAAGACGAGCCCAGAGATGTAAGGCGAAGCGGCGCAGATTGAACTCAGGTTCTGTATCGCTTTTGCGCTTTCTATCAACGCTATTATACGCACCGGTTCCCTCTTCCCTTGTTTGCCTGAGCTTGGGTGTCGCTCAGGTGAAAGGTGCCGTATCACATCTGTGACGAAATGTAGATCTGCAGCGCTTTCGCACTTGGGCAGCATGATAGCATCGAGATACTCGCCTTTGAGCACTTGTGTCAGGTCATCCAGCGCTAGACCGGTGTCTACGCTGTTTATCCGCACGCACATTTCTTTTATGCCGCTGGGTCGTGGTTTGTTGAGGATATCGCGAAGATTAGAGCGGGCTTCGGATTTCATGTGTGGTGCAACGCTGTCTTCGAGGTCGTAGGTCACGTTATCGGCGTGCATCGCAAAAGACTTCTCGAGCATCTTCTTCGACGAGGACGGCACTGGGGCGGGAATGTTAGTATGGTGTCTTGTGTTGTCTTGCGAATAGACATGGACTGGAATGGTGATGGTTTACCGTACATGCACGCCCTCCGTATGATTGGCGCTGCCATGTTGTCTGTGGTTTGACCAGAGCACCAGTCTCGGGATAATCGTTGCAACCAGCAGAGTACCAAGATCAAAGGCCTCAATGATCGAAAGCCATATAGCCGTTACGCACCTCGGTCACTCCAGCTAGCCTATGACGTGCGGGGAAGCTGCAGCTCCACCAAAGCTCCCCCCGAAACGCCGATGGCCGACGCGTCCCTGAGAAAGCCACGTGAAGCTGATCTTCAACACGTCTCGGGTTATTTCCCCAATAGCACACCACTCCCATCCCCACGGCATAAGGAATATGGAGAACGCACAACAAGCGCCAGAGCCTGGCTCGCTGAGCTGGAGACTCAGTAGTCATCCCATCACACTACTTACTTTCCTCTTCTTCCGCATCTGTATGCTTCCCAGTCCATCTATCCAGGCACCACATCCATGAACCTCATTCACGACTAACACACCTGCACAGCCTCCCTACTAGTCTACCTCCTTGGCCTCCGCCTGCTCACCTCCAACTTCGTCCTCATCTTCATCATCACCATCCTCCTTCTCGCAATCGACTTCTACTACCTCAAGAACATTGCGGGCCGCCGCTTGGTCGGACTACGATGGTGGAACGAAGTCGATGCCAACACTGGGGACGGCCGCTGGGTATTTGAGAGTCTAGACCCGGAAACCGGACGCCAGATCAATGCAACGGATAAGAGGTTCTTCTGGTTGGCGCTGTATGCGCAGCCCGTGTTGTGGGTATTGCTTGCGATTGTGGCTTTAGTGAGCTTTGAGTTTATTTGGTTGACGCTTGTCGGTACGTATCGCCCAGGGCAGACAAATGGTTCTTGTGCTAACGCGTTTCATGCAGTCATCGCACTCGTGCTTACCATCACGAATACACTCGCCTTCTCTCGTTGCGATAAGTTCAGCCAAGCGACTGGCTTCGCCTCCAACGCCATGTACGGTTCGGGCCTTGCAAGGAACTTGGCTGGCGGCTTAATGTCAAGCATACTCAGGCGGTGATACATGGACTTTGGACACGTGCGCGGAATCTCTGATTTGTGACAAAAGCAGGATATATTGTGGGATTAGGCATGTGATTTATTACTCGGAGTCTACCAAGGGCGTCCAAGATACCCTATATTCATCTATCGAAATCAGTTGAACGTCTTGCAAAGCTATGGTACCAGATATGTTGCTGACTCAATACCCTCTCTTGCGGTTCACCTCGTTGATCAGCTTGCCGTTGCTTCGATCTTGCTTGATGTTCTCGATAAGCACCTGGAACGCTCTGTCGGCATAAGCGTCTGACGCTCCGCTGCAGTGCGGTGTAATGAGAACATTTGGCGCTTCCCATAGCGGATCATCTTCAGGCAGAGGTTCAGGATCAGTAACATCGAGGGCTGCGCCACTGATGAGTTCCTTCTCCAACGCCGTAACGAGAGCCTTCGAGTCGATGATCGGCCCGCGCGCAATGTTCGCGACGTAGGTGCCCGTTGGGTTGGACTTGTGTAGGAGGTCGAATTCCTCGGTAGAGAGGAGATGGGTTGTGGCTTTCGTCAGCGGCACAGAGACGACCAAAAGGTCAATCTCCTGCTTCAAGAATTCGTGCACGTCTTCTTTACTGGTTCCGCTGTACCATGCGCTGGGAATACTGCCATCAGGGTCGCCAGTACCAGGAACTATATAGCCGTTGTCGTGCTTGGAGTCTGGAGTCGTGCGTGGTGAAGCAGTGTAGGCTATGACGTCCATGCCCATTGCCTTTGCTACATGAGCAACTTGTCGACCAATACTTCCATAACCCAACACACCCACCCTCTTCCCTACCCGGTCACTAACACTCATTCCCACCTTCTGGTCCCAGACCTTCTTCTTCTGGTTATCGTAAAGCTTGGTGTAGCTATGGTTGTGTACTAGATTCATCATGATAACCCATTCGGCAATTTGCGGGCCATGAACACCGTTTGCGGAACATAGCGGAATCTTTGAGTCCGTGTAGATGGGATGATTAGAAACATGGTTGGTGCCTGCGGAAAAGAACTGAATGAGCTTAGTGTTTGGGATAGACGATACTGATTCCGGGAGCCAGGAGAGTGTTGCCACATAAGTTGCGCGCTTGATGAGATCTGTGATGACATTAGCCAAGCCTTACAATAGGTGTTAATTCGGGGAATATTCGATTTGATAAACCACAGACGAATGCGGATGCTGACCGATTGGTAACGCGCGAATCCGCAGCTTCGGGTCCGGCATCATCGCGGATGTAACCACCATTTCGCAGATATACATAGATACCAATATCATGTCGCTTACCTTCAGGTATATCCACCTCCGACTTTCCGCCCTCCCATTTAGCATGAAAGTACTTTACTTCCACGTCGTCGAAGGCCTCCCTCAGCTCTTTCATGCCATGCTCACATATCTCTTGAGGCCACGGCAGCGCGCATAGCACGAGCTTCTTCTCTTTCTCCACATGCCGGGACGGAATATCAGGACCACCTCCCATCGCGACCATGCTAGCTTACAGGACGGATACTTGTTATGGGCTGGGACGAGATCGTAGACCGTCCTGCTAGAGAGAACGGCTGTATAGCAAGACTAGAGCGCGATAGGCGGAGTAATAGCGTACGTGAAGGCGAATATTGAAGGATCGGACAAGAACACTTTGTTATCTACTGAGAACGTTGGAGGTGGAGAAGAAGTTCGTAAGCATCCGCCATAGTGGGGTATAGCGTGCCCTACCATCTGACTTGACCCTCTCAGTCATGACGTTGCTCGGATTTTCAAAGCCCGTTACGTGCGTGCAGATAGTCCAATATGTCGCCATCGAAGACTCGGACGCACCATCTTCATGTCCTCCATCTCAAAGATAATCATTACGGGTAAGAGTTAGAATTGAATGCTCACAAGGTCGGGTCTGGCTATGGAAGTAAACATGGCCGTTGAGAGAATTGGGACTGGAGGGAGAGCATTTTTCAGTTTTATTTTTGTCCTAAACGAGGTTTGTTCTATGCTGATGCGTACAGATTCTTTTGCGATTTGAGGCGCGATGGCCGTGGTCCAGAAATGAAGAATGTCCAGAACGTGTTGTGTCATATCAAAGGCTGGTCGTGAAAGCCGGCGCATCTGCAAGTAGTATTGCCCTAACCAGCATCGCACTATGCTCTTCACGACATACAGACACGTGAGAAATCACTACTACTATTCACAAGGTTGCTACAAGGAGGTTACAACACAGACGTGAGCTTGCAACAGCGGAAACATGGCGATACCGAAAAGGCTTCGGCTCTGTAGTGTAAGCGTCGTACTTTGTGCGTATACTTTTGATCATTATCGTGCGCAGTACGCACGAGGGCGACTGAGAAATTAAAACATTCATACCTCTTTGTTCGACTACCATACCAAGCCGCACAAAGGGAGATGCTGAGTCAACGGGTAATATAGGTGAGAAATGATCCTGCCTTCAGGGAGTCCATTTCTCCTTATCTGGGCGGACGGGGAAACGGGAAATCGTCGCAGAGTCTGTCAGAAGCCCTGCGTGCATCCATAGCATGCAACGTGAAAATGAGTCGTCTTTCGTGCCTCGTGTGGGCCATCATTGTTCAGTTTCGAAGCCACTCCCACATCCCGCGTCGCCTACACTTCTATCGGGCCGTCGATACCCAGTATGTAAGGCTGTAAGTGCCGAAACTATGATGTCTGATAAGCTAATACGTGCCGCAGTAACTACCTTCGACATCGCGTCCAGCTCGCCCATCTCTGCCCCCAGGAACACATCAGCCCCCAATTTCGGTTGCTCTCGCGGCCTGCCTGAGCGGCTGAGCCGAGCCGTTGGATAAATCCTGCTCACGTTGCGCGGGCCACTCACCACCCATGTCGCGTCAGGCTTACCACTTTGCGGCCCAAATACCTGTTCCTGCAGCTCGTGCCGAGCACGGATTCATGCGTACGCCCAAAGAGGCATGTCGCTATACCGTTAAAAACAAGGGGCCGTTGTCAAGATACGTCTGTGTACCCACACGTGGAAGGACGACCTGCTCTTTTAATAAGGTTCCTCCGTCATATCAGTCGCGTGTCTTCCCGGTGAACGATGTTCTGGAAACTGGGGCCATTTGTTGAGGAGGATGTGTTAGGGGAAGGAGTAATGCAGATCTCTCCATGCATGTGATGTATGTGACCTAAGTTCTTGCTCCTGCAGCAGCGGAGGTGGAAACAGAACTTTGGAGGTGAACACCGCATTGCATTGATGAGTTCTGGTCGCGTCGATACTCCTGGGCGGAGAGGCACGGAATGCGGAGGTGTTAGCAAGCCCGCCGAAAATGGTATAGTGGCCCAATGGCAAGGTGAAGAATGGGGCGTCAGCACGGCATAACGTTGATTCGCTGTGCCGTGAAGAAAGTTCGCAGCATCTCGCGTGCGTCTGTCCTCGGATGAGGGAACTAGCCAAATCCGCAATGTCGCTGATGGCCTCAACCCAGGGACCCTAGATCATGCTTTCTACTGCCACGTTTTTTTGGGCTGGTTCTTTTTTGCTCGGCGAAGTCTTCTTGGCCCTGCCAAGATCGACATAATGAACGCTTCGAATTTACCCATATTGCCGGTAGATGCCAGGTCCCAGCCCGTTCAGGAGCGACCACAGAACAGCATCGGACGTTCAGACGATTGATACGGAAGTTGACGGGTGCACGTAAGCGAGTGGGAGTAAGGTTTGATGATACTTGTCAATACTTTCATTTTGTATATTATGCTATAGATCTTCTCTATACTTGCTCCAAATGTGAAGTGTTATAGTGGAGCTACTATCAAGACGACTGGGCCTACAGCTTGCGTGGAAGAGGATTGTGGAAGTTTACGACAGTGTAGCTTGATGCGATGCCGACCCCAGTATGTGCGGAGGGTCGACTCCGTACGAAGGCGAGTGTCAATCGCCTGCGGTGATAATACAGGGAATGGTCAATTGGACCGATTCCGATCCCACGGAGTGGTGTGTGAAGAGTAAGAAAGGAACTAGAGAAAGGGGCTACAACGTTTGACCCGAATGATGAAACCCTTGCTGTCCAGTTTACAGATCATCTTCTGTGCATGCACGTACATGGTCTTTGGTGGATGATAGTAAGTGAGAGGGAGGAAAGCAAGAAGATCTGAACCCTCAATCGATTCCAATGATGGATTGGCGACAAAGACTACGAGAAGACCTTGAAACTCCGGATGCGTGGTATGCCCAGTCGACGTGCCCAAGCTTGTCTTCTGATATCGAAGTCGATTGCGCAGACTAAGATCTGGCATCGCTCGAAATGATGCAGATCGCTGAGTCAGAGCTGATTTGTATCGTCGATGCACGAAACGGTCGCAGGTCCTCTGTCGTGGCCCATAGCTTCATGCTGATGCATGGCCAAGTGTGCTAGCTCCGCGAACGTAATCCGTAGAATTTGGAAACTCTATTTGGCTCGCGTGAACCGGCGGATAAATCAGACGGTTGAAACCATGCCTGCAGCATGGTGATCCTAGGGTCAACACTGGCATGGACGTGATAAAGTGTAGCGAAGAAAATATCTTGTATTCAAGCTCAGATTTTGGAGTCGTAGTCTGGAGGGTGCAGCCCAAGTCCTCCTCTTGCCATTGATGACCTAGGGTCCCAGTCGACATGGGTAGCCGCCCGAGATTGGGGTCGAGGAGTCGAAAAGCTCAGCGTCGGACTCTTGTAGTCGCGCTGAAATTCCTTATGGAAATGCTCGGGAGTGTCGGATCGAGCATTGCCCATGGCGTAGCTGGCAAGTCCCGGAGTGTTGTATGTATTTGGGGGTGATTGCGGCTCGTCAAAGTTCTTGAGCTCAAATTGACGTATGTCCTCCGTAGGATGTCTGGCGTCCAAGGATACGAATTCGCGGTTCTTACTGAACTTGCTTCTGATCAAGTCCCGCCATCCCACTACCATACTCCAGCGACCAAGCAAGAAGAAAACTTGAAGACCAGCGATGGAGAGCATCATTAAGATTGCTGTAACTGTAGATTGGTCGACGGCCATATCCTGGCCGAGGGGGAAACACGGCTTTGGATTGGTAGGGTTCTCCATCAAGCAAATGATGTACGGATAGAGCTCCTCAACATTATCGGTAGCGTGCGATGTCACCGAATTCAGCCAGATAAATACGATGGAGAAGAAGATGACGTCCACAAGAATGAAGACCACAATCGTTATACCACGCCATTGAAGGTATAGGACTTTGCGAACACGTCGGTAAACAGCTCGTGCTGAACGGTTTCGTAAGCTAGTCGTGTAAGAGGGAAGGCCAGCACTGCTTTGGGTTTCGGTTTTGTCATCGCTGAACATGTTCTGGAGATACACCTTGATGCAGTATACGAAGCTAGAGTGGGTATCAGTAACGTCACTTCCCACAGCCTGCTGAGTAACTTACGTAGCGACCTGGATGACCATGGCTGCGCCTGAAATGGCCAGTAAAGGACCCCAGAAGTCTTTCATCGAATGCTCGGCATTCACGTGGCAGACATCACCGAATCTGAAAGAGACTCCGGTGATTGTGATCGTGATGGTGAAGAAAGTTGCGGCAACAGACCAGCCTAGGCCTTGTGCCCAGTAAAAGAACTTCTTTCCTGGCGTGACATCCCAGCAGATCTGGAGATGCATGGAAAGCGCGCGTATGAAGATCCAAACTGCCATCGACATGCCTCCAGAGATGAGGAATGCACCAGAGAAAGCGCATGTTAGACTTGAGTACATGTCGTTGGGGGTAATCTCATCGTAGCACTGCTCCGGCTGAGCACCGAAGGGTATCACAAAACCAAGCTAGAACCGATCAGCAGGACGAAAGCGAAGTAGACAGAAGTTGGACTTACTGCCATGAGAATCGCAGCAATAATGAGACAGTAGCTGAGGTAGTGTCGACGAGTCTTGTCAGCTGGTAATACCAGGTATGTGATCAGCAGGATGACCAGGCAGATAAGTCCAGCTACATTGAGCGCTTCAGCTACGCGATATGCTGTGTTGAAGCCTGAGCACGATCAGCGAAGTGATTGTCGAAGTACGATCTATGGAACATACTCTCTGGGTAAAGGAAGTCTGTGAGAGGACATGGCAAGCAGCAAACAAGTTGCCCGTATGGTGAACAAAATCTTCCATCAATAACTGCGAGTGTCAGCAACTATACGAAGAACAAGACCAGAGCACCTACACCCATCATATCCAAACTGCTGAGCATCATAGAAAGGCGCCGGACAATCCCCTCGAAGAAGAGCGGTTCTTGTAGCATTGTTGGCCATTTTGAGACTTCCCACTCTTCTCACAAGACGAACCAAAGCGTCTTGAAAGTATGCAGCATGAGAGTCCTTCCAGCGGTGATCCCTACTGTAGCTGGAGGTGCGATCCGACGAGGTTATAGACGGTACGTGGGTTCAATCGGCGTGACTGGCGCTGCAATTCAGCTCAGTGTCGACGTGTGATGCTATAGGTTATGTTCTTGTAAGGCAATGCCGCGTAGATGAAACCGCTGACAGCAATGGCAGTGTTAGACGGAACGATTGTCGCGGATGCGAAAACGAAACGATGTGGAGAGAAGTGATTGCCGTTGGTTCGAATGCAGAGAGTCTAAAGAGTGAATAAGGTTCTATGGTTGGATTAGAGGCGCATAAGGCCAAAGCAAATGCAAAACGAACGACGGGACGTTATGGTAGAAGTAAGAAAAGCCGCCACGGCATGAGAGCGAAGCCGCAGTGATGCAGGAAGACGGCCTGGTCTTGAGTGTGGCTCCTGGTTGGGCGGCCTGGGGGGTAAGTCCAGTGGGTGCGGCGATCCATGAGCGAACAGACCACCATTACCCCTGCAGGTACACTTCTTCCCTAGTTTAGCGCGGCCTCACCCCCATAAGCTTAGTGGCCAAGGCATGCAAAGACGGCTAGGATTCGCAACACAGGCGGGTCTGCAGACAGGGATACCGGTTGGGTCCAGGAACAGGGCTCGCATGCGAAAGGGCACTGGCTCGAAGGAGCCGAAGGCAGCACGGTCAGCTATCACCTCTTTTGCAGCTCGTGCACCGTGATTCGCGACAATACGAGAAGGGCTTCCCACACTGAAGCGCGACGGCACCCAGAACGCAATACGCAGGCGTCTAGCAGAGATCAATACGGCGTAGTCGCTAGCGGAAGTTGAAATCATAGGTCCGCCCTTCCAACATGATCCTTTCGTGGAGGATTCTAGTTCATCGGTTCTCGATGATGTTGCGATGGAGTCGAGACTCGACAGGCCGCCTACTGGATTGGCAGTTCAGCCACCATGGATCTGCGAAATTGCTGCTGACTGGATGTGCAATATCAGGCAAGTGTCCAGACAACATATGTCTTTGCCAATTTTGCCATCTCGTACAGAGTTGCCTGGCACTTTGAACTGGAGCCATCGGCAACGTCCGAGAACCGTTGGGGCTGATCAATAGATCGTCGCAACTGGTTGCGGGTCATCGTTCGCTCCTACGTCGCTCATCGTTGCCTTCCAACGACAAAGCTCGACTGGCTCTTGAGCCACGCGCAACCATGCTTGTGAAATCTTGGGAACAGTCATCAGTTGGCGTTCTGGGACTGTGAATTTCAGCTTGCTCGACTATAGCTGTGCCTATAGAGAAAAGTAAGCAGGTCGCGGGAAGTACGAACTGTCCCATAATTCTCCGGTCTGACTGAGCCTTGAGAGCCTCGATCGAGAGCTGATCCTATCACGCTCCGGTGTGCCCTGGGTGGCGTAGTCAGCGCTGCAACATCCGGCGTTTTCGAGCTCTCTTTGCCGCGTTAGCGCCGCTTGGTGGAGTTCCCCAACAAACGCGTGCCGACGCGTAAAACTCCTCATTGTTTTGATCTCATTAGTACGTCGTCTCCACTCGTAGAGCTTGTCATCGTCGTGGGTCCTTCTCGCGAACCCGAGGGTTGTAAGGTCGTGCTGCCTAATGACGAGAGGATCTAGGCCAGGCACGTGTCGTACCCCGCTGTCTGTTATCAACACAATGGCACGCGAGCTGGTCCACCTAACTTCTCCTCAACTTTCTATCTCAAAAGTATGCGTTTTTACGTAGTGACAACCGCCATGCCCCGCCTCCGTTGGTGATGACTTTGAATTTTTCTTACTGGCCCGTGGACATGCGCTACGCCTCAGAGGTCGTGTGGTCCGTCTGAGGTAGCGAGCGGAGAACATGCATTAGTCCTGCACTGTGCCTGCAGAAGCCTCCTCGCTTTCTTAGCAATCTATTGGGCTGTGGACGCACACAGCCATGATTGGTGGACGATTCGACAGACCCGCTTCCTAGATGACGTTGGCATATGCTATGAGGGAATGGTTAATGGCAAGAGGAACCCGGAGTCGCTCGCGTATGACGGCTAGTTCGCGGGGGCATGGAGAGCGTTGAAACCGTTCGGTAGTGTTCCAGGGTAGGATTCTCTCCATATGAGCCCAATTTTACCAACCCGCGTACGTATGCCGCAATACTAAACGTTAGCCTCATGCCTTACAAGGAGACCGTCGTCGACCGATGTCACCAACTGCTCGGTACAGTCCAGACTGCTCTCTCTGGTCTAACCCAGGTACCTGGCTTTCCGTGTCTGATCTACCATAAGCGTTCGTCCCATGGTACTGCAGTTACGCTAAGAGACACTACGAGCACTTCACGACCTCAATGACCCACACGAGTAGGTGCTGTCTACCCAAATAGAACACGGAGGAGGCCTCTCTGGCTGCTCGGTACACAGGAAGAGCGCACGCCATTGCAACTAGGAGGATGCCCCGGATTACACTATGAACGTCACTAAATCCTTCGAAATGTTTGACAGCAGTCGGCCCGCAAAGGATTCTGCTCGTGTCTAGACACCATACGCCACCTCCACTAGACGACAAAAAATGTTGGTACGTGAACGGTGTGTTAGCACGCTCCGCCCTTTCAAGCTCATCAAAGTCTTCGTGAGCAAGATACGGGGTTCGCATCTCCCGGGACCTTTTGCCACCCTGCTCTGGTATTACTGCCTGCTCAGTTCATGGTCGACTGTCTCAGATCTGCTCGGGGCACGGAGCATTCGTTCTCCGCATGAACCAAGAGACAATTGTCAAGAGCGGCAGACAATCTAAGTTCCAGCGCCACCGTCTATCCATTCAAACTTACCATCAACTTCAAAATGCAGAGACCGGCTTCGGCATGTACATGTAGACTTCAATACGTGGCGTCAATTGAGCATATTTCCTATCTCCCAAAAGTCATGCCGATTTTTCCGTGCAGAAAATTCGACAGGCAGTTATTGTAGATCAGGAGACATTTTCCCGTTTACCGTCATCCCAACAACATGGTCAGCTCGCCATCTGAACGCCATACTGCGAAGCGATGTACAAACCCATGTTTGCCATCCTTCGTACCTAGCCCTACGAGCAGGGCCTCCATTGTACGCAATCATCTATAAGAAGCGTCATATTGGCATACTAGCTACATTCACACAAGTAGCATATACTTCATCCCGTCACCCCCCACATCACGTCCCGTCCCAAGAGTCTCGAATTTGGACCCAAGAAGCGACTTTCAATGCAACGTTCCCATCACATGACGGGAATGGCGTTCGTCAACGGCCGCAGCTGTCGTTTCAGGATCGATGTCCGAACGGGGATGTTGGAACTTCTAGCCACGAGCCGCATTGCGTTCGCTTATGCCTACAATATGATTCTATAGCACAACTAGATGGCTCTGCGATGATGTTACGGATATAGCGATCGAAGATCTAGCTACTGCTGATGAGGTTAGTTCTAGCAGCACCGAGAAGGTTTACCCGACTGCATCGTACGTGGAGTATCGAGGCGTCAGATCGCTCGTACCACTCAGGTACGCTACCGAGGGCTTGGGGAAGCGCATGTACGGGACGTTCACTAGGATTCATGCTAATCACCGTACACGCAATGCTATCTGGAAAGGTCGGTGAGGGATTTCGGCCTCCCGTGTTGCCGAAAAAGCAACTCTCTTAACTCGCTGGAACGGTCTCGGCGCGTCAGAACGGCACGCCTCGTTGACATACGGCATAAATGCCGACACTGGGAAATGCTATTGGTTAATTGGGTATCATTGAGAGGGGGAAAAACAAATGCCACTGGGGTGTGACTTGAGTGTCATCGTGCGCTTCGTTTTTAGGAGTAGCAGCGAGTGGTGTTTTTGAGTATTTCGGTCGCAGCTATACCAGCCATTTAGACTGTGTCACTATCACAGGCACTTAAATCAGTAAACTGCCTTCAAAATTTATTTGGAGCAGCATACATCATTATTCATACATATTATCGTTTGGGAAAGACAAGTTACGAATGCTTCCAACCTGACTGTTCCCAGACCATAAATGCGAACAGACTGACGGCACCAATAAGGTTTGTTAAGCTGCTTCAGATTTAGTCGGATCGCCATGTTCGTCGATTTGATGTATACTTACGTACGGCTTCAAAGGAAGATCAGTTTCCGATCCTATATGCAATCCAACATGTCTTGGTACAGTAGTTCAGAACATATTGTGAGAACTGCTCTGTGTAAGAAGAGATGAAACCAAGCCGTTTTGAGGAGGCACTGAGCATACCAAATCGTTGGTGGTAAGGTTCAGTTGTGGGCATCTGCCAACAACGCCGAAGAAGTTCCCAAACCCGTGGTGATACAAAACCAAAACATTCGTTCGTTACGGACAGAGAGCTTTTGAGCATCGCTTGATCAAATCAGAACGTCGAGCGAAGTATCAACTCGAGAACGGAGCGACGACCAAAGGGCAAGAGAGATTGTTGACAACCTAATGGCTTCCAAAGGTCTACTCAGCGGCCCTGGCCAGTTCCACCCATAATGCGGTCCTTTGTAGACTTCTGTCTAGACTCTTTAGACTTTCCGTCAGCAGCGGTTTGGTTTGCGGCCACCTCAGATTCGAGCTTCTGTTGAGCCTCGTGGAGTCTGCGTTGTCGACCAGCTTCCCACTGCTCGATGTCGGCCTGAGTCAGAGTAATCGTGGTTGGGGCGCGTCGGAGCATCTCGATGACGTTTGATCAACTTGTGGAAAAAAATGTAAGTAAAAGATTCGACTGCGATGAAAATGTTCCAGAATATGTCAGAGTCCAGACGTTCGGGTTTGATGGTAGGTCTGGCTGAAGTGGCTGGACGCGCCTGTTATTGTGTCGTGTGATGCAGCGTCCGATGAGAATGCGGTTGATACGAAAGGTAAACTCTTAGTATGTCGTGGAGACGCAGCTTTACTGGAGAGACGAAACGAGTGTCGACGGATGAGGCGGTTTGCAGACACTGTAGATGATTCAGGATGGATAAGTTGAGGGTGTCGCTAGACGCGAGTAACAGATGCGCGCTCGCGACCAAAACACTGATTTTCAAAACAACCACCAGCTTGTCAAAGATGAGATGAGTGAAGTTCGACAAAGAGACTGATATGGTCAAGGCCCAAAGAGAATGCCGTGCGGGAAGCGGAGCACGTGGTGCGGAGGACCACACTGCAAGATCCCTGTCTGCCAAGACTTCGATCACGAAACTTTGGAGTTTAGAGTGACAGTATCAGCGACGGCCATCCACACAGCATGGCTCAGCGACACATGTGCCCTTCAATGGGTGCCTTGAGGCGCTCACTAATAGGAGATGTAGCAGCCCTGCCCAAATGCTCAACGAGGGCACTCCACAGCACAGCCAAGAGACTGGAAGAGCAACCCAGCGATGCATCTCCAGCCCACCGTACGCCTTCAAAACGCTCAATGGTTGTACCAAATCAATGCTGATCAAGATTCAGCGCCAAACACACGCAAAGCCCGGCAGGCGACTGCTCTCAAGCAGATCACCTCGCTTCAGAACCGCCGCATCCGGCCCGGCGCACTCGCTCGAGGCTCTTTTCCAAGCGGTCAGATGGCACGACGAACCCCCCGCTCGCCCTCCACTCCACTCACCAAGGATGGCTTCATCCCCGAAGACGACGCCCCAGCCGATGCGCAGCCAGACGCAAACCCCCGCTTCGCCCGCAACACAGCACGTCCAACGACGACCCGCGGCTCGACCCCTCCCCAGGGCCAGATGGTCCGCGCCCCCTCCACACTGCGTGTAACCCGCCAAACAGTCGACGGCCCTGCTCGTGGCCCCGTTCGTGGACCCAACGTGCGTGGCCCCAATCTGCGCGGTCGAGAAGGTGGACGACCAGGACCAGGTGGAAAGCGCGCTGGTGGCGCGCGAGGCAACAACCGTAGTGACGGAGGACCTCAGAAGCGGAAGAAGGGCGCTGGTGGCCAAGAATCGATGCCCACTTCCCTTGCCGACGTCAAGATTGAGGAAACCGTCTCAACGAGCATGCAGCAACAGCTCCTGCGTCTGCAAAGGAAGGAGTGGGACCGCGTCCCTTACGAGCCCAAGTACGCCAAGGGCAGTTTTGCCGCCAATGAGTTGATACATGCTGGACGGGAGCTGTTCAAGGGCGAGGCCCCACCAGTCAAGTTCTGGGGACCTCTTGAGCACAGAATCGGTGTTGTGGGCATGTTTGGAGCGGAGGCGACTTTGAAAGTTCGCAGGGTGCCCGATGGCGATACAGAGCCATTTGGACAGGAGGTACTCGAGCAGGAAGGGCCAGTCGAGGCCAAAGGGGCAGAGAAGAAGCAGGCTGTAGCACAATAGAGTGCCATGTGGACCATGTATATTGGAACTGTACATCTACGGATATTAAAGACTCATGATTGTTCGGGATGTGGTTGTTAATTTCTAGCTTGAGGCGTCTATGTACGTGACAAACGCCGTAGCGATATCTCCATGTCTGGCGCGACACGCATCGCAGATCGTTCCTCTAGAGTTTCCATCAATGAAGTGGCTCAACAGGGCCACAAAGCATCACGACTTATTTGGAAGCCCATACGACCTTGTACTTGAACTGTGTGGGGAAGCTCCTATCCGTGATGAGCAGCTCTTCACCCTCTTCAACCAAGTCGATCATCTTCTTCTCTAGATTAGGACGTGTTTGCTCTTCGAGGCCTGCGAGCTGCATGTAGAGCGACTTCTCACCCGTACGGATAGAGGGCTTCTTGAGTTGCCTGTGACGGTCAATATACAAACGATTGCGCGAGTAAAAGACATGGATTGGGTAATACATACGCTTCAGGCCGCTCCGCCAACCCCTCGATAAACTCCTGCAGCGTGATGCCAGGAAGAATCTGGAGAGGACGAGCAACATTGCCGGCACCACAGACGGGACAGTCGTCCTTCTTTTGGTGCTCAAAGGTATATGTGTATACGGAGTCGTCGCCAGTGTACATCATGTAGTTGTCTGTGCCCGGGAAACCCATGAACGGGGCAGTGTTCGTTGCCACCTTGAATGCTTCATTGCAGCAACTCGCCGCCACGATGGCATTCGTACTCGCAATAGCCGGAATGATGTTTTTAACGACACCTTGTGTCATGCTATAGGTAACTCCTTCAATGTTGAACTCTTTAGCTCGGGCGGATGCCTTGTTGAACAACCAGGTAATGTGCTCTGGGTCGTCGGTATCGAGAGTAATGTCTTTACGCTCTTCTTCCCAGGCGATGATGTGCGCCCATTCGATACAATGTTGTGGTTGACGTGGGATAGTAGCTAGTGTGCACAAGGGCACTGCAGCGCGAGGAGCATGCATGTCGAGCTGGCACTCGATACAGGAAGTCATGGTTGGGAAGATGACACGGGCTTGGCCTTTGAAGCCTTCCGTTCCGCCGTCGATCAACGGCTTCATTGAGTCCGGATCATTCTCATCCACCATACCAACAAGTGTTGCATTGATCCATCGCCTTGCCTCGATGGAATCTAGACCACATACTATGAGTCCGAATTGCATGTAGTAGCTCTCGTCCTTGTCCTGGATTTTGCCACAGTAAGGAGTGATCTTAACGCCCTTTACACGCTTTTCGACGAAAGCAGCAGCAGTCTCAGCCTTGTACTTCCCCACGTCTGAGGCGCGGAAGAGAAATTGTCGATTCAAGTTGCTGACGTCAATGGTATCCATATCGATAACGTGTATGTCTTTGAATCCTGATAGGGCAAGATTCTTGAGAATCTCACAACCCAGACCACCGGCTCCGCTGGATTTCAGTGAGTAAAGATATCAGAGAAAGGTTTGCTATCTCTCATGATCGAGCGTTGACAAGAACATACATGACACTGCATGTTGTTAGCTGTAGTGCCTTGTACCTCAGAGGGAGTAAGTTTCGTACAGAACTTTAAGATTACTTAGGTACTCGATGACCTGTTCGCCAGCCATGAAGGCTTCCTCGTCTGTGAATGGTCCTTTGCGAGTCAGGAAGTTGTCCAGGTACTTCCTATCGCATGATATCAGTCAAGAGCTCCGACATTTTCCATGCTTTCGGCTTACCATCGTGCCCGCGGACTGCTTGTTGTGGCGGCGCTCATGTTATCGACGCTGACAGCCATCCTGTGGAAATGCGTTGAAGATGAGTGTTGGGAGAGTCAAATGGAACAAACCGTGGTTGTAGGCATCAGAGTGTAGATGGCCTGCCAAGCCGCTAGGCTGCGGGCCTGCGCATGGGAAAGGAAACACCGATTGGGTAAGGTTCACCAAGCGTCTACCTCTCGCATTGTTCACGAATACAGCAAAACACAACGTTCTGCACGATTGAGTCAATCCGATCAGGGTGTATGTGTCAGGCGGTCATATTTAAGCGTCATGACCGAATTCTTGACAGCCGTATCCACCAAGAAGGTCAAGAGTCCCGAACCTCTCATCCAGGAAGTAAGGAGTCTGGACATACAAGAAGATGCACTTTTTGTCAATTCCACAGAATCGGCCCTCGGAGCACTAAAGAACCAACCTAATCGCAAGACAGTCAACAAAGTCCTGAGCTACCTCACCACAGAAGGATTTAGCCTTCTACTACCGGAACCATTGAATGCAAGCATCGCACATCAACTCATCAACGATACCATCCCAAATTACTGGAGGACAATCAAAGGTTCGATTGAAGTTTCGAAGCTAGAAGACATCCTCCGAAATCCAACAGGACTTGGGCATCTCAATACAAGGCTTCGTTCGCTTATTGCAGACAGTCGCCAAAAGAAGGCACCCGGTGACGCGCGGAATACAGCTGAGCACATCGCGGATACCCTCGAGATATTGAGTTCAGTACTGAGCGGGGATGAAACATCTCATCGCGTGTTGCAAGATGTCTTAGCATATGGTAAGAACTCAACGCAAAGAAAACTCATCTGGAAGGAGTACCTCGCACAAGTCGCGTCCGGCCGTCTACTATCGATCGCAGCGGAGGCTGAAGACATACTCAAAAAGAGTGATGAATTTTATCAAGACGCTGTCTGGGTCGCAGACGGTAAAGAGTACGCGGCATGGTTAGGGCGCAACGTCGCCACTTTACTCGAGCGCAGCTCAAGTAGCGAGGAGGGTCTCACTGCAGTTATAGAGCTTTGCTCAAAAGCACTGAGTTTGGGTTACACTGGTATGTCAGTGCATCAAGTTCCTTTAGTTCATGCTAACAGCTCAGATCGGACCGTAAGCTCCCTCTTTCGAGCATTGATTGTTAGTAGCTCGCTTGAGCGCCTCCCGAATCTTCTGTCTCGGATGAAAACTTTTGAGCAGCGGAAATATCTCAACGCAATAGTCGTGTTGGTGACCAAAGAACACTTCTCTGTAGAGAACGTTCGTAGAGATGACGCCTCTATTGCAATGTCTTCCACCGTTTCCTCTGCTGCTGCTCTATTCTATACACTCATCAAGGACAATGACGTTCTAAAAGAGAATCTCGTTTCGTTGCTTTCGCGATCAACAACACCTGCGCTCGACGAGTCACTCTTGTCCCGACGGAGTGCATTGGCAGCTCTTGCAAAGGATGACGGTCAGTATAGAGTGTGCACTCATTGGTACTTGCGACTAACAGCCCATAGAGAAGTTACATACTCTTCTCGAGAATCTCATTAAAACCTTTGGCGATTCTGTATACATAAGGCACACGCCTGTACTGCAGCAAGAAGGTACGTGATATTTGTACACCACATGATTATCTTCTTGCGATAGCCCCACTCAAATACTGGGTTGATCAGACCTTCTGGTCCGCGTTGCACTTCAGGAACATAGCCAGCTGACAAATCTCAGCTCTTGCTCAGACCTTGGCACTATGCAGTGGCTACGTGAAGCGTTCGCAGCCTATGTTTCTCATGATGATGGCAAAATCAACATATCATGTCAACGGCATGTCAAACCGCATAGGAGCAGCATCTACGCGAGCTCGCTTCTTGGGTATTGCAGTTGGTGTTGCCATTTCCAAAATGGTTGACAAGCCGGAACTTCAACTCAAGTTCGAATTAGAGGGTGCCGAAGCAGAAGAAGCGAGTTGGTATCAACGCCTTACCGAGGTCGACGATAGAGTTGGAGATATTACGGATTTTAAGACAAAACGCCATGACATTGCACCAGCAAAGACAGTCCAGCCAAAGCCCAATTCAACCCCTAGAGTTCCCAAAGCTCCCGCAATCACCGAGATGCAAGGCCCACGGGTCGTTGAAGTCATGTCAGACTCTGAAGATGAAGATGCAGATCTGATGGTGTACGAGAAGCCAGACTCTGATCCAGAAGACGACACAGACGACCCAACGGCTATCAACCGCAACAAACCCACCGCGCCCGTCTATATCAGGGATCTGATTGCGGGGCTGCGAGACCAGGAGAACTACGATCGCCATGAACTTGCTTTAGCCACCGCAGCATCTCTGATTCGCCGTAAGGCGAACTTCGGAACTGAAGTAACGGATCACCTTGAAGAATTAGCCACTTTGCTTACGGGGTTGCAAGACAATTCGGAGCTAGAAGGCTTCGCACAGCAACGGCAGCAGGCACTGATCGCTGTGCTACTTGCGAAGCCAGCACAAATGGCGCAGTGGTTCACTCGGTCTTTCTTCTCGGGTGATTACAGTCTACAGCAACGAACCGCTATGCTTACAACTCTGGGTCTCGGGGCGCGTGAGCTAGCAGGTATAAAGGACGCCTCGACCAACGATCTGGTACCAGCAAAGCCAGACTTCCCCAGCAAACAACTTCCGCCGCACCTCCACAAGATTTACGCTGAGGACAACAACGCACCTACAGTAGCGAAGATCTCAAGCAGCATGGCGCGTGAGATGCTGTCACCCATCGCTAGCCAGGCAGCCGACCAGCTCAGCGGCCCTAACATTCTGAAAGTCCGGACCTTCTCTTCGCGCATGGAGGTCGAGAAGAAGCGACACAAGCCCATACCGAACGCACTTGCGCAGATCGTCGCAGACAACTTCTTCTTCCCGCTCAGTGGCCGTTGGTGGCTCCAAATCCGCGCGAATAACGACTCGATATATGCGTCCACTCATCTCCTCCCTCCTTTCTTACAGACCTTGTCATTGCTGTTGAACGCATCTGGCCCGAACACGCTCGCTTTACCGCAGATGACGCGCGAATACTGGGACCTGCTACTGTCGGTGCGCGGACTCGCGAGCAAGGATAAGAACATCCTGCACGCGGTCTTGTTCGGCTTCTTGATATTGCTTGAGACGAACGAGAACAAGGAGCGGGTGGCTACGGAGCAAGGTAAAGAACTTGTGGAGACACAGGCTTGGGTGAGGTCGGTATTCGAAGATTTAGGTACGGGAAGCGAGGAGGACGAGAGGGTACGCGTGTTGGCTGCTGGCGTGGTGGTCCGGTGTCAGGAGGTGATTGAGAAGTACCAGAGGAGGATGGCAGGAGCGCTGATGGACTATTAGCATGGGTGTAGAGTATATTCGCGCAAGCTTGCGGGAGTCAGATGTTGGGTTCAACCAGCTGGCAGAAAGAGCGGCAATATTGTTGCCTAGGCTCCTGCGCTCAGCAGTAGAAGAATCGATCCACCCAGATGAATATTGCTTGCGGTAACGACAGTAATGACTCGTTATCGCGATGCCAAAGGCCAGGAAAAAGCGAAGACGACATCTTGCGATCGATTTGCCGTAACCTAGTAACCTCAAAAAGTTCGTGTACCAAGCGAGTAGCTATCTAGGCACTCGTACAACAGCGAAGGCGATAGGATCGTTGCGACGCGTAACTCTCCACCGCGTGCGCGAACAGCAAGTTCCTCAATCACCCAGCGCAAGTCTTCTTCCTCAAGACACCACGTAAAGCAGTGTCATCAATGAAAAAGCAACACAGATGTGTGACCAGCAAAAATTGCCCCGCCGAGATTCCCGAAGGAAGCTCGTGAGAATCCAGTACCGCGCTGTGCAATGCAGACCAGACGCTCAGATTAACCTAATCTTTGAGCTAGGTAATCGCAAGAAGGTAAGTATACAGATTTACTTTCGAGCGAAGGGCGGTATTTAAACGCAGAGATACTTGGCACGCTAAAAGACACGTGAGGAGGAGCTAGGCACACCAAGGGACACGTGAGGAAGAGTGTGGCACGCTAAAGCACACTTGAAGAGGAGCTAGGCAGTGAGGGTGGCTGGGCGAACTGTGCGCTGGTGGGCTTTGAGGTGGTTGGGGAGGTTGGTGCGGGCCCACTTGAAACTATGATTCGTGTGACGAAAAGACATTCACCCAGTTCTGCGTCGGGCTGATAAGGTGGATGACAATGTACTCTTTTACTGTGTTTACTGTTGTCCAAACTGACTCCAATAGGTGCTTAGCATCTGGTGAGCCTCCCTTCATTCTACTGCTAGATTGCACGACCAGTCCAGCATGAGTTGGGGCTGCAAACGATTTCATAAATGCTACCACCAATCACACAGTAAAGCCTAGCTTCAGGACTGTCATTCTCGTCCAGCCAGCCCAGTTTCTTGGTTTTAGTAGTATATTCGGATCTTGATTTGGCGTTAGAGATCTGAACGACTACTATCATCGATAACGGAGAAGCCAATTTCCCCAAGTTGCACCTAGCGCTTGAAGCGTATCCTAACGGTATACACTCGCAACGTTCTGCGAGTGATATGATAGAAAGACAAGCGAATACCCCTAGGATGCGCTTCAAGTATCAGGCATACTCTAGGGAAAGACGAATAACGAATACCTTCGTACAGATCCAATGCTTACCTGGTCTCGGCCGTCATCGACCCAGGATATAGACGCAAGCGGCGAGCCCCTCTTTGCCGGAATGAGTAGATCAATGTCGAGGCTTACCTACCCTTCATCGCCAAATATGCTGGCCTTCAATGTCCTGGACTCCAAGTAAAAGACGTGTATATGTCCTGGATTCCCTGTTCGGCTTGCGGCGATGCTAGAGATCTTGAATGAGCGGAAAACCGCAGAGCTTTCGTTTCCAAATGACCTACTTTGCACCATCTCCCTCTTCTTGAGCACCAGCACCATCAGAAGTTCCTTTGAGCTGTTGACGTCCTTCCCGATTGGTAGCCGCCATCCAGGCACGTGCGCACACGTTTTGATCATACCTACCTAGGTACACTCAAGCTCTGCAAATCGATGCCAAACCTAATTTTTCCAACCCCATCGAGATGATGTGCTTATACGTCGAAACAAAATCCGAGAGGCGCCTATGTCAGTTCATGCAATTTGGGTTTGCAGGTCCAATGGCGATGCGCCGGGCAGAGCCGCGCGGGTTCTTCCCTGCCGGAGCTGCGAAGCGCCACGACGGATATAGCTCGCAATCCAGATCGCATCCATCAGGGCGCGTACAAATGGATATCCGTGACAATGTTGTCGGCTCTAGACCTATGTAAAGTGCAGTGCGTCTTATACCTGGATGCTCCGGACGAAGACCACCTGCACACATCATCCCAACGAACTCTTCACAACATCCTTCAGTATGCTTTGCGACGTATGTATTGGCATGCTTACCCGACGGACGGGACAGTTCTTCGATGGCACCCTAGATGTTACGTTTGAGCATCACAAATCCATAAAGACTCTTCGACAATCGCTCAGCATACATTGTCCAATTTGCACACGCCTTGCTCGAATACTCAGTCAGGACACTGATCTTTCGAGAGATCAACCAGTAGCCATTAAGGCTTGTCTCAGAAAAGTCAGTCAAAGAATCCATGGTCCCAAAGGATATGACTTCACATTGGATTTTGAGCTGAGAAAGGCTCGCTCAAGTCGTTTCTTTCTGGCTAAGATCGGTATTGCCGCTCTTCTTTTCGATTGATGTTCGACTGACTTATGTAGACCCCAGAGTCCAGGCGATTCCTCGACAACAGACGTCGAACAATATCTTAGAAACGGCACGAATGTGGATGAAGAGGTGCAAATGCGCAAGATCCTGGGAAATCCCTGGTGAGCGATGGTATCCTCGTCGTCTACTAGATCTGCGGGAGCTGCGCGCCAACCTCAAGGATCCAAGGAACTCCAGAATTCGCCTGGTAGAGTCATCAGAATGCCCGGGTCTGCAAACAAAGAACAATGGAACCCATCGTATTAGGTCAGGGCACCAAGACGACCGCTATGTCACGTTGAGCCACTGTTGGGGCAAGCCGATAGATGGTGTGATTCCACTAAAGCTGACGACCGAAACCGAGAGGCGCTTTAAGACAGAGGGTATTAGACTCCAGGAGCTGCCTAGAACTTTCCGAGACGCAGTTGTATTCGCTTCATACCTGGACAAAGTTGGGTTCATATGGATTGATTCACTTTGTATTCGACAACCACTCTCGAAAGCACAAGAGCAGCAACAAGATTGGCTCGAGCAAAGCCGATACATGGGAACAGTGTACCAAAAAGGTTTCCTGAACATCTCCGCAACTGCATCGTCTGATGGCAATGGAGGTCTGTTCTTCGATGAGCGTCCCGACCACCTTTGGGAGAACAACGTCAACGTGTATTATCCAGACCCCAATCCTTCCGAACCAAAGAGAGATAACTTCAGCGAACTCGATGCTTACACGAGATGCACGCTTATTGGAACTGCCGCTTGGGAGGATCTAGTGGAGCTAGCCCCCGTCAACCGACGAGCCTGGGTGTTCCAGGAGCGCCTGCTGGCACCACGAGTTCTGCACTTTGGCTGCAACCAGCTTGCATGGGAGTGCTGTGAGTTTCAAAGTAGCGAGGAGCATTCCGACGAGCAGCTGGACATCGCCCAGAAAAGGCATCTAAAGCATTTGACACCCGCCGTTGGGCGAACGTTGCGGGAGATGCGATTAAAGGGCGCACCGGACCCAGATCTGCACTTACGAGACTTGTATACCTACGAATTATGGAAAATGGTTGTCGAGACGTACTCCCGGATGCAGCTTACAAAGTTCGAAGACAAACTCATTGCTCTAGCTGGTGTCGCAAGGCTTTTCCAGGAGTCCTTATTCAAACTGAATCCCAGACCACAATACTTCGCAGGATTATGGGGCATTTGTCTCGAAAGCCAGTTACTCTGGAGTGTAAAAGAAGTGTATGAAGACAATGGAATATACGACAACCCTGCCCGACGTCACCGTGAAGGTGGTCCCTCGTTCTCATGGGCGTCAATAGACAGCCCGTACGGTATTACCTACAGCGATGTCACAGATTACAAATCATCATCAGACACTACTGGAGAGCTGCTCTTCAAAGCAGTAGATCACAACATCAGCCTAGCCGACCCAAAGAACCCCTTTGGGATGGTCACCGGAGGCCAACTACTCCTCGCACCCCGTCATCTCCGCCGCATTGAACTGTACAAATCGCCGGTGTCGATTCCGTTACCATTTGCCATTCGACTAAAGATAGAGCCTCCACCCAAGCGACCGACAGAGTTTGCAAACATATATCTCGACGCCCCGGACTCTGACGTGGACATCTTTCAGGCTGATGCGCAAATGTACTGCATGCCAGCCGCATACGGAGAGCGAACAGAGAAGAAGGGAGATAGATATCTCTACTGTCTGTTACTCAAACACGAAGGCTCTATTTCCTTCACTCGAAGTGGAAGCGGGCGGACGGAAGGACGGTATCGAGCGTTTCGACGCGTTGGTATCGTAAAGCTAAGTGCCTATCCGAGCGAACGTGAAAGAGATGCTTTCAAAGAAGAAACCACGAAGGAAGTCATATGCTTGTGCTGATCTGGGATTCTGTCTTCCTGCGGGGATGTCGATATAGAGGGGCATCTTCAGTAAAGAATGAGGATGTGTATAGTGCAAATAATGTTGGACTGGGTTCTGCATCCTGATACCGTTCCATCTAAAGCTAGGAGTGTCGGCAATTGCATATCTTCCAACGTATTTCTGTAGGAGGGCGTCGGGACTTCAATGACAAACCCCTACAAAAATTGCACAGGAAGTTAGCTTGCTCAGCTGGCGAGAACTTTTGGTCATGACTGACACTACACCTTTTGTTCGACCATGAGAAGTTCACACGAGCGCTTCGGCTATATTTAGGTACGTCGGCATATACACAAGATGATTATCTACTTTGTCGAACCAATACTTACTCCGATCTCTGCTTCTCTTATCTGGAGCTCCAAACCTCCTCGCTCAAGCAAATTCTCGTACATCGCCCAAGCGGCCATGATCTCTGCGTTGTTTTTGCCCGCCTTCCACAAGTCCCCATAGTCTAGTACTCGAAAACCACTTTTCGCATTGAGCGCCGTTTCGTCTTCACACCTGCCGATAAGGTCATTCATCTCCTTCCTAGAAATATCCTTTTGCCATAGTATTACTGGCTTGCGCGGAGTAATGTGTTCTGGTTTAATCACTGCGTCTGGGTGCCGCGAATCTCGTCTGCAGTGCGGGTTTTGTATCATCAATGATGTAAGGTTAATGAGCTGTTCTTTCCGGAGCTTGAGGCTCAATTCCTGCGACATCTCCTCCACCAAAGGTCCAGTTATATTCCCCGAAGCGTCGAATGTTCCCCTTGGAAGCTCAAGATATGGCTCGTTACGTTCGCGGGCCTGGCGCGACTCTATGAAGACGACGTGTGGCTGGCGTCTAGTATCTTTCCAAGCCTCCTTCGTACGTAATATCAGCAACAAGATGGCGTTTGCAGTGGTCGTGCTGACCGGCAACTGCTTGTGGGACTGAAAAGCGGATGGCATGACTTTGTTGATGCTCGGGATATCTAGTAGCGTAGGAACGTGGGCTATTTTGTAGGAAGTGTGGCGTACAATCACGTTACGTTTGACGTGTTTGAGGATGGAGCCTGAAGGGATTGCTTGTAGAACGAGTTTCTTTGTCGAATAAGAAGCGACCTCGGGATGAAGGCAGATGAAAATGACTTTAGATCGATATACTATGCCAAAGCTGTTGGATCGGACAGGCATTTATATGTTTGTATCTCAGGTAACCTTGAGATCTTGCGCTGGACCTTTTCCAACAGCCGCCGACAGAGGCCTTCTAAGATTAGTAGAGCGCTTAACGTCTACATTCAGTCGCACCTAACAACGGATTACACTCATGGTATTAACCGCTTAGAGGCAGCTACAGTAATGAAGCATTGTTCCAATGCGCTTACAGCTTTATTTGGGAGACTTATACTCACTAGTCGTCTCAGAATCTTTCGCAGCGCTTATCCACTCGTTCTTGAGCGTGTACCGACTAGAAGGAGCAGGTGGGCGCCACGACACTTCTGAGGAAGATTGTACATGCGCAGATAGGTTTAGCTTATGTTCTCGTGCAAGACGTTAGTCTGATTTTGTTCACATCGAGGGCGCTGGTGAGGATAAACGCAACGATGGTCAAGACCGAGCATTCTGACGCTTTGGACTTGCAGAACTACCAGCAGATCATCTAGTTAGACAATGATCGATTGATTGAGATGAAGAGAATATCCAAGAGGTTTCAAGGCCATTGGCAGATGTATGGGGGGGTATCAGAATGTGTTGTATAAGCTAAGGAGCTATGTACCAATGGAAGGGGCCTCTTGTAATCCCAAGGTAGTCACGTGACCGCCATCCACTTATGTCAGGACGAAGTACTGTCCCTTTTCTCGGATACCAAGGCAAGGAAGTTGCCTTGAATGTCTGGATGGATGACAGGAGACATAGAGGGTGCTCGTGGTACCCATACACGTAATCGGTTGGTTTGGTCGTACTGATCAAGGTACCATCAGTGGTTCCGGTACCCAAGCCGACAGGAGAAAGAAGCTTATCGAACACAGTTTTTTTGTGGCATGCTAAGATTCCCTCAACCCCACTTTCAATCCATGACCCTCAACCCCACCATGGGGTAAGCGCTGCTGTCCTTTACCTCGATAGCTCGGGATGCTCGCACAACACAGTATATATTGTATATTATCGAAAAATTCTTCATCGATTACCTAATCGGGCGCTTGGTCTAGGGGTATGATTTGTAAGACAACACCACTGCTCACCATTCTCGAACATCATCCTAACATCAGCTTCAGTCGCTTCGCATACTTCTGCGTAATCTGTGAAAGGTCGTGGGTTCAATTCCCACAGCGTCCACATTCTTTTTGCACTTTTTTGTGTGCCCGGATAGATCGAGCTGGCTAGTGCGCAGCGAACAAGTTGCTTGGTTCCTTCCATCGTTTTTCTGCTGTTCCTGTGGTTGCATCTGCTTGCTCTCGCAACGTGTAACAACGTTGAGTGGGGTGTAGTTGCTGCTTTTTGCGAAAAGTGACCGTGCAGCGAACGTGAGGGGTGTATTCTCTGACTTCCTTCTAAGAGCAAAACAAAACATCAGCCATGAACACTGTCGTTGTTGTCTCAGGGAGAAACGGGTCTTTCTTTTTGTACTAATTGCGTTGATGAAGTAGTAAATACTGCTCGTTCGTTTGCTTCAGAGAGCGAGCTGAGCACGTATCACCATGATCAAGGGCAAAGAATATGCAGATCATCCAAATGTATTGCTACTAATGTTCAAAAGATATATACAAAGAAACCCAGGGTATATGTGCGCCGTATCCAACCATCCAAACAAGCAAGTCAGCAACCAGTGTGACTAGCCAAGCCATTGCCATCGTTCGTGAAGCACCGCTCAGTGCCTTGCGTGGTGCCTCGTGAGCCTCTGCCTGTGCTCCCTGATATGTCTTGCCATGCGTGCACTTCTGGCAGCGCCAGCAGGCGCTGGCGTCTCGGCTGGAGTATCGGCAGTGACGGTAGCATACACTGTCTCATAAACTGTGCGTACGGCTTGAACAGTGTCCGTGACAGTGGGAGCGGCGGGGTCTGCTGAGATGGCTGCGTCCGCTGGAGGGGCCTTGACAGCGTCGGTGGGCGCTGGAACAGGCACTGCAGGCACTGCAGGCACGGCGGGTGCTTGAGACACAGCAGGTACATTGGAAGGTTGAGCGATGCTTTGTGCTGTACTGGGAGCGGCTGCTGCGCCACTAGAGTTTTGGATTGGAGTGTTAGTGCCCTCAGGAAGCGACGCGGCAGGTGTTGTCGAGGGCGACGTCTCGTTGGAAGGTTCATTGCCACTACCAGCTCCAGCTTTGGGCCACTGGAAGCCGGACATGGGACCATTGTTTGTCGGTGCTGGAGCTGGTGCGTTGACCTGTGTGGTCGGCGCAACAATTGGGCTTGGAGATTCGACGGGGATGCTAGGAGAAGCATCGTCGGCAGGAGGCGACGCGACTGGAGCACTGGGCGACGCGGAGGGAGCCACCGAAAGTGTCTCGCTTGTCGGAATTGGCGCGAAGATACCAGATACCGAAGGGGTGATGAGCAAAGTCGGGACTGCAGGGTATCCGGATTCTACAGGAAGGCCAGAAGACACAATTGGCGTTTCCGATGGAACTGGCACAGGGGCGTACGCGGCGCTGCTCTGCTCGGACACTGAAGAAGATTGAGGGGCATAAGCAGCACTGCTCTGCTCGGGCACTGAGGAGGGCTGAGGGGCGGCGCCGTAGCCACCGTTGTCTTGGTACACTTTCAGCGAGTTGATGGTCCAGTATGCCTCGGTAAAAGCCTCTGGGTTGTCCCGTACCCATTCCTCGCATGTCGATGCCTTCTTGCTGCAAGAACTGTTCGTGGCGTTCCAAACACTGCTGCTGCCCGCCCATTGTCCACAGAACGTAGTGTCGAAAACGATCTGCTGCTGCTTGAACGTGTTCTCAATATCGCAAGCACCAGCGAACTTGGCAGCTGGCTTGCCCCAGCCACTGGGGTCTGGGCTGTCACCGAGAACGTCTTCCGGGATAGAGTCGCGCGGGAAGAAGTAAATGCTGATAGCTTCAGCGGTCCATTGGGTAGCGTACACACCTCCACCATTAGCGTTCAAGCCTGTACCGTAGCTCTTGGTTGATGGGTCTTCAATGGAGCATCCCGCATTCTTTGACTGGTCTTCGGCAGCAACATCGCAGTTTCCTGTGGTTACCGAGCCCGCAAACTGGGTGGTGTCATCACCAATCTGGCAGCCTGGGCCTGTGTGGAGGGTCATGCCGTTGTTCGTCTGGTCGTTCACGCCTTCGATAATGTCAATCTCGCCGTTCTTTGGCCAGTTGGGACCGGTGGTCCAGAAGCTGCGGTACGTTAGTGATGTAACTCTACATCAAGTCAAGTCTACTTACGCTGGCCATGTACCACAGCCAAAAGGCATGTGGGCGACATCCACCACAATCAGCCCACTATCGTATGTCTTCTTGCTTTCGATACGGATACTGGGCCTTCCCTCTGGTGTCTGGTTCTGTGTGTCTACGCCCCAAGAGATGGCCGAAGTAGACGAGTTGATAAGGTTTGTCTGTCTTGCCGTAGCCTCATCGACATACTGTACAAAACCTTCAGTCGGGTCGGGTCCGGTAAAGAAGTCAAAGGCCCCGTAAAAGTCCGTCATGTAATCATCCTCTAGAACATAGCCAGCTATGCTTAGTTGGAAAAAGGCCGCAGCCGAAGTGAGTGTGGAGAAACGCATCGTCAAGACGCTGAAAACCAAAGAAGATAGTAATGAATGACTGCGTACTAGACGCGTGAACAAAAAAGACACAAGAACTGAAAAGGCGATAGTACGAGATGGCGATGTAACCAAGCAGCAGATGGTCGAAAAGGGACGACCTACCTATATATGCAGGCCTAAGATAGAGCCGCGCCAACGTCCCGAACATGGCAACAATCAATTCGCCCCTAGGGCCTCGTCTACTGACTAGACGAGTGCGGGTGAGTGTACATCTCCCGTTAGGCACATCGGGCTTCGTTTCAACATGATGGGAATTATAGACGGGCCGAGTTGATCTCCGGTTAGCAACATTGAGGGGACCTGCAGGAACCAGTCAGGCCCGTATGATGGGGGATCGATAGCGCTGGCAATGCTGCCCGGATTTTTAACCAAACATGGGCTGTTTCATGAGAAATAGGACGGATGGCCCGTTGGTAAACGGACTGAGGCGCTTGAAACAGACAGAAGCGCATATCCTGGTTAATATGTGGCGGAGGCTACGGGTATTATCGACGGCCTGAGGCATTTGTCGCGGCTGCCGACATGTGATTCGCTGTCAAGGCGTTGAAACGCGTGGTGCTGGAGGGTGGGATGAAGGAGAGCGGTTGCTGGCCAATGCCGCGCGCTGGTTCTAGCGCTTCCGAAGCGAGCGCAGTGTTCCACCAGTCTGAAACCAACCACTCGGCCAATGAGTCGTTCGAGACGATCGACACAATTCTGGAGATATATATGCTTGTTCCAGGAGGGTTGCAGAGATCTGGCCCGCGGTGTACGTGTAACTATCTTCATTCATATCTGGTATTACGCGTCGTCATTAATGTAATGGGACAACTACTGCAGCGACTCGACTACAATGGCAGAAGCACCACCGCCACCGTTGCAGATTCCGGCACAGCCAATCTTGCCCTTCTTCTCCTTTAGTACACCGAGCAGTGTAGTTGTGATCCTGGCACCGGAAGCACCAAGCGCGTGGCCGAGGGCGACGGCACCACCGTGCAGGTTGACCTTGTCTTCTTCAATACCAAGGATCTTCATGTTGGCGAGGGCAACGACACTGAAGGCCTCGTTGATCTCGAAAGCGTCGACAGCGGAGAGCTCCACCTTTGCGTGCTTCAGAGCCTTGGGCATGGCGAGCGCAGGGGCGGTGGTGAACTTGGAGGGGTTGTGCTCCGCGTCACCCCAGCCGAGGATCTTAGCAATGGGCTTGAGGCCGTGCTTCTTGACAGCCTCCTCAGAGGCAAGGACGAGAGCAGCAGCGCCATCGTTGAGCGGTGAGGCGTTGGCAGCGGTGACGGTTCCGTTTCCGGGCTTGAATGAAGGTCTCAATGTGCGCGTCTTTGCCTCGTTGAACTGCAAGTGATGAGTAAGAAAGTGCGGATTAGTGAACATGACAAAGACTGCGACTTACGTTCTTGGGCTCGTCGTCACGGTCTACGACGACCGGAGGCTTGCCACGTCCTACGGGAACCTCGATGGGGGCAATCTCCTCCTTGAACAAGCCAGCGTCGTGCGCGGCAATGGCCTTCTTGTAGGAGCGGATGCAGTAGTCATCCTGTTGCTCACGGGAGAAGCCGTGGTCATCGGCGCACTCCTCGCCCTGCAGACCCATGTGCTCCTTCTTGTATGCGTCGGTCAGACCATCCTTCAGCACGCCGTCGACCAGCGATTGGTCTCCAAACTTGGCGCCTGTCCTCATGTTGGGGAGGTAGTGGGGAGTGTTGGACATGCTCTCGGTTCCGCCTGCCACGACAATGTCGGCATTGCCGGTTATGATGGTCTGCGCGCCGACAATGAGGGCCTTGATGGACGAGGCGCACACCTTGTTGATGGTGGTTGCGACGGTCGACTCGGGGAGGCCAGCGCCAAGGGCACACTGACGGGCGGGATTCTGGCCGAGGCTGCGGCTATGTCAGTACAGTGCTTGTGAGGCCGTCGGTGTATTTTGCAGTCGGTGTATTTCGTACTTTGCGGAGAGGACATTGCCAACGAAGACTTCGTCGACGTCGGTGGGCTTGATGCCAGCGCGCTCAACAGCAGCTGCAGGGGCTTGTCAGACGGGTAGACGGCTCGATTGGCAGCAGGTATACATACCCTTGATGGCGTGAGAGCCCAGCTGGACTGCACTCAGGCTCGAGAGGGAGCTGTTGTCGCGTGAGTTGGCGTTGCCCCTCTTCTCGAGCACTAGAAAACATACCCCAAAAACGCGCCCGTGGGCGTACGGGCAGCCGAGACAATGTAAACGGGGGGAAGGGACGACATGATGGGTATCTCTTGGGTGCAGGAGGGCGATTGAAGGTGCAGAGAGGGTATACAGGCTTGCGTTTAAATAAATGCCCCGACTACAGCAAGGACATCTTTTTGAAGGTTAGCCTTGCGCGACAACGGCGGCCAGGGTAAGAACTCGTCCCTGCGTCGCGTCGGAGGCCCATTGGCTGATGGCCGCCTCCGCCCTCACCGCCCAACGCTAGCCCGCGGAACCACGCTCTGAACTTTTGCGATAGCTTCGAGCTCGACGCGCATCATCACCGCGCAGATAGCCACCCATACCGCCAGCATGGATGACCTTTACGACGAGTAAGCACCCACAATCGCTTCTGGAATTCTGCGCGACTGACGTGTCCCAGGTTTGGAAATTTCATCGGCGAGGCCGAGTCCGACGACGATGTCCAGAGCACCGGCGAGGCAGCCGACGCCTATGTCCTCGACGACGACGACGACGAGGCGGATACCAACGACCAGCAGCTGATGGAGGTGGACGAAGGCCCATCCAACGCCGTAATCCTCCACGAAGACAAGCAGTACTATCCTTCCGCGTCCGACGTATACGGCCCAGATGTCGAGGTGTTGGTGCATGAAGAAGACACGCAGTCGCTGGCGCAGCCTATTATCGCGCCCGTGGTGCAGAAGAAGTTTACCGTTCAAGAGACAGACCTGCCCCCAGTCTATCACTCAAGAGAACTCCTGACCGACTTGATGAACTTTCCCAACCAGATACGAAACATCGCCATCGCTGGACACCTGCACCATGGAAAGACCGCCTTCATGGACATGCTGGTCATGGAAACGCACGACATCCAAGACCGCCTGGACTACAAGAGGGGGAAGAAGCGGGAAGAACAACTACGATACACCGACGTACACGTGCTCGAACGCGAACGGGGCCTCTCCATCAAGACCGCACCCATGAGCCTAGTCCTTCAGAACACAAAGTCCAAGTCGCATCTCTTCAACATCCTCGACACCCCCGGACACGTAAACTTCGCCGATGAAGTTGCCGCCTCGCTGCGCCTCGTTGATGGAGTAGTCTTGGTCGTGGACGTAGTCGAGGGCGTGCAGGTCAATACGGAGCAAGTCATAAAGCACGCCGTGCTCGAGGATCTGCCCCTCACACTGGTAGTCAACAAGATGGACCGCTTGATTCTCGAATTGAAGCTACCCCCCAGCGATGCATACTTCAAGATCAAGCACGTTATTGAGGAAGTCAACACAGTCATCGAGAACACCATTCCAGGTTGCGGCGAGAGCAGACGGGTAAGCCCTGAGAAAGGCAACGTCGCTTTCGCTTGCTCCAGCATGCGCTGGTGCTTTACCATCCAGTCCTTCGCAAAGATGTACTCTGACTTCTACCCTGGACCATCCAAGCTGCCAGGATTCGGCGTTCCAATCAAGGGTCTCGATATCGACAAATTCGCCATGCGCCTTTGGGGCGACATCTTCTACAATCCAGGAAGCCGCAAGTTCAGTCGCAAGCGTCAGGAGGAGGGCTCACAGCGGTCCTTTGTGCATTGGATCCTGGAGCCCGTCTACAAGATCTACTCGCACACACTAAGTCAAAGCCCGGACGACCTCAAGGAGACGCTCGACACATTGGGCATCCGATTGAAGCCATCTGAATACAAGACAGACGCGAAGGAGTTGATGCGCCTGGTATGCCAGCAGTACTTTGGTCCATCTCTGGGATTTGTAGACATGATCACCCAGCATGTCCCGTCGCCTGAAGAAGGAGCGCAGCGACTACTACAAAGACATTACACTGGTCCTTTGGACACAAAGACCGCCGAGGCCATGCAGAAGTGCGACCAGAACGGACCCCTAGTCATACATGTTACGAAGCTCTTCAATGCGACAGATGCGAAGTCATTCACCGCACTAGGCCGCGTAATGAGTGGTACCGCAACTTCCCCGCAGTCGGTGCGTGTTCTTGGAGAAGGCTACACAATCGAAGATGAGGAAGACATGGTTGTCGCTACAGTGACGGACACATGGATCGCGCAATCTAGATACAACATCCCCGTCAGCGGCGTTCCGGCAGGTAACTGGGTGTTGCTTGGTGGTGTTGATAACTCGATAGTCAAGACGGCGACTATTGTAGCCACCAAACTCCCCGACGAGGAAGACGCCTACATTTTCCGACCCATCCGCCACTTTTTCGAATCCGTTTTCAAGGTCGCCGTCGAACCCATAAATCCCTCTGAATTACCGAAGATGCTCGACGGTCTGCGCAAGATCAACAAGTCATACCCGCTCATCACAACCAAGGTCGAAGAGTCGGGAGAACACGTCGTTCTCGGTACTGGCGAGCTCTACATGGACTGTGTCCTGCATGACCTACGGCGGTTGTATGCTGACATGGAGATCAAGGTGTCAGATCCTGTCACAAGATTCTGCGAGACGGTTGTCGAGATGTCCGCTATCAAGTGCTACGCGCTCACACCAAACAAGAAGAACAAGCTCACCATGATTGCCGAACCGCTAGACCCAGGTATTGCGGAGGACATCGAAGCTGGAAAGGTCAACATCAAGGACCCCGTCAGGGTTGTCGGAAAGTTCTTCGAAGAGAACTACGGATACGACTTGCTCGCTTCGCGTAACATCTGGGCTTTCGGACCTGACGACATGGGTGCCAACATCCTACAAAACGACACACTTCCCACAGAGGTCGACGGCAAGACTCTGCGTACAGTCCGTGACACGCTTCGACAGGGTTTTAGCTGGGCGACCCGTGAAGGCCCGCTCTGCGAGGAGCCCATTCGCAACACAAAGTTCCGCATCACGGATGTCGAGCTTGCACCAGAAGCCATTTTCCGTGGAGGTGGTCAGATTATCCCCACGAGTCGGCGAGCGTGTTACTCAAGTTTCCTAATGGCGAGTCCCAGGTTGATGGAGCCGGTATACTCTTGCAGCATGACTGGTCCTGCAGACACCAAGAGTAGTTTGTACACAGTCCTTGCGCGAAGGAGAGGACACGTCTTGCAGGATGGACCCATTGCGGGTACTCCTCTCTATAATGTTCGTGGTCTTATCCCGGTCATCGATTCTTTCGGTTTCGAGACCGATCTTAGGGTACGTACACCCCTTCTATTCTCACTGCCAGATTTCCATACCATATGCTAACTTCTGCAGATCCACACGCAAGGACAAGTCTCTCTCTCCCTCGTCTTCGACCGCTGGTCCATCGTCCCTGGCGACCCTCTCGACAAAGACATTACGACCAGACCGCTTGAACCCGCAACTGCACAACAGCTGGCACGCGATTTCGTACTCAAGACACGAAGGAGGAAGGGTCTTGCGGAGGATGTCACAATTAGCAAGTTCCTGGAGCCCGAGCTATTCCGTTCTCTCAAGGAGAGTGGAGTGCTTGATGGGTAGATGATGGATTGTATAGCATACTTTGGAGTCAAAACGGAAACGGCGCAAATTGGAAGCTGTAAAAGCATATAGGGAGAGCATATTGGAGATACGCTCATGAAAGCGGCTGGTGAGTCGAAATGAAATATACCCGCCGCATGTTACTATGAAAGCGGTCGCTATGCATGTATAAACATCTCTATTCACTCGCATTTCTTTCTTCGGCTACGGTGATCTTCATGGTTTTAATATCGAATCATCCAATATCAGTAAGAGACGTACACGAGATAGAGCAGAATACTTGCATGCATGCATATAGCATTTTAAAATCTTAGGCTCACTGGTGAGGTACTCGTAGAGCGATTGTGGAGACTACAATCAGAGCCACGCAGGACGCGAGTTAGTGAGAAGACGGGAGTCGACAAGTACTACTTACGAGTGAAGGGAGGTGATGGTCGCTTGGTGCTGTAGAGTGTAGAGAAGAAAGACCCACCGTGAGAGTATGAAAGCGTGGCAGGGTGCAGCATAATAAACCATACGCAATGCAACGGCCTCGGAATAGTATTGGGTATCAGAATACGCATCAATATTTGGCAGAAGCCAACGAAAAATGCAATACGACATGCAGAGCGCAGAAAGAAACAGCGCTTGTGACGAACCTGGCGAGGCTCTAAATCTCCACTTCTCGTCACTTATACTGATACTCGTTCTCATCATCACTGTCGTCCTGTCTTTCGAGCTCGTCCTCAATCTCCTCGTTGAGTAGGAGACCCATATCGTACGTCTTCTCCCTGATCTTATCCGCGTCTTCTCTGTTCACTGAACAATCATCCATAATCAGTAGGATTGCCGCCTCCGGAACCATCACAGCTTGTACAAAGGCTGCGATGCCGGATGCTTGCACAACGCGATCCTTGCAGTTCTTCATCTCGACCTTTAGAGTATCCATGACGCTCTCTGTGATGACGCGACGACCATGAGAACCATAGTAGCCCGGGTACGCGGCTTTCTCGTCGAGAGCGTATGATTCCAGCTCTTCTTGCACGTCTTCTGCCAGATCTGTTCGCCTCGAGGGTACAGCGGCGGCTTTTCCAGTCAGAGCCAACGGCTCGTAACGATCTCTGTGTATACTAAACTCGTTGTTGTTGAGTATCTGCAATAAAGTCGTCTTGTGTCTGCGTATTCGCCTGGGAAGTGCTTGCCAGTCAATGTCCGGATACCCCATCTCAGTGTATTCCTTCTGTGCTGACTTCTTTTTATGCGCATGGCAGAATGCAGATTTGTTCTTGACCGTTCTCTCCTTGCCTTTCCAGAAGTCCCAATAGTCCTCCTGCTCAACGAATTTCGAACAAAGCAAGCATCGCGAGCCCTCCTCTTCCACTGGCTGGAGTTTGCTCATGTAACTGTTGATGTCGTCGAGGGCTTCTTGTGGTGCACTGGAATGTGGTTGCGAAGACGGCGGTTCCTGATTTTCCTTCCAACTGCTAAGCTGGTTCATAAGGCGGGCGGTTCTGGCAGCCTTTTCTGCTTTGAACGACTTAGCGCTCTTTGGTTTGGTCCCTAGTTCTCTGTCCAGTTCGTCGTCGTCGAACGCAGTAGATGTAGCATTGGTGCTCTTGGCTTTTGTACCGTTTGCTTTCTTTTCAACTTCACGTAGTCCCAAATCATTCATCTTTTGTTGTCTGTCACTATCTTTGGGGAGCGCAAAGAGCTCCTCGTCGTCTAAACCAGATACACTTCCGTCACTCTCAGCACCGGGTTGCGACATGCCATTCCGGGATTTGTTCTTTGATCCGTACGTCTGCGTAGTGGTCTTTGACGCTGCCTTGCCAAACTTCTTTGGAGGTGGTGCATGTATGTTCTTGCTCTTCGAGCCATAGCCTTTGTCATTCGTGTTCTTGATTTGAGAAACGTGTTCCATGCCCCATTTGATTGGACTGTCGCTGGATGATCCCGCGGAAGACGCGGGAGTGTGTTCCTTGCTACCGCCGAGGCCTGCAGTCGACTTATGGGCTTGACCATTTTGGTACGCCCCTCTTGCGGGCGGACGTATTGCTTCAAGCGTTTTCTTGCCAGGCTTTCTTTGAGGTTCCCTTAGAGTATCTAGGGTGCTCTTCGGCGTAGGTTTACCAGGCTTCGAGGGCTGGACCGGTCGTGGTGAGGGAGCGTGTATTTCATCGTCGGAAGACAAGGGTTCAGCGTTGACATCAATCTCCCGTTGCCTCTTTATTGGGGCGGCATTTCCGTTCGCTCGTCTCTTGGGTATCGGTTCTTCGTGATCGTCTGCACTCGCATGGCGCTTTCCCCCGATATTGGTTAACAGTTTAGGCGTCTGCCTACTCAGAATTGGCATTGCCGCGCATTGATGACGTACTCAAAACAAAGGACAAAGACGTAAGACGTTGTCGAAGTACAAGGCAAAGTTGCCGCACGTGAAAGCAGTATCTCTTGCCGGGGTGGACTCGACCTCGAGATTATGCAACGCGCCGGACGACGCGAACACCGCGTTCGCGCTAATCTTATCGATACCGCCCGAGCTCCGCCAAAAAAAGTTCCATGTGCAATCTAACACTGTCGCAAACTCTCTCAAACGCCACAAAAACCCCAACGCACCCTCACGATGGCTCTCGACGAAGCGCTGCAACAGCCCTTGAACTTCACCGGTCATCGGCACATGATCTCTCGCCTTCTCCTGGCGACACTCACCGGCCGACCCGTTCGCATATCGCAAATTCGCTCTTCGTCGACCACACCAGGCTTAACACGCCATGAGACAAACTTCATCCGACTGCTCGATTCGGTGACGAACGGCTCGCAGATTCAATTTAGCATGACGGGTACGACATTAGTCTACAGACCCGGTCTCATCACCGGAAGCGCCGAAGGACTGGGAGCCAGCGGAGGCGTAATCCGGCATGAGATACCAGCAGAGTGTAGAAAGAGGGGTGTGAGCTGGTGGCTGGTTCCCCTGTGCGTTCTTGCGCCTTTCAGCAAGGGGAACATGAACGTCGTCTTCTACGGCGAGGGCTGTGTTACAGCGTCTACAATCGCCGGCGACATCTCTGCAGACACAGTTCGCACGGCTATTCTCCCGCTGTACAAAAACTTTGCTATCGAGCGGAATATCGAGCTACGTATCCTCAAGCGCTCTTCTGCGCCCGCGGGAGGAAAGGGAGCAGGTGGCGAAGTGCAACTGGTGTTTAACCACCAGGTTCGTCTACCAAAGACACTACATCTGCTGAATCCTGGAAGGGTCAAGAAGATAAGAGGTGTGGCGTACTGTGTCGAGGTTCCTAAAAGTAACAACGAGCGCATGACCTTTACTGCAAGAGGCATCCTCAACAAATTTGTGCCGGATACGTACATCTTCTCTGACGCAAGCGCCGCACCTTTAATACCAACAACCGCCAAAGGCCACTCCAGCGGAAAAGTAAAGGGTGCAGTGGGATTCGGAATCAGTCTGGTCGCAGAGACCAGCACGGGATGCATATACTCAGCCGACGTATGCTCACCACCTGATGGTGGTGTTCCGGCAGACGAAATCGGCAAGCAATGCGCATACCAGCTTCTCGAGAAGATATCACAAGGAGGCTGTGTGGAGAACGTGGCAGCACCCACAGTTCTCATGCTGATGGCTATGGGTAGCGAGGATGTAGGAAGAATAGCACTGGGCAAGGACATTTTAGGCAGCGAGGAAATCATACAACTTGCGCGGGATTCCAAGGTCTTTGGAGGCAGTGCATGGGGCTTCAGGGAGGCAGGCGGCGAGAAAGAAGAAATCGTTGTTAGCGTTGTAGGAAGAGGAGTCGGAAATGTAGGAAGGAAGGTTGCTTAGATTCTACAAGTTTGGGAAAAGTTATGCGCGCAAATATGATACCCCCAATTTCTCACAATCTATCTTGGTCTGATGGCAACCAGCTTCTCTGCGCATATACTTTGGTGGGCTTCACTGAAGCAACGGTCAGGAAACGCGTTTCTTAAGCAAAAATAGACGCCGCCCAATGATCTAATTCGCATATACCAATGTACAAAAAAAGCCAGACGCTAGAGACGAAGAAGCTCCTACTGTCTCTTGCCTGCTGAGCTCGCTCCACTGCCACTACCCTCGTCTTCGCTCCCATCATCCTGCGCATACTTCTCGTTATACCTATCCTGATCCCGATATGGACCCTCATCGCCCTCATCGTCACTCAGTAGATCCTCATCGGACTCGCCAGCAAAAGCATCATACAACTCTCCACCCCTCTTAGCACGCTTCTTCCTGCCGGCAGCACCAGAGAGCAAGCCCGCGTCGTCCCTATCCTCGTTGTCGTCCAGAACCTCGAATTCGTAAGCATCGCGCGAATCCTTCATGCGTTTGCGTCTAGCGATGAAAAGATAGGTACAAAGACCAGCAACGAAAACGATGATCAAGGCAAGAGCACCGTAAATCCAGATTTGCGTGCGCTTCGACACACCAAAGGAGGGAAAGGGGTTGGGAAGGAAGTTTTCAGATGGAGCAGCAGACGCCGTGGCACTTGCGCTTGCAGTTGCCGAAGCCGTCGTCTGTACACCACTGTTAGCCGACGTTTGAGAGGGTTTCTGGTTCACGGGACGATCGGGGTGGTCATCGGGGATAGATGTCATAGTAGGTGTGGTACCAGGGGGCATGGTAACACTGGTAGTATGCGCCGGGTGATCATCAATCTTGTCGTGATCGTCGTCCTCATGTTCGTCGGGGATCGGACGAAGTTTAGCTTTGGAGGCGTCGATGCATTCACCCCAGAGACGGAGCTTCCAGTCGGTAAAGGTACCAGTCTTAGCATTACCGGATTTGACATCTTTGACAATGACGGTCCAGTTGCCGATGGCGTCTTCACCCCAGTGAGCAACGGACATGAACGTCCAGTCAATATATCCATAAGGCGCCTCGTCGCCTTGGCGTGCAGTGGAGAGATGTGAGACCATGCCGCTTGGAGATCGGAGCTCGACAGCGAGGTCGCCGCGGCGCGTGTGCTCCACGTTCATGGTGAGAGTGATGTGCTCAACACGAGCAAAATTGGCATTCTTGAGCATCTCTTCCTTGACTTCGAAGACACTGGCGAGGCCTTGGTTGCCTTCGGGGATCGCCTTCTTCACATGCATCCAGGGGGAGTAGAACCAAGCCTGGGGCTTGACGAGCTGCCATTCTTTTGCCTTCTCGACGATCGCATAGGCATCGAGCTTTCCGTATCCAAATTGATGGCTGTACATGCGGTCGAGCGAGGTCTTGGTCCAGTCGCTGGGCGTATCAAAGGGAACAGCTGTCATGACAGCAAGCCATTGCATGTCGCGCCATGTCAATTCAGGTCGGGCCTGAAGCGCGAGAGCGAATACTCCTACACCAATAGGTCCGGCAGCCGACGTGCCTCCGTGCTGGTTGGTGCACTTGTTCGCGCCAACATCTGTTGTGTGAATGGCGTCGCCGCCGCCACTGCTATATGTCACAACCAGCTGTGCGGAACAGGCCTCGGAATAGTATGGGTGTCCGTTGTTTTGGTCGATAGCGCCGACGGTGATGCTGTAGATACTGTTTGTATAGCCGTCAAAGTTGCAGTTGTCGTCGCTCGCAGCGCCATTGCCTGCCGCAAAAACATAGATGGATCCCTTTCCGCCACGACCTTGCTGGACAGCAGTGACCATGGCTTTTTCGATGAGAATGCCTGGAGCCTGCATGGTCTTACCATCGTCGGGCGGACCCCAAGAGCATGAGTAGATGTCATTCTTCTGCATCTCATAGTTTATCGCGAGCGCCTCGTCAAGATCTGTGATATCTCCCGAGAGGATGCGCACACCTGAGATCTTCGCATCGTAGGCAAGTCCGACACCACAGGCGTCGTTCCTTCCTGCGGCAATTTCTCCGGCGCATCGTGTACCGTGTCGGTCGTCAGAAAGCTTCGGGGTGGGCAGGTCTTCGTGGTCGTTGTAATCGTGAGAGCCTTCAGCAAAGAAATTGTCCTTGAGGTCGTTGCTCGTGTAGTCGAGACCATCGTCAACAACACATGCCGTGACGCCTTCGCCTGTGATGCCCTGCATCCACACACCAGTAACGTTTATGTCATTACCAGGCGTCTTCACGTTGAAGATGTGCCATTGCTCTTCGAAGATGGGGTCCTTGATTTGCAGCTTGGTCGCGACTTCCCGCTGGGCTTGAATAGCAGGTGTTACCGGTGGGGCGGCTCTCTCTGGCCGATCTGGTATCACGCTGCGCTTCCAATGGCGCGGCTTGATCTTCTGCTTCTGAGTAAAGTGGACGCTGTCGAGAGGATGATACTCGAGGCCAACTTCTCGTTTCCGCCGCCTCCTCTTCAGTTCTTGTTGTGCGTCGTTGACGATATCGTTTTCGTGTTTGGGGGCCTTGAAGACATGGTGATGCTCAAGCGTCCCGAACGGGCCCTCGTACGTCAGGCCCAGGTGCGCAGCGATGTCTGATGGCGATGCGGATGGGGAAAGATGGATAGCATAATAGTCGTGGCTCGAGTAGTTGCGGGGTGGCAGATGCTTTCCCGCTGCAGCAAGTGTCGCCGCTGCGAGCAGGCTCCAGAGTTGAATGCGCATGGCGAAGACGCCTAAAGGATATTACGTGCAGCCGGCTGCGGTCATGTATCGTGAACAGTCGTAGGAGGTGCCCTGGCAATAGGCGACCGTCTTCCCGCGGGGTGGGGGAAGTGTAGGTGGATGGTGAGGACACTGTGGTTCGGCGAGTTGACAGGGCCGGTGTATTCAGCTTATTGAGGAAGGAGACTGATTACGACGGGGTATTAGAGTGGACGAGTCGGTATGCGCGCGGCGGGTGATGTGCGCTGGGGAGGGAACAATGCAGGAGCAGTGAAGGAAGAGCAAGATGAAGAAGTCGCCTGCAGCCACTTTGGTCCAGTCTGCGAGATGTGTGAAACGTTGATGTTTGACTTCCCGCGAGCCGACCGTGGCTTCTTCCCTTGCCAACTATGGACCCCCGAGGGCGCCTTCCCCTTGTGGCCCTAGTGGCCGCACCTGCCCTGGCGTGGGTGTGCGAGCCGTGTGGAGGATGCCTGTCCAGCCCAAGATCTTGCAGTCAACCACCCAGCCACCTTTACCGCGCCCGCCACCACCTTTCTGACATGCGCTGGCCATGGATAACTGCTTCTTCCCTGCATCCGTACCGCTCTTCCTATTCCCTTGCATATAGTTTCCTCTTAATTTCCCGCGACATATCACCGTCATTGCGCCCAGTTGTACCTTGAGATCTTCATCTTCGCCCGTTGCACATCCCAGCACACCTCCGCCGCATCTCCGCACTCGCATTCGGCACTTTTAGGAAGCTACCACCACAAAGGACTGCAATTGAGGGCCCTGTCTCAAGTTCGTGTGATAGTGCAACATAGCTACATAGATGCGCCCGACCTAGTTTCGTCCCATCTCTCACAGGACCGTGATACGCCCCGCCTACTTCACCACTACCACCACCACCGATCCCATGATCTCGTCGCATCATGGAGAACAGTAGGAACAGCGGCTCCTACGCATCGCGAGCCGTTAACCCTGCTCTGGTCAAAGTCCCAGACGCCAATCCGCAAAAGCGCAATTCCTATCGCCGCCCAGCCGATGCGCAGCCCGCAGGCGCATCCCCACCAGAGCCCGAAATGTCGACTACCGTACCCAGCAACACTGCGCGGCCTGTCGCAACTGTGCCCTTGAACGGCAACGTTACCATTGGAAGCGGACATAGGCGGCGGAACAGCAGACACATACCGCCCCCAACGACAGGCGCAATGAGCGAATCTGTGCCTGCTGCGCCAGAAGTCCCTCGTGCACCACCCTCTTCATACAGGGATCCATACGCCAAAGGCGTCAGAGTGCCTGCGCGCTCCAGCTCCGGTCGATCGCGAGACCCAGCTATCCAATTGAACCCGAGCAGACAACAAGCAACTATACAGACGGCTGCTAACAGGCTGTATGAACTGCGGTCACCTCCATACGCCCCAGTCGAACCCTTGGCAGGAACCGTCGAACGACGCGGCTCTTCGCGCAGACCCTCTGTGCCCGATCGGTCGCCTCTTCAGAAGCTAGAGGGAAAGCTAGATGACATCAGCAAAGAAGAGAGAAGAGCAAGAATTCTTGAAGCGGAACTGGCTGCTCAAGAAAAGGCTGAGGCTGAAATGCGGGAAAGACGAGCGCGAGAAGCCGCAAAGAAACAGCATGAAGCCGCGCAGAAGTTACAAGAAGCAACCCAGAAACAACGAGTTGTGTCTGTACCCATACCGGAAAAGTCCAGTGTTCCAGCTTCGAAAAACAATGGGAGGCGACAGGTCTCCATGCCGATACAGGACAAACCCATGTCCCCGCCCATGTCTCCGCCCATGAGCGACATGGAATCAGACGACGGTTATGCCTATGACCTCAGCGAGCCATGGCATCCCGAAGATGCGCAAGGTGGAGCAGTTCAATCCGCCCAACCAATAACCATGCAGAAGGCGCAAGCCATCCCCACAGGCTATCAGCAAGTACCGCACACCGACGTTGCCGTTCCACGAAGCAGCAGTCTGAAGGGCAAAGAACCGGCAGGTTCACGGGGAGCTGGTAGCTTCAGCGATCGAAGTACGCTTCCTTCGCAGAATGTACCCAGGAAGGCTGTGGCTAACCCCTCCGGACTTGGTCTGTCAGGCGTCCGGGATACTTCAACACCGTCTGACGTATCTCGTTCGGATAACAAGAGAAGCCAGGGACGAAGAGATAGCCGAGGAATTATGGCCGCACAGATGGAAATGCAGCAAGATTCTATCGACTACAAGGGAACATCACGAGATAATGACAATCAGCAACTCCCGCGCAAGATTCCTCCTGTTCCACGGACCGTTCAGATCCCACCTGTTCCTCAAACCAACCGCAAGAGTGTCATGTTCTCCGAGTCCGAGTCGGATCTAGAACAGCATGATCCTGAAGTAAAACAAAATCGCCGATTTAGCCGTCACAATGAGCCAGAGAGGACATATACCCCCGCTCCTATGCTTGAGGAATGGAGAAGTGCACCAATCGGTCTTTTGACTGCAGATGACTTGGATTTGGATGCTCCAGTCAAAGCCAACAGTGGCAACAAAGCGTGGTGGGAAGAGAGCAAAGCTTCCCGACTAAGACGTTCCAGTGGATATGCGGAGCCAACATACGATGGTTATGCTGACGACACTCCCATACCAACTGCCTTCAACCCACCACTGTACTTGAAGTGTGGACCGCTCTTACGCTACACCGGTCTCCGGAGAGATCGTAGCGTACCAGGCAGGGAACGTGAAATTTGGCGAGGCAGCATCATGATCGTAACTGTTGATGCATCTTCTTCGTATTCTAAGCCACCGACATTAAGATTGTTCAAGCAGCCAATGGACATACTTCCTCCTCCACCAGAAGAGATCAGTCAGGACCAGTTGGACCCATCCTATGTCGATCCCATCGAAGGCCAGATCAAAGTGTCACGTACTGGCAAGACGTTGTACGTCAAGCCGGTAGATGAACTCGCAGAGAATGAGGACTTGTCGCGAGTCGAAGACGACACTGGCTTGTTTTCTCAAACCCGGAGCACAAGCAATGGATCGAGTGCTAAGTCTACCCGTATTCACAAGAAGGATGGCGAGAAGCTGGGCAAAGTTCGCGATTTTCCTGGTGTTCGCCTGTACGCTGAGCGAGGTGTGACCTTCTGGCGCTTCAATATCGAAGTCGAACTTGGCAGTAGCCAAACACGCATCGCATACAAGATCAATCAAGGCCCCGCCATCGGCTTCTGGGTCCCAGCTAAAGGAGAATCCATGAACATCATGTTTCACAGCTGCAACGGATTCTCGGCCACCGTTGATTCAAATGAATTCTCCGGTCCAGATCCGCTATGGCGCGATGTGCTGAACACCCATCAGACCCGCCCATTCCATGTAATGATCGGTGGAGGTGACCAGATCTACAACGATGCTGCAATGAGGGAGACGACCTTATTCAGGCAGTGGACCGAAAACAGAAATCCTATGCACAAGCACCACCAGCCATTCTCCGAGGAGATGCAAAACGAGCTTGAGCAGTTCTACCTCGACCGATATGCGATGTGGTTCTCGCAGGGTTTATTCGGTATGGCTAATTCACAGATCCCGATGGTGAATATTTGGGACGACCACGACATCATCGACGGCTTCGGATCATATCCCCACCACTTCATGCAAACGCCAGTGTTCACGGGTGTTGGTGCTATCGCTTTCAAGTATTACATGCTCTTCCAACATCAATCAGTACCCGCAGAAACCGACAAGACCGAACCGTCATGGCTACTTGGAAAGAGCCCAGGCCCATACATCAAAGAGCGCTCTCGAAGCGTCTTCATGCAGCTTGGTCGGCAGGTAGCATTCCTCGGTCTCGACTGCCGTACGGAGCGACAACGGGACGAGATCCTCACCGAAGATTCCTACGACATTATCTTTGACCGTCTAGAAGACGAGATTATCAAGGGTGAGACCAAGCACTTGATCGTGCTTCTTGGTGTACCTATCGCCTACCCTCGCCTGAACTTCCTCGAGAACATACTCACGAGCAGGCTTATGGATCCTCTTAAGGCTCTTGGTCGTGCGGGGATGTTGGGCAACTTTGTCAACAAGTTCGATGGAGGTGTAGAGATCTTGGACGACCTAGACGACCATTGGACAGCCAAGCACCACAAAGAAGAGCGCAACTGGTTCATAAAGGAGCTACAACACATTGCTTCGACCAAATCTGTACGCGTTACCATACTTGGTGGTGACGTCCATCTAGCAGCTGTTGGTCAATTCTACAGCAACAAGAAGTTGAATGTTCCCAAGGACAAGGATCACAGATACATGCCGAACGTGGTATCTTCAGCCATAGTCAACACACCGCCTCCAGACGTGATGGCAGATATCATCAACAAGCGCAACAAGATACATCACCTCGATTCGGAAACAGATGAAGACATGATACCCCTGTTCACTCATGGCGTCGACGGCAAGAAGAGAAACAACACTCATCTGCTGCCCCACCGGAATTGGTGCAGCATTCGAGAGTATAAGCCAGGCTCTTCGCCGCTAGGGACACCATCACCACCCTCGACTCCGAAGAATGGACCGAGTATGGGAAGATCGATGTCAGACTTTGCACCAGGACAGCTGGTGAGAAGACTGAGTGGCCAGCAGCGAAGACCTTCAGCAAGAGGTCGTGGTCCGCCTCTGTCTTATCGCAATAATCCTGCATATGCTGCTGCCGATGAGGAGCAAATTGGCCACCATCAACCACAGTCGTCATTCTCGCCTGATCGATCCGAGCCAGAGAGGCCCGCTCGTTCACGACGCAACTCTTTGACATCACTCTTCCGTCGCCGTGCATCGGTTGATGCCGCCCGTCCGGACACGTCCGAGAGTGCGACACCTCCTCTAAGTCGACACAGTTTGTCGCAGGATAGACCATCCAACTTTCACCGCCGTCCGAGTGTACTCACTAAGAAGAGTGCGCAACACCACGGTCAATTCATCAATCTTGAGGGCGGTCTTGACATCTGTCTCAATGTCGAGGTATCACAGCACGACCCGGCGGGTATCACAACACCATATAGACTGCTAGTACCAGCCCTTACCTATGTCGAGCCTGAGGATGGCGTGGTCGAGAAAGAAAGAACCAAGTCCCGTGGTTTCTTTGGCGCCTTCGGTGGCAAGCGCAACGCCACGATTGGCGACGACGGAAACTCCATTTCGGGCAGCGAAAGCGGAAGTGAACTTGGGGAAATCTCGAGCGAAGATGAGGAAGAACCCCCAGAACAGAAGTACAAAGTCGGACCCCGGATAATCATGCCGGGCTTTGGGTCTGGCAAAAGGCGTAACTCTGAGTCTGCTACCACTGCTCCCGTCGTCTCCACTGGCCCTGCTGTTTCTGCTGTTCCTGCTGCCCGTGAGAACCTTCTGAGTTCAGGTTTTCATGCTAACACAGCTGCAAACATAGCTCCAACCCAGACGAATGGAGCACCTCGCAACCTCGCCCCAGAGAATTATGGACGGCGAAGCATGGATGCAGCTGCAGGCACTTCATCCAGAGCCTCTGCGTGGGAGAACGTTGCCGCAAAACGGCACGTCAGTCAACCGGTACCTCCCTCCGCTACCCAGACGACGACCCAAACGACAGTGGTGCCATCCCGCTCCGCCTCCACACGCAAGCAGCCTACCTATAACTCGTCTCACAAGTCACAAATGCCTGCGCCTTCTCCAGAGGCAACGCCAAAGGTGCAGAGAAGATCAATGGGCGGTATTTTGAACCAACATTCACACGACAAGAAATGGGAGCATGATGCTCACGTGCTTGCTCATACACCATCACAAAAGAAAGCGAAGCGCGAATCATACCCGCCACATCCAGCGATCGTCGGCGCCGGTCCGAACTCGCCTTACTCACGAGATGGAGGAGGCCTCCAAGCCAGACAAGACACAGCAGGTGGTGACTACTTCACCAGTGGTGGCCGGGACGGGAAGACTCATCCTGCCATAGCGCCCAGGCATGTCGTAGATCCGGAGTACACCGAGAAACCAGTCCAACGTGCCGACTATGCTGCACAACCACAACGAAGTGGTTACGACCGTACCTCTTCCTACCCTGCCTATCCACAACGCAACGGCAGTGCTGGTGTTGGGGCAAAGTACCTCGGCGGAGGCAGATACGATGACGAAGAAGACAGCTTCGATAGCGCTGATGAGGATGAGGAAAGCCAAAGTGGGCAAGAGCAGGAGATGAGTCAGGAAAGTTTCGTTGTACCGAAGCGCAAGAAGAAGTGGCAGATTTGGAGATAACGGGCATCAGGGATTGCTTTGGCTGGTTTTAATGCATTTGGCGTCTGGCTAGACGCGAATTGATAATGATATTATGAATGGGTACATGACTGGTTGGGCTGCGGCTCAGGGTACATAATGACGGCGTAGCGTATACCATGGTGTGCTTAGCAGGTTTGGCATAGCGAGTTTGGTTGCTTCGAAATATTCTAATATATCGTTCTGGTATTCTCTTACCTATTTCCCCTTGCCAGCACAACACTTCAGTCGCACAAGACGCTTTCGAATGCAATGAACAACATGGAGCCGGCTCTAGACCTGTTGCCCATCCTAGACCCGGAAACAGCTTCCCACAGACTAAAGAGTTGAAGCCTACGCAGGAGATGTTGGATCTCTGCGCGAGGAGCTCTATAGACTCGGCTCTCCTGCGTCTACCCATTGATATGCGCAAGGATATCTGCGAGCATGCCTTCAGTACAGGCGGGACTATCTTTCATCGGAAGAATGATTCATGCGCAAGCATGTCGTTGAGCCCGAAGGAGAAAGAGAAGGAGAGAAGGAAGGCAAAGATATCCTCAATATCGAGGACAACCACACTCTCGTTCGCAACGCTCTCAACAATGGTGGGACCACGAAGCAGAAGGTACCAACAAATACTTTCTGTTCTTCTTTCACGTCACGACAAATTTACCAGGAACTTCGCAGTGGTAATGTTGACCCAGGACGAGATATGTGGGATCGTGGCAGGTGGGTAGATAGGTAAAAAGAAACATCACCGTGCAAGGACAACCCCGCCTACAAAAAGACAACTCCTTCGCAAGTGAGCGATGCGGGAACATTTACCATGTCGCACAAAAGAGCAAAAAATGAGATGAATCTCTAGTCCTGGTGGGGCTGGGAGACATGTTAGTAAAGAAACTTGAATCAATCTATCATGGAAATCACGTACTTCGAACCCACGGCATCCGCATAACCTTAGATGAGGTCATAAGAGTCTGACGAATCTTATAAGAACGGCGCGCTACCACTGCGCCACAGGACTTTTTTGTCCCTGGACTTGTTTTTGGATTTTTGCAGAAATTGTAACCTTATAATGTGCTGTGTGTGCGATAAGACATCGAGCTTTGCTTCGGCCTAGTGATCTGAATGGTTCGACATCGCACAGATAGCAGGGGCGGGGCAATGCAAACGTCGGTGAGTGATGACACAAAGAACGCCGCTAGCTGGTGGGGTGGCTGGCGTGAGGGGGTCGGCCAACCACATCCGCTTAGATCCATCTCGCGACATCTACCACGGTGCTCTCTCTTGCAACCATCACTCCACATCTTATATAACCATCTGCCAGACGCGTAGAGTTGTCGTTCAGTCTCCCAAAGAATTCATCATTTGGTAAGCCGCTATTCCAAGCCTCTCTTATCAACCCGTAGACTTCCTTCTTCATGTGTGGCGGGCGTCCTAGGTCGTTGCTTCTTTGTGAGTATGGAGCTTGACAGCAAGATACATTCAGCCATGAACAAAAGCTATTCGCAGTCGTCAACCAGTTACCTGCTTGACGATGCGATGAATCCGGTCATGCTCCACATCGAGTCTGGATATATGCTCGTCATCCTTGGAATGGGGTCTACACCGCTTCTGAAGCTTTGCCAGCACCCAAAGACCCTGTAGCTGCATGCCTAGGTAGTGAGCTCAACAGAATGACCCAGGATCTGGAAAGAGGTATCTTCTTGTCCCAAGAGTGGAACTGACATCTCACAGAGGTACCTTCTTTTAAGGCCTGTTCCAGTATGACGATCAGAGCTAGCAGATTCACACCTGAAGTGCTCTTGGAAGCACCCCGCCGTTCGGAAGGCGTTCCTAATTCTAATGCATCAAGAGTTTTATACTCCGTCTCGACATACAGCTTCTCTGAGCATTCGAAAAAATCTGAGATCCGTGTTCTGGATTCAGCAAGCCAACAGACCAGTCTCGTCACAGATGATGCATCCTTCAGCGAACCTTCGTGGCTAGATGATGAAACCATATTACTATTGAAGTCCCATGACGATGGGACTACAAACATAGTCGTTGGATCTCCAGACAACTTCGAGAAGAGGTATGTTCGGTGCTATTATCCCGAGTGTACGCCAGCTAATAATGCTCTAGCAAACACACTGCTGGCACGATACAAGGACCAGTAAGCGACTCCAAGATCTATGCTCTTGGTGGTGGCGTCTTTGGTCTCGCTGTCGTTGGCAAAGCCAAGCCAGATGGCACACTTTTCAACCCAGAGAAGGCCGAGAAACCTCACTCATCAGGCAAGCTGTACAAGTCTGGGTTTGTTCGCCACTGGGATCATTACGTGACAGAGAATCGGAACACGATATGGCTTGGCAAGCTTCAGCAGAAGCAAATGGAAAAGTCTCATGTCTTCGAGCTTGGACATCCTCTAACGAATGCGCTGAAAGGGACGAAGCTGGAGTCACCAATCGAACCCTTTGGCGGAAAAGACCACTTCGACATATCGAAATACGGTCTCGTGTTCACATCGAAGGATCCTGATCTTAATCCCGCGACACACACGAAAACCAACATCTATGTTTCCGCATCTGACAGCTTCTGGGATGATCTCCATTCAAAAGACATACCAGAAATCCAGAAGGCTACCATCGAAGGCTTTGAAGGTGCCAGCACGTCTCCAGTTTGGTCAAATTCGCGCGGTATGATCGCGTTCCTTTCCATGAAGACTGATGGGTACGAGTCAGACAAGAACCAACCGTTCATTATCCACGATTATAAGAAACCGTCGCAAGTCACTCTGCTCTACGGTTCTGAAGATGGCAAAGGAAAGTGGGACCGAAGCCCACAGTCTATATCGTGGAGCCCCGACGACTGGCGCCTCTACTTTACCGCAGAGTCACATGGTCGTGGAAACCTGTACAGCGCCGGGCCTCCTAATCCAAGCGGAGAGAAGGAGCCTCTTCCATCGCTTCTTGTAAAGGGGGGAACGATCGGCTCTGCAAAAGTGCTCAAGAATGGCGACGTTTTCGTGACTTCGACTAGCTTGATTGAAAACTCACTATACTCACTCGTCCCTCTAAGCACTCAAAGTAGCGATACGGCTGTCTACGATCTTCCTATTGACGACAGACCGTATGATGCGGATCCTGATCATCTGACAACTAAATACATCTCTTCGAACACGCGTTCTGGGTCTATGTTTGGTCTGTCACGCCACCAGATCGATGAAATCCATTGGGACGGTGCCGCATCCGGCACCAAGGTCCATGCTTGGGTTGTAAAGCCCAGCAATTTCTCGTGCAAGAAAATTTATCCGCTCGCCTTTCTCGTTCATGGCGGACCGCAAGGTGCATGGACTGATGGGTGGAGTACGCGATGGAATCCTGCCGTATTCGCAGAGCAAGGCTACGTTGTTATTTGCCCGAACCCTACTGGAAGTATGTGAATCCAAGGTATATGCTCTACAAAGACAAAAACTGACATGATATCTTAGGCACATCTTACGGCCAGGCCTTCACAGATGCCATCCAGGGCCAGTGGGGTGGTCTGCCGTACGAAGACCTTGTGTTGGGCTTCGATTACATTAAGCAGAACGTCAATTACGTTGACACAAAACGTTCCGTTGCCCTCGGTGCCTCTTATGGCGGGTATATGATGAACTGGATTCAAGGACACCCTCTCGGCCGCGAATTCAAGGCCTTGGTGACCCACGATGGTGTCTTTAGCATGTCCGGCCAGATGGCATCTGAAGAGTTGTACTTCCCTTTCCATGATATCAAAGGCACACTCTGGAACAACCCGGAAAACTGGGCCAAGGTAAGTCATAACTGGACGAGATGCAAGTGGGACGTGTGCTGACTTCGTACCTTCACTTGTACAGTGGGACCCGTCCAGGTTCACGGAAAACTGGGCCACACCGCAGCTCGTAATCCACAGCGAATTGGATTATAGGCTAACGATCAGTGAGGGTTTGGCGGCATTCAACGTGCTGCAGTGTAAAGGAGTAGAGAGCCAGTTCTTGACGTTCCCAGATGAGAACCATTGGGTGCTGAAGCCCGAGAATGGGCTCGTTTGGCATAAAGTTGTTTTGGACTGGATCAACGAGCATGTCGGATTGGAGAAGTACACGAAGGCCCTGAAGGTGATCAAGAAGGAGTAGCGGTTTATTAGCCACCTCTTATGATATGATATGTTTCATGTTCCATGTGGACACATGATGTGAAGGTTCGTGACGAGAAGAAGCTCGCATATATACAGATTCGCCTATTTGATCATGCTTTCAAGGTACACACTATCATTTGTGTCAATGTTTGATGAGACGAAATTCTGTAGTCGTGGTTCCCGTACGCGCTGCGCTTGGAGGTAGCGCGTTGGTGCTATCGATAAGAGATCCCTGGATTATTTTCTCGGGCGGCTTGTCGCGACCAGAACTTTTCCTCACTACGCAGCCCATTACCCGCCACAACAAGGGCCACACGAGTCGCCGCCCGTCAAGTTACCGGATCTTCTTTCGCGACCCAAAAACTGACGAGAGATCGCTTGCGCCACCCCATACCCGATCGTCATCGAAGAAGAGGCGGCAACGCCTGCGGAGCTCTCAAGATGCCGAAGAAAGCTATCGACTCCCGTATACCGGCCCTTATTCGCAATGGCGCCCAGGAAAAAAAGCGTAGCTTCTTCGTAGTAGTTGGCGATCGCCAGAAAGATGTCATTGTCAATCTCTACCACATCCTTCTGAACGTGGATGTCAAGTTGAACAAGTCGGTGCTGTGGGCGTACAAGAACAAGCTACTAGGATTTTCAAGTCACCGCAAGAAGCGCGAGAAGAAGATCAAGAACGAGATCAAGCGTGGGATCCGCGATGTCGATACCGAAGACCCGTTCGAACTATTCGTCTCGACACAGAATATCCGATACGTCTACTACAAGGAAACCGAGAAGATTCTGGGTAACACATACGGCATGTGTATTCTGCAAGACTTCGAAGCGCTCACGCCGAACCTACTGGCAAGGACGATAGAGACGGTCGAAGGCGGAGGACTGGTTATATTGCTGCTAAAGGGCATGAGCAGCTTGAAGCAGCTATACACAATGTCCATGGACATTCATTCAAGATATCGGACCGAGGCTCACAGTGACGTGGTAGCGCGTTTCAATGAGCGCTTCTTGTTATCACTTGGAAAGTGCGATAGTTGCTTGGTTGTCGATGACGAGCTGAACGTGCTCCCCATCTCAGGTGGAAAGCATGTTAAGCAGCTACCGCCACCAGATGCAGAGTTGGAGGGCAAGACACCCAAGGCGAAAGAGTTGGCCGAGATCAAGGAGTCGCTAGCAGACTCGCCTCCAACTGGAGACTTAGTCAAGCTCGCGAAGACTGTAGACCAAGCGAAGGCGTTGCTGACATTCGTGGAGGCTATTGTCGAAAAGACGCTTCGAAGCACCGTAACCCTGACCGCGGCCCGTGGACGTGGAAAGTCAGCAGCTTTGGGTGTTGCAGTGGCAGCAGCAGTAGCGCATGGATACAGCAACATCTACATCACATCACCTAGCCCGGAGAACTTGAAGACTCTTTTCGAATTTATTCTCAAGGGATTCGATTCCCTAAACTATGCAGACCATCAAGACTACACCATCATGCAGTCTACACAACCGGACCAGAACAAAGCTATCGTAAGAATCGAGTTACACCGCCAACACCGGCAAGTCATCCAATATATCAGACCCGAAGATTCGCATGTCCTAGGACAAGCGGAACTCTTGGTAATTGATGAGGCTGCAGCAATTCCTCTACCGCTCGTACGGAAACTCATGGGTCCATACCTGGTTTTTATGGCCTCGACCATCAACGGATACGAGGGAACTGGTCGTTCGCTCTCTTTGAAGCTCATACAGCAACTTCGTGAGCAGTCGCGAGGCAAGGGTAGCAATGGCTCGACTTCCGTAGTAGACCGTTCGACTGGAAAGGAAACAAAGGACGCTACAGAGACATCCATGACCGGCCGATCTCTCCGAGAAATTACACTATCAGAACCTATTCGATATGCCCAAGGTGATTCTGTCGAACGGTGGATGAACGATCTTCTATGTCTCGATGCAACATTACCCCGAAGGTCGATTACCCAAGGATGCCCTCACCCGGACAAATGCCAGCTCCTTCATGTCAACCGCGATACCCTCTTCTCCTACAACCCTGCTGCCGAGAAGTTCCTTCAGAAGATGATGGCGTTGTACGTAGCTAGTCACTACAAGAACACGCCCAACGACCTCCAGCTCATGTCAGATGCACCTGCACATCAGCTCTTCGTACTCACTGGACCTACCGAGGAGAACAAGCTCCCTGAACCTCTCTGTGTCATCCAAGTAGCCCTTGAAGGCCAAATTAGCAGGGAGAGCGTGTTGAACAGCCTGAGCAGAGGACAACGCGCGGGCGGTGATCTGATCCCTTGGATCGTTTCACAGCAATTTCAAGACGAAAACTTCGCCAGTCTTTCAGGAGCTCGTATTGTGCGAATAGCAACTAACCCAGAGTATGTCAACATGGGATACGGATCAAAGGCGCTACAGCTTCTTGTTGACTTCTACGATGGCAAGCTTGCCAGCTTGTCGGAAACCGAGCCCCAAGAGGTGGAACAGATGCGAAGAGTGACAGAAGAAGATTTGGAGAATGAGTCGCTCCTGAAAGACAATGTCAAGATTCGGGAAGCTAACGAGATGCCACCGCTGTTTGCCCGGCTACAAGAGCTGAGGTCACCAAAGCTCGACTATGTTGGTGTTTCGTATGGTCTTACGTCTCAACTTCACAAGTTCTGGAAACGCGCGTCCTTCGTCCCGGTTTACCTCAGGCAAACACCGAATGATCTCACCGGAGAACATACGTGCATTATGCTGCGTTCGTTAGAGACCACTTCGTCAGACGGAAGCTGGGTTGCTGCTTTCGCTAAGGACTTCCAGAAGCGCTTCCTCTCCCTTCTGTCATACCAATTCCGGTCATTCCCCTCCATCACCTCTCTTTCAATAGAAGAGTCCGCATCAGCGGGATCTAAACTAGATGCCGACCTCGCCGCGAAACCCGTTAGCAAAGCCGAATTGGACGCTCTCTTTACGCCTTTCGACCTCAAGCGTCTAGACTCGTACGCGAATAACATGCTTGACTACCACGTCATTCTAGACATGTTGCCTCCCATCGCCACTCTCTTCTTCACTGGCCGTCTCAAGGGCCAAGTCAAACTTAGCGGTGTTCAGACTGCACTACTTCTTGCCATTGGACTGCAACGCAAAGAGTTCTCCGATGTGGAAAAGGAACTCAACCTTAACTCTAGCCAGCTGATGGCCATGTTCGTCAAGATTGTACGAAAGGCCGCCACAGCGTTCCGCGGTATAGTAGAGGGCGCCGTTGAGGAGACTATGCCCGACGCTATGGAGGTAGAAGAGAATGGCGGTGATGGCGAAGCTGCCAACGACGCCCACCGCTTCATGCCCCTTGAGAAGGATTTACAGGAGGAGCTTAGGGAAGGTGGGGATGAGTTCCTGGCCGAGGATAAGGAAAGACAAAGGAGCATGATTGATGCTTTGCCTCTGCACAAGTAAGTCTATCATAATCGACCTTGTGTCCACTTATACGCATTGCTAACCTTGCTACCCAACAGATACGAAATTGGTGCAGGAGCTGCTGACTGGGAAGAAGCCGAACGCGCTATCCAAAACGCGGCCAAGAAAGGCGGCGCAGGTAGCATGACTGTCGCTGTCAAGACAGGCGAAAAGAAGAGGAAAGTCGGCGAGGCGGTTGAGGAGGCGTACAAGGAGGCTGAGAAGTTCAAAGAAGGTGCTGCCAAGAAGAGTAAGAAGCACAAGTCTGGCAAGAAGGCTTGATTGGAGACGCGCTGTGCATGCATAATCAGGGAGTTTCTCAGGCGTATTGTTTATCTATGGGAAAATCGGTGCTGTCTGTGTATCAGTACTCAATCAACTAGTCCATGATTGATATCTCACCACAAAGGAGCCTCTTGTTTTGTAAATTGTAACCACCTTTAAATATGTGCTCTAGAGGAATGCGTTGTTAGTGTCCTATCAAGGTTGTAATCCAGAAGTCCATATATACTTTCAGGGAGCGCTTTGCCCAGATGGTGATTCACAAATACAACTCAAGTAACACGAGCTTCTTTGTGTACATTCATCAAAGCCCAGATGTCCGACCAAATGAAGCGGAACATTATGATATTACATATGCATATAAGATAGTTTAGAGGAGAGCCCATGTTGCTACCATCAATACGTTTGCTAACGAGAAACAGATTCGAAATGATTCAATCATGGGGATATCATACGCATAATCACGAACAATGTGGAAATGGAGACCGACGTATGCGCTCTCCCTCCCCAGTCCTTCCCTTTCTCCACCTTCAAGTCAAAGTCCGACTAAGGACGGACACTCCATGACACCGTGTCCCCTGATCTTACACAATGGACACCAGTCATCCCTGTTTGTAATATCTGCACCCTCGTTCTAAAAGGCGTCTTCATTTGGGCAGGCCGTAACATCGTGTCCCTCACTCTCGCACAATGCGCACCATTTATCTGGGTCAGCGATAGCTGCACCCTTGGGTGGCACGAGATCGGAGTTTGACGCGTTGAACGAAGGAGTGGGGAGAGGGGCTGTGGGCGCGCTGCCGGGTGGTTTCGATGGGCTAAGAGCAGGGGGCCGGGCGCGATCAGAGGAGACGGACAGGCCGCGGAGGCCTTCGATGACAACGTCTTTGCCGTTGCGCAGACCGTCTTCCTTGGGGTACGAACTATCTCCGCCCATAGCGGAGCAGTTCAGAATGTCGTGGCCGCCTGTTTCGCAAATTTCGCACCAGAGGAGGCTGCTGTTAGCGGAGGAGCGGCCGTCAGATTCCGGCATCGCGGAGAGCGCAGGAGGCGCATCGCGACGAGGGTGCTGAGAAGGTTCTCTCCAGTTGACAACAGTGTCTTTAGAATCTCGCTCTGACGGCTTTTCTGGTATGGCGGTGTGCTCTGACATGCCGTTGCTAATTACGCTTTCCCGTTGCTCTGCAAGGCCAAGTTGTGCTTTCAGTTTCTCCAACTCACGTTCTAGCTCTTCTTCCCGGTAGGCTTTGCGTTCCACGAGACCGCGGAGTTCCTCCTTTTCGCGCTCAAGACGTTCTGCGTTTGCTTTCGCGGTTTGGAGCTCCTCGGCATCAACAGACGAGTTTTGCCGCGACAAAGGTGAGCGCCGGTCATCTCCTCCACCAGAGCTCAATGAATGTATGATGGCCTTTAGACCACGAATCTCGTCGTCGCGTTGCTCGACTTCCCTTTGTCCTGGTGTGTGGGGCGCCTCGACCATTGCGCCAGCCCCCTTAAGAGCAGCAGCAGCCTTCTCGCGCTCACGACGGAGTTCGGATCTACCTCTCTCGACTTCTCCACGCAGGAACTCTACTTCGCCTCTGGCCTCTGCTTCGCCCCTACGCGCGTCTTCCAGGCCTTCTTCCAGCTCTTGTACAAGTTCTTCCAGTTGCTTCAATTGCATTGCTACAGTCTCGACATCTTCACTACGAGACGCATACTCGCGCAACTCTTCCTGTAGCTCCTCTACCTTCTTCTCGTAAACGCGCTCAGTTTCAGTGCTCGCTAGCTCTAGCGTGTCGATTGTGCTCCGGAAGTCGGATCGATGTGCGTCGAACTCAGATGTGAGCATAGCGATCTTATCGTTCTTCTCTCTGAGAAGTGCTCGTAGTTGCGCTACATCAGTCGGCTCACTGCTGCCATGCGCCGATGCCATATCCATTCCGTCCTCAGGTATCAGGCTCTGAATTTCTGTCAAACTCGCTTCCATCTCGCTCAGCGACGCTGCTTGCTCCTGAAGCTGCTTCTCCTTTTGTTCCAACTGCGCCTGGAGGCGCTGCACCTCTTCATTCGGAGACGAGCCTAGCCGAGAGCCCGGTCTGCGATGCTTGTAGCTGGCCATGGAATCATTGCTGGTTCGCGCTGCACCAACCGGCGTCGTCTCGTTGTCCTCGTCAATAGTATCCTGATGACCAAGACGAGAACTGCTTCGCGAGTAGGGTCGTTGGGGACCGGGTGTCCGTGGCTTTGGTGGAGGAGCAGCCCTGGGCGCAGGACTGGCATAACGAGGAGGTGCGGGACTTGCGAATCTTGGTGGCGCGCCGATTGCGCTCTTGGAGAAGCCAGAGGGTGTTAGGCCGCCGCTCCTGGCAGGGGTTGCACCAAGACTGGGCTTCTGGCGATAGGGAGATTCTGGTCTGAATGAGGGTCGTACTGCTGAGGGCACCCTCTTGGGACTGGTGGTACGGGTGCCGGGGCCGACGGATTGGGAGAACTTGGGCAGTGGCATTGATGGGGTATCCGGACTGAAGCTGGGCTTCTCCGTAGTCGAGAGGCTAAAGTTGTTGTGGTACGAGGGCGTGGTAGGCTCAGGTGCGAAGTCGGACGAGTCGGCCGAGATGCGCTTCTGTGCGCGGTGTACGGGCAGGAAGATGCCAGAGCCGGGGACGGAGGTATCGAAGTATTGTGTACTGGAGAGACATCAGTATGCGCGCACATGTCGAGCGTTGTGTATGCGTACCCGTCGACTGCGCCGTCGTTCTTGCCCCGCGCTGCATACTCGCGGTTCAGTTCTACTCCCGCGAAGACGCCCTGCTTGCCCCGAATGCTGCCAACAAACTTGACGACACCGATCATGCCGCCGGGCACATCGACCGTGTCGCCGACGTCTATGTCCTTTCCGTCTGCGCCCATCCTGTTTGATGGCGAGCCTCCAGCGCCTACTAATGCTGATAGCGATGCTTGCCGTGCGATGTTTCTGCTGGCGTTTAACGAAAGGTTGGGCGACGAGGCAGTGGGGTGGAGAGCAGGCCGCGCTCCAAGACGCCTGGGAGTGTGCGGGTACGCCATACCGGACGGCTCGTTTGACAGGGTCGACCTGTTTGGAGTGTCACAGGGCAGGCAGGACGGTGTTTGTTTTGATGAGATGGTATGGCAGGGGTTGGACTGCCAACGTAGCGGCGACTGAGGAGCATGACTTAATTAACCGATCGTTGCCCAATCCATCGCACCCCTCGCATCAGGGGAAACGTCTCTCCTTTCCCTTCGCAACCCATCCTTCCACCACACTCTTGTGTCTTGTCTTCCTCTCGCCTTTTCTGAAGCATCGTCAAAACTGTCATCAACCGTCGTACTAAACATGGTACACGACAGTAGCGTGCACATCATCCAAGTATGGGAACGGTCAAAAAGCAAGACGGTTCAATACTAATGACACCATAGTAACGGCCTTGTGCATCGACACGATGAGATTGTCATCTGCATACTCGACAATGCTACTGGCTGTCTGAAGCGTACGAGGTTTCGTAAAGTGAATTGACTTTCACATTTCAGCCACCTCATTCAACCATCCCAGCATTATATCAATGTTATTAGGATGCAAGCCATGTGTCTTCCCGCTCGAAGCCACAAAAGCATAACAATCAGATCGCGTAGTTAGTCTCCGACGCAAACCATGTCCTTGCTCGCTGACGCAAGGACGCCGAACCTTGCGCATTGAACGCGTGGGCACGTGAGGACGAGCAGGAGCGGGGAGGACAGTCAGAACTTCCGGCAGCCCCGTAATCGGGCATGATATGTGCTGAAGTCTGGACAGATGAAGATCATCAAAACAAATGCAATAGATAACAGTTTGATGTTTAGCTGCGAATGTAACAGCGCGGTCGAACGACAATAAATTTGATCATCACAAAGGCAAAAGTCACGTAGATTGCAAAACGAAGAAGATAACAGTCCCCCAAGACCGTTCTTCTGATACCTTCTTTCGCAATACCAAAGGAACGCTAAACCATGGAAAAGTCCCTACAGCATCGATGCAGATAACCGCGGAGTCGCAGGCATTCCCGACTCGCCGACCGAGCGCATTTCCCCATGTTCCACAATTGCCTCGGCTCACGCTTCGGTGATGGTCAACCGCGCCAACTACATCACCGCTCGCGCGCCCACACCATGGTTACTCCACAGACGCTTTCAACATGGCTGGCAGCGTACGACAACCAATCGACATCGCCTCGTTGGAGCGCTATGTCACCGCAAATGTACCCGAGATTAAAGTCCCCCTGGATGTGAAGCAGGTACGTCTGTTCCGGAAGAGTTGGGAACGTTTGGAAACCAGAGCTGATTGATCATGTAGTTTGGTTATGGACAGTCAAATCCAACGTATCAGCTGACCGACAAAGATGGAAAGAAATATGTTCTGAGGAAGAAGCCTCCGGGTCAACTCTTGTCAAAGGTATGACGAGGCTTTCCATTCGAGAAGCCTACCACCTCAAGCTGACTTGAAGCTATGTAGACAGCGCACAAAGTCGACCGCGAGTACAGAATTATTCACGCACTAGAGAACACAGATGTCCCTGTTCCGCGTGCACTATGTCTCTGTCAAGACCAAGCCGTCATCGGCACCGACTTTTACATTATGGACTTTCTCGATGGGCGCATCTTTGAGGATCCTGCGATTCCAGGCGTAACAGCGGAGGAGCGAACGAAGATGTATGAAGTCCTCATAACCATGTAGAAACAAAACACCATGCTAACAAGTACTCTTAGGTGGCACTCCGCAATCACCACGCTCGCGAAATTCCACCGCGTATCTCCATCATCTGTAAACCTCTCTTCATATGGCAAGAATTCTGGTTTCTACGACCGCCAGATCGCCACCTTCAACACAATCTCCCAGTCGCAAGCTTCCGCCAAAGACAAGGAGACTGGAGAACCGGTGGGAAAGATACCACACCAGGACGACATGGTGGCCTTCTTCAAGGACCCAAAGACACAGCCAAAAGACCGCTCAACCTTTGTACATGGCGACTACAAGATTGACAATGTTGTCTTTCACAAGACAGAACCCAGGGTAATTGGCATTCTGGACTGGGAAATGAGCACCATTGGGCACCCGCTATCTGATCTGAACAACGTCCTTGCGCCCTACGTGACAGCGTCGAATGAAATTGCCATGTCTATCGGACGCGCGCATAAGGGTTTTCAGCCTGGAGCTACACCCGGGTTGCCTACGCGCGAGCAACTCATCGCATGGTACTCCGAGGTCGCCGGCTGGGACCCGAGACCTGATTTCACTTGGGGCGACGCGTTTAGCACATATAGGAGTGCTATCATCATGCAAGGAATCGCGGCACGGTATGCGTTGAGACAGGCGAGTAGCGAGCAGGCGCAGACGTATGCGGCCATGATGAAGCCCTATTCGGAGATTGCATGGGGCCTTGTGCAAGAATTCAAGAGCGGGCATGAGGAGAGAGCGAAACTGTAGTCCCTGGATCTGTGTAAGCTATGTATTAGCGAATTCATCTCAAATATGCTGGAATTGTCTGAGAATAGCGTCGTCTGGGAGCTGTAAAGGTGGTCTGTTGATTCTCTGACTCTGAAGATAAAAATGGCCGGGCTCCTTTGCACTTTTCTCTACCAGATTCTTTTATCGAGATCCAAGCCTATCTTTGCCCTAGAAAATTGCCCAAAGCTGGTATCATATGGGTACAGTATCGTCCTGTAAATTTGAAAACGTCAACACATGTTCCGCAAGATGTCCTCCATGATCGTGGTGCTCTGAATGGCCAGGCGTAGAAAGGGGCCCGATGAGGCATACCCGTAAGTGTTCGCGCCTCAAACGCCCATGCGCCTTGTAATGCCCTGATTCTGCCATCTGCCGTCTGCCATGCTCTTGCCGTCGTTCGATGTACCACAGATATGCTGTGTTACTGGTCGCTTGCGTGTGTAGTCTTTTATCGTCCGATCTTGGGTACGTCCTGGTTGATGCGGTCAAGCGCCTGCGATTTGATTAGCTTTTACTTCTATCCTTTTTGGACTTGGGACTGCATACTTCAAGCATGACCACGGCGTTTCCTCGGATGACAACCATGCCGATGCGCACCTTCTCACCGCCAGCCTTCTCTTCTAGCGCCTCGTCGAGTACAATGTTCAAGTAGACCTACTCAGTGTCAGCTAAGTCTACAAGCGGTGTGGAATGGAGAAACATACATCGTATCCACGGAGGATACCCATGACCTTGCGGCTGCCATTGAGCTGGACAAGGACGCGCTTCTCGAGGTACTTTTGGAGGTTAGGATCTGGAGGTATAGGTCGGCGTTGTGAACTCACCTTCTTGAGCTCCGGCTGTGCTTGGGGCATCTTGGCGGGCTTAATTTGTTTTGAGCTTAAGTGCGGCAGTACAAGTTCCTGGTGACGGCTTCAAGTTGGTTTGCTCGTGTTGGTCGTTGGTGAACTAAAGACGCGCGTGATGTTAGCAGGAGCAGCGTTGCGCATGGTGGTGGGATAGCTCCATGGGATTTTGCGGAGGGCCCGTGCATAGGCGGCAGCCACGACATGTGCGCGCGAACGCATCTCTTCCACACTATACCCGCGGTTTCCATGTGACAGAGAGGCTTTCCGCATAACAATCCTCATGATGAAGCGATCCGGTTCTACACGCGTCGCGCGCAAGATTGGTAGCTACGATGACGACGAGTCCACCGCCGAGAGCGCCAACAACTCGCAGAGCGAAGTACAAAACCCTACAGGTCAGTCACCAATGATCGCAATTGCCAGCCTTTCTGACGTTGGGGAAACTCACAGCGAATCCCTCCAGGCCGACCTGAAAGCTGGCGACTCTGGTGGCTTTGTGCTAACTGGCCTTGTAGTCGTCAAGCGGCCAACAATTGGTAAAGCAAAGAAGCGCTCATCCATGCGGGTGTCTTTCGGCCCAGGCGAAGACGCAAATGATGGCGACGACTCGAGCGACGCAGCCGTCGTGACCCCAAAGAAAGCGAACCTCAGCCGCATAGCCCTAGAGAAGAGTGCGCAACTGCGGGCGCGTTCACCCCTCGTACCAGAAGCCGCTCGACCAACCGAATATAGCAAGGATTACATAGCAGAGCTGCGAAATTCGACGCCGTCAACACCTCAAGACTTGAACACGTCTGCCGACGACCAAGAAGAGACCCAAGCCCTCGATATCGCATCGAAATTTGGCCCTGTCGCTTCGCTCGAGGCGTCATCCGCAATCCCTACAGAAGCTGAGATTCGGGAGAAGAAGGCGCGGAGAAGACGTTTAGCCCTTGAGGAGAACGCCATAGACGATGAGGACCGCGCATGGGCATCTGACGATCAGGGAGAGGACGAGTTCAGGCAACACAGGAATGAAATCTCTCTGCGGCCGAAGGACAAGTATGCAGAGACGCGTTTGATACATGACGATGAGGATATAGCCGAGGGCTTTGACGATTTCGTTGAAGATGGCAAGATCTCGCTCGGTCGCAAGTCAGAAAGGGAAGCGCAACGAAGACGGCGTGCGGAAATGGCAGAACTTATCAATGACGCCGAAGGTGGCTCAGGAGATGATGGGACAGAGGACTCGGACGAAGAGAGAAACACCGCTTTCGCGGCAGCTCAAGCACGCGCAGGGCGATACGGCCAGAAGATCGAAGACGAAGACGACGGTACGAAGACACCTCCGCGCATCACGCCCCTGCCAGACTTGGACGAGGTCCTCGAGGGCCTCACAATCGATATGCAGGCAAAGCAGCAGAAGAAGAATTTGATCTTGCAGAAGCTGCAAGATCTCAAAGACGACAAAGTCAGGATTGAGGAGCGGAAGAAGTATCTCCAAGAGCAACTGCAGAAAACAGGCGACGAGTATGAGAAGTTACGCCAGGAGTCAGGTCTTCCTGCGCTACCGGCAAACAGTGCTGAGGGAGGCCGCTTGATCACAGAGAGGGGGTTGGACAGCTTGGGTACTACTCCATTGGCCGGAACTACACCAATAGCTGGTAGATCTGGCGATGAGTCTGATGTTGAGTAGCGTTTGTTTGAACTGGAGTTTCTAGCTCTAGCAGGGAAATGCTGGGCTACCTGTGCAGTAATATTAAGAACATCATTCATGAAAACGTCTGAATGCTCCTGTAACGCCTGATGACTGCCATGATATAATACAGAAGCCTGAAAGCTCTCCGACGATCGTGTCCGTAAACTCCCATCCATATGCAATTCCTCTTCCTCGCAGTGTGCTCTGCACAGGCGCCTAGTGCCTATATCGCACGTCTTTCTTCCTTCTCATGCTCATTTGTTCTCGTCCAACTCCTTCCACACCTTCTGTATCCTCTCCCTCTTCTCCTTAGCCGCCTCGCGATTCGCCTTTGTCTTCTCAAGTCGCAGTCCACGCAGGCACATGTTGACTTTGTATTTCGCGTCGGTGCAATTGCCCGTCACTTTCCAGAGGAAGCCCTGGTTGTGGCATTCTTCTAGCGCTGCGACGACATCTGCGCAGTCTGAAGGGTAGGTGTTAGAAAGGCCGAATAGGATTGGCAGAGGGGGTGGGGTGGCGCACTCTTTTGAACTTCTTCGGTATGTAGATGAGGATGCATCGTGGACGTGCGCGGGCTTTTTCGTTTGCGCCGATATCTGGTATGAATGCCGGAGAGTACTTTATGAAGCTGTGCTGGTGGGCCAAGTCGGAACGGGATCTTGAAGACCTCGAAGTTGCCGACGAATCGTTGAAGATCTGGTGAACTACGTCCGAGCGCGCACGCCTTCACGCGGAAGCCACTTCATATCAAAACTCTCAAGGTTCGCGTGAATTCTCTATTCTACTTGTGTCACGTTCTTTTACCCTTCGCTGGACGTCACGAGTTTCTTTCCTCTTTAGGCGTGCGTACCACGCCTTGAGTCAAGAATCTTCTTTCTCCTCCGAGTTCCCCGCAACGACCGTCGACGCTGCTCCTCCCAGGATACACATCGAAAAGTTACATCATCAATATGGCGTCTCAACAACAGTTGAAAAAGCAGCAAGGTATTTGATGGCGATGATCGCTTCTGTCGAACTCGCTGACCTGTGAACAGAGCTCCAAACCACATATCAAAACTACAAGGTCAGGAAAGATGGTACTCATGTAGAATATGCAAACTGATTATACGCCAAGAACACGCTTCAAACGATTGCCTCAAAGATTGGCGATATCGAACAAGAGACTGAAGAGCACAAGTAAGTTTGGACTATATCACAACTATGAAGCCACAATACGCCATCTTTCGCAAACCTTCTTACACCGCTTCTGCCCTGCGCCAGCCTTATATCGCTCCATGACTTGGGGTTCCTAGTGCTATTACACCGCTTTCTATCCCCATTACGACACAGGAGATACTGACAAACACCAGACTCGTCTTGGAGACGCTGCAACCACTGCCGGGAGACAGGAAATGCTTCCGCATGATCAACGGTGTCTTGACTGAGCGAACGGTCAAGGACGTTGTACCGATCCTACAGACCAATTCAGACGGTCTGAAGCAGGCACTAGAAGAGCTAGTCAAGCAGTACAAGTTGAAACAAGATGAGATGGAGAAGTGGAAGGTACGTCCGCAATGCGCTTGAATCTTGTACAGCTTTGAGCCGGGCTTCTGTCTCGAGACTACAAGACTAACTCTGCCGCTGTAGAAGAAGAACAATGTCCAAGTCGTCCAACAGCCAGGGCAATAGAAAGGTACCAGTCATGTAAGGACCCTTTGACAGGACGGGCACACTGCATACGCTGGGAACCACATAAGATGATGCAGACGAGTACAGCAGCAACGTCTCCAGTAACTGGAACTGGTGTGGACGCAGAGGGGCCCTGTCAGGGTTTTGTGTTTTTCATGGCGGAGTATACAGCCGCAATTGGGTATCTCTGTGTTCTGATTTTGCACAGCATGCCACAACAGAATAACATAGCCTCTTGACGACAAGTGAAGGCTTGCCGGTGAACAGCGTCTATATCAATCGTGTAGTATACCTCACACAATCATACGGGAGACCAAATTCCATGATTGAACCAGCCACAACAGATCCGAATGACTGGATATTCAGCTACTGTTCTTCCAATCAGATTCACATGCAACTTGAATGGCCCCACAAGCTCCCGACTACGTAAGTGCTTACCAGAGTGAAGGATCTAGGACTCCACCGTTGTCTCGGCACGTGCTCCCAAACCCAGGGGTCTCTGCAAGATGCGTTGTCCAGTCGGCTCCTACTCAAACCGACGCACTGATCTGCACCATCTCACCCATGAAATCGGACACGTAGCTTATAGGCTACCGGCAAAGTCTTCACAGAGGATGACGAACGGTCCGGGGGGTTGAGTCGTTAGTGGCTGACCTGACCGTCATCTTGTGTGTTGGCTAAGTGAAGCTGGAGCAAGGCTGTATGCAACATGTGCAAGAGCCCAACGAACAGCGATGATTACCGACGTCGGTGAAGGCTGGGATCATGCCAGGAGGAGCCTCAACAAGACATGTTCTTGCTGAATGTCATCTGTGGCTGCAGTGGTGACGACGCGGCAGAGATATAGGACGTGGGGTGGTGTTGGTAGGGCTGCCGAATGATAGCTGCTGATGCGACTCGCATACAGGATCGCCAGCTAGCCTGAGGGGTCTGCAGTAGGCAAGGTTCCGGACAGACGGTATGCCGATGATGCAACCGGTCCGAGTCTTGGAAAAGAACATGTCCTGCAAGAGGGTTGGAATGCTAGGGGACGAAGTCGAGGTTTGATGTTGCTGCTGTGCTAGGAAAAGAATGCTCAAGAAAGTCAACCATGTTTCGGTCGGCACGGGCCGGGATTGGTGCGGGCGGCCGAGTTTCTCCTCGTCCCCTACATTCCATTCGCTCGTAGTCGTGAAAGCCAAATCCACCGTCTCTCCACGCACCAACGCTATCGCCCGTCCAAGCTCCATCCTCCCCCATCTTCTCCTTGCGCTCCTATTGGTAGGCGCGTCATTCATCGCTCCAACGTCGCGACGTCAAGTCGCCATTGCCAACAGTCACGCCTAACTGCGCCCGAATAACGCCCTTGATTCAACCCGGACCACGGCCTGCTAGCTGCCACTCTCACCTGCATATCGTCCCACCGCTACTCTCACGACACGGTCAGTGAATCACCAGTGTCGCACGCGAGATCGTGCCGCCAACGGTAATACACCAACGTCACTCTGTGTCGCAACTGCCCCGGTCGCGGTCGCGTCTGCTACTGTCGCAAGCCGCTCCTGCCACTTGCAGCGTACGTGTAACGCCAGCATCGCGAATAGCCCCAGGCGTCACCACGAGTAGTAGTTCACACGACGCTCCCTTGCGCCGTGCTCTCCGTTGTCGCCGCTCCCCACGTACGTTAGCTGCATCCCATGCTGCCTGCTGCATGCCACTAACCGCTTCTCTCACCAGGCATCTCGTTGCACCACTGACCGCAGGTTGCATACTCGGCCGCCAAGTTGTGCCGTCGTCTCTCCCAGTGACGTGGTCGCCAACGGAACAGTCGCCAGCGCATACGCTTCCGAGCAGGCAACCGATAATATGTCGGCCTCTCCCCCAAAACAGGAGGGTGTGGAACCAGTCCAGTCGCCTGACGAAGAACAGCCCATGGACAGGAACACAGAGGAGAACACAGCTCAGATAGGTTACGAATTCGAGGTCAAGGAGCAAGACCGATGGCTTCCAATCGCCAATGGTACGTCTATTTCCCTTGCTGCTTCCCGCCAGTTTGATTTGCGCACTGTTTCGCTCCAGCCTGCACGTCGACAGATTGCTCCAACGGGCGTCTCTGGATGCCGACAGTTCCTCCACTCGCGCGTCTCTGCGTCGAATTACGGAAAGCTGTACCTGCCGCAAGCCACTCAGATTCTCTGTGTGCCTGGAAAACGGCCGGCGTGTAGCCTACGGAATGTCGTCCTCTTCTCCCCACTCGTCCACTTCCCCACCGTTGTCTACGCCAAAGAGCACAAACGCGAACAGCAGTACCGCCTCCGATGCTAACATACGTAACTTTGCTCCAGTTGCGCGAATCATGAAGATGGCGCTCCCCGACAACGCCAAGATAGCCAAAGAGGCCAAAGAATGCATGCAGGAGTGCGTGAGCGAGTTCATCTCATTCATCACCAGCGAGGGTATGTCGTACTCCGAGTCTTTCTGATACAGTCACTGAATGGCTCGCTAGCGTCCGAAAAATGCCAGCAGGAAAAGCGCAAGACTGTCAATGGGGAGGACATTCTGTTTGCCATGACTTCACTCGGCTTCGAGAACTACTCAGAGGCCCTCAAAATCTACCTATCCAGGTATCGCGAAGTAAGCTGCCAACTTTTCTTATCCCCCTTCTGTCCTTCTTTTGTTGCCTACTATTTGGCCGAAACGTTTATCTGAACTATTGGTATTGATTGGTGGTACGAGACCCTCCTCGCAAATCAGAACAAGCCACCCACTGGGCAGTTCGGTTCATCCGGGTCCGGCGGGCCCGCAGGCCCAGAGGGTCAACAGCATGTACTGAGTGGCGACTCCGAAATGGCCGAAGACGGCACCGCCTTTGGATACACGGTCCACAACGGAAACGGGAACGAGTACTAGTCGATCCGGGCTCCGATGGTCAACACGGAACGAGGAGAATAGAGCAGAGATTGCTTAGAGCATCTGTACTGCACCTTGGCCATTGGAAAGGAAGAAGATCTCGAATGAACGAAGAAGAGACGGGGATGTTGATACCATTGTTATGGTTAGATTGTCACAAACGCGCCACTGTCGCTTACAGTCGGAGGATCATGTTTAAGGTTATGAGGCGTGGAACGGATGTACACAAATCTATTGCTGGATCTCACCCGAGGATCTTGTTACGAAAAGGGCTACGATTGGCTGGAGTAGGACAGGACACACATGGGCAACCACGATACCTTTTCGATTCTTGCTCTTCACTGGATTACTGGTCTAGATCTTTCTTCTTGCTCACACGAGCTTCACAACATTCATTACATTCTTGGGCACAATGCCATCTTTTTCGCAACGCATTGCTGTGAAAGTTCTCTCATAGGAACGACCTTGAGGTCATATGTTCGCCCTTTCAGTGACTGTCTGCGGCTGCGGCTGCGGCTTGTCTTCGGGCGATAAGTTCGCTCAATGGCAGGTCATCGTCTTGCTCGTCGTAGAATTCCACATCTTCATCCACCCCAAAGTCCTTCAATCGCTCGCCCTCTGAATTTCGCCACGCTGCCTCACCTTCTCTCCCTTTGCTACCCTTTGTCTTCTCAAGCTCTTCTTCTTCGTATCCAACTTCGTCGCTCGCATCATCCCCGTACGTAAAGTCCTCTTCATTTCTACTCAATTCACCATTGTCCTCTTCTCTATCCGTCGCTTCAGCATACGGCCTCCTTCTCCTCATTGCATCCTCCGCCTGCCTCGCCTTGAAAGCAGCCACAGTGTCCTCTGCGTTCAGCTCTGATTCCGCATACCGAAATGCATCAGCATTAACTGCTATCGCATTCCTCCTATATGCACGATCTGGGTCCGGAGGCGGCCAAACCGTGCCCTCATCCTCAAAGCCGTTCGTCTCGAAACTCAGACCACTACTCAAATTGGGTGTAGCAGCAAAAGGGTTGAACCAGTTTATTGGATTCCTCGAGTTCATACCCTGAACCATGTTCGACCAGATTCCGATATCGTACGGGAATTCTTGTTTTCGGATCCGCATCTTGTTGCCTTCTGGGGTGGTGAGGTAGCCGCCGTATTGGCGAGCACGGCGTAGGAGGGTCTTGTGGCGTTCGATCTCCCAACCTTCGATTGTTGTCTGATTGATAGAAAGGCACCATAGGTTTCGTAGGAGGAGGACACCCAGGACGAAGAGGGTGATTGAGTTTGTGATTAGGACAGCAAACATGTGGCCTAGTTGGAAGGGGGAGGGGCCGAGGTAGGAGGGCATGTCCAGATTGGACCAGAGATGAGAGAGGCGGGTGAAGAGGAATGATTGGAGGAGGGAGAGTCCTAGGGTAGTATATAGGAGGAGACGCACGAAGTGGGGAAAGGTCGTGTGGCTAACGCAGTTGTTTGTCCAGGGGCAATGGTGGTCCATCTTGGGAATACATCTGGTAGTTGTCAGCCTGGCTCACTGGTATTTCGGGCCAGTCGATTGGCGTCGAGGTGACGATTGTGACGATTGTAATGCCAACACGTGGTTGACCAGACCCATTCGAAACGCAACACATAATCAACCCCAGAACGGGATATAAGATGGGTATCTACCTTTTGCATTCCTTACAGTGATGAGCTCTAGGTGGTTTTGCAGCATCGCACTTTCGACACCATTTCCGGCTCTTTCCTACGCCGTCTATTCCGGTCTCTTTATCTGACAGATCAGCATTTCCCTTCCCTTTCTCTCCGTCCAACTCTTGCTTTCCAGCCCAATCTTTCGGTATTGTTCCCGCATCAACGAAGACACTCTTCGTGTATGTGATTAAAATCAGTACCAAGATGACATTCGACACAATGAGCTCGTTTTTTGTGAGCGGAGCGGGCTCTAAATGCATCAGTAGCCATTGTGAAGGATAACCGAGAAAGAAGATGAGAGCGTAAACAGCGGGAACCGCACATTGGGAAATTTCCATTATTCTGGTGGCATCTGGGTAGAATGATGGGAGGTGGTAAGGGGCGTGATGATGCGGAGGTTCGCGTCGTGTAGTTTGGCAAGTGGATCGCGAAGACACGTGATTGGAGGACCACCTAAAAGCAACAACTTACACTATTCGTCCATTGCATCTCTCAACCACAACTTTCCATCACCCCATCCCCTGCTCGCAGAGCTTCCGATGCTCTGTAAGCTTCACGAATGCCATGTCTTTCCTAACATGGCCGTTCTTCCTCCTCATACCGGCTTTCGTTCTGTTACACCTGTTCGTTTCGCCGTACACGAAAGTTGAGGAATCATTCAATATCCAGGCTATTCATGATATCTTGGTACATGGAATACCTACAGAGAACTCTGATCAGTTCTTGACATCGAACTACGATCATGTCAGTTTTCCTGGGAGCGTGCCAAGGACTTTTGCAGGCGCTCTGGTCTTGAGTGGGTTGAGCAGGCCGTTTGTTGGGGATATGGCCCAGGCACAACTGCTCAGTGAGTAAACACAGAGATTTTGCATGAAAGACTTTCGGAACTGATTACATGTGTGTAGTCAGGGCAGTACTTGGGCTACTCAATGCGGCCTCGCTCATTGCATTCGGAAGGAGCGTGCAGAAGGCTTTTGGTACTAGTGCTGGTGTTTGGTATGCTTTGTTTCAAGCAAGCCAATTCCATGCCATCTACTATGCTTCGAGGACGCTGCCCAATATGTTTGCTTTTGTGTTCAGTAAGTCCATATGATGTGTCCCATGCACTTCTTGGCTGATATCGATGTAGGCAACTTGGCGTTACGAAGCTTGTTGCTCGCATACACCGTACCATGGAGCACTTCAAACATCTCAGGGTACTACCGACTGACCTTGTATCTGCTCACGGTCGCGGGTGTGGTCTTCCGCTCGGAGCTAGCAATCTTAGTGGGAACAATCACCATCTATCTGTTCATCACACGAAGGATCTCGATCACAAATGTCATCATCCCAGCTGGAATTGGTGGCCTCGTCATTGGGCTCCTTTGTACCGTGCCTTTGGATTCCTTCTTCTGGCAGTCTTTCCCGCTTTGGCCCGAATGGACGGGCTTCTATTACAACACCATTCAAGGTCATTCAGCTGATTGGGGCGTATCGCCATGGCATTATTACTTTGCCAACGCACTGCCGCGACTACTACTGAACCCAGCAACGTTTTTGCTTTGTATTCCAGTTGCTGTCATGAACACATCGACGTGTAGGCGAAGCTTGGATCTGCTCATTCCACTAATTAGTTTTGTGGCACTTTATAGCTTCCTTCCGCATAAGGAATGGCGCTTTATCCTCTACGTAATACCGGGTCTAACTGCAGTGGCTGCAGACGGGGCAGCTTGGATCTGGACTCGCAGATCAAAATCCTTTGTATACGCCACCCTGAGCTTGGCCTTGCTAGGATCAGTTCTGGTATCATTCGCTGCATCTACTGCGATATTGGGTATCTCCAGCCTCAACTATCCCGGAGGCGAAGCTCTTCATACCCTACACAAAGAGATGGGACATCCGGACAGAAACCACTTTAACGTGTACTTTGATAATCTAGCTTGCCAAACAGGCGTCACACGTTTTCTCGAGAGCCACAGAGGACCCCAGACGGTACTTGATGTCCTTGAAGCACAGGATACACTGAATAGCAGAACATGGACATACGACAAGACCGAAGACCCAGTCGCACTTCTAGACCCAATGTTCTGGACCAAGTTTGACTATGTTCTTGCCGAGAGACCAGAGAAGGTGATTGGTAGCTGGGAGGTAGTTCATACTGTGTATGGATTTGGCGGAGTCAGACTTCTGAAGCCAGGAGAAGAGAGCGGCTTCCTGGTCGAGTATTCGGATACAACAGAAGAAAAGGTCACATCGCAAGACAAGCGGGCTTCGAAGGTTGCAGCGACATGGCATGGATTGGAAAAGCTATTAAGGAATGGCCTATTGCGAGGATACTGGGCTGAGATCCGGATGGAGCCAAAGATCCATATCTTGCAGAACCAGATGAAATAGTCGCTCTATCAAATAGTCATGGGCAACCACAAGTTCAAGTCCGCAAGTCTGAGATTTGGGCATTCGGTGAAAGTGTCAGTCGCGTTGAAGGACCCCTGCTTTACGTCGCATACCCCGCCACGCTTTCCTGCCCCACCAAGCTCTCTCTTTCGCGTCTACACCAGTCTCATCACTCAACTCAGCTGTTGTCAACTATTGATAGTACGTGGTAACTTGAATCACACTACTTTTGCACAACATGTCAGCCGACGCGTTACCGAAACCGGTCGTCTACTGCGGAGGCGAGTATTTCCACGATATACCCTACGATAACGGCTAACAAGAAACAGTGTGCAGTCTACCACCTGAAGTAGGTATGACGCCGAGACATGTTTGGAGAGAGCGAGTGACTAACCACATGATTCCATAGTACTGCGAGTTTGGTGGCACGACCAAGAAGTGTGAGGAATGGCTGGCAGAGGCGCATCCAGATCTGCACGCGAAGCTGTATTCAGCAGGTACGTCTAGCACACCATATCAACAAACCTATAACGCGCAATGGCTCTGAAGACAAGCTTGGATGCTAACGTCCTTCTAGAAGCGCTACAGCAGAACATGGCCTCGCTTTCCGTCGACGCCCAAAAACGCGCCGAGAAAGACGCACAAAAGAAAGCGGCCAAAGCCGCAACCGCCGAAGCACGAGCAGCTGAGACACGCGCCTCCTCCAAGATCCTCATCAAACGCATAGAACGCAACAAGCGCAAATACGTCACCGCCGTACAGGGTTTGGAAGCCTTCGGTCTCGACATTAAGAAGGTTGCCAAGGACTTTGGCAAGAAGTTCGCTACGGGATCAAGTGTGACCAAAATCCCGGGTGGGGGCGAGGAAATCACTGTGCAAGGTGATCTGAGCGACGATATCTTGGAGTTCATGGTGGAGAAGTACGAGGTACCTGAGGATAACTGCGAATTGGTAGAGGACAAGAAGAAGAAGAAGGCCGAGGGAGGCTGAACGGCTCGAAGGAGCGTAGCAGGTGTGAAGAGACGCGATACCAAAACATTGTGAAAGCCTACAGAGAGTGAGGTGTGTATCAGTATAAGCGTAGGAGTTGTTTGCGACCAGTGCGCGAGCTGAAGATAAAGGAGCATTCGACGCGTCTCTCTTCTAGGATGCGCAGAGCCTCGTGTTCCCCCATTCTATAGAAAGCTTCATTACTGCATAACGAGTCTATGATGTTGAAATACACGAGGTTGAAGATCTGGACCTACCAAACCAATACCAACATGCTTTCCAAGAAAGACGGGCTACCTGTCCTACATGTGAGCACGAAGGCTCATGGTAATGTGATGGTGGCACGTGCGTGCTAGCTGCCTGTCGGAAGCTCCCAGGGCCATCATTTTTCTCGGACCGTTGCCTCTCACTTACATCCAACCTTAGGGCGCGTCCACAGCCCGACTTGTATCAATCGCACGGCCATTTTCTTTTCTTCGCTCTAAAGGACACGGCGACACGACACCTCGCTGTACAAAAGTCCTATAATTTGTACGTCGCCTACTGGAGAAGGCGAAACTAGAAGCGCAAGCCGCGCCAGATCACGATACCCGCCGCCACCATGTCCAAGGACCAGAGCAATCTCGGGCAGTACAAGTATGCGGCCATGTCGAACTTGGTCCTGCAGGCCGACAGGCGCCTCATATCGCGTCGGCCAGATGAGCATACTGGCGATCCTGAGTCGCTCGCAGGTCGCATCAACATTAGAGACATGGGCGGGCGCACAGCGCGCGACAGCGCGAATGCGCAAGCAAAGAAGCTCAAGGGGCCTGGCGTTGAGCGAGGAAATCTGAATGAGGGTGGCGATGTTCTTGAGAGAGAGCAGCGCAAGAGGAAACGGGACGACGGCACCAGTGGTTTTGGAGCGATCGCGACGGCCGACCTCAACATCGAAGGCCTCACATACAAGCCGCGGACTCCTGCAACGCGCCAGACTTTCGACCTCATCACAACCATTGTGAGCAGATCTCTTGGCGACGTTGATCCTGCGACTACACGAAGTGCAGCCGATGCGGTCCTCGAATACCTCAAGGATGATACCATGAAGGACTTTGACAAGAAGAAAGAGGTGGATGATCTTCTTGGTACCTCGATGGGCGCAAAGGAGTTTAATGAGTTGGTGAACCTTGGCAAGAAGATTACCGATTATGATGCACAAGACGACGAGGAAGGTGGTGATGAGGAGATGGCAGACGGCGATGGTGCTGACGCCGGCGACAACCAGGGTGTAGCTGTTGTTTTCGACGACGAAGAGGAGGACGAAGACGGGCCTCAAACATTCGAAGTGCGAGATGCCGATACATCAGACGAGGAAGATGAAGCAGAGGCTCCTGTAGAGCAGATTGGAGAAGACCAGGACCAAAAAGGTGGAGGCTTTGCGGAAACAGAGGAGACGATAATACAGGGCGACACCGTTACCTCAGACCGCAAGAACGGCGCAGACCAACTTATACCCGCACACGAAATCGATGCGTACTGGTTGCAACGGCAGATCGGACAAATATACGAAGATGCGCATGTTCAGCAAGAAAAGACACAGGACGCGCTCAAGTTCCTTGCAGGAGTCTCGGAAGATGGCGAGGAGAAGGAGCTCCGTGAGATCGAGAACGATCTGATGGACCTCTTCGATTACGAACATCACGAGCTTGTTGCGAAACTCGTTCTCAACCGCGACAGGGTCGTTTGGGTAACAAGGTGGCGGAGGGCTGCCGAGGACAACGATGAGCGAACAGCCGTCGAACGGGAGATGAAGGCTGCAGGTCAGCAACGGATCCTACAAGAGCTTCGCGCAAGAGAGACCGGTATCAAGGCTGAGGATGGGTCTGAAACTGGCACTGGCAAGATGAAGTTCAACCTCAAGGACATCAGTCTTCCAGAGACCTCAAACGATGTGGAGATGGCTGATGCAAAACCAGAGGGCATTGTGGGTGGCCTGCAACCATCGAGCCGACTCGTGAATCTGGACAATATTGTTTTCGACCAGGGCAACCATCTCATGACAAACGCAAGTGTCAAGCTGCCCCAAGGATCTACACGACGTCAATTCAAGGGTTACGAGGAGATCCACGTACCTGCACCAAAAGCGAAGCGTGACCCCAACGAGCCAGCTCTGATGCCTACCTCTGAGCTACCAGACTGGGCGCGACCAGGTTTTGGTAGCTCGAAGTCGCTCAACCGTATCCAAACAAAGTGCTTTCCCACAGCGTTCAACGACGATGGCAACATGTTAATTTGCGCTCCCACTGGTTCCGGAAAGACTAACGTTGCGATGTTGACAATGCTTCGCGAGATTGGCAAGCACCGAAACCCCACGACTGGAGAAATTGCTCTGGACGATTTCAAGATCATTTATATTGCCCCCCTGAAGGCTCTCGTCGCTGAACAAGTTGGTAACTTTGGCAAACGTCTGGAGCCATACGGCATCAAGGTTTCCGAGCTTACTGGTGACCGCCAACTCACCAAGCAGCAGATCGCAGAGACACAGATCATCGTCACCACCCCTGAGAAGTACGACGTCATTACCCGCAAAGCTACCGATACCAGCTACATCAATCTTGTTCGCCTGATTTGTATAGACGAAATTCATCTTCTGCATGATGACCGTGGTCCTGTCATCGAGAGTATCGTCAGCAGAACTCTACGACGTAGCGAACAGACTGGAGATCATGTTCGCATTGTGGGGTTGAGTGCGACCCTTCCCAACTACCGCGATGTTGCGAGCTTCCTGCGCATTGACCCAGACAAGGGCCTGTTCCACTTCGACGCTACCTTCCGACCGTGTCCGTTAAAGCAAGAATTCATCGGTGTCACAGACAAGAAGGCCATCAAGCAACTGAAGACGATGAACGACGTCTGCTATACCAAGGTCCTGGAACAAGTTGGCGGAAAAGGTAATCAGATGCTTATCTTCGTGCACTCCCGAAAGGAAACAGCGAAGACTGCCAAGTACATCCGTGACAAGGCACTCGAAGAAGAATCTATAGGCAAGATTCTTCGGACAGATGCTGCCAGTCGGGAGATCTTGAGAGAAGAATCTGAGTCGGTTCAGAATACTGATCTGAAGGACGTGATGCCTTACGGCTTCGGTATCCATCATGCGGGTATGTCGCGAGCGGATCGTACTACAGTAGAAGATTTGTTTGCCGATGGTTCCATCCAAGTTCTCGTATGCACAGCGACATTGGCTTGGGGTGTCAACCTGCCCGCGCATACCGTCATCATCAAGGGAACGCAGATCTACTCCCCTGAAAAGGGTAGCTGGGTCGAACTCAGCCCTCAGGATGTCCTTCAAATGTTGGGTCGTGCCGGTCGACCTCAATACGATACTTATGGAGAGGGTATCATCATTACCACACAGTCTGAGATCCAGTATTACCTATCGCTACTCAACCAACAACTGCCTATTGAGTCGCAGCTCATCAGCAAGCTCGCAGATAATCTCAACGCCGAGGTCGTTCTCGGTAACGTGCGCAGCAGAGACGAAGCGGTAGATTGGCTCGGCTACACATACCTTTTCGTCCGAATGCTTCGATCGCCGGCTCTGTATCGGGTTGGAGCAGAATACGAGAACGACACCGTACTGGAGCAAAGACGTGTGGATCTTGTTCACGCTGCCGCACACATCTTAGAGAAGTGCAGTCTTATCAAGTATGACAGAAAGACTGGTGCGCTCAACCCGACCGAACTTGGAAGGATTGCCTCCCATTATTACATCACACACAACTCGATGGCGACATACAACATGCACATCCAACCGGGTATCAGCGCTATCGAGCTATTCCGAGTCTTCGCTCTCAGTGAGGAATTCAAGTACATTCCCGTACGTCAAGATGAGAAGCTCGAGCTTGCGAAGTTGCTGGGCAAAGTCCCTATTCCGGTCAAGGAGGGTGTCGAAGAAGCACAAGCGAAGATCAATGTTCTTCTCCAAGCTTATATCTCTCGCCTCAAGCTTGAAGGATTGGCACTAATGGCTGACTTGGTCTACGTCACGCAATCTGCTGGGCGTATTCTTCGTGCCATCTTCGAGATCTGCCTGAAGAAGGGTTGGTCACAAGTTGCAAAGCTCGCTCTAGACATGTGCAAGATGGCTGAAAAGCGTATGTGGCCGACCATGACGCCTCTTCGCCAATTCCCCACCTGCCCCAGAGATATTGTACAGAAGGCAGAGCGTATCGATGTTGGCTGGTCGAGTTACTTCGGCCTTGATCCACCTAGCATGGGTGAACTATTGGGTATGCCCAAGGCTGGTAAGCTTGTCTGTAGTTTAGTGGAGAAGTTCCCACGCCTCCAGATTGAAGCGACACCGCGACCAGTAACAAGGTCGCTACTACGCCTGGAGCTGACAATTCGACCTGACTTCGTTTGGGACACAGAGCTGCACGGCGCTTCTGAAGCATTTTGGATTCTGGTTGAGGACTGCGATGGCGAGCAAGTATTGTTCCATGACACCTTCATTCTCAGACGGGACTACTCAGATGGCGACGCCAACGAACATCTGATGGAGGTGACAGTGCCCATCGATGAGCCTATGCCTCCGAATTACTTCATCACCGTTCTGTCCGACCGATGGATGGCATCCGAGACCAAGCTTGCTGTCTCTTTCCAGAAGCTGATTCTGCCAGCAAAATTCCCTGCTCACACCCCCGTCCTTGATCTCCAGCCTTTGCCAGTTTCTGCTCTGAAGAGGAAGGAATACATGGGGTTGTACGAGAACATTGGACGCTTCAACAAGGTTCAGACACAAACTTTCAATACCCTGTATACGACCGATGACAATACCCTGGTTGGTGCATCGGCAGGTATTGGCAAGACCATTTGCGCTGAATTCGCCATCTTGCGACACTGGGCTACTAACAACGAAGGGCGCATTGTCTACCTTGCACCATTCCAGGAGCTTGTAGACAACCAGTACAAGAACTGGAACGAGCGGTTGACAAGTCTCAGTGGAGGCAAGGACATTGTCAAGCTCACTGGCGAAACCACAGCAGACCTCAGATTGCTCGAGAGGGGTGATCTTATTCTGGCCACACCTTCACAATGGGACTCACTCTCTCGTCAGTGGCAGCGCCGCAAGAACGTGCAGTCTGTTGCTCTGTTGATTGCTGATGAGTTGCACATGCTCGGTGGTACGAACGGTCATGTCTACGAGATCGTCGTCTCTCGCATGCAAGCGATGGCGACACAGCTAGAGTCTAAGCTGCGCATTGTCGGATTGAGTGTGTCTTTGTCCAATGCACGAGACATCGGCGAATGGATTGGTGCTACTAAGCACACAATTTACAACTTCAGCCCGGCTATCCGAGCAGTACCGCTCGAGTTGAAAATTCAGTCCTTCACAATTCCCCATTTCCCATCCTTGATGATGGCTATGGCAAGACCGACCTACACTGCTATTACGCAGATGTCTCCGGACAAACCAGCCATGGTCTTCGTCCCGAATAGGAAGCAAGCCCGGAACTCCGCTGCTGATCTCTTCAACGCTTGTGTAGCCGACGAGGATGAGGACCGTTTCCTCAATGTCGAGGTTTCTGAGATTCAACCAATCCTTGAAAAGATCAACGAGCAAGCACTTGCTACGTCCTTGTCGCATGGTATTGGATACTTCCACGAAGCTCTTAACTCCTTCGACAAGAAGGCTGTGCAGCATCTCTTCAAGGTTGGCGCTATCCAGGTCCTCATTGTATCGCGTGACTCTTGCTGGGAGATCGACAGTAGTGCTCATCTTGTCGTTGTTCAAGGCACTCAGTTCTACGAAGGCCGCGAACATCGTTACGTTGACTATCCCATTAGTGACATCCTGCAGATGTTCGGCAAAGCTGGTAGAGTCGGACTGGACAAGTCAGCAAAGGGTGTGCTTATGCTACCTGCGGTGAAGCGTGAGTATTACAAGAAATTTCTGAACGAGGCCCTGCCGATCGAAAGTTATCTTCCTGATTACCTCCACGACGCGTTTGTTGCCGAGATCAGTGCGAAGACCATCGAATCGACACAAGAGGCCGTCGATTGGTCAACGTACACCTACTTCTACCGTCGCCTACTCGCCAATCCTAGCTACTACAATCTTCACGACACATCGCACGAGGGACTGAGTGCACATCTGTCCGATATGGTTGAGCAGACCTTGAAGGAGCTGACCGATGCCAACCTAATCGAGCATGATGAAGACGAAGATGCTATCACGCCGCTGAACCCGTGCATGATCGCAGCGTACTATAACATCTCGTTCATCACCATGCAGACATTGATGATGTCGCTCAACGGCAGGACAAGCCTCAAGGGTGTACTGGAGATTATTACAGCCGCCACCGAGTTTGAAGATATCCAAATACGCAGGCATGAAGACCACATCCTCCAACGCATCTACGACCGCGTTCCCTTCAAGATGCAGGAGCCGAACTTTGAGACGCCACATTTCAAGGCTTTCGTACTTCTCCAGGCTCACTTTTCACGCATGCAGCTCCCTATCGATCTGGCCAAGGACCAAGAAACCGTCCTTCGAAAGGTTCTCAACATCCTCAGCGCAAGCGTGGACGTTCTTTCATCCGAGGCTCACCTCAATGCAATGTCCGCTATGGAGCTCTCTCAAATGGTTGTCCAAGCAATGTGGCAGAAGGACTCCCCCCTCAAGCAGATACCCCACTTCGATGCCGACACCATCAAGGCAGCGCAAAAGTTCAGCATCAACGACGTCGACGACTTCATCAATGCCATGGACGAAGACGAGAACCCAGATTACAAAAAGCTCATCTCAGCCCTCAACGTCGACCAACGCCAACTCGCCGACATCGCAAACTTTACAAACAACTTCTACCCCAACATCGAGATCGAGCACGAACTCGTCGATCCTGAATCCATCGCTTCCAACTCGCCCGCCCAGCTCAAGGTGCGCATCATACGCAACATTGAGGAGGACGAGGAACCTAAGATGGAGGTTCACGCACCGTTCTATCCTGCCGACAAGACGGAGAGCTGGTGGCTGGTCGTTGGAGACCAGAAAGAACGCACGTTGCTTGCGATCAAAAAGGTGCCTATCATTAGGAAGTTGGAGACTGTACTTGAATTCACGCTCGAGAAGCCGGGCCACCATGAGTTGACTTGCTTCCTGGTCAGTGATAGCTATCTTGGTGTGGACCAGGCGCCTAGCTTCGAGGTTGAGGCTGCAGAGGGTATGGACGAAGACAGTGACGAAGAAGAGGAGGAGGAGTAGTAGACAACTTGTATGCTTGGATTGGCTGCTGCAACATTCTGGGTGCACAAAATCGGGTGGGGCGCAATTGGGCGTTCTAAAGTTGAGCTGTATGTAAAATATGTTCGTGCTAAAAACGATACTGTGTTCAGATTTCTTGTCTCGCCATGCTCATGCATCGACGATGTGAGTTTGCTATGATGTTCGTGGGCTGGGCACATGCTGCGTCATAAACAAGTATGCGAGACGACCTCTGTGTACAGTGTCAGTGGCATCTGCCACTTATCAATCGCAACACTGCATTATGCCCCCATGCAGGAGAGCGCACAGTGTATTTCTAGATGCCGCATATCAGGGCTGGCAGGATGTTTGAGAGATTGCGAGAAGCTGGCGAATGTGTCGGAATTGAAACCATTGCTGTTTTTAGCCAAATTGGGAGATAGTTGTTATATGCAATCGTACATTCGTACAGGCAAAGACATTTTTTTTTACATAGCAACACAGCTGGATGATGCAGTGGTGAGTGGAGAGAGGCGACGCAGTCAGAACTGATAGAGTGAGGTAGTATACCTCTTCCATGAAGAATCAAATGCGTCAGCGATTTGAGTAAGTTTGAGTAGTCGCAGTACAGTGTGATATCTTGACACAGCGCATAAGAAGCAGGCTCGTCTCTTAAGCGAATGGCTCAGGGAGGCCATTTTGTAGGATAGCGCATGGCTAGGCGAACACAGCGTGATCTGAACCTGATAGCGATTCCTTCAAGAAATTCTGCATAGCTCGATTGATCCTTGTGGCGACAGGCAGGTTTAGGCCAAACATATCACTTGCAGCAGCTCGCTTCTGCAACCACTCACCTGCAGCTAGTAGCTTTGCCCCGTCAGAGTCCATCTCCCGGAATCTGGCAACATTGGTGCTACCTAACGAGGGGTCATAGAATGGACTATCGGGATCCGTCGAGTTGAGACTGTACGGGCTAGGTGGCGGTACGCAAACAGTACCCGACGACGGCAGCTCACCCGTCTGGAAATATGCTTTCACACGGCTCAAGCTGCAGATATCGGGTGCGGAAATCGAACAATGACCAACATGATCGCTGATCAAAAGGCTACTGTCGGGAAAGAGGCTATGCATGTAGCGTCCGCTGCGAAGAGGCGTAACAGGGTCTGCTGTGTTGCTTACGAAGAGAATAGGGTGCGATGTGTTACCACCATAAGGGCCTTCGAACTTGTAGCTGGCTTTGATTTTCCATGCTGCACAACTCATCAAAAGCATGGACCAGTAGGAGCCAAAGTTCGGCGAAAGGGTGTCCATGATATTCCAGTATGCTTCGAATTCGTCTCTAGTGAGATGAGTCTGGTCAATGCCATCGCCGCATAAGATAGCCGTAGTTGCCACGTCGGGCACTGGCGTATCAGATGCTTCGGTGCCGTTGGCAGGGCAAAAAAGGACGTGGTTATAGTGGAACATATCAGCGAGCTGGTCGGTCGCTGAGCCCCCTCCCTGTTCAATCGTGGCTAAAATGTCTGCAACGAATGGGAACATCAAGCGTGGCTGGTAGGCAGCGCCGAAGATCAATAGTTTGAGATCAGACCAAGTAAGATAGTCTGGACCATCAGACGAGACGATGGGAAGCGGATTATGGTACAGCGATGCGATGATGTCTTGCGTGCGATCTTCTATATCCGAGACACTTGAGTTCGTAGTTGCCAAGGGACATTCAGCAGGACCCAGATTATGGCAAAAGGTATAGAAGGAGGTCATGGCCTTTTCGGCATCTGTAAGGCTTCCGTTGCCAAGGGAATTTTGGTAGTCGTATGAGCTGACAACACCATCGAGAATAAGACGCCCAACACGATCGGGAAACATGGATGCAAAGGTGGATCCAAGTAGTGTCCCGTATGAGAAGCCCCAGTATTGCAGCTTGCTTTTCCCTGGAACATACGTGGAATTGTAATATCCGGGACGCTTACCGGCCTTCTGCGCAGCCTTCCGAGTTACCTCGTTTGCGACATACTCGGCATGTTTCTCAGTGATCTCCAACATGTCTCTAGCAACGAATGCCGTCGCCATATACTGCTTGATATCCGGTCCCTCTTGATCCTCAGCTAATTTGCAGGATGCGCCAAAGGCATGCTTCATAGACCAAAGTCTACCGAGAGCTGCATCCGAGCTTCCGATAAGTCCTTCCGTCTCCTCTCTCAATTTCCAGGACCACGAAGCAGGCTGATCTGGCATGCATCGAGCAACTGGTTCCGTCCAGCCGATTCCGCGAGGGTCAAATCCGATGACATCAAAGTATCTTGCATCGATGGAGGGCGTGGAAATCTCAACACTGGAATCCACGATCTGCTGTAGCGCGTGTCCTAACACAATTGCAACTGCAGCACCTGGGCCACCTGGACCGCCGGGGTTGAATAAGACCGGACCTCCATAGCGAGCATCATCCACGGGTACTCTGGCAGGTATCTTGGTGATAGCGATACTGACGGTATGATTGGGGTAGGTGCCGTTGAAGTAGTCCCATGGTAGGCTTAGTTTTGCGCATTCAAATCTGCCGAAGCATTTGTGGAATTCTAGATGCTCACTCGGAGCGATCTGAAGCTTGATTAGTCTTCTTCCCACCAGTCATACTACAGGGTGCTGAAATAGAGTTGATGAGCTAGTTGGTAGAAAGCTGGAATTCGCTGGAATTGACAAGGTGTTTGAACATAGGCCATGACTATTTGTTGATGAAAGCCAGAGTGCAGTATGAGCGGGCCACCAATCACAATCAGAATTCTCCATTGAGCCCTATGAGACAGCAGTTGCCTGCGGTGCTCTGGCATGTGTCTAGGGCATATCTGGGAATTAAAGCAGTCATCTGCTGTGCAACTCGAGTGGGCGATATTATTTGACCCGATAAGTTGCCGGCCAAAGCGGCTGCAGAACCACGTGTGCGGTGCGACACTCAAGGAACGCTCTCTCAACATACCTTGGACCACTCAAACGCGGCATGATGCAACGCAGGCTCTTTGTCCAAAGACAAGGACAGATCCCAGTTCTTCAATTCAGGAAAGATGGTATCCACTGCTGCGAGACAGACGAGTGTGACGAAGGTCGCAGACAGTGCACGCCACCGCGTTGGGGTCCGTCGAGGCTTGACCGGCGCCGTCGCATCCTCCAACCCATTCCAACTCTTCATGATGTACTTGAAGTAGTTCCAACCGACTGTAGAACAAGCAAAACAGATGCGTTGGAGTATTGGGTATCGGCGAGTCGCGATAGTGGAGGAGTGGTGAGGCGGGGTCGTCAGCGGGCCTCCTCACCCCAAGATATTCGGTCGCATCCTGGCGGCCTGACGGGCCTGGATGAATATCATCTTAGGCAGCAGCAAAAGCATTCAAAGGTGCGGAAGTGCGTGCGCGAGGACTATACAAAACGCAGCACGGAGTGCGCCTGACTCCCAGCAGGCAGCCCAGCCAGCACTTGCAGAAACTTGCAGAAACTTGCCTTTCTACTATGCGTTGGTACTGCAGCTGCAACAGGAACTTCCGGCGGCTATGTATGCAGTATGCAGTATGCAGTAATGATCACAATGTGCTGTCTTGGCTGCTGCATTTTCTTAATGTGCTGACATTGTGCTCTAGTGCATACGATTGAGTAATGGATTAGCTGCCGTCGAAAGTGCCCCATCAAGTGGGTGGTGAGAGGAGATAGCGTTGTCGCAAACTGACGTCTTGTGGAGAAATCCGTTAGAGACCGCAGAGCCTCATCATAGCGACAGTGACGTGATACGGACGTCTCAGGAAGATACGCATATTCCACTGTGTTGCACAGTTGCGCCGCGAATACGAATGAGGGTCCTTGCTAGGGTTGGACTATTATTTGCTTTTTTAGTAACCACTTTACTGGATAGATTGAAATGACTCGTTCAAATGACAAAGCTTTTGGATCGATGACAAGCCATCAAGACTACGAAGAGGTCGTGAGAGAGTGTGCAAAAGAACCGAAACCTTATCGCGCGACAAGTACAGAGTAGCAGCACCTCCTGATTCAATGGGTATCTCATCTCTCAGTACCAACCACCTCTACTGCCATTAAACATAATAAGAAACGTCCATGAGAATGATGATGCTCATTCGAAGGAGGAGCAGTATCGGCTAACGTCCAAACGATTTCCTTGGTGTAAAGCCAGTTCAAGCACAGGAGCACTCTTGCCCTTAACCAGCAAGTCTGTACCCTTGGTTATTCTGAGGGCACAAGACTGTAGGACGAAGGTTCGCCGAGGTGTTTACCATTGCTGGCCACCACCTTGACCACCCTCTTGTCCTCCATAGCTGCCCTGACCACCGCCTTGGCCGCCACCGTAGCCACCGCGAGACTGGTATCCGCCACCGCCGCCGCCCTGGGAAGGTCCCCAAGAGCCGCCGCCGCCGCCGTAACCTTCTTTCCTAGTTAGTCTTCACTGTGCATAGATGAGCGAGATGTGCTTACCACGGCCACCACCACCATAGCCTGGGGACATAGTCAGTACAGTTTCAGAACGGATACGGGGCAGAAAGCTTACCTCCTTGTTGGCCGCCGTAACCTCCACGGTATCCACCACCACCGCCGTAGCCGCCGCCACGGGGAGCGCCGCCGCCAGCGCGGTCAGAAGCCTTGTCGACGCGGATCCTACGTCCATCGAATCTAACAGAGTCAGCGAATTTGTTTAAGCATCTCGGCGACTGGGGAAGTGTCTGAGAGGAGTGTATACGTACTCCTCGTTGTTCATGGCCTGCATAGCGGCATCGGCCTCGGTGTCCTGCGCATAGCGGACGAAGCCAAAGCCTCGGCTACGACCAGTATCGCGGTCCTTAACCACGACCTGAGATAACGTGAGCCTCTGCCTAACCTTGACGAGAAGAGTGGTAGAGTAACGTGTCACTTACGGCTTCTTCGACTGCACCGAACTCCTCGAACTTTTGACGGAGAGCTTGGTCGTCGGTATGCCATGCGAGGCCTCTGTTCAGGGTCAGTCCCGTGAGTGCTGGGAGAAGAAGGCGCACTTACCCAATGAAGAGCTTAGACATGGTGAATGATGTCTGGGTCGAACACTGAACGGTCTCAATACTAGCTCTCGCAACTCGAAACAAACTGCGCGATACAAAAAGGCTCAAGACAGGTAGTGACAGGAGTTGTAGAGCGAAGGAAAGGTGCAGGAAGGCGAGGAATCCATCGCAGCTTCCCAGGCAGGCAGTATGTAGCAACGTGACGGAACGAACATTTGATCTTGTAGCACCAGGCTGTATTGGTATGGATGGCGCAAGCGATTGCTCTGAAGAGTTAGAGGGGGAGGAAGTTGGCTGCAAGCTGTCGCAATAATGTGATGGCACAGGGTGAGGAGCAGAGATAGTGAAGCGTCTAGGTTGGCGGGGCAAGCGACGATATGAGTACCCCTCCACCAGGTGAAAGAGCGCTAGACTGTATGCAAGTCAAAGGTTGGCGCACGGACTGGATAGCTGAGGGCCCGGTTTATAAAGCGACGTGGATGGCCACGAGCAACGGGATGCAATGTGCCTCTCCAGCCAGTCGAAGCAGAGTGTCTCGTAGTTCGGACATGGCCTGCAGCACAGCAAACGGAACTGGCCCCTCGCAGCTAGCTCGTCCCAATGCCTTGCCTGGGAGCCTGCACCTGACGATGGACAGGGTGCAGATACTGGTTCTGCCATACATACATGTCGGCAAGCTGGCTCTTTAGTGTGTTCCCGTGTCTGTCTGTTCATGCTGGGTATATGCAGCCCACGTTAGGCTAAGACTAGGTGTATCCAATTACAAGGCGGCTGGCGAGCCAGAGAAAACGATTTTTCTGATAGGTGCCCCGATCTATCGTCCCTGTTCAGAGTGCCGGCATGAGTGCGGAGGCGTCATTGGGTCGCTGCGAAATACGTGCATGGACAAGCCTGCGGATAGAACAGATTGCGTGCTCCAGACAGCAGCGATCTGCGCCCGTCGCTACAACAAAACTATCGGGCTGTGACGAAAGGTCAACGGCGGGCAGGCATTGGACAGAAGGTGGTGGTTCAAAGAAGCTTATCAAGTCGCCATCCCTAGTCTGACGGTGTGGGGATCGGGCCTAAACTAGACTTCCAGGCCCTCTGCGTCCCAGGTTGGCTCGTGCGCGCGACGTCAACATGTAGAAAGCTGGAAACGCACTACCGCAAGACTGGCGGCAGATATATGACCAGATCTTGCTATGCCAGGACGTGTCGTAACGCCTCGTTAACCCTATGTAGCACGTTCCTATCATCGGTAGTGGAAAGCGGGCACAGTGGCAGCGTTTACCGAGATATACCGAGGCTGCGCAAATTGGACAAATTGTCCTGTACCATGAATACGTGCATCTCCAGAAAATCCGACAAAGAGAACGTTCCGCACTCGTGCCGTTGCGATAGCGGCTTGATGCATGTGGCAGTACGATGCCAAGATGATGCTTTCGCGGACCCCGGTTCCAGGGCAGGATAAGTCATCCAATGATGCCGGAAACTACCAGTTGATATAGAAGTTAAAGGGGGCTTTTGATCGTTCCACATTACAGTGACAGAACGTACTGAGATACCGACATGGAAGACTCACTCGCGTCCTCCATTGGTCGTGCCTTCTTTCAGCAGCGCAGTGGCACTGACGATGACGGAAGCGTCAAAATCACCGCACCCACTGGCACCTTCCATGATATTGAGTTTAGGCGACTCCACAGAGTCTGACAGACATTCAATATGTCCTACACTGTGAGAACGCCTCTCAGTCGGCACCCTTTCCAAAGTGACCAACCATCGCACAAGTTGCCGATCCACCACCACGACCTCCCGCTCATCTGCGCCATGTCGTAGCACCACATCAACCTTCAAGCTTCACAGATTGATCAAATCAAAGAAATAATCAGACTCCGTCATCGAGAAGGTTCATCTAGCATGCAGGATACCATGGATATTCGAAAGTGGCTAGACGAGATAGTCCAACAGGAAACACAGCGCGAGCCGGTTAGACATCAACAGCCTGTAGAGCCCACTAAACGGAAACGTCGATGCAAATCAGATAGCTCAATCCTAGATCCCCGTCCGCCTGCATCTCCTCCGCACGAGTCAGTGGATGATAGTGCAGGCGAGGCCTTCCGGGCGATGTGCAGTGATGGCTCTAGCAGCAGCCAGTATGCGCGCAAACCTCGAAGAAAAACGCGCCCTGAGCGATATGAGCCAGCCCCCCATGCACGTCGCAACCCCAAGGACGAATCAAAGACGTGGAGGCGCAAGCCTCGACGTAAGAAGGGCGAGAAGCTACCTGCTGTCATCCGGACCCTCGAGGCCAAAAATGTGTCCAGAGATCGGCTGACTGTAAGACATCCATGCGGTTATCCGAACGTACTGCACGGGGTTGACTATTGAACCAGTTGAAGCCGCGAGAGCAGCTAGGACTCTTCAACAAGGGACGGACGTCTACCGCTTTCAAGGGTCGCGGGTGTGAGTGACCCGTCTTTGCTCCTGTGGCATGGCCGATATGGTATCTTGGAACCCTTTCCCGCATTCTCCGGCTGACATGTCGCAGTGCCCGATCTAGTCTTCTCTGAGATGAAGTTCTTGCAGAAAGAAAGGGACGAACCAGACGTTATGGCACGTCCTAACCTGGCCAAAAAGAAGCGGAAAAAAGGCCAGAAACAAACGAAGGAGGGGGAGATTTCCGCTTTCTTTACCTCAATGCGCCCGGTGTCGGTTGAAAAGGACAACAACAGGCACCCAGAACATGCTGCTTTAAGGAACGAGCGGTGTCGCCGTGATCAACCCCCTGTATATGAGACTGCTACATCCACTGTTGTGGTAGCGCGCCCAACGTCTTACCTGGGCTTCGGAAGTAGAGGCTCTCAACATGACAGTACTAGCTACGTATCTTGGCCAGAGTCGATTCGAACGCCTAGCACGAAACCAGCGCAGCCCTGCAGCCTTCCCGCCCGTCACAGTCCGCATAATGTAGATTCCTATAGTGAATCTGACACTATCAAAAGAAAAGAGCATGATGCCTTCAGGCTACCGACTCATCCACTAGCAGCGACAAAACGAAGAACCGATAGCATGCCGACAGCTCGCTTCAAGATGCCTTCGTCCGCTCCATTACAAGATAGGGCTTCAAGGTCGCAGTCCTTACCTCAACGCAGCTCGTCTCTACGGAGGCACAATCTTGTCCAACAATCTGCGAGGCTACAAGAGGCCGACACTGCTGGCTCACCACCATCAATGCCACCCCTTGCGTCTGGACCTGTCATAGACGTCTGCTATGCTCGAATACGTAGCAACTCGAAAGGCACCGAGTCAGGTCTTGCCCCAGCCTCAGCACCCGTTCTTGCTGTGCATCGAAACCACAACCAGCCTAAGGATGATAGCGTCGTTGAAAAGAATCGAATACCGACGTCTTCAGATTTAGGGCTCGCTCTGCAACAATGCAATGATGCGTTATATCGAAGGCGTCATGCTGCTGAGCCGCGTATGAGACCTACCGAAGAAATCCACCGAGTGAACCCAAGGTCGGACCTCCGACAAGACTCAATAGAGTTCTGCAGTGCGACTCAGCAGGCTCCTACTGTACGCTTCGTGGATCGGATCTACCATGAATCGACACTACCAAACTTTGCTGGCCCAAGCATTTATGAGCAACAAGCACTACACCAGCAGCTTCCTCTGCACTTGGGAGCCAACGAAGGTTATCTGGAAACGCCATATACCGACCAAGACTATCTGGAGCAGAATGATCCAATAGGGTACGATGACCATGTTTGGGAAGGGCTGCCGGAAGAGCCAACGTCGCATAGTTTTGAGAGCGGTGTGGATACCTACGGGAGTCGTGAAGGTCGCGTCGAAATGATGGAAAACCCTGTTCAGGATTTGAGACAAGTCAACGACACCGTGGCTCCTGGGTTTTGGCGGCCGAATAAGCTGTACTGATGTTGTGATGGCTGCTGCATGGCGCGTTAGCTCATGTTTGTTTTTGGAGTCAAACACCCTCTCTAATCGCGAGCTGTCGACAAGCCATGTTGAGAAGCGAGCCATGTCTCCTGACGATGTGTGATTGCGCTCTGTGATGTCGAAACTTGAAAGAAGAATTCGCAAAGGACAGAAGCCGACTTGAGCAGCCTCGGTGTCCGTGCACAAAAAGTTGGAGCTTCCGGGTCCCGCTCCCGTACCTCATGGTCGCATTTTGATCCTCGGTCTGGGCTTCGCGTGAGAGGAGAATCGGCTGCACTTCCATCTAGTAGTTTACTAAACGAGTGCCGTCTGTATGCCCATCTATCAATCGCTGCTGCGGCTCAGTCCCGCCCAGAAATTGATCTCCCGGTCGAAGCTCCCCTTCCCTATTGCGACGGCTGTCTCATGCAGACAGTCGGCGGTGACGTTCGTCACAGTGGCGCCTTCCCAACAGAGCTCCCCGCCTGCCAGCCCCACTAGTAGACCCCTCAACGACAAAATCAACTCTAGGGCTCGTCTACTTGCAGGCCATCTAAACTCCACAGCTTCTTCTTCCACAGCCATTCGTACAGCTGCCACGAAGAGCCCATCCACCATGTCTTACACCACACGCAAGATTGGCGCTGCCAACACGCTCGAGCACCGCATCTTCATCGAGAAGGACGGCCAGCTCGTCTCGCCATGGCACGACATTCCGCTCTACGCCAACGAGCAGCAAACCATCCTCAACATGGTTGTTGAGGTGCCCCGCTGGACCAACGCAAAGATGGAGGTGCGTTGACCCCAATTGGCTGCGCCGTGGCCTATTCACGGTTCCGCGCAAAGACACAGGCTAACCATGGCAACAGATCTCCAAGGAGGAACAGCTCAACCCCATCAAGCAGGACATCAAGAAGGGCAAGCTCCGCTACGTGAGGAACTGCTTCCCCCACAAGGGCTACCTCTGGAACTACGGTGCCTTCCCCCAGGTACGATGACGCGACCCCGATATCGGACAATCACACAGGTGCTGATGTTGTACAGACTTGGGAGGACCCCAACGTTGTTCACCAGGAGACCAAGGCCAAGGGTGACAACGACCCATTGGATGTCTGCGAGATTGGTGAGCTTGTCGCCAAGCCTGGTGAGGTCATCCAGGTCAAGGTTCTCGGTGTTATGGCTCTGCTCGACGAGGGCGAGACTGACTGGAAGATCATGGTTATCAACGTGAACGACCCATTGGCCCCCAAGCTCAACGACGTCGAGGACGTTGAGCGCCACCTGCCCGGTCTTCTCCGTGCCACAAACGAGTGGTTCCGTATCTACAAGATCCCAGACGGCAAGCCCGAGAACCAGTTCGCCTTCTCCGGCGAGTGCAAGAACAAGAAGTACGCCATGGACATTGTCCGCGAGTGTGCTGAGGCTTGGGAGAAGCTTGCCACTGGCAAGACCCCCAAGGATGAGATCAGCCTGTACGTAATGGATTGCCTACCGCTAAATGACATGGTACTGACAAATTTGTAGCACCAACACCACTGTCTCGCACTCTCCCGATTGCACCGACGCTAACTCGCTCAACGTCCCCCAGGGCGAGAACAAGGCGCCCGCTCCTATCGACCCCAGCATCGACAAGTGGTTCTACATCTCCGGTGCCCCATCCAACTAGTTCTAATGGGAGCCATGGTTATGACAAAAGTGTAAACGTCATTGGAGTGAGAACATGAGGGTAGACGGTAGATAAATGTGCATGAATAACGCCGACCAACGACGGTATACAGAGTCATGAGACAAATGATCAATACCTCATTTCAGCCCAACCCAGAATATTGCCGTGACGCCGACCGATGCTGTGGTTTAATAGTTATGTACAATCATGTCTTTATGCTGAGGCCTCAGTTGCCTGCCAGTTCGTCTTTCCGTGCCAGCGACCGTGAGTGTCTGTCGACTTCCTCGACGACTTGTGTTATGCGCATGTTGCTGAGATCGAGCTTCATCTCCTTGCCGTCCTCTATGCGACCATGTTAGCGTTTGCTCCAGATGCACGATTCGAATGAGCGGAACGTGTACGTACTGAACTTGACAGCCAGGCTCGCAGGCTCCTTGCTCTCTCGTGGCAGCATCTTGGACTCAATCTTCATGCCATCTTGGCGTGCATTTGGTGGGATCAAGGAGAGGAAGAGGCGGGCGGGTTTTGAGCGCGGGGAGAAGGGATTGAATGCTACGCGGACGTCGGTCAGGAATCTGGTAATCATTGTGGCGACTGCGGAGCGGCGGGTCGGCGATGCAGACTGTCTTCTGTTAGCTTGTGTAGAAGATAGACAGATGCGACAGCGTACCAATGGCTGATGGGTCAAGATTGCACTGCAGTCGACGTCTTGTACGCTCGTCGCAACCTCTTCGCGATATGTCCGTGCTCAGGATTCTGTGCGGGCCACGCTACAGCTAGCCGTCCAGACACGTTACGCCCTTTCACCCCGCCAAACGGCCCACCGTAGCCATCTCCGTCATAGGGCAGTCGCATACATTGATCAAACCCTCTCAGCAGTCCGAGCTGCAATGGCACCCCTCCCCTCAACCACGCAATCCCTCACCACCCGCCTAAGCACCCTCTCCGAAGCGAACAAAGGCGTTGGCCAGCTCATCCAACGCTTAGCCAAGTTAGACTTCCAACCAGGCTCGCAACCACTCGACAATTCCGAACAAGGCGACGTTCGGCTGGAACTTAGTGCCGAGATACATGAGACTTTGAAAGGGATTGAAGAGGAACTTGAACTTCTGAGGCAAGAGGTCGAGGACGTTACGTCACAAGGTGGCATTACTGGGCGAAGGAGGGATAGTAGCAAGGACAGCGAGAGAAGCAGACTTGCTGTACTACTGGCGAGGTTGACAGAGGATTTGAGGTCGTACGTGACTACGTCGTCCCCTTATTGCATCCTCTGGTGTGGCATGCTAACCAGTCTTCATGTAGATCGCGATCGCAATACCGGAAAGCACAACTCACAGCCAAGCACAACGCCGACCGCGCAAAGCTCAAGGAACGCGAACTCCTCTTCTCCAACCTGCAATCAGGCTCCTCGACTCCATCCTCTACGTACCGCCAACGAAAGCAACAGCAGGGGCTATCCGAAGGTGAAGTCGTCGCTCAGGCATCTTCAGACGTCACATCTGCTCTGCGCCGAACAGCGCAATTGATGAAAGACGAGCTATCGCGCTCTCGATTCGCACAAGAAACGCTCGAACAGACCAACGCTGCCCTGCAGGATCTCGGGGAGCAGTACTCGGATCTAAACACATTACTAGCCAACAGCAAGAACCTGGTTTCGACACTACTGAAGAGCACAAAAAGTGACACGTGGTATCTTGAGACTACATTCTACATCCTCCTAACCACAATCATCTGGCTCGTCTTCCGTCGCTGGTTATACGGCCCACTCACCTGGTTCCTCATCTGGCCAGTCAAGCTTACCTTTCGCATCCTTTTCGCTGTCCTGCCTTTCGGCGTCGCGTCTTCAGCAGCATCATCGAGCGTCGCAGTTTCCTCGTCCTCCAGATCTCTTATTGTCCAACCTAGCGCAACAGGTGGCATACCCCGACGCGATTCCAAAGCCCAACCACACTACATCCCTGTCGGTCGTGGAGGCGGAGTAAACAGGCAAGGTCAGGATCCTAGTCCGCAAGGCTCTTACTCGCAACAAGTAGGCCAGATGGCGGAACAAAATCAGCAGCAGCAGGAAGAAGTGCCTGATCACCCACAGTTCAGGCAACAGAAGAAGGATGAAGATGAGGGACCCGTCACACTGGGCGATGGAACTGTACTGAAGGAGAGCGATAAGCCGAGAAATCCCAAGAAGAAGATGTGGGAAGAGGATGTGGAGAGCGCGAAGCGTCATGAGGCGCAGACTCAGGAGACACAAGCACAGCAAGAAGGAAGTGGACAGAGAAGAAAGAGAGACGAGCTGTAAGTCGCGAGTCGTACAAATACACGAGATGGTACGTATATAAGGAGATATCCTATTGTCATCATTCCAGCATGCCCTTGCCTTTGTCTCCTCATTCGATACCCAAAATTCATGCTCTCTAAAACACAAACTCAAAATTTTGATATTGTTGTCTCCCAACCCGAAGTAATGGATGTGTCTCCACCCTTCAACGATGTGAAGATTGCGGTGTGTCAGCTTTGTCCTACATCTTTTCACAATGTTATGAGCTGGATTTATCCCCAGAGGTCATCAACACTGGTTGTCTAATGTTCTGGGGTGCGAGATTGGTACAAGAGGCATATACACGTGGAATCCTTCTATGCGGTTGCTGCATATGGACATACGCTGTAGTCTGCTATGCTGATGAAGGGTTATTTCAAGTCATCTTCCTAATGTATATCACTGGCGGCCGACTTCCATGTCCTTGTCTCAAAAGAAAAGACAGCATACACTGCCGTAGCTTCCACTGTTAGAAATGTGCTCTGGCGCTATGTTTGTCGCTCATATATAGAGCATTTTGATGCGTTCAGAGCAATGGATGATGCTGCCAGACTGACACGGACATGGCACGAACACAAGACTTTCTGTTCGTCTTTCGGGATAACCGGACTGACTCGCATGCACGTTATGCGGATTAGACAGCGTTTCTTTGAAGCACGGAACATTCAATTCGGACACTTTTCCAATTTCTGTACAAGTGCTTATGCACACGACCTTGTTTTATAGTGGAGTAGGTATTGTTATGCCTATACTTGGCAACAATGTCATCACAACATTTCTCACCGCCACAAATACATGAATTGTAAGCGTGATAATGAGCTAGCTTTATTCTAATCATCTGTTGTGCTTGTCGTGACTCCGTGCGACGTACACGGTAGTATCGTAGTATCTAGCGCATTTAGGGCATTGCAAGCCTGTAGACAGGAGGTTATTGAGAAAGTGTCTAGGTATCATTTGCAGGATATCAAGTCAAGATTCTTCATCGAGATTCCTCGTAAGTACCCCGTAGAATACTACACTTAGTTGATACAATGGTACAGCTCTGATATTCAACACACGTAGGTGCCACTAGATAATTCCAAGGTATGGCTACAAGAGGCAGTAGACACCTACGTAATGACCGTAAACGGCCCTATTGAACGACCGAAAAGGATCGCACGGAAGTTTTCCGTTAGGGATGATGATAATGTCTAAGCCGAGCAAGAGTCCGTATATAACGAAGTAAATGGACTGACAAACTATAAACAATCCTGTCTATACCCAACTTAACGATTAGGCTAGTTCCCTACCCGCCACCCTGCTGAACTTGTATCGAGTTGCTGATCCTTGTCTGCCACCATGTAAGTCTATGGTCGTAGAGAGCCTCATAGTCTCGGTCACTAATCAGTCCCCCAGGCACCTTCTATCTACCACCACTCTCATCCTCGTAGCCCCCATCCTGGCTCTCGCCAAAGATTGTGCCATCTACTATACCTGGTCCGGAACCAGTAACCTCGATGTCTGGCGCGATATGCACGCCGTCTCAATGTGCAACGACATCGGCGGTACCATGAACGAAGTTGGCATAGAGAATGGAGGGAAACCCAATATGTGCGGTGTCTGCCGGGACGCAAGGGGATCAACAAGAGACTATGAGCGCACAATCTCGCAGGATACTGTTCAAGAGCAGATTAAGTTTACAGTGAGATGTGGTTGGTTTGGTCAAAACAGTTGCAGTGCGTAGTGGGATATGGATGTGGATGTAGACGTGGATGCGGAGATCGATTGCTGGAAAGACACAGGCCGCTGGACTTTTGCTGTTTCTTGAAAAGTACTTAGTTGGGTGCTTCCCCAAGTCAAAACTGGGGGTAAAAAAACTCGGCTCCAAACATCTACCTGGCAGGAATAAGAGCCTTTAAGAGTACAAGAGGCATGATAGCGACTGTCACATTGTTTTGATATTCCCGGCAGTAGCCCTAACCAAATAGCTCAAACCCTCATTGCCACCACATCAACTATATAGGACCTAGACTAAGTTTTCTTACACCTACCATGGCTCCATTCGGGTTGCTCAATTAGCCCGCATACCCGGATAGTCAGAATCGCCATGCCGAATATCCTGGAGTTGCATTGCCAAGTATCTCTCGAGGATCTCGTTATCAATAACATGGATGGAAAACGTTGACAGCCTTACCTATTGTTTGGTGCACCTATATCGTTAACTAACACACGTCAGAGTAACGCAAAACCATCTCACCTGCCCTTTTGTAAAAGCCAGAATCGTATATACGACTTTGTATTCAGACAAATTTGAGTCGTCCCAGGATGTTGTGAAGATGGATGGCAACTTTGTTATTGGATCGCCCACGTTGGAAGGGAGCATTGAATTCCTGCGCCCTTTCAGTTCAGCAGCGGATCGGAATAATAAGACATTACATCTTGGCTCTACTCTTTATACGCCTACAGATCTAGGGCAATGCAAATTTTCCCGCATTCACTCTGACTACTATGCATTACTAGAATAGATATGTGCTGTAATCGTGGCTTGGGGCAAGGAGCCTACGAGTCTTCGTTATTTAGAGATTTTTATGTGTAACAAGCTAACAAAGCAGCTGTGCTGCCGTCCACGAATAAGTAATAAGAAAAGCGGGGCCTCGCTCCCTACTAACACGTTTAGCTTAAAACAATTAGCTACTTATAGAGCGAGCTAAAGTAAGCTATAAAAGGTTTTTAATAATAAATAGCTAGAGGTTCCCTTTAGTAAGAGACTATAATATTTCTAATAAGTATTAGTTACCTATTAGAAAGTTAGATTATAACTATAAAGTTATAATCTAGTATTTTTAGCTTAGCTAGTAAATAGTATAGTAGTACTATAAGCTGCTAAGTATAAAATATAGTAGTTTAGAGCGCAAACCTATTTCTCTATACTAGACTATAGTATTAAACTTCTAAGTAAGTCCTCTATCTTTATTTAATATATTTTTATATTATATAGAGTTAGGCTTTACTTCTCTAAGCTTAGTCTATACTAAAGTAAGATAGACTAAAGTAGTAGTTTATAAGGTATTATATAGAAAATTAAGTAGAAAAAAGTTATTATTATTAACTAAAAAGTAATAATACTAATTCTATAATAATAGAATAACTAGTTAATAATTTATATAAGAGATAAACTATTTAAGTTAACTATAATAAGTATAATAATAAAATTTATTTATTTTATATATTTTTTATAATCTATTCTTACTATTATAAGTCTATCTTACTATTACTAATAGCTATCTTAGCTTATAATAGCTACCTTTACGTTTAAGTCTTACTATTACTAATAGCTTTATCTTAGTATAATAGTATATTACGTAACTCTCTTTATACTTTATACTAGTTATTCTTTATTATTAGCGCTTATTAAGAGGCGCTTAGTTCTAATTTCTTTATTAAAAGAGAATTTTTTTTATTACTTATAATACTTTACTAACTCTAAAGTAATAGAACTTACTTAAATTTATATTTTTATTTTTAATAATATAACTCTTACTAATTTTATAATTATAGATATAGCTAGTAAACTAAGACTTAAAGAGTTAATTACTAAAGTAGTTAAATACTATATCTATCTAAGTAACCTAAGAATTATTAAATAAGCTATTACTAATACTAGACTTTTTAGAAAGAAAGTATATAAAAAAAATAATAAAATATACTATAAGCTTACTTTTTTTAAGCTTATTTTTATTTTAATTTTTAGTTTTAACTTTATTTAGTAAATTACTAAAAATAGTAAAGCTACTTTTTTTATTTAATATTAAGTATAAGCCTTTAAGAGACTAGTAAAAAAGTAAAAAAAAAGTAAAAAAAAAGAGAAAGAAGAATAGTAGTTTAAAAATACTTACTTATAGTAAAGTAACTTTATTTAAGTAGAATTAGCGTTAAAGTACTACTTAAGCGCGTTTAATATAGTTAATTTATTAGATAAGATAGAGATTAACTAGGGTAGCTTAGAGGAAGGTAGCTTAAATAATGTAATTTATAATAAGAGTAATAAAAGAAAATAGATGACGCTCCGCTACGGGAGCAAAAACGCCTCCTATTTAGAGATTACGGCAACATCCGCAACTTGTATCCAGCATATTCGGAAGATACATTCTTGAGTAGAAATTGGTTGAGGCGCTCAGGTTTTTCCTAAGTCTCGAGCAGGTGAAGGTCGTTTGCTGTTCCTTGAAAAATGAGTAGAATGTTCGCAATATCACGGCTATGGCGAAGATATCCAAGGAGGAAATTCGAGCAGCGGTCAGCTCAGAGGTTACCATGGGTGTGTATATCGACAATCTTAGCAAAGAAGATATACAACTGATTGGCGAGCTGTGACGTCTTGTCAAGAGTCAGGAAAGGGGTATGGGAAGTTGAATTTTGATCAAGCCTGGAAGGCTTCGTCTAAACAACACAGGTCTTAGTCATCAATCAATCCCAACACGGAAGGTACATAACTACAAGCATTACGTCGTGACTCAAGAGCTTCCAAAACTACCTGTCTTGACCTTGAAAAGCTGGCTATTTATCATCACATGTGCTTGTATTCCTAGCCTTTCAGTATTATCAAGGCCAAAAATGAAAGCCCACGCCCACCCTGCCTCGTCACCCATCCTACAGCGCGCCCTGAAATCCGCTTTACCATACAGCGTCAATCTCGTCTACAGAATCCAACACCCCAACCGGACTGAGCACGCCCACATCATCGCCACGTTCCCTCCATCAGCCTCTGAAATCCCAGAATGTTGGGCAGCGGCATACCTGGATCGCTCCATGCGGCCAGAGACAGAACTATGGGTCTTCAGTAGCGCAGAACAGCCTCTTCGCTCAAACTTGACACCAAAATTTCGACAGGAGGATAAGAAGGCGGTGATGGCATTATTGGACTATATGGCTACACTCTCCACCCCACCGATGCGCTCCGATAATCTGCCTGCTCTGGAGTTGGCAAAGCAGCACGAAGAAGAACATCCAACACCGCCAGCTGATGGCGTATACAAATTATCACCAGGAACATATATGCGTCATCTCCTTATGCCGAAGGTCGTTACGTTAGGTGCGGTCCATTGCGATGTAGTCAAAATCCTTCGCGAAGCAGGAGTTCTACGAGATGAGCTTCCGGGACCCGATGCCGAGTTGAACAAGTTCTTGTTTAAGCTCTCTGATTTACCAGAAACGCGAGAGCTGCCACAGGGCTTGCGATGGGGGGACATGCGCGAGCAAGACATCGACCTTGTCAAGGCCCGAACAACTATCCCACGGACAACGAAGACACTGATGTCACTAAAGAGTGTTGGAGTGTTTGAAGAAGAAACAGATACTGCTGTAGCGTGGACATTTCTCGGATTGGATGGATCTCTTGTTACCTTACATACAGAAGAGGCGTATCGAGGCAAGGGAATAGCGAAGGCTGTTGCGGCAAAGTTGTTCCGACAACATGCGCCAGGATTAGCAGTAGACCACGGCGGGAATGCATGGTCGCACGCGGATGTGTACACGGGCAATGTACAAAGCGAAAGCGTGTGCAAAAGCTTGGGAGGCAAGGCATTGTGGAAGTGCTTCTGGGTGCGTATAGACCTAGAAAAGGCGGGATGTCTGGCGAAGACTGGGTGAGCTACAGTTAAATTGATGCGTCAACGGTTGCGGGACACCGAGATGTGAGAGCATAGAGTAGATCTGTTGTAAAGTCAGTTTCGAGCCTTGTTGTATGTAGAGAACGAGTGACTGGAACAAGGGTTGCTCATTAAAAAATTAGAGTGTTGTTGTTGTTTTTGATCCTCATAGTGAATCAGGGTTAAAAAGCGATAATAATCATAGCAGCGCGACGGTGGAAGGAGGGTGGGCTTACCAGGTGTATGTCCTGACGCAGACGCTTTGTGAGCATCACGAGCATTACATTTGTTCGAGTTCATCTGATCGTATTGTCGTTGACTGTCTATATCATGAAGACGTGCTTCGACAGACCGTAGTCATGCCGATATCTCTCAAGAAGTGTCATCGCAAACGTGAGTAGCTTAGTCGAAGAGACCGAAGCCCATGTCCTCATCCTCAGACTCCTCCTTCTCCTCTTCCTTGGCCTCCTCCTTGGCGGCAGGGGCGTCACCACCGGAAGCAGCAGTCGTGGCAGGGCCAGCGGAAGCGTACTTGTCGGGGTTGGCGATGCGGTCCTTAAGCTCGGCGATCTCCTCCCACTCGTAGTCGGTCTCAATGGCAACAGAGAGAACCTTCTTGTAGGAGTTGACAACGGAGTGCATGACGGAAGGCAGAGTGGGGAAGCCGGTGGCCAAGGAGATACTGGCAATGGTGGAGATGGCAGAGGAGAAAGCCTTGAGCAGCTGGGACTCCTCGATGTCCAAGACGGAGGCATCGAAGGTCTGGCCGTTGTCGTAGATCTGGAAGATACCCATACCGTAGGTGAAGGGAGAGATGTTCAACAAGTTGAGCAGGGTAGCCTCGGAGGCACCGACCTTGTTACCGGCCTCGATGAGCTTCAAGTCGGAGGTAATTTCGATGGTACCACGGGCAATCTTGGTGGGGACACCGAGAGCCTGGAAGAAAGAGGTCTTTCCGGGTTCCATACCACTGCCATATGTCAATTGTCTGCTGCATGATTTGCACAAGGCATGTTCTTACGTATTTCCGGCGGGAATGTAGACATCGCCAGGGGCGACGGCACCGGCACGAGCGGGGGCAGCGACACGGTTGGAGAGAATCTTCTCACGGGTGTCCTTGAGGTCGGCGTTGGTGAAGACGAAACCGACGTTGCCTATAATTCTGTCAATGCCGTGCGCGGCCGTCGCGTGTATCGGGAGACGTACCCTTGACGTGGGGAAGGAGACGCTCGTACTCGGGGTAGTCGTTGATAAGACCCTTCAGAGCACGGCGGACCATGGTGTTCTTTCCCATGAGGACGACACCCTCGCCGCGGAGCGACTGACGGATCTCGTGCATCTGCTGCGACGAGACATTGTCAACGGTGACGATGAAGATGCTCTTGTACTCCTTGAGGAGAGCCTCGAGCTTCTCGAAGTAAGCGGCCTTGGATTCTTTCTTGCCCCCCATTGTGTTCGGTGACGCAAAGGGATGTTTAAGGTCTTAGTTTGGGTGTTGTTGATGGTTTAAAGAAGAGAAAGTTCGACCGAGCGAAAATCAAAGTCGTCTGCTGTGGGTGGCCCCTGCTCGCGTAATGCGCTAGCGCATTCTGAGCCTCATAGAAAAGTAGTATCAACTCCACCAAGCAGTGTCCGACGCAAACATCATGTCTGTTCCCTACCAGTGCATTGTAGCGCACAGTTCAGAATCTGCGGGAGAGTGGGCGATATTCGGTGCGAGCGGCTCCAAGATCGTAGCTCATTCCAGTCGTGGGGCAACGACGACATGGCCACCGCAAGACAATCAGATTGAAGTGAGTGATGGCGTGATAAACATCATGTGTCAATTTTGTGGCATTCGACTTGGTAGAAGAAGTGGTTGCGCATCGCTAACATGAGCAGGATCAGCAGGAGGGCGATTCTGAAGAGCGACCAGGAAAACGCATCAAATTGGAACAACCGAAGGAGCAGAGGTCGAATTTTTCCAGTCTCATTCTTTCGAGCGATGGACAGTACTTGGTTGGCATAACTGGTGAAGACAAATGCATTCGCGTCTTCCAGATCGATTCGCAGAACCGACTGCAGCAACTTAGCGAAAGGTAAGAAGCAAAAGACGCAAGGTCAATTTAGAGATTGACCTGGAGAAGGTGCATGTCGAGACGACCTTCTTCGATCATTCTTACATCCGATAACACGACTATCTTGTGTGCAGACAAGTTTGGCGATGTGTATGCACTTCCACTTCTCCCATCACCTGACGACGATAAAGTAGAAGAGCCATCTGAAACACCAGCGACTGCACAGCCGGACCAGAAAGAATGGATGCCTTCCGCCACTACTCTGACCGTTCATTCCGGTAGGAATAGGAAGACTCTCGAAGAGCAGCTTAAGCAGAGAGCGAAGGGACCAGCGAAATCCAAAGAGCCTATGCGGTTCAAGCACGAATTGCTCCTTGGCCACGTTTCTATGCTCACGGATGTCGCTTATACAAAGGTAGAAGGCCGAAGCTACATCATCACAGCAGATCGAGACGAGCATATCAGAATCTCAAGAGGCCCACCGCAAGCACATATTATTGAGGGCTTCTGCTTCGGCCACGAAGCGTTCGTAAGCAGACTTGGCTTCACACAGTCTGGTCAACTTGTATCTGGTGGTGGTGACGATCACTTGTTTGTCTGGGACTGGCAAAATGGTCTTTTGAAGGAGAAGCTGGCCATCCGAGATCTTGCCTTTGCCCATCTCCAGGAGCGTGGCTTGGTTCTAGCAGGTGCAGAGTCTGCGACTTTCAAAGTTGCGGTTACGGGCATTTGGAGTCTACCAGCTAGAGACGGGGTAAGTGCCACTGAGCCTCAGTCCTTCTAGTTTCGTTCTGATTTTCGGTAGGCTGAAACTATCCTCGTGGCGTGCGAGGGTGTACCCGCGCTATTCAGCTTCACACTAGGTGTATCCACCTTGGGAAATTCCATCCCATTGAGCGGTAACGCACTTGGTGTTGCCATTATACACACCTCTACAGGGTCGCTGAAACTGGCCGTCTCGATCGACAGCGTCCAAAAGCCAGGCTCGACGACTGAAGTTCGGGAAGACAAAGTACGTACCCAAGAGCAGAAGTACTTCGCAGCCGACAACTAACATGTATACAAGGTGCCAAGATTGCAATGCCTTGCCAAACAGCAAGCTGGCGGATGGCACGAAGATCCTGAGCTGGCGAACATGCTCAAGATCTTCGAGCAGGGTGGTGACAAGCTACTTGCAGATGACAAAGCAGTGCGAGACATGCTCTACAATGTGGAGAATCTCAGAAAGCGTCCAGGCGCAGAAGATTAGATAGCAGCGTTGCAAGACCACAACGGACTTGAGATGCTCCTTCCAAGCGCGGGGCCGATATACGAAGATAGAAAGTGAAGCGTGACGTGTGCGGCTCCAGAACATGCACGAACTGTAATCATTCAAATACTCGCCTCTCCAGACCACGGTCATGACCGGACGAAACTGTGACAATCCGGCCAGTACTCCTGAACAAGTCTGCCGAGGTCCCTGATTCGGGAGCCGCATCGTGTCGCGCATAAGCGTGTCAGCATCGGACATTTGAGGGCGAGATGTGCAAGATGCGTGGACTGCGTGGAACGTGGGTCTAGTACAGGTCGATTTCTAAGAATGAGACCCCGGCCGCCGATGGCGTAGATCGAAAACAAGCAGCCGACTTTTTTCTTTGCAAGCAGAAATCTCCCTCCTTCTGACATGTGCTATACTTGCAAATAAGGTATGTTCTACTCTCTGGTTCTTCATTCTCTACCGCGCTGTCTTCCTTTTTATACTGAAGTGCCTGTGTATTGACTGCAACACAGAATTGGGCCCGATCTGCATCTTGAAAACCCCCACCACGCCTCGGCTCGCCGTCATCCACCAATATCGCGGACCCTCCGAAGCTAGAAAGACGACGCCCACTAATTGCGAACCGGCTGCGGCAACATCAAAACCGTTTTTCCAGCTCCTTCTCTACCACCTGATCCCTCTCGCATAAGGCACCTTCTGTCGCATCCCAATATCCCGCACACGACCCACACGCCCGCAGCCACATCTTGCACGCGACACGCGAACTTTCGCACACGCCGCCAAAGTGTTCGCATCAATCTTTCGAAGGGCCTCTTCCCCCCGCAATCTATCCTTATTCTCCGTACCCATCGCTGCTGCGGCATCGCATAATCAGCGCGTATCACCAGTAGCGGGGCTCTCGACTGCATCGACCTTTTCAAAACTACAGTCGCGAAACATGCATTCAAAACTAGTCAGTGAGTTGTGCTCAAGTGTCTTGTGACTGGAAGAGTGCTAACATTTTGCAGTCATTGGGTAAGCCTTGCAATCAGCGGCGCAAGCACGAGAAGAATGCTAACGTGCACAGCTCGGGGCCAGCAGGCCACACCGCAGCTATCTATGCCGCACGAGCGGATCTGAACCGTAAGACGCCGTCTCTCGACTGTTTCCAGCAGTATGCTAACAATGTACAGCCGTTATGTACGAGGGATTCATGGCTCTCGGTATTGCCGCAGGTGGTCAATTGACCACAACAGACGAAGTCGAGAACTTCCCCGGTTTCACCAAGATTGGAGGTGGAAAGCTCATGGTCAGTAACACCACGCGATAGACACGCGCAAACTAGTACTAAAGGCTTGTAGGAGCAAATGCGCGAGCAATCTGAAGCCTGTGGCACAGAAATCATCTCCCAGACCGTCGCGAAGGTCGACCTAAAAGCGCGCCCCTTCAAGTACTGGTTACACCCCATGGGCGATGAGGAGGAGATCGAGGAGGAGGAACACACCGCTGATGCTCTGATCATTGCGACCGGCGCAAAGGCTAGGAGGTTAGATCTTAAGGGCGAGGACAAGTACTGGGGTAACGGTGTATCCGCATGCGCCGTATGTGATGGTTCCCTCCCCATGTTCCGCGAGCAGCCACTGGTCGTTATCGGAGGTGGTGACTCGGCAGTCGAGGAGGCCTTGTACCTCACCAAGAAGGCGAGCAAGGTTACTGTGCTCGTACGAAGGGACCAGCTACGTGCCAGCCGAACAAACGCCCGCCGGTTGACAACGCACCCCAAGATCGAAATCCTGTACAACACCAGCGCGAGCGAGATCAAGGGCGAGGAGAAGAAGAACGGCCTGATGACACAACTAGTGGTCAAGAACAATGTCACAAAGGAGGAGCAGACCCTTGAGGCAAAGGGTCTGTTCTACGCGGTCGGACACGACCCCGCCACAGAGCTGTTTAAGGGGCAGCTTGATATGGACGAGGACGGCTACTTGATCACCAAGCCCGGAGAAGGTCTTACAAGTGTCGAGGGTGTCTTCGCGGCTGGTGACGTTCAGGACAAGCGGTATCGTCAGGCTATCACCAGTGCAGGATCTGGCTGCATTGCCGCTCTCGAGGCGGAGAAATGGCTTGCCGAGCAAGATGACAGCGTCGGCAACGAACTTGAGACGGAGAGCCAGGCTGAGAAGTCGCAAACAAACGGCGTCGTGCCCGAGTACCGCTCCAACCCTCTTCTATAGACGAAATACTCACCACATCATCACCATCACAAGCTTGGACCACGTTTGGACCATTTCTGGTATACCTCGCATGAAAAGGGCATGGGCATCTCATTGTTTAGCGCATCTACAGAGGGCATGGGGACCATGTATAGACCTTGGCAAAAGGCGGTGCATTTCGAATAGAATCTTGAGCGGCTGATTTAGGGTTTTAGATAGAGCAGACACCTGGCAATGAATGTCTTTCAAATGATTTATCGAACGGGTTTCGTGTTTCGCGACTGAATCTCTCCAACATGGTCGTTCTTGGTATTGTGAAAGATGGCTACATTATAGAGCAACGCATTAGATGCATCGTTGATGAAGCATGCGTCGGGGGGCTAGACGAAGGCAGCAGTGACATTACGATGTCGGAGCGTGGAAGGCGCTGTAAGACTGCTGGTTGCGGTGGATGATGAGCAAGATAGATGACGCCTAGGTTGATGAGCATCAACGATCAATGCCGTTGGCTTTGAGGAGGTTGAGCGCACTCTCGAAGGCTTTGACCACGCTGATGTCTGCTACATGTTAGCTGTGCAAAGGTGACGAAATGGCATTCAATGAATCGCACAGTGATTTCGCTTCTTCTCTAACTCTTCTTCAGCGTTCTGAACATAAGCCATGCGTGTACGAAGCCTGATGCAAATGGTCAGTAGGTCACACGACTTTGCAGAAGGTATGTTTACCTTGAGTAGGTCCGACCAGTCTCATGCTCAAGTCCTGAATTTGCCCAGATACGGAAGTACTGGAAAGGCCGTTAGTACTAGAAATAGGAATCAGATAGGGATATTAGTACAGCCATAAGACTTTCCCATTCCTGCATCAAGTCCGACTCTTCGTCGTGGCAACCATTCATAGCCTCGTGGTACCGAATGTGGAGATCTTCCCAGTCAAAATCCTCGATTCTTCCTGCAGGGTCACTATCTTCATCCTCTGTTTGCTCTCCAGCGTTCGCATCGGCTTGGCCATCGACCTCATCTTGCGAACGCTGGGCAGAAGGTGGACGCTCTGTGTCGTCTGAGTTCACACGTCTTCTCGCTGGCCGCATTGGTTGGGCATCCTGAGCAAGGGACGGCTCTGACTTGGAAGCCGGGTCTGCATCCATCTTGTAGTGTTTGGTAGCTGGGTCAGTGTTGGAGGCGAGGAAGGGAATATTGGCAAAGCGCGAGACGGAAGAGATGGTTCAGTTTCGTCGTCGGAGGTTCTGGTCATTGACGATGCCTCTGGCGGCGGTCAGTGCTGTGGGTAAGTGGAGTGATCGCGATCGCGTCTTATTATCATCATCAAGAGGATATTCGACGCGTGAAGTCAGCTTTATGAGACTCAAGATTGCAGCAGTAGAGGGTGATGGATGCTTGCCCAGGTATTCCGTTTGCACGTGCACTAGCGCGGTTCGTTTTGGTCAGTCGCGGCATGACGTTGGAAGGAGCGTCTGACTCGCGACTCGCGCCTCTGCCTAAGTACCGTCTCGGTCACACAGCCTTTTCACTCACCTTGGTCCGACTGCTTGATCTTTGCCTTACTTCAAACAAGGCCTGTAACATTCACGAAGCATATATATTCATCGGACACCCTACTGGCCGATCCCCATGGATACATAGGCACTCGCCAACCCCCTCGACGAATCACTCCAACCATGGTCTCGCTGTACCTTCCAGACCTACCATCCTACGACTTTTCTGGAGGCGAAATCACATAGCATCATTCTCACTCAACCATGGAGTGCGATATTTGTGGGAGAGAAGGCAGCCTGAGCCAGCCGCTCCACTGCATGACCTACGCCCGCTCGTACCTCGAACAGCCCCGCATCCAACTCGCGAAGACGCTGATAGACCGCGATGCCGTCGAGAAACACGTCAAGGCCATCGTAAATGGCTCGGAAGACAAGGCGATCCAGCATGTTTCCCTCACCGACTCGAAAGGAGGCCTCTTGGTTGACCGGCAGGAATGTACGAACAATCTGAACTGGCAGCGGACGAAAGCAGAGACGGCAGAAATTCAAGAGCGATTAGAAATGATATCAAAGCACGCTGGTCAGCTTCGAGAGAAGATGGAGGCCACAAGGAAGCAGCTCGAGGCGAAGCGTGCGGCGAACGCGCAGAGGAAGTCGGACCTCTCGTCCGCCACTTACGGCATCGAGTCGCGGCGGGCGAATGAACTGGATAAGGTGCAACAGAGAGTCAAGAGGTCCGACTACAATGCGGACAAGATGCATCACGATACCATAGACCTGCGCATGCAGCTATGCACGACTGCTGCGAAACTCGCAGGACTTAAGATGCAGCGACGAAAGACTAGAGACGGTAGCATTAAAGAGGTCTTTAATATAGGGCCTGGCACGCGCCTGCGGATTCATGATCTACGAGACCTGAACGGTAAGTCTCTGTCACACCTACTGAGACAGTATGCTAATAATCGGAAAGATGTCGCACCTGACGGCCTATCCGCCTCTCTGGCTGCCGTAGCCCAACTCCTCGTTCGAGTCGCTGCCTATCTGGGTATCCGCCTCCCAGCCGAAATCACGTTGCCCCATAGTGACTATCCTCAACCAACCATATTTAGTCCAGCATCTTCATACCAGGGTAAAAAAGTACCTTTCCCTGGCTCAACACCGTCGCATTCATCGAGCGCTAGTCCAGAAGCCTCGCGCACACTCGATATGCGTGTACATCTTCCGAAGCCACGCGCACTGTTCGTCGATCGCCCATTGAGTCATCTCTCTGCAGAAGATCCTCCTGCATACTCGTCCTTCATCGAAGGCGTATCTCTGCTTGCGTACAATGTTGCCTGGCTATGTCGAACACAGGGCATGAAGGAAAGCTTCAAACAGTGGGAAGATACCTGTTCGATAGGTCGCAATCTGTATCGGTTGCTGATTGCACAAGAGTCATACAATCCCCAGCGTCTTGAGAACCCATTCGACAAAGACATTACCGCTTCAAAGTCTTCTAGATCGATTCTTCGCAAGTCGCCTGTAGGCTTCGGACAACTTTCGCATGCCACTTCACATTCCTTTCTCGGCATCGCCGAGAACGCCCAATACATCAGCGGATGGGGCTTGTCTCCGACAAAGATTGTTGACGAGCTGAAAGGATTCTTACTTGCTGAGCAACAAGCACAAGAATGGGACGTGCTTAACCAGAAGGAATGGGAAGATATGGAGAACCTGATCGCTGAAGACCCGGTTGTAGTTGGCGAGAAAAGGCGTGGTAACACAGGTTTAGATGATGGACGCAGCTACCTCACGTCTACTACGACAAACGGAAGGCCTTTGCTATCACGGAAAGGGGATGCTTCTGAGAGCGAGCAGACAGCGCGAAAGAAAGGCATAAGTGGATACGTGAAACTCAAGAGCAGACCAGAGGAGGATACATACTAAGCATCACCATGATACCCCGAGATACCCATAGACATTCGTGCACTCATAGACACATTGATAACTCCACACTTGAATCGCATTAAGATGCGAATCATATGCCTCTAGTTTGTATTGTTGAAACGTGCTTACGTACTCTAAATCGTATACAGCATCTCGCCCGAACAACCTTCTGTCCTTGGTGGCGGCCGCAGCGCGATGTGTAATCAGCTGCTGCCAAGGCCGTCACAAGGCGGGTCGGAGAATACTATGACACCATCGCCGCTTGCTCACGAAACCAACGCGCGCTGGGCCGAGCTGTACATGCCACGGTTGGAGAGCCAACGCCGTCTGATTAATCTGTTGCTGAGAAATACCAGACATTGGACGGGGCCTGTTGGGTATAAGAAGCTGGGAGTCACGAAGAATCATCCCCCTTGCTTTCATCTCCACTTTGAAAGGAAATTCTGCCAGAAAGAATTATTCTCTTTCGCGCCATCACGGTCGACGGCACCACCGATAGAAAGCGCGCTAGGATTCGTCGCTAGAACAATAAATCATCCATAGACGTCAACACCTCGGAGGTCTGAACTTTGTTCTGAAATATTCTGCTCTCACTACATTTTTGAATTCAAGTCCTTTTACACCACCAAGTCGACCCGCCTGTCCAGAGAGCATTCACCAGAGCAAGATGACAGTCCCCGAGCACCCCATTGACACCCCACCACGCGCGCCATCACCAGTCCACAGATTCGGTACGCTCGCCGTACACGCTGGGAGTCCTCACGACCCGGTCACGGGAGCTGTAATTGAACCTGTACGCACTGCCGACTTATTGTCTGAAGGGCGCGTAGCTGACCGAGGCAGATCTCGCTGTCGACAACATTTGCGCAAACCGCCGTTGGGAAGCCAATAGGCGAGTACGAGTACTCGCGATCCTCGAACCCCAACCGGTATGTGTCTGCGACCACTTTCTACACTTTCATTACTAACGCGCTTTCAGAGACAACTTTGAGAAAGCTGTCGCCGCCCTCGAACATGCCCGCTATGCGCTTGCATTCTCCTCAGGTTCTGCTACCACGGCCAATATCCTCCAATCGCTCGCGGCTGGCTCCCACGTTGTTTCCGTCTCAGACGTCTACGGAGGAACCCACCGCTACTTTACCAAGGTAGCCCTGACCCACGATGTCAAGGTTACATTCAGCCCGAGCATCGAGATTGACATCGCTGAGCTCATTCGCCCCAACACAAAGCTCATCTGGATCGAGTCGCCGTCTAACCCTACCCTGACGCTGGTGGATATCCGCAAGATCTCAACGATTGCGCATCAGCACGGCATCATGGTAGTTGTGGACAACACCTTCATGAGCCCGTACGTTCAGAATCCCTTGGACCATGGCGCCGATATCGTGGTACATTCAGTCACAAAGTACATCAACGGACACTCTGATGTTGTCATGGGTGCTGCGGCCTTCAACTCGGATGAGCTATATGAGCGTCTGTCTTTCCTACAGAACGCCATTGGTGCTGTTCCCTCGGCATTCGACTGCTGGCTCGCACACCGCGGTCTCAAGACCCTGCATCTCCGCGCTCGGGAAGCTACCAAAAACGCTACAGGTGTTGCGAAGGCCCTCGAAGCCTCACCACACGTCGTATCCGTCAACTACCCTGGTCTGCCTTCTCACCCACAACACCACATTGCATTGAAGCAGCACCGCGATGGAATGGGTGGCGGTATGCTGTCATTCCGTATCCAGGGCGGCCACGCAGCTGCAGAGCGCTTCTGCCAAGCAACCAAGATCTTCACGTTGGCTGAGTCGCTTGGTGGCGTTGAATCGTTGGTCGAGGTACCCAGTGCCATGACACACGGCGGTATTCCCAAGGAGCAGCGTGAAGCCGCTGGTGTATTTGACGATCTCGTCCGCATTAGTTGCGGTGTTGAGGATGAGGCTGATCTTGTTGCCGATGTAAAGCGAGCACTTGAGGAGGCCGTCGTTGGTCCTAAGATCACCAACGGAAAGACTTCGAACAATGCTGCTCCTGCTGCACAGTAGTTTTTCTGCTAGAAGTCTTGGAGTTGTTAAGAGCGAAAAAAAACCATGCTTTGATGAGCACATATGGATAGATGGCGTTTTTTGGGGTACGGGATTACGACCCTTATGATGAATATGATATCAGCGATACTCTCAATTCTAAAGCATAGTATTGTACCACAATACGAATTTACTCATGGTGTTTGCCGCAATGTACTCGTGGTTTTCGTTGTCTATACACTAGGCTCCAGCCTGACGCCGGTATATTTTTGGAGCTCAGAGAAGAGCCTTCCTGCACGTTACTGACTACCGTATCACGCACCAGTCGACTCTCATGGTATATCTTCCTGCTGTACATATTAGCTCACATATCTTCGTGTACCTTGGGGAACCAACCCACAGAATCGCGCACGCAGTGACTGTATAGGTACAAGACGAACATACAACTCGATTGATGCGCGTCTGCCTTGATTACACAACATATAGTCTTCAGTTAGGCTAAGTGATCATAAACAAACAACCAGTACTCAGCAGGCTACACACTGGTAGGACAGATGCTGCATGGACGCTATTTTGTACCGCACAACGTTACTACGAGACTACTAGATCTGGGCCTTGAGGGAAGTTAACGTTCAAAGAATGACGGATACAAGGAAGTGCCAGAGTGTAATACTACGAAGTAAGTAAAGTAGAGAGAAAAAGAAAGTGAACGTGAATGGTTTTGGAAATCCGCGGATGACTTCCTTGTTAAAATCTCTAGATGTCATTAAAGTCTTCTAAACGCGAATGGTCCTTGGCACATGCTTTCGTCTTTTGTTTATCATATTGAGTAAGGGGACGCGTGTATCGAACTTTTTTGAACCATCGAAATACTAACACAAAAGATAGTCTCTGGCCACATTCTTTGGCAGTTTGAACCGTCTTCATTGTTTCACTTCACAATGTCGGTAAGAGTGATCTTGTTGTAGCCAGTGATCTGCTGACAAGTAGCTACACAGTAAATTGTGTTGCAGTTCGTGACCACGCCTAGCTAGGTAGGTTGAGGAATCTGAACGCCGATTCATCAGCGTGTGACATCATTACCCAGTTTTTCTTCTTCCAGACCGTAGTCATCATGTATGATCGCATCTACAACACCAAAGCGGTCCACCCAAGAATACCAGCAACGACGACCGGCACTCTAAGCGAATCAGCAGCATCAGTAGATGCCGGTAGGTTTGAAGACATAGATGAGGTGGCAACATCATTACTGGCCGTTGTGGCGGTGGTTGAAGCATTCGTGCTTGCAGAGGAGTTGATAGTCGTGGAAGGGGTGGTGGTAGCGGTTGCCGAAGTGGTCATTGTAGACGTCGCGGTAGCCATGGAAGTGGTAGTCGTATTTAGATCGTCAGTGTTGGTGCCGACCACGCAGTACAGACCGTCATAGTCTAGATCGGGACAATTGATGCCGGGGTTCAATCGCTCGAGCTCGTCGACGGACAGGCGCCAGGTAGATGCAAAGCTCTCACAAGTCGTACCAATATCGGCTATAGCCTTAACATAGGTGTGCGAAGTCAGTGTATGTCTCATATGCAGTTTGTACAGAGAGATTTACAACGGAGAATTCACAATCAACAGCTCGACGAAGGCGAGAGGGCCATGCTGAGGCCGATGCTACAAGAAACCCAGCGGCGAAGAAGTGTGTCAACTGCATCTTGAGGGGTTTGAAAGTTCGCAATATTGCAAAGAAGGGAATTTGTCGAAACGATTTGGGGGAATATAAGTCCGGCGTTTTGACAACGAGATGCATACTCAATTACGCTTTAAGCCATAGCTCTTATACTCTTCGCGGGAGTTTGTCGCTCGCTTACTTGTGTTATCCTGCTATAGCGTTCGCAAAGCTAGGTGCTGGGCCATTGCCCCTGACCGCAGCCAGCATAGATAATTGTGGGAAAGGCTGACCTGAGCCTGTCAAGGTAACTCACTAGCTGGTAGTGGAGCCACAATCATGCCGTCCGCGGAACGATAGCTTGCTTGTCTCTGCATCGGGGCAATAGTCACAACGCTTGGGAATGGTGCGTGAGTGGGGATGTCAGGAACAAGAAGGTTGGCTCGGCTCTGGTGGAAGTGGCACGGATGCTAAGCGGGCGCGGTTCAGCCGCAAGCGCTGTTGCAACGTAGCTCTATTGGCCACCAGCCGCTATCAAGCATGGTACCTTGCATCAGTACTGAGCATTATGTTGATCCTTCACGTGGAGTTTGAATCCTTCCTCTCTTGTTTTTCCGTCCTAAGATTTCTACAACCTTCCTAATATTAAAACACGCATCGCTTCATCTCGCTACCTGTCTTTTGCCGTCCCTGTCAACAGGCTGGCCGCCTGGCATCTCATCGCTCGCGCAGGGGCTGCCGAGCTTGACGGAGGTAGACCTCGTTTTCACTTGTAACGACCTCGGGAGATTTACGCTTCCCACGTAAATCCCTTCAAATATTTTTGCTACCACAAGTTTTGAGCTAACTCTGTACATGGACTCTTCGCTGGATGTCAACCTTACCACCTTGGACGCATAGATTCTGTGATGTGGGAACCTTTCCTGCAACGGCCCTTGTCAGAAACTCAGAACTTTCTAGAAACTCGTCGATAAGGGTAAGATTTAGCTTCAATACTAGGTGGGCTGGGACATTCCCTCCAAAAACTCACTCAATTCGTCGAAAGCGGCATCACCCCAATGCGACGACGCATGCTACATCCTTCACTGTCAAGAACTCTGCACAACAAGTAGATTCTGTCACTTTTACATTAATCAAAATTGCACAGAGGATAAAAGTGATTGCTATCAGCATTGATGGCCCACTAATCATATTACTCGGGAGGATCATGGAAGATAAACTTGTACACCAATGGCGTCCATAACGCTATCCCCAACTCCTTCCGAGCTCAAGATCGATTCAGCCGCTGCTTCAAGATTTCCCCCATCTTATGACTTCCCTTCATTGTGAGGCGACTCGAGTACTTGGGTCCTCTTGTCCGATTGATGACAAGAGTGCTATTCAAGGGAGATGCGCGGTTACGTACCCTTGACAAGCTAACTCCAATATCGTGAAGCGCTCAACCTGCCCACCTACCCGCCCGCGATCCTCACCCTTCACCACGCGGCTGAAACGGCATCAACCCCTGCTACGTAGCTTACCCTTTTCGATCTCGCCTACAGGCTCTTGCCCCTTGGCGGCGACATCTACCATAGTTCAGACTACCTACCTTGCTCGTCTGTTTCTTTTGGTTCACGTTGAGCATCCTCCGCATTGTCCGCTCAGCCACAAGTCCTTCCAACACAGAGTCCGCTCCGCCAAACCAGTTTCTTTAATCGCGTTGTGACTCCCAGAATTTTTCGATTTATCCAACCTCACACCGCCATTACCTCCCCAGCACCCTCTCCTTCGCGACCTTAACACGCTCCTACATGTAGATTATCTTTTGAATTTGTCAATTGTTTATGACCTATATATGAGCTATAGACGCGGCCGTCAGCGACTCCTCGGGCGTTGTGAAGTAGACCTGGTTTTCCCGCGCAACGACACAGATGCGCCAGCGCCATTTGTACCTATCGTCTTTGGTTTTCACAACGTCGACCTCGACACCAACGGTAAAAAATTCGAGAAAAGAGGGCAATAGAGTAGTTGTCTGTTCATTCCTGGCACAGCTGGCGCCTCACGCGTGCCGACCCTGCTATCCATGCATTTTGACTTTGCATATATTACAGTCTGCATAATAACAGTCTGTTGTTACCGTACTTTGCATATTCCATGAGCAAATTCTGGCTGCATTGTAGATACTCCAGTATCACGAGCATACAACCCACAGACCTCAAAGAGAACTAAATAGGTTGTGAATCAAATTGCTACGTCGGTCGTGGGGAAAGACGTCAAGCTCTTTTTTTGATCAGGCCACCTCGTAATTCATTCCAAGGAAGGCGCATTGTTCTTGTTTGCTGACGATGCGAGCCCCACAGAGGCTCAGCCTCTGAGGCTGAGTTCATATTCAGCTACCTTCAGCTCTGCCTTCGATCACCGCCATTCCATTTCTCACATCAATTTTCCGCTATCGATATTGCCCCAGAGTTCTTATCTTTTGTAAGAAACTTCCATGCGTATATTCCACCAAGTAAACCCAATAAGCGCTCTGAAAAATCTCCACTGTGACCATGGGAGTCCTACCCTAAGACTGTGCCACACGCCGACCTTGACTAAGACAGATGCCCATCGAACCTCACATGATATTTTATGCGCGAAAATATGAGGTTCCAAGCCAATTTGGTGGTCACTTTGTGATGTAGCTGAGAAAAGGCGGTCGTCGAGCGAGCTACTCGCTGACGATGTATACGAACAGCTCAGCGGACGGCGTCACGATCGGCTCCTATTTGGGAGTATAGAGAATCTGAAGACAAATTATGTAGTATATAAAGCAGGACATCATCTCTTTCTAGTAGCCCTTCACCAACAGCATCATCAATCTACACCACAATCCAGACTTCTCTACAACCACCAACGTTCTTCAACAAGACATTCCAATATCATCAACCCATCAACAAATCTATCAAGATGCAGCTCACTACTACTATCGCGGCCACCCTTCTCGCCTTTACCACGGTGGTGACTGCGATCCCATCTCCCATTCCTCAAATTACCCTCCGTATCTACAACGACCAAAGCGGTGCCAATGCAGAAGCCACCATACCCGCCGACGGCACCCCATACTACATATCTTCTCTTTTCGCCGGCAAGGCTGTCGATAAGGGTGCCGGTAACATCGTCGGTACATCAGCCCAACTCACCAAGTTCCAAGATACGACCAAGTGCCAGCTTGTCAACCTTAATATCCCTGGCTGGATCTTTGACATCGACGGTCGTGCCAAGAACTTTATCGATCTGGATGACGACATTACGAAGCCGATCGAGACTTGGCTGAGTGGTTTCACTTTCCATTGCGAGAAGGCTTACTAGAGGTCGAGATATTAATCCAACGCTAGAGGCATGGATGCGCTGAGTTTGGGGGGATTTCGAGGTTGTAATTATCAGAGAGGGTTCTCTTGAGTCATTCGTTTGCTTGTTCTCTTGGTTTGAGCATTTCAGTAACGAAGCATAGCGTAGGATGAAGTTGAGTTTTGGCATATCGCATAGGCTTTCACGTTCGTTACAATAGACAGTAGAGTACCAGATATAGAAGTAATTCGATTGATTTAGCTTCATGCACGTTAGCGATTTACATCTGGTACTCGATGTGACACTTGCGATACTACCTTTCATACTAACCTGATGCTCCACAGTCTCTGCGTAATCATCCTAGATTCGTCATAATGTTCGAGAGCGTTTCGCTATTTTGACGCAATGCCAACTCAATGCCGATGGGTGAAACCAATCTAAAGTGGAAGAGAATTAGATAGTCATTTCGTCTTATTATAACACTGTAGTACATGGGGTATATGTGATGTACAAAGGGAATAGCTATACAGCACTTTCGGGAGTTGGTTTGTACGTAGCGAATGGCTTTTTCTAACTGTCATCCCCAAGCGTATGTGTTGAATACCGATGAAGTCCTAGAATCACTCTAGATCTAGATACGAATATAGCATCCAATTCATATAGTGAAAATCCATTCTGGTCTCTTCAATCACTAAGGTTCCTTCACACCAAACACCGTCACAGATCAAGATCTATGTGCATATTGACTATCACCATGATAACAATTCAGCTCTCTTTCTATAAAACGACCTACTCCCTAGCCCAACAAGGTCTAACTGACCTACACAAACAAAATGTCAACCAACTCGCGTCTCGCAGCACTAGAGGCTCTCGCCCGCAAAAACGAGGAGAAGATTGAAGAATTAGGGCACACAAATTGGCTGCTCAACAATCACAATGTCCAAACGCAGAATGAAATCTCCAAGTTTGAGAAAGACTTCAGCAAGGAATACCCCAACTTTGACGTAAAACATGCCAATCCCACAGTCTTACGGCCAGATCCACCATCACCTCCTCGCGAGTCACCAGTCGCAAGACATGTCCTCCTCGCTCGCCCGCGGTCGGACACGCGTCCACAACCGCCAGGCCCATTTCCAACGCCATTCTACCTTGCTGCTCGCGAGGCTCCACAGCTAGACTTGGATTTTGTGATACCAGGCTTTCAGGGTGAGACACTGGAAGTAGCTATAAACAATGTGGACATGCGTTCGTTCTACAGCAGACCCTGCGAAGGAGAGGGTGGGGCGAAGAGATGACGAAGAAAGGGGTCGAAGACTTCCTAGCACAACCTATGGTGAAGGTAGTGTGGAAGGGCAGGGAGGGTGAGTTTGGGAGCCTGTCATAGTGCTTTTACAAGGAACGAGTTGTAACATAATTTCGATTCGGGAAATGCACTCTACAACTAAACAGAGTTTGGTATCTTGACGCCGGTCTATACATGCTAAAGTTGTTCAAAGTCCTTTCAATCATCTGTGTGCTGTTCATCAAAAGCCAGCATGAGCCCCATGGCCCGCTCGTATGTCCACATAGTGACGGCGCTGGCTGGCGCAGCCTTCAGTAAACTGACGGTCAAGCCGCGGTACATGCCTCGTCTACCTTCGTGCTTCCAAATATGCGCTATAGTGCTGATGACACCGCTATAGGTTGGTATGTTCCGATGAACGTATCGATCGCGCATGGGCCCTTGAACTTGTAGTCGCTTGCGTGTAGTGTCGAGCGGGTAGACGGCGGTCTTGGAAAGAACGCTCGCGATAATACCGGCGACGGCATCTGAGCTTCCGAGTGGTAACGGTATAGGAGAGGAGGCAGTAACGGGCTTCAAACTTTCGTAGCTGGCGAAGAAGAGGCCCATGTAGGGCACAATCTGGCTCACGCCTGCGCCGAGGCCGCGAAAGAAACCCCTAGGTCCTTCATGCTGCGCGATATGCTTCACCGACGCTATGATGGAGGTATAGACGCGATCTCTTCCTTGAGCAGCAAAGCGGGTGCGCAGAAGATCGAGCGGATAGGTGGCTGTTGTAGCAGCAGCACCCGCACTCGCACCACTGAGGAAGCTTGTGACAGAACTAGGAAGCGTATATGGTGCAGGTATAGTCTCCAGCCAGTGTGACACGTACGTATAGGCAGAGAACTGGGCGCTGCCGTACGTCAAGTACATCAGCTCCGCAGGAATGTTGCCCTTCCATAGTCCTGTGACACCCTCCTCATGGAGGATCTGCTTGAGGGTGCCTATTGTTCCTTTGTAGACAGGTCCCTGGACATGTCGAACGCTGAGAGGGTCGGAGAGGGAGTGGATCTGGAGTTGCAGGCGGATCTTTATGACATCGAGAGGAGCTATCACGAAGCTGTGTCTATGTCAGCACTATACACAAACAAGAGGAGGCCAACATACCGCGATACCAGGCCGGCAACCGCGCCTGCGACGACAACCTGTCGCTGGGAGCCCTATTAACTACGTCAGCCTGCGCCTGCATGCCTGCCTGCCACGTCGCGAAATAGTGAAGATAGACAAGCTCCTACCTCATGCTTCAGCTGTGCGACACCCTCAGACATGCGCCCTGCGCGTCAAGCGACACACGTGCTGTTTTCGCACGCGTTATTAGCTACCAACTGCCGATTATCGGTACGACGCCTTTAATTGCAAACGTGCCGGGCAAAGGGTGGGTAGAGACCTCGGTTTACGGGTTGATTGTTTCCACCAAGCTCCCTGATTCTGAAAAGCAAGCCACCCCGCCCAACTTCCTCACTGGAAACAGCTGCGACCGACCATGTCTTCGACCGTTACCACCAAGTTACCACTACGAAGTCTAAGATTGCAGGTTACGGCTTCTTCTCGCGCGACTCCATTCGCTGCTCAGAGACGGCGCTTCTTCTTCAATTCCTTTTGGCGATCACCTAAGCCGGCCGAGCATGCTGATTGGAGCCCCGCTACTCATGGTCCCTTCCGACCAACCAAACACCAGGAACAGCTGCAGCAAGAACAAGACTCGAAACTGTCAAAAGAGCAAGAACCTCTCATTCACAATGACCCGAGCATCGGTCAACTTGACGGTAGCCCAGCGAAGAAGATTGCTGTGAATATCGATGGAGATCCCAAGGTCTTCGATGCTGTATTTCTCCGTGACAGCTGCACATGTACACAATGCATGGACCCTGACAGCAAGAACAAGCGCTTCCAGACTTCAGATATTCCGGAACATCTCGAGGGCAGCTGCAAGACAGTCGTTGACGAGGACAAGGGGACTTGTATCGAGCTCTCGTGGAAGACAGATGTCAAAGGCTTTGGTCCGGAGCATCGCACACGGCACTCTATCGACTGGCTACGGCGTGCATTCAATACTGAAATCGAGTTGCGTGGTGGGGTACGACACGATGACAGAGTGTTCTGGGACAACAAAAGGATCGTACAAGACAACAAATGGATTGACTACGACAGCTACATGTCCCAAGACGAAACACTCTTCAAAGCACTCACTCACCTCAATAGATACGGTCTTCTCTTCATTAAGAATGTACCAGAATCTGAGGAATCCGTAGTCTCACTTGCGTCCCGTATCGGTACACTAAAAGACACATTCTACGGCCGTACATGGGACGTTCGCTCGAAACCCAAAGCCGAGAACATAGCTTACACTCCCGATTACCTCGGTCTCCACATGGATCTTCTCTATACATCCAACCCGCCTCATCTGCAATTCCTGCACTCCCTCCGAGCCCGCACACCAGGCGGTGAATCCTTTTTCTCCGACTCCTTCGCCGCAGCACACCAACTCCGCCAACAATCCGAAGGCCACTTCAGAACTCTATGTACCTTCCCCGTGACATACCATTACCACCACCCAAAGTACCACTACCACTTCACGCGACCGGTAATTGAGACATTCTCCTACTCCAACTACAGTGATCCCACCAATCTCGCCATTCGCCGCATAAATTGGTCTCCACCTTTTCAGGCACCATTCGAGGCACGTATCGGCAGCGGCAGTTCTACGTCGCTTCGCTCATTCATTGCTGCTTCGCACGCATACGAGAAATTACTCAGTGCTGAAGAGAATCTGTACGAGTACAGGTTGAATGAGGGCGAGTGTGTTATCTTCGATAATAGGAGGGTGTTGCATGCTAGGAAGGCTTTCGATGCTTCAAAGGGTGAGCGGTGGCTCAAGGGCGCGTATGTTGACGACGATGTCTTCTTCAGCAAATTGAGGGTGCTCGAGGAGAAGTTTGAGGGCAAATGGGTCGCTGAGGGTGTAGTTCGACATGCTGTAAAATAGAGGACGGAACTGTGTATGTTGCGTACCATGGATATGAGTTTGCTTCAGAAGTTGCCTTTACCGCATACACAGGTAGTGGTCAATATCAGTGAGAGTACCTGCTCTCAATGTAAATTTTCGGCGATGTCTATACAAAACTTTTGCATTATGATGCAGAGATGACTCTTGATATGTGGAAAGTCTCGGCTGGAACACAGATAATGAGAAATAGATACCTCCAGTACAAAGACCATCTTTTCTCTCCGTTGAGTAGCAGAACCCACGGTGACGCAACCATGCACAAGCACATCCATTTAACTCTTCGTTGGTCTGACTTTGGTTACAACCAGTCATAAACCTCCCACACAAGGCCCGATCATTCATCTCTGTACCAGATATTCATTTCCACGCGCTCGTCCAGACCGCATCGCAGCCACTGGTCAATCTTCTGTCGTTCACGACGCGTGACCTTAGGGTAACAGTCCACACCGCCTTTAACTACGTTGACGGATTGCAGTCCCGGAAGTACGTCGGATAACGAGTACATCTGGCGGGCTTCGAAGTCTTTGATGCCACCGATGCAGCATTCAGTGCAGAGGTCTAGGTGTAGTGCGCGAATGGCTTGACGTTGCTTTGTCGTAGTAAACTTCGCCGTAGTAAATTTGACGATGAACTTGTGGAAGACTTCGAAACTGCCGAAGTAGAATGTGTTAAGAGAGAATGGAAGTAGCCTCGTTTCGTTGTAAATCTCGCGGCAGACTCGGAGGAGGGTAAATCGCTCTCCATATCCGGTAGTGCGCAGTACGACGTCATTTTCGAATTCGAAGACGCCTTTATTGAGGACGTGTCGGTAGATCTCATTCCTGATTTCTCCAGGAAGACGTAGAAGCGGTGACATATCTGAGTTGCGTGGAGTCCTAGGAGACGTGGTCAGCCATAAAACGAGCAAGTGTGGGGAGTTTAGTACATCTCGGAGATACGCCTGGTGTGTTTCGCCATTCTGACTTCAAGTTGTGGTCTCGAGATATATGGAGAGTAGTCGCAGGTATGACTGAAGTCAGCGTCTTGGAGCGACGATGATGGTAGGGTTCAAAGACGCAGCCAGTGGATTGGTTTTGACGTGAACATAAACGGTGACCAGCGCTTTTGACCGTGAAGGTGAGATAGCAAACAAGAAAGGTTAGGTGAGAGAAATATATGTTCTAGATCTTCTAAGTTCACATCACAGGGTATGTGACAGGCGGTGTATGAGCGGTCCCATAAATTGTGGGTATACTCTGACTTCACCTACGGATATACAGTATGTACTTGCCTCTAATGCTAGAAGTCCATTATGACCGACTCCCCCTTATCTTCTCACAAAGCTAGATGAAATTCACTGTATCTCGAAGTCCACGTGGCTCTTGAGATCCTTCCACAGCCATCCTACTTGTGCCATACTCCAATAACGATACAATGAATCATGGCCATCTTCAGAGTCTAGATCAGCTGTGCCAAAACAAGATCTTCATGCCTCTACGTGTACATGTCGCATATTAAGCAGGAGAATCGAGAGCGAGACATAACCACGCTCTTCAAAATTTCGCACAAGGACGATAGCTTGGTCCATCTCAGCTTCGTTTACATGAATCTTGAAGTAGTCTGGAATCTTGTAGAAGTCAGAGCAAGACAGAAGGCGCGAAATTGCCATCGGGCGAACCTAACGGTGAGCATCTGATGTGGCAACAAAATATTCTTCTGTCGTATCCAGCGACATGATGCAGTGAGGATGAGACGGTTCTTGCACCCCTTTGTACTGTGGCGGCTTACAAGATAAGCCCCGATATATACTTTCCTTTCTAGGGCAGAGGAGGCAGCCAAGTACGCCTAGCGGCAGTTACTCCCCTCATTGTAGGCCAGGCGTATATTGTCCGCCTTGGAGACTCCCGCCTTCGGATGTTCAGTCTCTTGTGTAAGCTCTTTTACGGATTCATCTTTGATCTTTCACGCAGCAGCTTGTTGTTTCTTCTTCTTCGAGTACAACACGGCTTTATGTCGCTTCTCCTCGAAGCCAGCAGACTCCCCTCGATGGCCTTCCATCCAACAGTTCTGGCAATATAAATCGCCGTCACAACCCAGGCACTTCAGAGTCGCGTCGTCCTGGCAGATGATACACCATGTATCAACCTCATCATCAATCTTCTTCTGTATATTCACAGACACGGGGGGTTTGTTCCTGGGTGCAAATGATGGAGCAGAGGGGAGACCAAGAGGATCCGCCTGTGATGGAGAAGGGGCAGCTAGGGCGGCCAGGCGTGCGGTAAAAGCATCCTCGATAGCTTGACTGCGTGCGAAGTCGTCTTCGGGCAGGGTGCTCGGAGCGGAAGGAAGTGTAAAGCCGTCGTCCGTTTTGTTCTCTTCCGGTTTGCTTTTTTGGCCTCCGGAGTCCGACCTGTCATCTCCAGACGGAGGAGAAGGAGGATCGTACTTGTTGCTAATCTCTAGTTCCGCCATAACCCTCGCTATTACATCATCTGCCTCATCATCCTCGGTCCTCGTTTTCTTGTCTTCGTTGCCTTCTTCTTCTTCTTCTTCTTCGTTTTCCATGTCTTCCTGAGCCCTACCGACCTCTCCACTTCCAACATTGATCTCGATGCTCTCCCAGTCTGTAAGCTCCTCCTTCGATGGTTGGTTGCGTTTCCCATTTCCGCTCGGCGACTCTTGTGCTCGGCTGTTCACTACTTCTGGTAGTATCTTGCGCATGTCTTTCAGTAGCTTTCCGACATCTTGTTGCTCCTCTTTGGACACGTCCCATTCTTTTCGGTCACCTACGGCACCCTTCAGCTCGCCAAGCAACTCCTCCAGACTCTTTTCGTCTTCCTCATTAAACTCTACATTCGACTCTCCTATACCCTGGGCTATGCCTTGCAGGTAGCTGGGTGCCCCTGGCGCTACGACTGGTGCGCCCGCATTGTTGGTGGACGTTGTACGTGACGGCTGTGGCGAGCCCGAGGGAGACGCGCTGCCAAGACGTGCGAAGCGGGCAGCGAGGTCATCAGTAGGTTTAGGGGGGTTCGTAGGCGTTGTTGACGCGCCGTAATTTGTGTCTAGGCTGACAGAGGACTTTTTGAGCGCGTTGAGGCGGGCGAGGAGGTCATTGTCTGTCGAGCTCGGGTCGGACATTGCTGGGAAGCAGACGGTTACTAACAAGATGTGTGAGTAGAGACAGTGAATGCCTAGCTTGAAGCGCCCACTATAGGCTGCTTATGACGAGGTGCTGCATGGAGCTTGAAGCTCGGGAGTGAGCGGAGTTGGCGGTGGGGGAGGGGCGAGCTATCCTTGACCATAGTTCATCTCTCGCACATCCTACACTTTGTACCATACAAACGCTGTGGTTAATTATTTGTGAGAACGCATAGGTACAATCCGAAATCGTACCAGTACAATACTTTATGCTCGGGCTGGCGTCCCTAGAGACCGGTGTCATGGACCCCATGTCTTCACATGCCAGATCCGGCCCCGCTTTCGTCATACACGAAGCACCGAGACCATGCATACACCTCGCCATTGCGTGCTCTCACACCATCTCTAACTCACAGTATAACCGTTGCTTTTGTCTTGTAGTCTGTGCACCTACATAAGTTTTGCAGTCCCAACTTCAGACCATAGACACATTAAAACTCTCAAACCCGCCTGTCCTAGAGCCACAGCAACAACAGTCATGGCCCTTGCACCCAAGTTCGCCGGCCAGAAGCTCGCTTCCAATGCCATCCAGCCAAAAGCTGTTCATACTCTCGAGCTCTGTACGTCTTCGATGCTCTTGTCTCTCTCCTCAAGCACATGATCTGCATTTTCCAATCCCGATGAAGCACACCAAGCAAACTAACATCTACACGTAGACCTTGACTATGTCTGTCCCTTCTCCGCTAAGATGTTCAAAACAATTTACGGTACTTCGCTCCGTAGAACACTCTTAGAGAAGTACTCCGACCGCGTCGTAACTATCTTCCGGCAGCAAATCCAACCCTGGCACCCCTCCTCTACACTCGTCCATGAAGCCGGCTACGCCGTCCAAAAGATTGACTCGTCCAAATTCTGGGATTTCTCCGAGAAGCTGTTCGACCAGCAGAAAGACTTCTTCGATGTCAGCCTGGTAAATGAAACGAGGAATGCTACATATAAGAGGCTTGCTAAGATTGCTGGGTCTGTGGGTGTCGATGAGAGCAGGGTTTACGGATTGTTGGAGATTAGTGATAAGCCTGGTGAGGACGGAAGTTTGAACTCGGGCAATGGGGTCACGGATGATGTCAAGGTGCAGGTCAAGGCGAATCGACTGACCGGTGTGCATGTAACTCCCACGGTCGTGTTCGACGGTGTTGTGAACAACGAAATTAGCAGCTCTTGGACAGCGGAGCAGTGGGAGGAATGGTTGGAGAAGAATGTCAAGTGACTGCATGAACATGGAGCTGCCAAGGGAAAATTGTAATGTAGAAGACGCAGCAAGATACAAGAAGACGAAAATGACATTCAATCCTAAAAACACAAGTGGATATAGATGAAGAGTCGAGTCGGGTTATCATCCTTGAAAACGCCGTCAGCGCCGTCTCGGAAGAAAACCATGTCGTGCTGTGCAAGGCACGCCGTTTGCTGCACTCCTCTGGACGCGCAACGCGAGCATGTTGATATCAAAACGCAAGAAATCGTAGACACCAGCCCTTCATCGCACTGTGACATCAAGGTCCACACAACGCCAAAGATACAACGATGGGCGTCACTACCCAACCTTCTCTTCGCAAACCAAGTGACGAGGAAGTTAATCGAAACCGTCCGCGCCATCCATGTCCACATCCTCATTATCAGCCACCTTCCTAGGCTCCTCGAGATCCTTCTTGAAAGCGGCCTTCTTAGCATCTACATCGTCGCGGCTAAGATCCTTCATCCAGCTGTTGTTCCTGACAAGGATCTCCTGGACCCTCTCCCTCCGTTCATCGTTGAGCTTCTTGTACTCTTCAGTCGGCTTCGGTACAGCCTCACTCAGGCCCGCGCGTACGGCGTCTGGCTGCACAAAGTACTGAACGCCACCAGTGCCGAAGGGTTCGCTGTTGATGAAGGTCATGATGTAAGCAGAGGGGCTGATGGAGACTGTGATCTTGTCGCTATGCTTGACGTGATCAAATCGTTCTTCCTCTGAGAGGTCGTCGGTTCTGGCCAGGCGCTTCTTAAGGTAAGGGTAGTGTACGCGAGACAGGTCAACTTCCTCAGTGGGTTCCACAGCCATGTAGGAGGCGACGTATGCTCGCCAGCGCTTCACTCGGTCGAGCGTGTTGAACTCAAAGGTTGGGTCATCCTTCTTGAAGAGGCGTACGTGTGCTTCCATCTTGGTGGGGTTCTGGAGACGTGTTAATATATAGTCGTTGATATGGGCGAGGCGATGACTTACGTATGTGATACGGTAGGTGTCAGCATCCTTGGCAAACTTCTCGACCGCCTTTCTATAGCTAATCTCGTTCTTGTGAGTTGTAGTATCGTTGACGCGGTCCTTCCTGAAGAGGTTGTAGATATCAAGGCTCTTATCCTTGTTATCGTGACTCACTACAGCGAGCGCAAACCGGACAAGCGAGCTGAGCAGCCTGTCGAACGAGTATAGCTGCCATCCAATCTGAAGATAATACCTGCGTAGGGTCTCCTCGATGAAGTTCATGTCCACGTCGCCAGATATCTGTTCTGTGAACATGTCGAGCAGCTGTTGATAGTAGTTCGCTGATGACGATGTGTCCTTGAAGAAGTCTTCAGGCTGCTTGTCAAGCATCTTCAACTTCTGCGCTGCTTTGGGCTCTTTGGCCCGATTGATGACCTTTCGGACCTCCTCCTCACTCTCTTTGAGCTTCAACAACCTTTCGTAGAGCATGACGAACATGCGGAAGAAGCAGTAGATGGAAGCATTCGAGTACATGTTGAACTCTACGCGTTGGTATGGTTCTTCATGTTCGAACTCCTTATCGCCAAAAGCCGTGGGGGTAGTAACATATTCTATCCATTCACGTTTTGGTTGATCCGCATGAGGGTTGGAGTTCGAGCTGTCGCCAGCAGCCTCATCGTCCATGCCGGATGTATCTGGAGTACTGTCCCGACTCGCCGACGCAACGCTGTCTTCCTTGTCCTTGCGTGGCTTGTTGTTGGGGTCGAGAATGGTGCGGCGGAGGTCGCCTTTCTTTCCTTTCTGCGAGCGCTGAGAGACATCGTCGTCGGGAGAAGGTGTGTCCTCGCCAGAATCGTTTGGTGTATCGCGTCCCGACGTCTGTACCCGTTGCTCGAATTTGGCGGTATCTATGCCAAAGAATAGAGGAACGAACTCTTTGATAAAAGGCACAACTTTGGCAAAGTCGGCACTGTTGTTGTTGTCGGCGAAGGTGAGCATCAATCGAGCTACGTCGAAGAGTACCTCCTCGTCTCTGAAGGAAAAGGCAAATTGGTAGTCCGGCTGCGATATCTCTTGAATCTGCTGAAGTCGCTTCTGTTCTTCGTACCGGACTTGGATCTCGTTTGTGAGTGACTTGGGCTGGAACTGTCGCTTGTCGGCCTGCTTGACTGTAATGCTCTGATGGTCCAGGGATTTCCAGAAAATCTTCTGCGTTTGATCGCGCCAGACCTTCTCCCACTCGCGCTGAGCGGCCTTCCAATCCTCAAGCTTAGTCTTCAGCCTGTGAAGAAGTACAGGAACAACGCTCCAGGGCATAGCGAAGAGCTCCTTAATCACGTCCTTTCCTCTGTCGCGGCCGTAGATCTTCATGATAACCCGCTTGTAGATTGTTTCGCTCTGTCCACCAAGTCCAGGCGGTAGCGTGAATCCATTCCTATCCTCCGGCTTCATCGTAAGAAGCTGATTGGCGATTGGTTCAAGCTGTTGAATCGTGCGGCTGCATGCCTCGATATTGAAATCGTAGTCATGGCGCTCCTCTTCGATTCGGTGCAAGCCCTCTTCAAACGTGTTCTTGCGATGGGCGACAAAACCAGAATCTTCGGAAGCCCATGTCGGATGGGACGCCCACTCGTCATTTAGGACCGATCGGCACAGTTCGTCGCGCCCGCTACATACACGCTCGCGCTCACGCCTAGGGAGCAGGCGATAGCTGGGACCGAGGCTGCGACAATTCGATAGCGAGACACGAGAGTTTACAGTCTTTGGACGGGTCTTCTGTTGCTCTTCATCTTCGCCCATGAACTTCTTGAACCAGGCATACAGTTCCTGGTTTCCTCCGATGAATGATGCCGCGCGGTAAATCAGCAATTGCTTGTCGATCAGATCTTGCGAGTAAAGATTGCAGAGCTTCAAGAACTCATTCATCGTGTTCTTGTTTCCGATAAATTTCTTGACGCGGTCAAAGAATGCAAGCTCATCTTGGTTGGGTGACGTAGTAGTCGTCGGTGGCATCGGCTCAGGCAGCGCAGGTGTCAGAGTAGGTGACACTGGTGGACCATCGGGAATTGCCTGCTTTGCGCCATGTCCGGTTTTCGCGCGCTTTAACATGTTAGCTGATGATCCCATTATGTTGTCTTCTACTTAATCCGAAGAGACCCAAATTTCAACTCGGTTTGAGATGAGCGCAGAATTTTGCCCCACCATCAAGCATAGTGATGGTGGTCTTGATGACAATGTTTGTGATGTGGTAGCGTTGGAATGAAAATAAGGTATGACCATGGAAAGGGAAGGAAAAGGTAGAGTTTATGGGCAATGCACGTGCCGCATAGAGAAAAACAATGCCATGACCTAACCCTGCCCATAATAGTGGAAGATCTTTCACATACCTTGTTGACGCTTCCCTGGTTGTTGTAACCGCCGCGAACGTTCGAGGTCGGTAGTTCCTGTGGCATGGACGGGGGCATGGGCGCAGCCACAGGCCCCTGTCGGTCGCGCTTCCTCTTGTTGTCGCGATTCGCGGTAGGTGTAGGCGCAAAGTTGCCCATCGGTGGCAGTCGAGATGTATCCGCACGACCAGGAGTTTGTTGGTTCGCGGCCGCGCCATAACCTGATTCGCCTCGTACGTTGCTGAGCATGACTGCGTCTTCGGCAGCATTCTTGGCAGCCTGCTGTTGCGCCCTGTGCTGAGCAGCCGATTCCGGAAGGAATTGCTTGAAGTCCTCAAGTAGATCGGGCGCGCCGCCGAACAGGTGGGTCACTTGGGCGTATACGTCCTGGATGGGTTTCGATTCTCGCTGATAGGTCTGTAGTATCTCCAAAAAGTTTTTGTAGATGTCAGGATGAGCTGCGAATCGATTCTAGGTGACTGTTAGTACATCAATGTCTAGGTCCATAGAGCGTAGTTACCTTGATTTTGTTCACATAGCTGATGGCATGGTTGAACTCAACAGGCCCTCTCTTCTCAGCTGCCGCCCCACCCATCTGTGGGAGCTGAGCAGCACCATTCATGGCTTGTCCTTGCAATGAGGTACTTGGATCAACACTCGGTGACATCATTGAGCGACCAGTCGCAGCCGATACTGCGTTCTGTAATTGAGAAACTCCTCTCTGCTCTTGCTGGTGGGCTAGCGCAGCGGCTGATCCGGCAGGGTCAGGATGAGGACGTGAGGTAGCCTCTGGCGAATGCGGTGCCGGGCCCTGCTGCGGCCCATACAGAGGTTGTCCGAGAGTGCGGTTGCTTGGTGAAAACATTGATTCCTGTCCTTCAGGTCCCTGAACTCTCTGTTGCTGGGGCCAAGGGCGTCCCTGAGCAGTCTCGTAGTAAGTACCTTCGTGTTGGGGACCGTTGCTACCGTTGACGGCGCTGCTGCGTGGCGGTGAAAGCGGCCTTGGAGCAGGCATAGTCGATACCATGGTACCCATTGGCGTCGTCACTCTAATGGCATTTGGGTCACCGTTAGTGCCACACTCAATCTTGTAACCGGGTGGCAGAAACGTGTTGAAGCCTTGGATCAAGGCCGGATTGCCCGCGAAAAGAGTTGATACCCTCTCAATGACCCCCGGAGTGTCAATCGCACCACTCTTGAAGTCTTTCATGATGTCAAGGAATCGGTTGTATACATCGGGGTGGTCTGCGAACTGAACCTTGACCTGGTCCAAATAGCTCAAGGCATCGTTGAGGATTGGCTGCTGTCCCTGACCCATGGCCATAGATCCAGGAGGGCCGGCGAAAGGCATCAACATCTGAGCCTGGGTAGGTGCCTGCACCGCGTGCTGCATGCGTGGTGTAGTCTGCTCATGTTGCGCGGGCGCATTCCCATACATGGGGCCACTCGGGTTGGGACCACCCATGGGTGGCGCGAGGGGTCCGTTCATGGGTCCCGATTGACCCAACAGACCGTTCGGACCGTGTATCGTTCGCGTCGATGGTGCTACTGCCACGGGCTGGTGTATTTGGATTGGCGCTGAGTGGTTTTGATGCGCAGCGTGCTCGCGCTGCTGTCGCTCATGGATCTCTCGATCCCGCTGTTCCGTCTCGCGCTTGACAATCTCTTCTTGCTGGTGCAGTGCGTGCGAATCCATCTCTCTGTCTCTGGTCTCGCGTTCGCGCATCTCGCGCTCTCTGTCGGCACTGGCCTGCTCCGAAGTCGGCAAGTGTTGTTGCTGCTGCTGCTGCTGGAGAGTTTGCGATATGCCCGGTAACGAGTATGGAGGGGCTTGGGGGCCTTGTTGAGCCTGCGCTCCCGCGTCTGAAGATGGCGGTCGTTGGGCGGACATGTGAGGTGATGAGTGCTGAGGTTGCGCCGTCAGCCCTGGAAGTGTGGGGAGGTTCTGGTTGTGGGCCGTCGCGGCGTTTGACGAGTAATACCCGCCACCTGTGATGGAGTTAGCAATGCGAACTGGCGCGTCGATTGCCTGTGCGACATACCAGATGGTGGTGGGAGTACTGGTCCAGAACCCTGTGCGGGTGACGCATGTGGAGGACCCTGTGGAGTCGCGTTGTTTGGCCTGTCATCGCTCGCAAAGTCAGCTTGAATACAATCAAATAGTGGTGCGAAGAGGAGCTCAGAAGCATCTTCGCCCATCGTGTCTGTTATGGAGGAGAGAGCGGGAGGCGAGTACGCACCCATAGGGACCCAGAGGTCGCGACGCCTGTCCTTGGCCCTGCTCTGTTTGCTGCTGACCCTGTCCACCTGCGGCCGCCTGCGACGGCGGCCACCCGTCACGATGCGCTGGATTCATGTCCTCGGCTTTACCAGGCTCGCCGGCGATAAGGAAGCTTACGTGACCGATTCGGGGGTCGCGTCGTCGTGTTTTGAGCGGATCAAAGGCTGCTGGAGCTCATGGACGGCTTGTGGTAATGTGCGAAGCTTGATAGATGTGGTGTGGTTCGATTCCAGAAGTTGGTCGCCCGCTGTTGATCAGGAGCAAAAGCGCGGCTGTAGCTGGCACGGTTGCCGAAGTCGCGTGAGCCGAACGCCGAAAGGGGATTACACGGAGCTGGAGATGTACGCGACAGTCTCGGTTGCTTCGAAAAGCGCAATAGCCTAGGGACAGTCTGGGGATGATGCGTTCTGATCAACCAAGGCCTTGTTCAGGGACCGTGTGGATTATCGTCGGCCCGCAAGGCGGTGGCAGAAATTCAGAAACTCAGCGCGTCATATTGCCGAGCCACTCGGCCGTCAGCCTTGTCAAAAAAGGTGCCGTCTGCCGAAGTCGCCCAGCTTGACGTCTTTGGCTTGTCGCATATTATCAGACTGGCGAATTCACAATATTTACCTATGAATTCAGTTCAAAGCATGCAAATATGTGTATTCAATGCACGAGACTTCACTCGCTGAACTCAGTGTAATGACCATCATCCATTCCTACCAGAGACGCCTCAGAACAACCAACATAAGAAGACTCGTGGTATTCGTTGACAGATATTCTCTAATGCTACGCCACAATTGCATCAAAAGATCCACTGAAAACTCTCCTTAACCTCGAAGTTCAGTTTCGACCTGTAGCATGTGTTAGTGAATTCCCATTTGTATTTATCGAGCGAGTGGCAATGTTACCTGATATCAGCACTGCTGGCACCAATCAACACTTCAAATTCTCCTTCCTCTGCAATCCAAGCACCTGTCTGGCCGAGACTTGTGTCGAAGTATCCGACGGAGTACTTGTTGAGCGTCAAGATTACGTCTTTCGTTTCGCCAGGCTGCAAGAATACCTTGCCGAAAGCCTGAAGTTCTTTCTCGGGACGTGGGAGTGTCGACTTGACGTCTTTTACGTATGCCTGAACAATCTCATGCGCCGCTACTGAGCCGCTGTTGGTGACTGGTACCGTGATAATGATCTCTCCGTCCTCTTGAAGCACAGTATCGCTAGCGCTTGGTGTTTTGTATTCGAAAGTGGTGTATGTAAGACCGTGTCCAAAGGCAAAGAGTGGTGCGATCTTGGAACGCTCATAATGCCTGTAGCCCACGTAAATCCCCTCGCCATAGACGGTCTTCAAGTTCTCGCCAGGCCAGTTGTGGTACGCAGGATTGTCTTCAATCCGAACAGGGAAAGTCGTTGGCAGTTTCCCACTAGGGCTACTTTTGCCCAGTAGTACATCCGCAAGAGCATTTCCGGCTTCCTGTCCTTGGTACCATGCCTGGAGGATGGCTGGTGCCTTCTGTACCCATGGCATGGTAATAGGTGTTCCGGATTGATTGACGACGACGGTGCGTGGGTTGGCAGCTAGAACAGCTTCGATCAGGCGATCTTGCGAGCCGTTCTTCGGAAGATCCATCGTTTGTCTGTCGTAACCCTCTGATTCCCACTCGGCGTCAAGCCCAACAACAACTACAGCGACATCTGCGTCGCGCGCTGTATCAGCAGCTTCTTGCAAACGATCTATCTTGTCCTCCTCTTGGTAGCCAATCCGACAGCCACCATAGTCGTGGCGACGACCGATGACCGAAACTTTCGATGCAGGCCGTACTTCGTTGGTGCTTTCAATCAGAATTTCCACTGACTTGCCTGCCTCCAGGTGGATTGACTTGAGTACATCCTCTGAAGCAGAGAACATAGCCTCACCCTCTTGAGTCCAATCCCAGTTGTCAATGAAAATGTCGCCATTGATGAACATGCGCCCTGGTCCAACTGAAGCAAAGCTAAAACTGTGGTTACCGGTCGACTTGGGAGTGAGTGTAGTCTTGACTTTAAAGGAGAAGTCTGGAAGAAGTTCCATTGGCGCAGAGTCCCACAGCCACAAATCTGTGCTGACTTTGTGCTGAATGACCGCTGGCTCACCCCCGAATCTGTCGCCCTTGTAGTACTCTAGTTGCACACCGGTTTCGCCATTGGATTGGCAGTACGGGGAGGCGAGCGGTAGCCATTTGGAGCTGTCGCAGCCTTGGGCAAACGTAATCTCGCCGTCGAATCGATTTTGAAGGCCTTGCCAAGGGGTAACGTTGTAATAGGGATTGAGACCTGCACTTCCCCCTCCACTGGCGATAGCTCGCTTGACATTCGGCCCGATCATCGCAATCTTCTTCGCGTTCTTGATGGGAAGCACATTGTTCTCGTTCTTCAGAAGCGTCAATCCCTCAATACCAGCTTGAAGAATAAGGTTCCGTGTCTCAACGTTGTCGATAGACTGCTCTGGCTCTTCGGGTGTCATGTTGTTTAGCCCCTTGACACGATCCACGAGATATAAAACTCTGGCGGCCGATTCTTCAATATCACCATGAGTTAGCTCGCCATTCTCTAAACACTCCTTAACTTGCTCGACTTTGCGCCACTTTGATGGTCCTGGCATCTCAATGTCAACACCAGCTCTTATTGACGGTGCAGTCGCATATGTGCCGGTCCAATCAGAAATGATTGCACCATTCCACTTCCACTCCCCTCGAAGGACCTCCTTGATCGAATGCTCATACTCGTCAGCGTGAATACCATTGATCATGTTGTAAGCACTCATGAGCGCCCATGGTGATGCGTCTCGAACAGCTATCTCGAAGGGTTTCAGGTAGATTTCACGCAAAGGCCTCTCAGCAATGATGGCATCGTATGCCTGTCGCTCAGTTTCTTGCTCGTTGCCAAGGAAATGTTTAATCGTAGCGGCGACACCTTTGCTCTGGAGACCGCGAACATACGATGCAGCAAGCTTTCCGGTAAGGAAAGGATCTTCAGAATACGACTCGAAGTTGCGGCCACCGAGAGGGGATCGGTGCATGCACACCGTGGGTGCAAGCAATACGTGAGCGCCACGTGCCTTCGATTCTTCTCCCAGATGACGGCCGATCTCCTCGATCATATCCACGTTCCACGTGGAAGCCATGGATATGCCGCAAGGGAACAGGGCAGCCTAGCTTTGTCAGCGTGAAACAAGCAGTGCCAAGCCGGAGTGCGTACAGGTGTGCCGTTGGTGAAGAACTCTCCTCGAGCGCCATTGGGCCCGTCAGATGTCTTGATTGACGGTATGCCCTTCTCGGGTATGGCTACTGTCCGCCAGAAGTCCGCTCCTGCAAGCAGTGAGATCTGGAATGGTCAGCTCGACTCAATCCCGAGGCTGCTTCGGCTTTTGAAATAGATTAACGAGGTCAGGTGGGGTCTTAAGCGAATAGAAAAAGCCATTGATTCTGAAAGTCAATCTTCGGAAGCCAATCTCGCTAGGCTTTCTGCCGCAGATATAATTCAAGTCGGAATGTTGCTGCTGGCGAATGATTTGACTCCTGGAAAGACATCCAAAAAAAATCCTTGAAGGAAGCTTGCATGAATTCTCATTGTGCTTGTCCGTGTAGAACGCTAAAGTCTCAAGGATCTCTTTTATCAGAGTGAGGAAGAACGTACCTGTTCTTCTAAAGTCAGCTTCGCCGCGAGTTGTCTTGCCCTGTCGTCCGGTCGCTCCATCGAGTATATCTTCTTGCCCGCCATTGTTTCTTCTGCCGGTGAAGCGTCCTCTGGTGTTGCGGCAGGTGTCAATGTTGGCGTATCGAGAGTCACCGGTTGGATGTGGATAGCGGCGTGTTTTATGTCGTACTGTCTGATATCTTCTGTCGGGCTAGCGTTTCCTATGTTGATGGTAGCCATTGCAGATCAACCAGAATTAAGCATCCAATACGCGGAGTAGTAGAGCGAATTACCGCGCTTCTTGCCACTGCAGCCGACGCGGTAACGAAAGATGGGTTGAAAGAAGACGTAAGCGAGAGAAGGATGACAAGCCCGAGATGCAGCAGACTCAGAGGAAGTCAATCGAAGTAGATTGTCATCCTTTAGTACTTGCGCAGCGCTGGTAACGATTGTCTCTCTTGACGCATGGACCCAGACAAAGCGCTGGAGTACCGGATCTATTGGAAACAAGCCTTATCCTAGCCACGGCTCGCAGGCACGTCGTCTCAGATCTACAAGGTAAGTGTTATTGGTCGGCGGGGGCAATCAACCGAAGTTAACGCGCCCGTCTCGATCTGTCGCCAGGAAGGAGGCTCATGTGTGATTTCAATCTAGATCCGTCATGACGGCTCCTTGTGGCGAAATCCGAGAGTAACGCGAAGAGTATGATAGCAATGCCTGCTTCTCCACCATGCTGCAGACTATGAGCAGGTAAGAGCCAGACACATCGTGCAAGTACAATGACAAAACAGCTGACACGTAGACCAGGCATGCAAGTTGATGCCGCTCAGCGAGACATTCTTTTCTTGGGGTAAGCAGCGTGGGGCCTGATTCGTCGCCTTCTTTGTTGGACAGTAGACACGGCGGACCTGAACATCCGAGGCTAGTCTAAGTGGCAGTTGAGCAGATTCCGAAGGGCAAATTAGGCAGTCAAAGGATGATAGAGAGCAGTTGCATACCAATCAGTGGTGGGAAATTTCGTAGTGAGGTTGTAGCGGCCCGAGAGGCGGGTATGTTAGCGGGAACCCGGGCCAGTGAACCGTCTGCATCCTGGCGTGCATATCACGCTGACCAAGTGTCCTCCGGGGGCCAAGCGTCCGTTGATTGTGGTTGATCGAAGGAATCGGACGTTGAGAGCGACTACCAGACCAGAGAGTCGGAATGGAAACGTCTGGATGTTGATGGTTCTTACCCCACCAACACAGCACGTGCGCAAGATGCTGTGATTGAACTCCAAGCGACCATGATCGTCGCGAAGCCTGGATATCTTGACCGCACTTTCATATGCGAATTCGTATTCCGTTAAAGCTTCGAATCTATTCAGAAACTACTGTCAAGGTCGGCTATCGACTCACGCACCGCCTGATAACATTCTACCATCACGATATCTGGCACACGGCACATGAACGAATCAGTCGGAACATCGTTGGAAGGCCAGCAAATGAAAAGGCACTAAAGCAATTTATTGTAATCACTTCGCATTCTTACAAGTACCAAAAGCTGGTACTAGCAAGTACTTCGTTGAGATGCAAAGCGCTGTATTCTGTTGGTGTTGAAAAGACCACCTGTGGCAGGTGACTCCGGAAGCGTGATCCGCATCACCTTCCGACTCCTCAATCGCAGTAATTTTGAGCTTCCCTAGACCCGAGATCACATGTAATCTTGCCCTGCGATACGATGAAGGTATCATGGTGTACCAATATAACTGGGCAATGATGTTAGAGCATATTGGCCAGTATACACGTTATTAGTGAGATCCTAGAGGGTACTGGGCCGAATATTGAAGCGCATCAATGTATGCAACAAGACTCGTGTAGTGCACTTTGAGGTCTCTTGTATGAGACAGTGCATAACCAAAACTATCACTTTGATGCTCATGCCGCAATTACAATATGAACACAAGTAAACAATGACTATACACTGTTGTTCTATATGATTGCTCATTCATCGATCAAGTGGTTTTTCAACGTAGTCCTCTATTCTCCACATTAGCATCTCTGGTGATGCATTGAATTTGAATCTACCAATCATCCTGTTTCCTTCCATGCATAGCGGCCTGTCGCTGTCTAAGTGCCTCTGCTAGTCCACCAGCGATGCTGCCACTACTATCTCTCGCACTCTCCATGGTGCTACCTCCACTACCACTGTACCCACTGTCCCGCCCAGAGTCACCGTTGACAGCCTTTCTAGCGGCAGGACGTTTGGCAGGCGGAGCCGGAGGCTTGGGCTTGCCGTTCGCTGGGCGGGCAGGTGGCGCTGGAGGTGGAGGCGGAGCGGCAGCACGTTGGACAACTTCCTCAAGGTACGCAGAAGGTGCCCAACCGGAAGCGGACTTGTCAAGACGGGATGCTAGCCACCAACCTGTCACATGTTCGTTAGTATGTCAATTCATCCGTAGATCAGGGTATACGCACCATTGCCCTCCTTCTGGGTGACCAGGATGATCTCGTCTTTCCCGAGACTCAGCTCTCCAGCACTCTGACCTGCAAAGTCATACAGCGCCTTGTACCGAGGCTCTTTTGGTTGAGCTGGCGCTGGTGGCGGCGGAGGAGGCGGAGGGGGCGTGCGCGATGAACCGGCTGACGCGGTACGCGCGTGAGAGCCCATGCCATTTGACAAGGCAGCGACCGGTGCAGGAACGGGTCTGGCTTGCGACACTTCTGGCTGAGGTACAGCTCTCGGTTGCGCAGCGGCAGGCGTGGGCACAGCTCTCGGTTGTGCTGGACGAGAGGCAAGCTTTGAGGGGCCTCCACCAGGGCCACCGGGCCGCAACAACTTACCCTTTGTGATGGGCTTTGCAGCGATCTGCTTGCCTTTTGGTGTGGGTTTAGAGACAGAGTTGGGTGGCTCTCCTGGTCCAGTGTGGATGGTGCCACTTTTGTACAGGTCGTCTCTTGGCACTGCGGGATCTTTGACGACCTTGACTTGGGCCGGCTTGCCAGGCTTCTTATTGTACTGAATCCTACTTTGTGTCAGCAACTTTCAGATGCAAATGAACTGTTTTACCTACGTCTCGCCTATCTGAAGTGTCAGTGAGCCCCGCAACACGTTCGTCAGCTGAGTGAAGAACTCTGTCTTAAAAACGCAGTTCACGAGCGGATCAGGTTCAGTGGGTGACCCAGCACCGATCGAGAACCAGTCGTCCTTGAGTGTAGAACAACTAATCATCTTGATCGCGCCCACAGGTATCGTCCTCTCGGCCTGAATCTGAACTTGGCGATTCACCATGACCTGCTTGACGAGGTAGACGTTCTTCTTCGTGAGGATCAGCGAGCGAGCTTCTGGTTTACTCGATCGACCAAGTTTCGAGACAAGCACCTCCGCTCTACATGAGAATGGTACCTCCTCATTCGAGGATATACCAATAGCACCAGCAATGACCTCACCAGGGCCACCTTTGTTGCCAATACCGAGATAGTCGCCCATGAATCTTCGGGAACCAATCAAACTATACCTCCTGCGCTCTTTACGGCCTTGGAGGATCTTGTGCCCTTGGTCTCGCCATTCGATGAATTCTTTGCCTCCGTTGAGCTTTCGCCAGAACCGCTGGATCCGTACTGCACACTCTGTTCGGTATCGCAGGTAGTTTCTCCATGCACGCTGAATGCGAATAGCCATGTTATGCCAGTATTTGTCGCGCATTGTCTCCAAGGCGAACAGCGTCTCAGGTGTCTTGATGAACACCTTTGTTGTACCGATCTGGAATTCCTCCGCTGGAATATTGGTATCTTTCAAGATCTGTTTCGCTCCGGTCTCGTAATCCCCAGTCCAAGTGTACTCTCCGGCATACGAACACTTGGGTGACAACAAGAAGAACCGTTCCACAAACTTATCGAAGGTTTGACGTGATGCGAATCCGGCTCTTCGAATGCGCACGTTCTCTTGAAGACCCAAGTATTTGACCTGATGAAGTACGTTGGCATCGGTGAATTCCTTGGGCGACTTGTTTTCGTTGGGCTTGATGGTACGGATGTAGGACGGACGAGCTTGCATCAAAGTCGTTACTAGGTCGTTCGCAGAGGCCTTGATCTTATCTCCAGCCGTCGGGGGTCGCCGCCTGTTGTCCTGGTCTACCTGGTTCGGGAAGAGCGTATGTACAAAAGTGTTGCTACTCTGTCCGAGCAGGTTTAGCAGGTCCTTTAGTAGCTGGTCTTTGTTCTTGTCGGTCATGCCATCAATCGCGTACGAGACTTCACCAGCATAGTGCTTGATGACGAACTGACCCTGACGAGGCGTGAAGTTGGGGTTCGACGATAGAGCGTTTAGTCTCTGGACGAAAGTTTGATCCGCGGCGGTTGGGTCGGCATGGGCTGTTGCACAGGCGTCGTTCAGGGCAGCAAAGACACCTGGTGGCCGCTTCTCCTCGATCAAATCGCACACAATCTTGTTGTCAAAATACTTGATGGGCGTCCACTTGATCTGCTCGCGCTCGTACTCTTCTTGCTCCGCCTTGAGCGTCAATTGGATGAAGATCTGTTGTAGTTTCTCGTTGACGTAGTTGATGCACAATTGCTCGAAGCTGTTCTTTTCGAAGATCTCGAAACCGTAAATGTCCAAGATACCAATGGATTGGGCGGTCGCGCCTCGGGCCTTCAAGGAAACATTGACGCGTTCCACGATCCAGTCGAAAAGGTTAAAGTATATTCCCTTTGAAAGCGCGTCTCGGACTGCGCCCGCTTGCGCGCAGTTCAGAGGTACGTCATATACGGAACCCCGTCGTCCTCCTCGACTCGTCTCCATAACACGAATGGTAAGGGCTTTGTTGACATGCGCCGAGTCTACTTCGAGGAGATAAGCCACGAAATCTACGACTGACTGGTCCACAATGGCTGCGTTGCCAGAATCATCCTCGCGGAACGTTACGTTTCCTAGCCACAGAATTGCTGCAAGCATTCGGAAGATGTTGTCCTGCTCGGCTTGTGGTAGTCCAATGACCTTCATGGCATTCAGGGTGTCGTCGAACTCGGCATGATCGTCGATTCCTGGGACGTCGAAGCATTTAGATTTACTCGTGTACAGGTAGGCTTGCGGTTGTTGTAGGCCGAAGATTTCTGTTCGTGTCAGGACAGGTTAATGGTCTACGGAGGTGTACTATACCTCTGTATTGCGAGGATGCGGCTTTTGTGAACTGGTAGAAGATATGGAAGTTGCGCTCGTTTGTGATCTGACCAGTCACCCGCGTCTTCTCAAGTAGGTAGTTGTTGATGTTTGCTCCCACTGGCTCTCCTTGCGCATTGAAGTGGATCTCGAGGTATTTTCCGAAGCGCGACGAGTTGTTGTTTCTCAGCGTCTTTGCGTTTCCGAAGGATTCGAGTAAAGGGTTGGTGGCCAGCACCATGTCTTTGATCTCCTGGATAGACGAGTTGCTGCCTCCCGAGACGTTGGCGATGTACTGCATAAGTCGCTTCGCTGCTTCTGTCTTTCCTGCTCCTGATTCGCCAGAAATGATGACACATTGATTCTCCTTGTATGCGTTCATATTGTAGTAGGCGGACTCGGCGATTGCGAAGACGTGAGGGGGCACCTGTGTCTCGTTAGCTCTGCGTGCCGGTGGAGGGACACACACCGCACCTCCAGCCTGTTCTTGCCCTTGTAGCTCTCCAGCACTTGGTCGGTGTATATGCCCACTGCCACTTGTCAGCATGCCTCTCGCAAGCGCAAATCCTCGTACGTACAGTCGCGGAACGGGTTGACCGAGACCAACACATGTCCAATGTATGTCTGCGCCCATAGTCAGTCGTTGTCCTTGTCTATCGCTGCACATGTGTGCGACGCGGGGCTGGCGCAAGCGGGTCGACGCACGTATATCTCGCCATTTTCGAAGCGCTTCTTCAGGTTCTCATTGATGGCCTCATTGGAGACCTTGCTAATCAAGGTGAGATCCGACACACCGACTTCCTTCTTCTTGGTGGTCTCGAAGACGGCCTTGGTTGCGAACTGGGCCTTTGGCTGGGCGCCTCCTCCGGCTTTGCGCGCGGCGCGGTTGGTTTTCCCCTACACCAGGAATGTGTGAGCAGATATTCCTCCATCCACGTCCTTGTGCCTCTTACCATGATTGGTGCCCGACGTCGAGCTGGGACCTGTAGCTTAAGCCGGCCAGTGGGGTAGTAAGTGTGCTGCTGAGTCCAGGGTGCAGCAAATATTCAAACAATAGACGGCAAAGCCAGGTAGGGTCGCTATGGAGAGAGCAGCCGCTCCAAGGTGTGGGTGTCTAAAGATGGCTGCAATGCGGTTGTTGGAGACAGGCCAACGTCAGAGCCCTGGACGTGGAATCGGGCGCTTCGGAATGGGTACTCGCCCCATTCCGCACAGCCACAGTTATTCCAGTACGGAGTACGCGTACGCTGCCGCGGCGGCTGGAATATCTTCGTAATCTTGCCTCACCTCCATGTCCTGCCGGCCTGCACAGGTGAGACTGTTATTCATCATGGTTGCTTTGCTTCCACCATCACCGCCGACGCTCACGTTGCTGCACCATTCAATCACCGTCGGTGTGACCCATCCAGGCTCGGCCCAGCTTCCGCATCAATCACTGTCGCAGCAGAAGCGCAACACAAGGACAGCCCGAGTCTGCCGCGTACGCTTAATTTCTCGTGACGTGTCACAGTTTTAGGCATTAGGCACCAATATCTTGGTGTTCGTGACCAGATGCGTGTTCAGTCGTATTCAAGGTTACCGCTACGAGGAAACGCCCCAACGTGCAATCCGTCAGGAATGAGTGTTCGAACGAAAGCGAACAGCACTGCTCAATAGCACAGACGCCATGGAAATGCCCAGTGCCTAATAAAAATGTCCCAAATCCCACAAACGCCATCGCTTTAGCCTTGAAGCTGGTCATTCAATCATCATGAGAAAACATCACCACCAAAACGCCCTACACTCGCCCAGTCCAAACGCTTGGACTCTTCCAGCTGGGGACCCCCCCAGGAGTACACCTTGGGATCCACGAGGCAGCCTAATCCTCCCTCTTGACACCACTCCGAGACTACAGCATAGATGAATTCGATCTTTGCGCGGAGGAGATTGCCCTCTGTAAGCTCTTTGTAACTGTCCTCCTTGTCGGCTGAGCCGTATAGAAGCTGTTGCAATGAGCCTCGCAGATGTGCTCGAGCTTTAACGTGCTTCCATGGCACATTTCCAGTCTCTTCGAGGAGAGACGTTGCATCAAGTGGTAGGCAAAGGAAATGTCCATAGCCTGCGTCCGACGATAGAACGAGCTTCGTGTGATCAGGAAAGTTGAACTGGGAAATTGTTAGATGAGCTTTGGTGTACGTATCAGAAGCACTTACTTGGAAAGAGCCATCGTCGAAACCCCAGATCCCGACGTTACCCAGACGTTGATAAAATCGAACAAAGTTTACGCGGGGATCTTTCCTGAGCGGCTTTTCTTCATCACCAAACGTCGCACACATGTACTTTCCAAACTTGTGCCAAACAGTCCGAATCTCCTCAACTCGCCGCGATTCTAGTACCTCAATCTGCGATAGTCCTCGATCCTTCTTGACGGTCGTGTAGTAATTCAGTGCAACGCTTTTGGCGAGCTCTCGGTTGCCGCCGGCCTTCCGTAGATGGTTGTATCCGTCTGTCGCAAAAGCGATGGTAACGGGGTACTGCTCCTCTGCTGAGAGGAGAGTTCCAATACTACCATCATTGAGGACGTATCCAACTCCATACCTGCGGCTGTAGTCTACCCATTTTGCAACAAATGGCAACTGCGGTGGCTGATCTCTTCTCGACTTCGTAGGCTTCTTGTCGAGAGCTCGTTCAAGATTATCTCGGAACGTCATCAAGCGCGCCAAAACAGTCACCGGATCGGTGGCAGGCATGTCATTGCTGACGGTTCGATAACGAGCGGCACTTTTCGTCGACGTTGCTTGAGCCGCTGATTCCGGCTTGTCGCTCTCTCCAACACTCGTCTTGGTGACTCGCAAAGGTGGGAGATCAGGCAGTCCGTTTGATGTCGTCTTTGGTGCTTCTTTTGCGCTCTCCTTCGCTGTCCGTGCTCGCGTGGATGTTCTTGCCTCTCGAGGGACGCGTAGGGGAGCTGGCGCGGAAGCCGTATTCGCAGTGACACGGCCAGGGTTCGAGATCTTGCGCGCTGCCCTCAATCGGGTCGGCTGTTTGTCCAGTATTCTGTGCGCAGGCTCAGGCTCCTGTACCGGCTCCACGTTTTCTTTTAATGTCTGCATCGGCTGTTGCTCTCGTCTCGGAGCCCTAACCACACGACTCTTTGTCCGCTCATTTCCGGTAGTTTCTGAGAGAGCTTGACTTTCTAGTGACGATTCTTTCTCCTCCGATATTTCACTGAGTCCTCCTGTTGGCAGATGCGGCCATTGCACACGGGCGGGGAAAGGTACATATACGACGTCTTTGGAGAAGGGTATGTTTGGCTGTTTGCCAGCTTCGATCTCCTTTTGGCAGTCCCTCGCGACAGTCTTGTTCGTCCTGCGACCGTAGGTTCCAAATGCTTTTCCTTGTTCGTACTCGCCGACGGACGAGGACTTGCAAAGCTGCCACCATTCCTCGGTATATCCACGTCTGATTGTCGATGCTGTCGGCGGGCGGTTCTTCGGCCACTTCGGTACGCGGGAGGTGCATCCGCTGTCTAGTTCCAACGGAATGTAGCCCAGTTTGAAGAATGGGTGCGCTACGATCTGGTCGGGAGTCGGTCGCTCGTCTTCGTGCACCAACAATAACGAAACGATGTCGCGGAGGTCGTCGGTGATTTCATTGGCAAACCTGGCCAGGTCTGGCCAAGTGTATTCGCGAGCCTTCAACTTCCGGTAAATGTCCTCGCGCTTGGCGGCATGGAATGGCGCTCTTCCGACCGCCAGTGTGTACATCATGATTCCAATAGCCCATAGGTCCACCTTCTCGTCATGACCTTTGCCTGTCTTCTCCAAGACCTCTGGGGCAAGGTAGTTGGGTGTGCCGCACATGGTTGTCCGACGGATCGCCCCATAGTCGCTCTGTGACACCAATAGCGCAGCAAGACCAAAGTCGCCGACTTTGACGTTCATGTCGCGGTCGAGGAAGAGGTTGCCTGTCTTGAGATCGCGGTGTACGATGTTCCGTTGGTGTAGGTATTTGATTGCGCCGCATGTCTGGATCATGAATCGCCTAATCTCAGGCATGGTGAAATATTTGCGCTTCTTGATCGCATCGGCTAGGGAACCGTTTTCGCATAGCTCCAAGACAACATAGGTGCTTGATTCGAAAGAAAAGGCGCGGAAGAACTCGACGATGTTGGGATGGGATAGCTTCGAGTGGATCTGTAATTCAGTAACAAACTGAGGCGCGTCAGCAAACATGCGTCCACCGTGTCCAGGCTCTCTGTACCTTTTGCGCCAGCTTGGGAGGCTCCATTTTGGATTTGACAATCTTCAGAGCGACTGTAGAGCTGCCGAGATGCTCATGACCCAGCAGCTTCGCGCGATGGCAGATAGCGAAGCCGCCTTTGCCGAGCTGTGCTCCCGTTTCATATTGGAGTCCCTCTGGATCCTGGACCACGGCCGGCGGGGCATCTGCGTGTATCGACGAGGCAGACATTGGCGTGGTGGTGGTAGTTGGAGAGATGATGGAATCGAGAACAAGGTCGCAGAGTGTTGATGGCATGTAAACAAGGGCCCGCTTAGCGTCGTTGCTAGGGCTGTCGGCCAATCGGTGCCCGGCACTGTCCGCTCGATGCACGCGGCCTTGCACAAACTTGCACTTGAGATGGTGCAGGGCAAACCAAGACTGTTTTGAATTAGTACTGTGAGCTGTCCATGCATCTCGTCATGCATCCCGCGTTGTCGCTGAGATGCTAGTCCCACTCTCAAAAGCCATTGCCGTCGGTGGATCTCCGGCCAGCCCAAGGCAGCATCGATTCGAACATCGAACCTGCAGCCATGTTCAACACCACCGTTGATTTAACCACGAACCGCTATCCAGCTCTCTACATGTGTCTGTTCGTATGAGGCTTGAAATGAAAAACCGCTCGCCGGTCAATTACCCCCATACCTCCCCACAGCCTTCCGAAACGCTCTCGTAACCGATTATGTCTCTCACGCTCAAAGTTACGTCGCTGTTCGTCCGGACTCTCGCAAAGCCCGTAGCAGTACGTTTGTTAGCTTCTGACATGTATAGCCTTAGCTGATGTCGTCCAGAACGCCATCAAACGCAATGCCCACGAACACGACCGATTTCGTCGAATATGCGTCAAATTCGCCCAAGGCCTGCATCGCGTGGATATGCGCATGCGCCTCGGCCTGCTGCAGGACCCCGCTGTCATAGACAGGCAAATCAAGAAAGAAGTCGCCCTAGCAGAGGCTGCGCGCAAAAAAGCAGCGGCACCCACGGTCCTCACCGAAGAGGAAATGAAGGCAGAGGAAGCTCTCACAGAGAAAGAGCGAGATGCGATCAAGAAAAAGGCTGAGGAGAGGATCAAGCCACGCATACGACCTCTGTCCGAACAAAAGGCCATCGAGATGGGTGCCAACTTCGCTGCTGAAACCTTCATATTCGCCGTCGGTATTGCTGTGATTCTTGTTGAGCAATGGCGGCAAAGAAGAAAGGCCAAGAATGCCAGAGACGATATAAGAGAAGATTTGGAGGAGGTGCAGGCTGAGCTCAAGGCGGTCAAGGCCGAGTTTGAGGAGTTTAAAGCAAAACATCCAGAGCCAGTGTCGTCAAAGCTACTGGGATTTTGGAAGGGTACTGGGAAGAAGGAAGACGACAAGATTGAAGCTGTGAGCACCGAGGCGAAGCCGGTGCCCGTCGAGACTCAAGGAGATGCTGCGCAAACTGCGAATGGGACACCTACAACGCAACCAACCCAGCATAAGGATTTGGGAATGTATACCCGGGAAGCGTAAATAATCGCAGGCTGGCGATCCTGTACCTCTCAGGTCGAGCTTAGAGGCCCACACTGTTGTGGTTTATCAAAGACTTCGTTACGATCATCTCCTCTCATGATACCCTTTCGGCATAATAGACGCATTTGGCTCACAGTCCCCTCCCCGGTTTGTAATTCATGACGCATATTGTGCATGTATCCAGTTGCTTCTAGGATATTGTTGTCTACATCGATGTATCAAGCATGTATCAGATCCAAAAGAGACGCCTCAAATGGTCTTCTTTCTTTGATGAGCTGTCTCTATTATGGCCCGTTCATGCCCCCTTAGTCGCTCTGTCTCTCTCTGTCTACGTGCCTTCCACAACAACATGCTCAGCTCCACAGCATCAGGGACGATCACATATACAACAAGCGCACATATCTCTCACCTCTCACCTCTGACGACCACGCGAACTGATTTGTTGTAACGTCACGTTCATAGCGATCAATATCGAAGACATTTCACGCCTGCGCTCATCATGAACGTTTCACACTATACCAACAAGACCAAACCTATCTCAAATGAGAAGGAGCGCTCCGCAGTTCCAAACACGTATCCACCAGACGTTACTACCCATCCTGTCAACGTTGTCGTCTCCACCCAATTAGACGGTGCAAATGACCAATATTCTCGTATAACCAACAGCGCAATAGGCCACATTCAGGACAGTACCCAGCTCTACTTTCAGCAACAACACCAGGCCCGGATCCCGCTTCCATCTCACAACGTAGCTTCTGTGCCGCCACCTCGCCAACCAGCGCGTGTCGTCAATGCAGTCAATGGTCTACTCCCCCACTGCACGACTGAGCCGCCACTGGACGAAGCACAGGTCATTGCTCTAAGTGACGTTGTGGGTAGTGTGAGGGAGCTTGCGATGCTAGCTCTGGGTGCTGCATCTGGTGCGGCCGGCTGTATGAAGAAACTGGAAGGCGCAGTGGGTCCACGGGCAGCGGGAAACATTGCAGAGTTCTTTGCCGACGAATGGGAAATTGAAGGTTGAGAGAATTCATAGATCCGGACTGGGGAGTGAGACGATGGTTGGCTCCTGCATCATGGAATTGACAGTTAGGGGGTGGTCGGGTGGAGTAATGAAAGCAGTCACTGGAAACCAGGTGGAAGATGTGAGCTGCTGGCGATGAGTTGTCTCATTCGTCGTCAAGGACAACCCTTGCGCTCGCTACTAAATCATTTATCAGATTTGCAGAGTACACAAAAGCCTCGCTCCCACCCGCCTCTTCCATGTCTCTCACCTTCAAGTCAACTCACCGATCGTATTCAAATAACACTCTTGACCAATAATGATAACAGATCAGTGTACTTTTGACATCGCAAGTCCGGACACTGTTGTGCGTGAAGTTCAAAGGAGAACCGGAGGACTAGCGCAGAGTGGTAGCCCATCTCTCACATCCGCGTTAGCCAAAGCTAAGCGCGTTGATCTCTTTTCTCACGAATGCCTCCTACCAGTGCGCCACATCACGAACGTCATGTAGTAGCGACATTGGCAAAGTTCCGAAGTCTTCCCGTGAGTGAAGAAGTAGCAGCTGGTTGGTATGAGCATTCTGAGAGAGGGCTCTTAACGGATGCGGCAGATCCAATGCAAGAACTACGTGAATCTGCGGAACACCTACCTTGACTACGACTGGGTTCTATCGAGGGTGAATCATGCCGATCTCAATGACTTGACTGAGAGAAATGTGCGAAAGTAACATGTTAGACCAATCACTCGCTCGTTCCTACTCATACAACACTACGGTATAAATGTCAGTAGTTCTTCAATTCGTTTCTCTGAGCTTTAGTATGTGTCTCCATCTGATGATGATCAAGACATTGTATCGCTATCTCAAACCATCGATGGAAGAGACAGCATACTTCATATCCAGAAGATACTAACAGACCTCTTTGCGTAACTTGACGAATATTATTTACTGCAACGACAAGGTATCATACATTATCCACTACACCGCCCACGAACACAGACTTTTCGAGCTCTGCTGTTAGACCAGCCGCTCCCCCCAACATTTCCCCAACTTATCCCAGATGGCATTGGGAAGCGACGTCCCAAAAATATTGCAAAGACTTTGAGTAATCTACGAAGACCCAAAGCTGGTGATGTTGATTCCAATACCAGCCAACGCCGGCCCAGCGTCCAGATCTAGTTTGATCGTGTTACTCTTAATCGCGTCTTCGTAGTACGTAAGATGCTGGTCACCCTTTACGCTTGAGTTGCCCACGATCTGAAGCGGCAAGATTCCGTTCTTGTATTTGCCTTGGATTAAGCCCAGAAGAGTGAGCTGTTCGACGTGGCTTTGTAGAGGGAATTTGTTCTCCCCAGGCGTGAGGAAGACATTCGGAATAAGAGCATAACCAATCGGAGTGCCATCGACGGCGAGGTTCATGGTGACGTTGCCCAGGTCAAGTGTCATGACAGACGGGTTGGGAATGGTGACGTTGGCAATAAGGTTGGAGCCATCTGACAAAATCTCGTCTTTACCGGAGAGAAGGCGAACGTCGATTATGTTAAGCCCGGAAAGTTTATTTAATCCTGTAAACATGTTAAGACTATGTTCCAACATGGGTCCAAGGGGCGCATACCTTTCATCGTAACGACCTTGTTGTAATCGACATCCATAGATGGTAGACCAGAGAGGTGAATAGTCGTCTTGCCATCAAGGTGGATTTCAAATGTCTCGGCATCCAGAACAGCTCGAGTGTAGTTTGAAAATGCATCTGCGTTCGCGAACTTGACATCTTGATCAACAGTAATACGCGTTTCTGCCTCAGATTTGGACTCCGGTATCTCAATGTAAACGAAAGGCTCCTGGCCTTCGAGCGATAAACCGGCACGGAAGGCATCGATCTTAGGGTGGTAACTACTATCACTCCTGATGACAGTATCGAACTTTAAATGTATCCCATCTGCTTGCGGATCCGTCACCTCTTGGGAAGTAACTTCGATTGTCGAGCGATTGATCTCATGCTGTGCCTTCTTTGGCACACCGACGAATATGATTGGCAAAACAATGACCAAAACAATGATCACGAGTACCAGACAATCTGAAGTAGTGTAAACAGAAAGTAAGTTGATGGCACTAGAACACACTTACCACACCACCAAAATTTTCTGCAGTGGTTCTTCATGCGTCCTTTTGCGCCTGGCGTTGGCCCTGGTGGATACAGCTTGTTGATGACGCCGCCTCTCTTCTGGGGCGTAGTATACACATCTTCTGCCCGTGCCTGTCCGGCGGTCTTGTCGTCCATACTGAAGGCCTTCTGTTAGGTGTAAAGATGATGTAGAGTAAAGTTCGACAAATCTGCCATCCGCCGGTTGATGGCGATTCAGGCCACCTGTGGATTCTCTAGGGGACCCGCAGGGCTTAACACGCGAAATAAGTAGAAGGATGAAGAGATACCAAGAATAACCCAAACAAGGTATAAAGGCGGAGGACGCGGGGAAAGCACACGTTGAAGTCGTCAAAAGCTGGGGAATGCTCAGAAGATTTGGCACATGCACACAAAAACACCGAGACCCCTCTTGCGCCAGATTATCATTGGCGATGGGCCGACAGCACGACGGGTGTCAAAAGGGTGAGATCAGTGACAGGCGTCTTAGTGATGGTCATCAAGGCGACGGTTTGCCCGAGACCGTAGCCTGTTATGGAGATTGCCCGAAATACTCACCACCTATCTGGTAAGGATACGAAGCCGAGGCAATCCAAAGAACGAAGGATCAACTTGCACATGCGCGACGAATCTTTGGAGCAGTGGCCAAGTTATGTAACCTATGGCGCCGAAAAAGCCGTGAGTGGTCGGTTCAGCAAGCAAAGCCAAGCTACTTAACCATGTCGAACTATTTAGATTGGCTGTGCCGACTACAGCCAAAGGCGAAAAGGCGTGGAGTGGAATGACACGCGATCATATCGAATAACCCTGGCTAGTCCGGATAGCGACAGATCATTGCTTACCCCGGACGGTAGCGCGGGCCCTGTGCCTTTTGGGGTTAGAAGTAGACAAAACCCCCCTGAAGCGGCGACCAATGTAAGCGATTGCTTGTCGGTCGTCGATCTGTATTCGGGATCCGCGCCTCGTTGTTGCAGACGAAGAAACAGTCCAAAGGAGCAGGTGGACAGCGGTATATTGCATCAAGTAACGGATTCACCAGCCCCGCCCCTTCACATGAAAAACGGGATCCGAGACGAATTGCACAAGGCCGAATCGACCCAGGACCTAACAAGCGGTTGCTTCTCCACGACTCGACATACATGGAACGACAAGGGGTGCCAATGAATGATTTCCTCGCCCACAATCGTGCGTCGCCGTAGGATCCGACGCTTCAGCGATACGCGGTTCATGCCGTCTACAAACCCTTGGGTGTCTGTCACGCAGGGCCAGACCAGCCCAATCCACATTCCCGAGTGCCGTAAGTGGCGTTGACCGTTGCTAGAGCCTCTTTGGGTCTATGGCGGGAGATTCAACCGTTTGGGCGGCCTAAGATATGCCTGAACCAGATGTGCTCGATGCATGACTACGGCGCTGGTTGAGAAATATTAGTAGTGGTAGATTGGGCAAGGAGATGCAGTCGAAAGAAGCGTCTGGGGGATCGCCCTGCCCTGGCATATGCCAAGGGAACGCCATGTTGTGGGTCACTGCAGCTGCGGGCAGCCTGCGAGTCGTGGCTGGCGAGGTGAGCGACAACACATTTTTTTTAGCAGCGCAAGGCTCAACAGCACAAGATGGCACAATCAGACGAGGAAGATGACTACATGAATATGGTGTTCGACGATGCGCCAAAAGGACCAAAGTTTGAGACTTCACTGCAGCGCGCAGCGCGCAAGCGCAAAGAGGTACGTCTGGTGGCATTGCCGGATTTTGCTACACTAACACGTTGACAGGGTGAAGCTAGAGCGCGACAGAAGACCAAGGCCGAAAAACAAGAAGAAGCCGAAGCTGCACGGGAAGCTGCCCTCGCTACCGCCCTGCCCGAGACCAATAAGGGATTCAAGATGATGGCCAAATTCGGTTTCAAGCAAGGCGATACTTTGGGCAAGTCCGAAGACGCACGCAAAGAGCCTATCCGAGTCAATCCTAAAGACGACAGAGGAGGCATCGGTCTGGAGTCGGAGAAGAAGCGCAAGTTCAGGGAGCAGTTCGAGGAAGCAGACCGACTAGCAAAGCGCGCAAAAGAAGAGGAGGGTGACTATCTCGAGGTATTGCGCCAAGAACAGAAGGAAAAGAAGGCAGAACGGGACCTGGATAACGCGCAGAGGACAGCCGAGCGCTTGTCCGACAAGAACGCTGAAGCGGAAGGCGCGACAGACCCAAGTGAGAAACCACTGAAGGACATCAATGTCCTCTGGCGTGTTCGTGCGCGTCGCAGGATGGAGGGTAAGCGCGACAAGCAACAACGCCGAGAACTGAACAACAGTATTTTTTCACGATTACCCACATTAGCCGCCGAAGACGACGATGACGACGATTCAAAGATAGCGCAAGGTCGAGACCTTGCGCCATTCTACACTACTCTTGAGAACGAGCTTGAAGATGAGGACCCACAATTGGCGGAATTTGAGGCCTTGCCTGTAGCGGAGCGCTTGCAAAAGGTTCTGGTGTTTCTGCGTGAAGAATACCGATACTGTCTCTACTGTGGCTACGAATACCCAGACGCAGAAATGGAAGGATGCCCTGGAGTTACTGAAGAGGACCATGACTGAAAGATGAAAGCCTCCATTATGCGAAGAAATCTTAGTAAAGGAAGCTGCAAACACGACTACTACTCGACCTAGGGCCTAGAGTAGGCAGGGACGCGTATTGGTACGTCTGGAAATCGCGCAATCTTGTGACTGTTATACTCGGAGTCGCTTTTACCGTGTGACAATGACTTCCGGAAGATGTAACTGTCAAGGACCTCTAGTCCAAACAAGGAACCTAATTTCTTCACGTCCACAATATGTAGTCTAACATTAGACAAAGGTGAGGCGCCTTATAGGTGCACTCTGGGCCTCAGCCGCAATAGCTCTCAGTCAATGAATTGCTGAGCATGCGAAGATGAATGAGGATTCTCGAAAATACTCAAGTAGAGATAACGTGTAAGCAAAATACAAACAAGCTATGGTGGTCCAATTTCCAGAACATCGGCATTCGTGCGACAGTGGTGCGCTGGTATCCAGTTTCTCAAGAGAGAGCAGGCTGTGAGCTTTGACCAAATCACCAAGTCCCGTGCTCACGCGATTCGCGATTCGTCGCGCCTTCCCCTTAGCCCTTGCACATCAACAACATCGAACAGGTAGAGTAGTCATCACGCCAGACAACAAACGAAGATGGAGCATCAGAAATGCTATATATATGAACCGCCAGAGTCAGAAGAGCGATCGCCAAAGCGACAGCGAACCAGTAAATTCGATCCACAAGCGCAGCTACCAGAACGGCTAGCCACGTATCGGGAGTTGTGGGCACAACAAGAAGAGCGCATTCAAGTGAGCCGCATTTGCGCATATCTAAAACAGCCGCTAATGTTGTTAGAGTACGTTGGAGGGTGCAGATAGTGCCACCCAAGAAAAGATTGTGAACTTCGTCTCGGCTTCCAGTGCATCACCACACGAGCCCAAATTTGCCATACCGACAGCGCTTATCGTGGCTGGTCCCAGTATTGCATCCCATGGCCCCTTTTTTCAACGCTTGGGACGCGGTATCAGAGGCGTCAACTGCGCCTATGTCGTGTTAACGTCCGGTGAATGTCCGAATTTGAAGACGTTCCTCAAAACGCTCATTAAGAAGGTTACTTCACGCGTGGAAGATGAGGACGAGGATGACCTAGGTCGGCCCGCCGCATCTTCAAAGCATGGCCCTAAGTTACTCAACTACGATCTCGGTTATGTTCAAGAATGGAACAGACAGAATCGCGCTTCTAGCATTGTTGTTGCTCTACAAGATAGCGAAGCTTTCGACGTTGGACTGCTCGCCGATGTAGTTGACCTGCTTCAGTAAGTTTGTTGTGTTTGGTGATGGTATACGCTGACTTCTATAGCTCATGGCTCGACCGTCTGCCTTTTGCCCTACTCTTCGGCATTGCGACTTCAGCAGAGAGCTTCGAGGAGCGCCTGGCAGGGAACTCACTCCGCTACCTTGACGGCCAGAAGTTTGACGTTACCCAATCTGATGAAATCATCGAAAAGTTATTCCGCGCAACTATCGCTGGCACAGATGCTCGACTTCACGTTGGCGCCAATCTCTGCCGCCGTATGCTGGATCGGCAAAAGGATCATGTTCAGAACACACAGGATTTCTGCGATGGGCTGAAGTACGCCTACATGTCGCATTTCTATGCCAGTGTGCCTAGTGTCTTTGTCAAGCATGATATTGCTTTCGAACAAGTATCAGCGGATGCGTTTGAGGCTGTCCGTACTTTGCCCTCCTTCCGTCATTGGGTAGAAAACATGCTAGAGGGTGGTCAAGCGCAAGACGTACGAGGGATACTTGAAGAGAACAAACTTTTATTCGCTCAGATCACAAAACATCTGCAATCTGGGCAACACTCCATGACTACACTAAGTCATGCTGCAAAAGTATTGGCAAACATCCGGGAGTCTCTTCAAATGTCACCCAGCGTCCGCCTGTCCTCTATCTGGACTCGAGCAGCTGCTGGTGAACTCATTGGATCTCCTCTAATCCGCGAAACGATGCTGTCCATCAAGAAGATTCCATCCGATAAACTGGTACTTCTACTATCATCACTACGAAATCTCGAGGGGGACTATTTCGCCCTGGATACTGCTTCTGCTCAGGACAAGCTCGAGAGTTTGATACGAAATGCCGATGCGCCTCTCCGAACACAACACGATGTTCGCAATGATAGTGTACGAACCACCGTCGTAGCACAAAAAGTACTTCTCAGTAAGCACAAAGCTGCACTGTCAGAACAAGACAAGGCGTATTCGGAATTAGTTACACAATTCCACGACCAGCTCGAAGCGTACTTTACCTCTTCACTAATCGACCCAAAAACATTGGTTCTTTCAGAAATCTTCGTGTTTGACCTAAAGTCACCACACACAGAAGTCTTCCAACCCAGGCCTCGCTTCGCGGTTGAACGCGCACTTGCTTCTCCTCATGATTATCTGAGCTGCGACTGCTGTAGTGGAGTGGACGGAAACCCTGCAGCTCTTTCTGCCACCCAACCTGCGACAGCGATTGTATATCAGATGTACCTTGAGTCCGGTACGTTGATCAACGTCACAGATCTGTGGTCGGCGTTCAATGCCATTGCAGGAGATGGAACGGAGGAGAACGAGCCCAAGACCATGTAAGTCCAGGTTCATATACCACAAACAAAGTATTCTAACAGGTTACAGGGCACTCTTCCAGCGAGCGCTAGCTGAGCTCAGGCACCTCGGTCTAGTAAAACCCAGTCGAAAGAAGACGGATCACATTTCGAAGATCATGTGGAAAGGCCTCTAGACAAGACTACCAATCTCCATTGCATTACCGTACATATCATACATACTCTTCATTCAGTCCTGTTTTTTTCAGGCCTTCTTTGGCTGCGGCGCAGTATCACAAAGTGTTCCGCAGCTCTTACATGTTCTCTTCTCCGTATCCGCCTTGAAAGCATTCACCGCGTCCTTGATCTGCGTGCCGAGATCCGTACAATGGAATGCTGCTTCGTACACTTTGTCACCACAATTCTGACAATACCACCTCAGCCTATCCAGGCTACCCTCCGGCCTTTTCTGCTCCAGCACCACACCTACCGTATCTTTGAAGCGCACGGGATTATGCGGAGTATTTGGGGGCAGCAAAAACATGTCTCCTTCATTTATATGTATGTCTTTGAACTGCTGACCCGGTGGTAACGAGGTATCGACAACTTTGAGGAGCATGGAACCTTTGTGTTGGTAGAACCATTCTGCAGTTTCGTTGATGTGGTAGTCGGTTCGTTCGTTAGGGCCGCCGACTATCATTACGGTTACGGGGTCGGAGTAGACGCAATAGTTGTTGATTGGAGGTTTGAGCATGTGGGAGTTTTCGGAGACCCTGGGATAACGGGTTAGCTGTGTTGCTTCGTGCTGAATGAAGGGGATGGAATTCCGTAGGAAAGTCGGTGCATGTACCATTTTGGTATGTTCAACGGTGGGCCTAGTTCCCGATGTGATTGTGACTGCGAGAAGTGGCGTTGTGAGAGTGCTGCGGGAATACGCGATAGCGGTCGCGAGGCGCTTTGCGCGAGTCTAATGGCTGGTCGTAATGATCGCATTGTGTTCATGGTGGTGTGTTGCGCATGTGACGTTGGAACCTCACTTTGTAAAGTCAGTGCAATAAATTTGCCTGACGTGCTTTGAAATGTACAAAGTCATCGATATAATCAATCAAGGGTCCAAACACAAGTGGGGAGCTTCTCGCCCCCGCGTAGCCGCGGCTCGTGCGTGCATGCGTCGATCACTGGTGCGACGCGTGCCATCACATGTCGCTCCTAGACCCGCCTATCTTGAGACACAAGTCCATCGTCCATATCTCCTTCCTCCCAGCAGCACAATACCTTAACCAATTCCAAAAGCAAAGCACAGCAGAAAGATGGACCATTCGCACATGGACCACGGCGGCCACATGGGCCACGACATGCCTGGCATGGGCGGCGACGGGCCCAAGTGCAACATGAACGTACGATTGCACCCTTCTCTCCTCATATCGATGCTCAAACGAACACACGCTGACTTTCGATGATGTGATAGATGTTGTTTACGTGGGATACGACCGACCTCTGCATTGTCTTCCCCTCGTGGCATATCTCGGGCACTGGCTCACTCATCTTTTCGCTACTCGCCGTAGTCCTGCTCACAGCTGGGTACGAAGCTATCCGAGAAATATCAAGGCGCTATGAGGCGTACTCAAAGGGTATCATGGAGGGACCCAGAGGTGAGTGCACTTTTTCTATACAAGTACTACCGGGGTAGTGGAAAGACTCTAAGAGGCAGGCGTGGAAGTAGGAGATTAGGGAGGTCTCTTTTCTTCACTTCAATCACCACCTTGAGGAACACTCGCTGAGTAAACTTTACGCGTACAAAGACGACGCAGATGAATCTAGCTCATTACTTGGCCCAGGGAGAAACGGAGGCGTTGGGCGTAGTGCCGAGCAGCAGATGAAGATCATCAAGGCTGTCTTGTATGCTGTGCAGGTTTTCTATTCGTTCTTCATCATGTAAGTGTTTTCGCAATGAAGGCGGAGTCGGGGGCTGTGGCTGATGTGCATAGGCTGCTTTTCATGACGTACAACGGTTGGATTATGCTTGCTGTCGCAGTGGGTGCCTTTGTCGGATACCTGATGTTCAGCCAGTCTTCGTCCACCAAGTCGGTCGCCTGTCACTAAGGGGACCGGCAACGGAAAACATCTGGCATAAGGCTGTTCAGAGGACTGGAGAGTAGTACAAGGCCAGGAAGGCAAACAAGTGGTTACACAGTGTTTTGCTTGCCCTCGGTCGGAGCTACGGATTTGCATGTCCTGAAATATCCGGGCCTAGGATCCTGCAGCGCTGACGGGTCGGACCCGCTATTCTCTTGAGCTTGGCTTTGGATACCCCAGATATAGAGTAAATAGGCAGTTCGCAATACATTGTTGACACAGTTGGAGTTCTGTTCGGTGTCCAGGGTCGACCTCGCGCGAGAACATACCGAGCCAGGTCTGGCGGCGTCGACAACAGCTACCCCGAAACGTTTTGTACGCATAGAGTGAAGTTGAAATAACGCAACCTTGGTCTTGAACGCGAAGTTTGATACCTTGACGTCGGAGCGACTTGAAAAGTCGGTATAAGATGATACTCCGATATGAGTTCATAGACTTGTTGAAATTCCGAAGACGGCAATATCGCCCGCTGAGTGTTGCGCTCGTGCGAGCAAACACCGATCGGGCTTTGATGCCTGTGCGGAAGGATTTGCCATTACGAGCATCGTGAAGCTCAAGCATCAACAAACATCGTAACAATTCAACTCAAAGAACAACGAGCAGCGAATGCATTGCGTCGACGATGTTCCAGAGTTATGGTTGTGGCTAGCTAGGCCTAGTATCACATGTGCTCTAGCCTTCACATGCCAACGGCGAGTTGCGTGTTCCCACGCGTGACTTGCCCCAGGTTCTCCAAGCCCCAGCTCCTCGGCGTTCCGTCCGAAGGAGAGGTCAGCGTTGCGCATGGGGCCAACCACGCCTCGCATACCCAAGTCATGTGTATAGTGATGGAGACGAGCGTCTTCACATGCGACAGCTGAGCAGTTGCTTGATATCTCCATCAGCAGCGCAATCCAGGCACGTCTGGGTGAATCTCACATCTCTGGCGTACAAACAGCCGCCACATGATTGGGCCCGCCCGGCGACAGGTGCATGCGGGTTAGCGCATTCTCCACTTCCGAGGCACAAGTTGCGACGATTCAAGTGCTAGCTGGAAGCCGAGCATCCTATCCGTTGCATCCATACAAAGCAGAAGCCGATCCCCAGACTTTTCGTCCTCATCTGCTCTCTCGATACCCCGTCTTTTACTTTCATTCCCTCTTCGTCTGCATTCATCATCATGCCTGAGAGAGTTATTGTTGTTGGCGCTGGCTGTAAGCATCACTGCATCGTATGCCGTCACGCGCATAGCTAACCACGACGACAGTGTCCGGCTTGAGCGCTGCTCATACCATCTACCTTGCTGGTGGAAATGTCGTCCTTTTGGACAAGAACAACTTCATGGGAGGCAACTCCACCAAGGCCACATCCGGAATCAACGGTGCCCTTACAAGGACACAAGTAGATGAGAAGATTGGCGACAGCGTCAAGCAGTTCTATGATGACACACTCAAGTCTGCGCGAGACAAGGCGCGACCAGACCTGATCAAGGTTCTGACCTACAAGTCCGCTGCTGCCGTCGAGTGGTTGATGGACGTTTTCAACCTCGATCTGACTCTCGTTTCGCGGTTGGGGTACGTTTGACGTTATTCCCGCATCTCACACACGTACTGACTTTGACAGTGGTCACTCCCAACCTCGTACCCACCGTGGCCACGATGCCAAGTTCCCCGGAATGGCCATCACATACGCCCTGATGCAACGATTCGAAGAGTTGGCCGAGCAGGAGCCAGAGCGCGTCCAGCTCGTCAAGAAGGCCAAGGTCTCCAAGATCAACACCGAAGGCAACCGTGCTACCGGTGTCACCTACACATTCAACGGCGAGGAGACAACACTTGAGGGACCTGTCATCCTGGCCACTGGTGGTTATGCCGCCGACTTTACAGAGGACTCTCTTCTGAAGAAGTGGAGGCCAGACACCTACGACCTCTCCACTACCAACGGTGCTCACGCCACCGGTGATGGACACAAGATGCTGATGAAGATTGGCGCCAACGGCATCGACATGGACAAGGTTCAGGTTCATCCCACCGGTCTGGTAGACCCTAAGGACCCTACGGCGAAGACTAAGTTCTTGGCCGCTGAAGGTTTGTACACTACTACCGAGTTCGTTGTTCCACGCTGACAGTTCCCAGCTCTCCGTGGTGAGGGTGGTATTCTTCTCAACAACAAGGGCAAGCGCTTCTGCGACGACCTCGGTCACCGCGACTACGTCTCCGGTATGATGTGGGGCGAGAAGGACAAGGGCAACTGGCCCATTCGCCTCGTCCTTAACTCGAAAGCATCCAACATCCTCGATTTCCACACAAGACATTACTCTGGCCGTGGCTTGATGAAGAAGATGACTGGTGCAGAGCTCGCCAAGGAGATTGGTGTCAGCGACAAGGACCTCCAAGCAGAGTTCCAAAGCTACAACGCGATTGCAAAGGGTGAGAAGAAGGACGAGTGGAACAAAAAGTACTTCCACAACCTGCCCTTTGACATCAATGACACCTTCCACGTTGCGCAAATGGAGCCTGTACTCCACTTCACCATGGGTGGTATCGAGATCAACGACCAAGCACAGTGCTTGAACTCCGAGGGCAAGCCATTCGATGGTCTGTACGTCTGTGGTGAGCTTGCTGGTGGTGTCCATGGTGCCAACCGCCTCGGTGGCTCATCACTTCTTGGCTGCGTTGTCTACGGTCGTGTAGCAGGAGAGTCTGCTTCCAAGTACCTCTTCCAACAAGCGCTCAACAAGTCTGGTGGTGCCGCTGTAAACCGCCTCGGTCAAATCTCGCTACACATCGACCCATCACAACCGGGCAAGGTATCCGTCGAGTGGGGCAACGGTGTCAGTGGAAACGCTCAAGCCGGCGCCAGCTCGTCGTCGGACCCCGTTCAGCATCAAAAGCAGGAATCCGCCGCTCCGGTCATGTCTTCAAACGGCGACTCAAGTGACCCCGGCAAGGTTTCCAAGCCCAACGCACCCAAGAAGTTCAGCATTCCAGACAAGGAATTCTCGCTCGAGGAGGTTGCGAAGCATAACAAAAAGGATGATCTATGGATCGCCGTAAAGGGTATCGTCATGGACGTGACCAACTGGACAGATGAGCACCCAGGAGGTCCTCAGGCGCTCTTTAGCCATATGGGCAAAGATGCATCAGAGGAGTTTGAGATGCTGCACGACGATGAAGTTATTCCCAAGTACGCGCCTGAGATCGTTATTGGTCGGGTCAAGGGTCAAGAGGTGACACTTGAGTACTAGAGGGGAAGGGAAAATGTTGTTTGTACTTTTAGCATGTTCCAAATGATATCACTTGCATATGTTTGAGAATGTTACTCAAATGACGCAGTCTGGATTGTGCAGCATCATGTCATGTGTTTGGGTGACGCGCAGAGTTACACTGCAGACGCTCGCGTCGGGTCCCTCGTAGCGGCAGATCAGCCTCGCCTGGGCGGACCCTGGCCGCATTTTCCCCAGACCATTAACACGACGCAACTGGTGCCCCTTTGAGCAGTACGCAGGCGACATGCTCACGACTGCGTAACGATCCCTTCGACGTTAACTTGTTTCCAAAATGCTGCACCAGCAACTCTTTCATTTCTTTGATAGACAATGACAACCTACGACGAGTATGGCGTTCCCGTCGGCGCATACTCAGAACCTGAGAGCTTAACCCACCAAGCATGGCGGCTGGTGCGGGCTTTCTTCCTATATCGCATACGGCCTGCTGTGCAGGAGAAGAGAAATGAATTGCAAAGTGGAAGTTGGAGCTTCAAGCGGCTGTTTACGCTTGTGAGAGCGCTGGTGGTGCTGTGGTGGGTAGCTTTGTACTGGGGCGAAAGAGGTGTCTTCAACAGCGCTGTGGAGAGCTGCAATTGGGATAACTGGGAAAACTGGGTACGAGCATACCACCCGATATCTGTACATGTGCGCAAGACTAACTACGTGTCTAGGAAGCTGGCGCAAATCCCCACAGACTCGTCTTCGTCGCCGACCCGCAACTCATAGATCCGCACACGTATCCAGGTCGTCCGTGGCCTCTCAACCCTCTTGCCTACAAGTACACGGATCTCTACCTTCGCCGCACCTACTCTCGCCTTCAGACTATCCTATACCCTGACACTATATTCTTCCTCGGCGATCTATTTGATGGTGGCCGCGAATGGTCTACGCGCACCACTACTTCGCCCGAAAAACAATATCGCAAGTATGGCAACGACTTTTGGATGAACGAGTACAGAAGGTTCGGGGACATATTTTTCAAGCACTGGGGTGACGGGGGTATGCAGCCAAGACCTGGACAACCTGGAAGGAAGCTCATAAGCAGTTTACCTGGCAACCATGACCTGGGATTTGCCAGAGGAGTGCAAGAAGGCGTCCGAGACAGGTTCAATGCATACTTTGGGGACGGAAGCAGAATCGACATAATTGCAAATCACACTTTCGTCTCAATCGACAGCGTCTCCCTAAGCGCACTCGGTCAAGAATCGCCAGAACAGGTGGAGAAGCTATGGCGACCTACAAAAGACTTTCTCGAAGACGCGAAAAAGCGTAAAAGGCGTCTGATACAGCGCGAGCTACGTACCCAGCAGGGCCTCAGACCCTACCCTGGTATGCCTCACCACGCAATTGAGAAGAAAGACCTAGCGACATCCGAACTTCCACACGCCAATGACGAAATCACCGAATTCCCTACGATCCTCCTCACCCACGTCCCTCTCTACCGCGCACCAGGTACACCCTGCGGACCTCTTCGCGAACACTGGCCCCCAACCCCTCCACCAGCTGGGCAACCACCCCTCGAACACGACGACCGCAACGCCATCTCCGTGCGCGGCGGATACCAATACCAAAATGTGCTCAACCGTGAGATCACTGCCGACATAGCCGAGAAAGTGGGAGACATACGATACGCCTTCTCAGGCGACGACCACGATTACTGCGAGGTTCTTCACAAAGCATATACAAGCGCCGGTGGCGGCATACGAGAAATCACTGTCAAGAGCACTAGCTGGGCCATGGGCGTTAGACTTCCTGGTGTACAACTCGTCAGCTTATGGAATCCTGTCGACGTACATGGCAACCCCAGAAACGGCGATGCGAGCAAGACAATTCAAACAAAGCTATGTCTACTTCCAGATCAAATCGGCACATTCCTCAAATACGGGTTGCTATTTGGCCTTACGTTGATGGTTCTGATACTCCGCGCGGCTCTCGTTACTCTCGGTGTCGTCTCCTCAAGCCAAGCAGATATGACCACTGAGAGTCCTCTCCTACCTACAACAAATACAAGCACGTTCCCTGCTACGATAGCAGCGGAGAAGGAATCACATTCGTCAAATTCCTCAACGTCTTCTGAACGCACAGGGAACCTATCCGTCCGCACAACCACCCAAACACGCAACATGCAGCAACAACAAAGTCAACAATCCAGATATAATCTCCCGTTGGTACAACATGCAGGCTACGACCCTACCAAGGACTACGATGACGACGATCATGATAGGGATAAAAAGGTCAGAGTCTATGGTGTAAGCACCAAGGCTGCTAGGAAGCCAAGGAAACGGAGAAAAGGACTGGCCTTGTCCTGGTGGGAGTTCAGCACAAGCCTGAAGACTGTGATTGTTCTTGGCGGGGCTTGGTATGTGTTTTTGGTTTGGAGGGGGTAAAGAAGTGTAATTTATATCTTTAGAATTACAAATCCTTCACTGCTTGTTATGGATACGCTATCATCAAGTTCCAAAGCTGCAATATGTTTTCATATGCAAGAGGCTGGTGACGCGAATCACAATGACTGTGCCCTAGACTTTGCGTGGTCATGACAAGAGATATCTGTTTGGACATGGCGGTACATTTTCATGCATATGCATTGGGTCTTGCGTATCTAAGATTCTCTCGTTCTGTCTAATATACCAAGACAGGATCTTACATGCTCGCATCTCAGCACCTCAAAATACCACCTCAGAGTTTGAGATTCTCGATCCACTTTGTTGCCTCCTCAACACCTTGATCAACCTTATCCGCGTTCGTACCCTGGCCAATAGCAGTAGGAGCGCCTGGCTTTCCACCCGCCTTGCCACCAATGATTGGCGTGACAGCAGCAGCCCACTTGGGTCCATCGGCACCTGCGTTCTTGAATGGCTACATGGAAACGTTAGCACTGCTGTCGAGAGAGTCAGGGTTTGCAAGAAGAACATACCTCGCTCACATAACACCCATGCACAACCTTTCCCTCTTCAGGCGATGCGGAGAAGAGATACAACGACCGATCCTTGAGCGCACTCTTAGGCCCAGAGATAGTCTTGATAACTTCGCTGATAGCCTTGTTGACAGTACTTGACCATTCCAACTTCTTGACCATGAATTTCTTGCTATCGTCTTCGAAGAACTTGGTCACCTCATCAAGTACGCGCTTGTTATCGGCTTTGGCAGCGGCCTTTTGCTCGTCGAGAATGCTCTTTTGAATCTTGGCAAATTCCTCCCGGAGTTTGCTCTTCGCAATAGCAGAGACGGTGAGGTTGTTAAGATCGACACCGATCTTCTTGGCTTCAGCTTCCTTTTGGGGCCCGAAAGCCATCTTGCCCATGTTTTGGACGCGTTCTTGGAACTCACGGGCGATACGCTGCACGTTGTAGGCTTCTTGACCTGTTACAGCGACAATGCGGCGAATGCCCTTGGCGATACCGGATTCCTCGAGAATGACGAGTTCCTTGATTTCGCCTGTCTTGAGGACATGCGTACCACCGCAGAACTCGATGGAGAGCTTTTCCCACTTCTCGTTCTTGACATCCTTGAGGAGCTCTTCGACTGGTACTCCGACAGAGACGACACGCACCGGGTCGGGGTATGTCTCACCGAAGACGGCACGGACACCGCGAATTTCCTTTGCGGATGCGAGAGGTACCTCCTTGGCGTATACTTGCGAGTCCTGCTTGATGTACTCGGATGAGATCTTCTCAACCTTGTCCAGTTCCGCGTCTGACAGACCCGCCTTGTGTGAGAAGTCGAAACGCAGCTTCTCCGGTGCGACGAGCGAACCCTTCTGGTCGACCTCGTTACCGAGGACTTCTCGGAGAGCGTAGTTGAGAACGTGGGTACCGGTGTGGTTGTTACGGATGGGATGTCTTCGGAGCTCGTCGAACTCGGCAATGACGTCGCTGCCCACGCTCAGCTCACCGTACTTGATGTAACCAGTGTGTAGTACGTAGCCGGCGTAGACCTGGACGTTCTCAATACTGATTTCAGCCTCGCCGTCTACCAACAACCTTCCGGTGTCGAATTCCTGGCCACCCTGTTCGGCATAGAAGTTTGTCTTGTCAAGCAAGACTCCAAATTGCTCACCCTCGGGTACTTCTGTCGTGCTCTTAAGGAACTTCTTGTTGTGGTATATCGCCTTGATGGTGGCGGTGATGTTCTCGCGACCAAACTTGGCGGAGTCGTCGGTCTTGGGAACTTCGGGCATGTTCTCCAACGCACCAAGGTCGTGTACGTCGAACTTGACAACTACCGCGCCGGCCTTCTTGTCGCCCTTGCTAGCTTCGCGAGCTCTTTCTTGTGCGGCCTCGACCTCTTCATCCTTAATCTTCAAGCCTCGCTCTTCAGCCATGAGCTTTGTCAGATCAACGGGGAAACCGTAGGTGTCGTATAACCGCCAGACGTCATCTCCAGGCAAGTCGTCTGAGCCCTTGGCCTTGGCCTTCTGCGCGTACTTTTCGAAGATGACCTCGCCACGATCCAGCGACTTGGCGAATGCCTTTTCTTCCTCGTCCAGAATCTCCACGATGTCCTGCTGCTTCTTCTTGATCTCTGGGAACATGTCGCCCATCTGATCGACCAGCGTGGGGACAATCTTGGAGAAGAAGTCACCAATGTCCGTCTCAAAGTATTTGCGCGCATATCGTGCACCTCGTCGTAGCACTCGGCGGACGACGTAGCCTCGGCCGACATTGTTGGGTACACCACCGTCGGCAATGGCAAAGCTCATCATGCGAACGTGATCGGCGACAACTCGGTATGCGGTATCGATACCATCCGGGTCTTGGTCGCCGAATTGTCCCCTGTACTCGCGCGCTCCAGTGATATCTTGTATCCTCTTGAACAGTGGTGTGAAGACATCGGTGTCATAGTTTGACTTTTTGTGTTGTAGCACCGAAACCAGACGCTCGTAGCCCATACCGGTATCGATGTGCTTGTTCGGTAGGGGTCGTAGTGATCGGTCGGGTTCGCGGTTGTACTGCATGAAGACGTTGTTCCAGATTTCGATGACCTCGGGGTCGTCCATGTTGACGAGCGAGGCAGCGTTCCTGTACTCCCCGTTGACTGGCTCTCTCAGATCGTAGTGTACCTCTGAGCAAGGTCCGCATGGCCCCTGGTCACCCATCTCCCAGAAGTTGTCCTTCATGTCTCCAGGCAAAATGTGGTCCTCTGGCACGCCCACGCTCTTCCACAGCTCCTTGGCTTCCAGGTCTGGCTCCAGCTCATCTGTTCCCTCAAAGTAGGTCACGTACAACCTTTTGGGATCTATGCCGTAGACTTTTGTGAGAAGCTCCCAGGTGAAGGCTACGGCCTCGGTCTTGAAGTAGTCGCCGAAACTCCAGTTTCCCAGCATCTCGAAGAAGGTGTGGTGATAGCTGTCCTTGCCAACATCGTCGAGGTCATTGTGCTTTCCACCAGCGCGAATGCACTTTTGCGAGTTGGCGGCGCGCTTGAGCTGTGCGAAGTCGGACGAGGGGTCAATGGTGCCTTGGAAGATGGCCTTGTACTGGTTCATGCCCGCATTGGTGAAGAGAAGGGTGGGGTCGGAGAGGGGGACGACGGATGAGGAAGGCACTGTTTTTGTTGTTGTCAATTGACATGCATGTGGAAGGTGACGGGGGAAGCGCACCAAAGGTGTGTCCACGCTGCTTGAAGTAGTCGAGAAAGGTCTGGCGCACGCGGAGGGCGCTCCATTCGTGCTTCTCGTCTACGAGCGACATGTTTGCGGCCTGCGCGTTGCCGTCGTGGTGGAGGAGGGGCAGCGAAAGATGTCGTGTGCGGGTGAAGAGTCTGGTATGGTGGAGAGAGCTGTGGTTTGATTGACTGAGACAGCTAAGCCGTGGTTGACTGGCAAGTCTAACCCTTTGGTGACTCAGAGGGGCTCTAATCAGTAGTTGGCGCATTCACGAAAACATGTGGGTGCGGGCGCCGAGCTGCAGGCCAGTGCAGCGATTGCGGGGCTGACTGGGCGGCGGGCGGCGGGCGGCGGGCGTAGGAGCTTCGGAGGACCGACGGTGGCCTCAGCCCTTCTGGAAGCTTCACGTAACTGCGCCTAGACTACACGTCCATTATAACAACCCCAGCCAGCACCATGCCCCGATCGCACCACCGTAACAGCACCACTATCGCCAGATAACCACCCCCCGCTCTACCAATCGGCTGTCTCGGACTCGCACTGCAACCTGACCTCGACTCCCGTGAAACAGATTCACCCCCAAAGCTGCGATGCATGGCGCAAGTCGCTAGCAACCCTCCTCCCTATGCGCAACAGAATGCGCCCCACGGCACCAAGAGAGCCGCAGAGAGTTCCCTCGAGAACGAACAGCGGCTGAGTAAGCGATTCGACTTGCTCAACTTGGGTATGCTCAGTCCCCCCGCAGACGCTAGACTGCCAGCCATGCTAACCGTACCATCGCAGTAGACAACAATGGCACACGCCTCTACATCCCTGTTCCGGGCTCAACAGATGCCACGCTCCCACGCGTATCCCAATCGCCCACCTCATATGGCGACCCTCTGGCCTTTGTAGCCTCGAGGCGGAAACAGCCTCGCAAGCCACGCTTCCCCCGCGCCCAAGAAGAAGAGACCAGCATGCAGGTAGAAGACACCCCTCACAGAGTCTACATCTCCGACCTAAGCGCCGAGCTCTCCGACATCGAGTCCGACGAAGAGAATCCCATTTTCCTTTCCGATATCGAAAAGCATCTCTCCAAAATACCAAAGCACATCTTACTGGGCCCGGAGCCCAAGCCCACGGACAAGAATCAGTTGGTCCTGTACAATGTACCTGCAAGTCTGACAGTACCCGAGGCCCAAGACAACGTGCGCAAGGCCATTGTAGAGGCAAGACAGCGCATCAGGGACAAGCAGGTGAACCCAGTAACGGAACCTGAAAATGTACATTTGGCAAGGAATAACTACCACAGCAGTGGTCCTATCACTAGAGAAGACAGGATGATGGATGCGATACCCCAATCTACGGCAACACCTGCAGACGAAGACGGCGATGCCATGGACATTGATTGATTGATTGCTTGATTATTGAGTGAATGAATATTACGTCTGCTTGGTCATCAAATTATTATAGAGATATGGTTCAACAGCTTGTTAATACACGAATGCAATAAGCGTGATCCAGTCACGTATTCTTCCTAGCGCTTGCGCCATCTTCTTATGCATTCTGTCTACCGTCTAAAGCGATCCAATACACCCATAATCTTCGCCTTTGCCGGTCGAGGCGGTAGCTCCTGTGTTTGACCCTGTTCCACATCCGCACCAATGACACCGCTCTGCTGAGGTCCCGTCTGCTGAGGTACTCCTTGTGGTGGTGCACCGTACAACGGCATCTCCATAGCCTGCGCCCCTTGGTTAGGGTTCGCCTTGGTGGCACCGGGCGGCGGTGGCGCAAAATATTGTGGTGGCGCATCTGTGTTCTGGTACAACGGCGGGGGTTCCGCCCATGTGCCGTCCTGCCTCTGTGTGTACTGTGGGTTGGGGGCGTAGGGGTTTTGTGTTTGGTAAAAGGTGAAGTGGTTCTGGGGGACTTGGCCATGGCGGCGACGTTCCGAGTAGGATATCAGAAACTGTTGCACTTCTTGTTAGTATTTGATGGCGTCGTCGACACTGAGGGGGGAAGAGGGCAAGACGTACGCGATGGTATCCGAGCAGTGGAAGGCCCTTTCTTAACCTTTGCTTTGCGTGGATACGACCTCCTACGAACCATCCGAAGAAGATGACAAAGAACGATGCAAGTATTATCCATTTCACGATTATGCCTTTCTGTTGCGTTGTTAGTTTAATGTCTCGTGAGCACGAGGTAAAAAGTAGACATACATCTGTGTACCAAAAACCATCATCACCTTCATAGCATTCCCTTCCTCCAGCAAAGTCGTCGACACAGTAGTATCTCTTTGTTAATGATAATAAAGGCATGGCTGTGATGTGGTGTATGTTTGTGTGTGTCCAACTCTCGGGAAATGGCGAGTCGTGGATGTATGTGTTCAGAGCGTAGGAGGGAGGATCGACTGGTATAAGCCCAGTACGTGCCGCAGTTCAGGGAGATAATATGCTCGATATGAGCGGTTAATGGATAGACTGCGCCACTTCTACGTCGTTCGTTCCTTCGGTCGACTAGCTTCCCGAGAGGGAGGTGTGTCGCGTGTGGAGAGAGTTGGCAACGGGTCTTGTTTCAGATGTGTAAGGCGTGGATGTGTTAGGTTTCAAGATGGGATGGATGGAAGGGCGGCTAATGGGAGGTGGCTGAACCTCGACGGTATATACTCAAGGAAGTGGCTTGATGGAAAATAAATGGAAACTTATGAAAACAGAGATTCGATAAACGAGTGACGCAAAAGAAAGAATCAAAAGAAAAGCAGCGACTATTGTGGCTGGGGTAAATCCAGAATTCGAGGTTGGGGAGGTCGGGATGAGGTATGCAAGGGACGCGTGGATAGGAGTGGATCGCGACCCGTGCCCTGCAGGGCTGGAAAGCTTGTTCCTTGCAGGCCTGGCTGGCTGTGGCGGACCTCACTCCGCGACGTCGACTGCCAAAAATGTGGCTGTAGCATTTATCGCTTTGGAAGCTGCGCGTGAGCTATGATGCAACAGTCGGTGAGGTTCATTCTACTGTGTTGAAACCTGTGTTTTCTAGTACATGTATCGGGCATACTCGAGCACGTGCGCTACCGTCAGACAGCCATGGCCCCCCGCTGCAGCCGCCGCAGAAGCCTTTTTTTCCTTTTTCGTGTATACCAAGATATTGGTAGATCAAACTTTAAACAAGTTGAGGAGAACTTCACGGCACAACAGACCGCACAATGGAGACGAAATAATGACAAGTTGAAAATGTATTCAGTACTGTCGGGAGCCAGCATCGCTGACTCTAAAGCTGAGAAAATGATAAAACACAGAGCAAACGTTGTGGTATAATGCCACCAGACGCCAAATTACATGCCCAGTAACGGATTCACTGCCATACTCTATACTTCCACCGTGTTCCCCGTATGTTTCGCAATATGGCGTCCTGTGAGGTCATATTCCTGCAACCAACACTGAAAACGCCCAAAGGCATCAACTCCGATCCCATGCTTCAAATTCAGATGAAACGGATTACACAGATAGAAAGGAGAAGGAGCGAAAGGAAAGTCTAATGTAACAAGTTGCGGAGAGATGGGCTAGCACTTGCCCCGGTATTGGCGCGTTCGGTGGGCGCCGACGTCACTGCTGGAGCATCGCGCATCACCGTGTCCATGGGTGTTGCCGGTCTTCCAGGGGCAGGGCTACCGTGGTGCAGTACGGGGTACTGCGCGACTGCTGGAGGAGCAGTGAATGGGCTTTCACGCGAGGCCGGATGGGCATGGGGATGAGTTGGCGAATACGGAATTGTCCGCGGGGATTGCATAGCACCGTTGACCATCATTGCGCCGTTGTTATGATGTAGCTGGGGAGGTCCACTAATAGGCGGTCCTGAGTACGGTGGCCGAAGCCCTGCGGCTGCTATCGCAGAGTGCATTGGTGCACCTGAGAAAGCCGCGTAGCCATTCGGCTGAGGTGGGTACGGCGCATGGAACGAAGGGATATGACCAACAGGCGGGCCCTGTAGTGGTGGTGGTCCGTATCCATTGCCGTTGGGTAGATGGTGCGGGGGATGTCCAGGTCCCGGAGGGACACCGCTATGCCAGGAGGGTAGCGGAGGGGGCTGGCCTGGTGCGGGACCACCTGGTAATGTCCATCCTCCTGCTAAGGAGGGAGGTGGAGGTGGATATGGTGGTATCTGAGTTGCCGGCAAAGGGTATGTCTGCGGTGGCTCTTTGAAGATCGATACCGACCTCGCTCGCTCTTCCTCGTCGTCAGTCGTACCATTCTGTTTCTTCCAATGACACTTCTGGCATATATACGAAGCTGAGGAGGCAGCGTCCACATCAGTATTCAACCGCAAAGTGTTATGCGCAGGTGGAGCGACAGCTGGCGCATCCGTCATTGGCCGATCGTCTTGGCCATTGCCATTGACGATTCGACCCTCTTCGACAACAGGCTTCTTCTCAACGTGGCCGTTCTGGTCTGTCGGTCCATCACGGTCAATTGGTCCATCTACCACACGAGGCGCTTGTGTTGCTGGCATATCTGCGTCAACTTTCCACCATCGCGGACTAGCTTCAATCTTGCAGCGCACACATTTACGCTCAGGCTTGGGCGCAGGAGGTTCGGCTGATTCTTCTTTGACTGGTATGCCAGCGTTCGATTGTCGACCACGGGCTGATGTGGGCGTTGGCGCGGTGACTGCGGATGCTCTGCGATTGACTGGGGTCGGTGCAATTTGGGGCACGATGCGCGTCGACTGGTCTACCAAGTTGGCTTTGCGCGCAGTGCCTGTCAAGGTAAGATCGGCCTGCTTGAATTCGCGCGCAAACAATTGCAATGCGATCAGCTCCGTCCCTTCCACTTCCTCGTTCATGGGGTGAACAACAGTCTTGGGAGTATGTTCTTTGCACCAGATCGCCGCGATCAATGTACCCGTTTCTCCGTTCATGGTAACCGTTGGCACTGCATCCCTCCGAGAAACCTTGACTGGTGTCATGTCGAACCCGAACGTGTAGCCGTTGCTGTGGGCACAACCAACGTGAAAAGTCGCATGGCATTGCAAGCAAGATGCACAGGCGCCCTCAGTCGTCTTGCACAGCTTGCAGACTGCGTCGTATCGAAGTGTTGGTGCTCCTATCCCCTCCACCATGTCAAGACGCGTTGCGCTGCTGAACTTGATCTCTGGATGCCAGATTGCACAGTACACATGTACCCAGTTATTGTCGGCAGTGCGCTTGAGTGGCTCCCGGGGCACAAGCGGCCGGCCCTTTTCCTGCTGCCGGAGGCGATACTCGTCCTTGGCTCGGTCAACAAGTTCCTTCTCTAGGCGCTCCTTTTCGCGATCGCGATCAGTCTTTTTCTTGTGGGTAATCTTCGGCTGTTCATAGAACTCTTGCTCGGTGTCCTGCTGTGGGCAGAGGACACACTCGTACGTCTGACTAATCAGCAGTGTTTCGACAATACTCAGCATGTAACTTACATATGACACGCTCTCTTTCTTATCGTTCTTGCATGTATCACAGTACCATTTGTTCGCCTGTCGTGTTTCCTCAACACCGTAACATCGTTTGTGGATAGTCAACCGACAGGCCGCACACTCTAGACGGGAACCTTCTGAAGATCGACAGACGGCGCAGGGCAAAGGCCTTAGTTTCGGAGGCGAAGGAACTGGTGGGGGTGTAGGAGCCTTGGGGGCTGCAGTAGACTTTTCCTTTTCTTTCTTCTTCGAGACAGGCTCATTGACTGGAGTGGTCGTTCCGCTGTCTCCGTTGGTCATAGCAGCAGTCTTCTGTTTTTTCTTGGGCGGCTCTGCAGTCGCCTGGGCCGTGGCAGTCGGAGCTTCGGCATACTCAGGGGTACCGTTCTTGGAGCTTGGGTCTGACTGCGCCGCGTAGACCTCCCGTAGGAGCTCCTCATCGATGCGTCGCTTCCATGCCTTTCCTCCACCTTGCGCGACTTTCTTCGCAATCTCGTCGACGTTTTCCCATGTTACTGCATACTTGCGCCATAGGTTCGCACAGCGTAGGCAAAGCGCGATAAGGAACCCGGTCTTGTCCTTGGACCGACCATCAGGGGGTATCATCTGGCCAGGTGTCACACCAGGCGCACGTCTCCATTGGCGAGAATGGCGGACCGTGCAGAACTTGCACTGGAAGAGACGTTTGCGCTGTATGGCCTTTGCACTGTCAAAGGCGGAGTCGTCTGCGTTGTCCGCAACATCGTCAACAAGTCGGGACTGTGCATCAGGCTCCACCTTTTTGGTACGCCCTTTTCGGCTGCTGTAGGAGCCCCAAATCTCCCTTCCTTTGGGTGTCTTCTTCCACATGTAGTAGTATCGTACGGCATCGCCGTAGAACATAGTTTTGCTGGTGTGTAGGCGGACGAGCCTGATCTCCGAACCGTATTTTGCGACACCCTCATTCCACTTCTTTTCTTCTTCCTTGGTCAGCTCAGGCTCTTTCAGGTCTTTCCGCTTGTCGATCTTTTTGACATGCTTCAACGCTGCATCTGCGTCGTACTGGTGCTTGGTAAAGAGCGCCAAACACCGATCCAAAAAGTTCGTGTTGTATGGTTCTACGCCAACGTGCGATTTAGCCAAGGCTTTCGCTCGGTCCATATAAGCCTTGACTTGGTCCTCCGTGACGGTCGGCGCATTATCTTCTCCTCGCGTAGAGTGTACTCCTAACGGTGGCATCTTGAACATCAATTCCGCGGTACATTCCTTGTCCTTGTTCGGGAGATCTTGACCACGGCGAACGTATCCAGGCGGCTCGTCCATCACCCACTTAGGGCGCTTAGCCTTCTCCGCCTTGTCTGCTTCGATCGCAGCCACCGTCTCTTTCGAAAGCTTGCCTTCCTTCTTGTTACCGGCAGCCTTGACGTAGCGTTTCTTGATCTCCGCCGGTTTGACCAACTCCACAGGATGACCATGCCAGACGTTGACGTTAGCTTGGTGTCGAGGTCCTAACCTAGAACTCGCGCGAGGGTAGATGGCTCGATCGTCGTACTGCAGTGCGTCCTCTACTCGGCAATGTATGCCAAGGTACCGCATGGGCCACATCTTAGCCAAGGCTATCTCTGCCTGTGTAGCAGGATGTGTGTCGATTTGGGAATCCAGATCCGGCGTGGTCGCATTGGTGTCGCCGCTGGCCTCCTCCTCTTCTTCATCTATGATTTCTTCTTCCTCTGCATCCTCGTGGGTGGTACCCAACCGAGCCTCCAACTTCTTCTCTTGAGCTCTACTACACGGACCGCAAGCCCAAGCGAAACCACGAGATGGTTTCTTCAGAAGTGGCGGACGTACGCAGTTCATGTGATATGTGTTGTGGCACACAGCACATTCTACGGAGTCGTTCCTGTTTGGGTTAGCCTTGTCACGTGTGGAAACAGATGAGAACTTACGCAGCGCAATATCCGACACAACGCTTGCAGCTCTTGACGGCGCTAGTCAGTTCCTTCACCCGACTGGTCTCGAGACAGATGTACTTCCATCGCTCATCCAGTGCTTTCTTGACCTTGTCGGGTACATTGATGACTGCTGAGACTGGAATAACGTCGTACCAGCGGTGGATGAAGCGATCGAAAACCTGGTTGAACCAGAAGCTGTCTTTGGTTTTGCGGTACTCGTCCAGATCGCCGATCTCGCTCCGATGCAAGATTTGGCACTTTCCTCGTAGAGATGCAAGGGGACAAAGATCTGAGTGCATGGTCGCATAGACCAGACGAGTGTCATTGTTGTAGCGCTGGACATCTCGTGGGCGGTAGAACCAATTAACTCGCATGGACTCTATCCGCTTCTTGGGGTCGTTGTCGATGTGGATAAACTCCATAACCCGGCAGAGGTAGTAGGGCTCGCCGGGCGGCTCGCACACGAGGTACACTTGATCTGCACATCCAATTAGAAAACGGAAAACAAGCCGCAAGACGTGGCTGGCGTAACGGAGCGACCGTCAGCTGCAGCCAAAGCAAATCAAAACTTACCATTAACGGAAACAACCTGACCATCGTCTGCTTCCAAGTGACCATCGACGAGGAAAGCGCCAGTGTTTTCGAAAGTCATCATGTTGGACTCCCGCGCGCTGTTGGCGGCTACCATGGCGCTGGCATGGCTTCCGCGCTTCGCCCCTGCTTGGCTTGGCGCAGCGGCGCTCGCGTGACTACCATTTGCGCCGTTGGCAGCAGCATTTTTGCGCCGTTTGGTTGCGGGTTGCGGCTGTGGTGTGCTGGACTGAGTTGTTGCAGCGGTTGTTGATGTGCCGGAAATATTGGGATTCGGCGCGTTTTCTTTAGTGTTGGATCCGGAATTACCCCACGATGCATTGCCTTGTGCAGAGGCGGAACCTTTCTTCCCACTCACACTGGGAACATGGCCGTTTTCGAGAGCCACAGAATTACGCGACGGCGGATCAGATACGTTGCCATTCGCGGCTACAGCTCCCACTTCAAAGTCCATTTCGGTGTCTTCAGCATAATTAGGTCGCGACCTGCCAGGACGGCCGCGCGATCGCGTACCGTACGACGATGGCGCCTCACCATTTTGATCTGGCTCCTTTGATGATGCTTTGGACTGATTTGAAGTACCGTTGGTGGCCTCCAGTGATGGTTGCACGTCTTCCATGGCAGAAGACGCGTCGTCGGGATCCTGTGCAGGGTGTGGTACCTCCAAAGAAGCAGCAGGTGTCGAATTTCTAGTGGAAGAAGCCTTGCTAGTTGATTTTGAAGGTGCTGTTTCTGATGCAGCGTTGGATTGATGCTGTTGATTGCTTTGCACATCCTCTTCGTTGCGCGGCGATGGTGCATTGGACTGGTCCCCAGCCGTCGAAGACGGAGCCTCGCCTTCGCCGTTCTTCGTATCTGCCATATCGAATTCTAAAGGGAAGGCAGGATCAATAGAAGGGCCAGGCCAAAGAACGTTGAAGAACCCTCTCAAGGCAGGCGCGGGCTGTCGCCAGGGTTGTCGCTAGGAAGAAGCCCGTCAAGTGCGGATATCAACGCAGCATGAGAAGGCCCATCAGCGCATACACGCGATTTTGGGATCAGCAAGTCAAAGTTAGATATTTGTGAGTTTTTGGGCCGTTGGCTTGATGGAGCCGATGGCGAAACCGGTGATTGTTTCGCCGTCAGACGAGATAAAGCGTGGTGTGGGGGAGAATTAGTGAAGAAGGGAGCAGTGGTTGAAGGAATCGAAGATGGCGGACTCGCTGTAGTATGGGTCTAACGGTGCCAAGCTAGGCCCAAGGCTACGTCCGTGGGACCTAGTTCTTTCTTACGCATATCTCATCTTTCTCATCGGTGCTGCTAACAACAGCACCCTGACGACCAGGCCCGCATCCACCCACGTCGTATGGATGCGCCGTTCCGTCACGGATGGGGGCGCTGATGGATCTCTCGTCACGATGCGTTCTTTTGATGGTTTTTGCACGTTCATGTTCACACGCTTCGTCCATGAACGATCTCCACCACCCCTGTCCAACATACACCGGCAACGCGCCCATCATGCGGCGACTATCTCTGTTATTCGCAGTTGCTCCGCCTGTCTCAGCCATGCCGATGGTAATACACCACTGGCGTGCGAGTATCGGCAGAGTTGCTACTAAGTCTCATCAAATTGAAGCACCACAATCATCACATATCAACAAGAGCATGCGCCCCATCAGACGACAGTGCCTGTTCATCTGGTATCAAGTGCTGCGATGATGGTGTGGGCGCGGCGAGGAAGTCTCGAGGAGGCGATGTATGGTGCAAGTGGTTCGTTGTCTAACTCGATTTAGCGCCGACAAGGGTCGACTTCCTTCGTTAGACCTCGCTGCTCGTTTGGCAGACCCGTGGATGGATGGGCTTGATGCCGAATCTTCCACAGCACACATTGCGTCACACAAGTTAGCAAAGTCTGAACAGGCGCCTCTTGCCCGCGCACCTGTGCGGAGACGCAAAGCGCCTTGGTCCTTTATTGTTATTCCTTTCCGCGGCCCTGCCTCCACTAGGCCCGTTCGCGTCTGACTCTCTTACACATCCACCTGTTTCCGGCCACATCAGCCTGGTCTCAGACGGCCCGACCACCTCTATCGTCGACCCCCGCCTGGTGGTGAAGGTCGAATAACGCCCATGGTTGTGTCGCATATCTGCCTGCAATTGCAGTGATGCACCCATTCGGTTCGCGGGATTACCCAGCGGCATTACTAGGTCCGCAGACAGGGGCGCTAGCAGACGCATTCAATCATCTCGTGTCCTGCCCCCCTTCGAAACACCCAGCCGCACCTAGCCAACCCTCATCGGCCGCATATTGCCCGCTTCTTATTCGCCGTATCCGGCCTTCGCTAACGTGATCGCTGGCGCACATCAGCTTGCGCATCACTGCAGCGACGTTGGGGACCATGCAAACTCTTTCAGCGAGCTTTCCATCAAGACTGTCTCCATTCAACAATGCGGCAAGACAGCTATCTAGTGGTTGCTGATGTTGATATGCCCTTCAACCCGTGTTGACTATTGCAACGAAGCTACACCTAGTGACCTACTGAAAGGATCGGTTCTGTGCGGAACGCAGCATATGTTCCTTCGCTGGGCATCCCCGAAGCTGGAAGCATTTGGAATGTATTGCCAATTCAGAAGCCGGCCAAGCGACCGAAACTCAGCTTACGATCTTTTATCATGTACCATGCTACTGTGCCAAGAATATCCCAAGAAGATTATGGGAACTTATTGTCGAAATGTGTCTTGCAGATCAATTGATGCTAGCAGCAGCAGAAGATACGATGGTTAACTACGATTTCGACATGGCTCTCCAACCATGAGCAGATCGTTGCTTCAAAGATTGTTTACTTTGACCCTAGGGGTTGCGACACTGCCTGGCTCATCCGCGTGCCTGTTTACCGACAAACACACAGTAGTAATGAAGATTCTTCTTCGTTGTTGGTGATGCCTACACGTCGCTGCAGGCCTCTATCGTTGGAGTACTATATAGGTTCCAACCCTCAATCTTTATCGCATCTAAATTCGTGACTGCTCATATCTGCTTTAAGACACACCAGTCCCTGATGCACATCCTCAGCCACGTGGACTCTGCTTCACGGTGTGTCCCTGTCACTCTTCTCCAACTGCGCATGCCCGAACGGAGAACAAGGCTCCTTGGGAGATTACTCAAGCCCATGAGACCCTCTGGCTCAACTTTGCGACTGGGTTTTCTATTGGCTTTGGCTTGTTTGGAACAGCCGTCATTTAGTTCCCTGACTCACACAACCACTGACCAACAACACCGCGCAACCTATCGCACTACACTACTATCGAGAGCATTGTGTTCTCAGAAAAAATTCATGATATATAAGTCAGCTGTGGTTTATAGGAAAAGCGAAACCAATGCTATCTTGTCAGACAACAACGTTGCATCTATATACATCGCGAAGTGAATCGCGTAAACATGTGATGCGATTTTATCATGCAGAAGGAATAAAACAGTGCCATTTAGTAAAAAATCATTAATGCAATTTGAAATGTCCACATGCGTCCGTACTTGCAGCAGGCAAAGGGACAGTCGGGTAGGACGTCTGCTGCGATTACCCGGTTCTTAAAAGACAACTGACGCCCAACAGGAAACAGACAGCAACACGCTGGCAATACAATACTACTCAAAATACTGTCGCAAGCACCGGTAAATTCACCAGGATGTCATACTGCCACAACAGAGTATAGCGATGCGAGTACCGGCGATACCTTCCTGAAACTTCCATCTAGATTCAGTGAATTTGAGAGCAACAGGCACTTGCATATTAACCAAAAGGCTTTTACCAATGCCGCTACCCAGCTATTGTCCTGCGCATCAACGACGCGCGTGACCCCTATTCTCCTCTACCACTCGAGCAGAATTGTCAACAACTACAATCAAACTTTCGGTCCGAGGTCGAATATAACCACCTGCACAGCCGTATCTGCGCCATGCTGCCAGCCGCGGCGTCGTCAACTTTGGGAGGCGTTGGGCTTTGTTCGTGTTGTCCATAATTGCCTAGAAGGGGCTAGTCCCCTCTAATACTGCCATTTTGACAAGATGAATTCGAACATTATTCTTTTCTGTTTCGACCGAACAAATTCCCATGATGAATGACCCCGATTTCTTCATGGTGTGCGGGCACTTGTCATGGTCTGGGCGGGGCCTTGATGACATCTACCTAGGTAGATGCCGAGGTCATGCCGCTGACCTGCATGAGGTGCACGAGCCAGCGCCATCATTAGCTCATCAGCTGCGCTAGCATTCCCAGTGCTGATCCCCCTCCTCAACGACTTCAATTCACAGCACATAGCTCACACAGATCTGGGTACACTTGTTCGGCGACAAGCAAAATATGCTGCTTGAAACAGCAGTGCAACTGTGAGGTTTTCATTCAATCAAATTGAAACCTTACCACCAAGAACATTCTTCCAACATGGGCCAGTATCCAATGCACGATAGATTCAACACGGCGACCATCATATAACAAAAACTCTCGCATCAGCCACTATTTCAATGACTCTCAAACTCTCCCAAGCTCTCCAGCCATCAGGACCACGAAGTACACCCCAGATCGGAATTTACGAGATTTACAAGGCGAAAATGGCCAAAAGACCAGCAAGACCAGCACCAGCGAGACGAGCTGAAGTCTTGTCAGCAGCACCAGTCGCAGCGGGTTCAGCTGCAGAGCCAGACTCGGATCCAGAAGCAGAGGCAGATCCTCCTACATTTGCATTAGTACAAACATGACCAACATATAATGCTAATAGTAAACGTACCCGAGGTAGCCGTAGGATTGGCGGAACCAGTAGCTGAAGCAGCAGCACTTGCAGCGCTACCAGCAGAGCCGGAAGCAACAGCGTTCGCAGCGCCGCCAGCGCCGAAAGCGGTCTGGCTGCTAGGGAAAAGGCTGTTGATGCAGCTGTCTCTGCACTTGGCGTAGGCGTTGGAGTCCTCAGTAGAGCCATCACCCTGATCGCACTTGGCGACACATTCATTCGTATCGATAACCTGGGAGGCGTTGGGTCGTGCGTTGCCCAGGCATGCGGCCTTGCAGGTCACATCGCTGTCGTCGCACGACATGGCGCAGCTGATGGCGGGAGAAAGACCAGTCGGGATGGCGGCAGGGGTCTTGGGGGCGGAGGTAACAGACGCGTCTTGCGGAATAGCGAATGCGCCAATGGCAAAGAGGAGAACGGCAGAGTACTTCATCTTGATGTCGGTTTGCGTTTTGATATTACGGGACTATTGGAAGTAGTGGTTCGGCGTTGCGTAGATTAATACGGGTATACTGAAGGCAGGGCAAGTGAGTGTGGGAAGTACGAGTACTTGAAGGCTGAATCAGAACAAAGAATGAACGTTGGCGCACACACAAAGAAAGAATCTGGGGGAGACCATCTCGTTTTTATTACCCTGACACCGTGCTAGTCATTACATAGGGGTTTGGCGAGTAGCGGCTCGTTGCGCTTATATTGGGTTTCGACTAAGCTTTGTGTGGTAAGCTCGTCGGGCCGGCAGCGTCGTTTCAATGCATGTCGGCTTGAACCTTACGAGTGGGAGCCTGGGCTGCAGGGGTCCACCTGCCCCATCTATCCACGCGATCGGGCAAAACGCGCTAGAATACGACGCGTCGTGACATTTACCTCACCACGCCACCATCGGAAGTATTGCCGCCTCTCAACCACAACGCAATGGATGACAGTGACGAGTACGGCGACGAGTTCGACGACACCGAGTTTCTCGATGCCGCAACACAAGCTGAAAAAGAGAACACGCCTGCATTCCTGCCTTCTCCAAGGCCAGCCAAGCGACGGAGGATCAGCAAAGTAAATGAGCGTACAGAGTCCGTTTCGCGCAAGACACGCCATGGACGTCGCCGAGGTCCTTTTGTTTCGTCTGACGAAGATGAAGACGTTGTTGATGAAACCGATCGGACGTTGTCAGATACAGGCAGCAAAAGTGTCTCATCTCCAAACAGCGCACCTGCAAGTCGTAAGAAGAGGGCTCAGTCGAACAATTACGATGACGAAGATGCGTCGCCTATCAAAGAGTCCGCTGCAGATAAGCGGAAAGAGCGCATCCATGTGTCGACCACCAACGTGGAGATGCCAGACATGTTTCTAACACAACCACCTCAGACGTATTCCCCACCGTGGAAGCCGAGAGGAGCGATTTGGGCAAAGCCTACTACCACAATCGGTGTGCACAAGCCATCCGAATCTAAGAAGTTGGCTGGATCGAACACCACGAGTAATATCTCTTTACCGGGTAGACAGTCAACATCTTCTCGTCCTGCGCCATACGCGCCCTCGTCTCCAATCCTTCCAGACTCGCCTATTGAAATCGAAGAATCCCCCAGACTACCGGTTCGCACTGCAACTGCGACTGCATCAGGTGACTACGACTATGCCCAAGACCTCGCAGATCTCCCGTCCGATGCTTTTGCCTCGTCCTCTTCGTCGCCACGAAAACAGGGAGATGTGGAGGTCATCAGTGCTCGAAAGCGTGTCGTTGCACCTCTGACCGGCCTACGACAGACCACTTTATTTGGTCGTGCTGGTATCGATGGCACAATACCTGCTACTCAAGTAAACAAGCGTTACAACTTTGTTGTCGATCAGAAGGCCGAGCCACCCACTCACCACAAGCTAGATTCAGAAGCAATCAAAACTTGGGTCTATCCAACAAATCTGGGAACTATCCGAGACTATCAGTTTAACATCGTCCAAAGAGGTCTTTTCAATAATCTGCTTGTGGCTCTTCCAACTGGTCTTGGTAAAACATTCATTGCAGCCACCATCATACTCAATTGGTTTCGATGGACCACCGACGCACAGATTGTCTTCGTTGCACCGACGAAGCCGCTCGTTGCACAACAAGTGGAGGCTTGCTTCAACATTGCAGGCATACCACGCTCATACACCACAATGCTTACTGGGGGCGTGTCGACAGGACTACGAGCGGAGGAGTGGAAGGATAAGAGAGTCTTTTTTATGACGCCTCAAACACTTTTGAACGACTTGAAGTCTGGGTATGCAGATCCCAAGAGGATAGTATTGTTAGTCGTTGATGAGGCCCACCGAGCAACCGGCGCTTACGCATACGTGGAAGTTGTTAGCTTCCTTCGCCGATTCAATTCGAGTTTCCGGGTATTAGCACTAACAGCCACACCTGGTGCTGATGTAGAGGCCGTCCAGAAGGTCATCGATGGCCTCGATATTTCCAAGGTTGAGATCCGAACGGAGAATTCTATGGATATATGCAGTTATGTGCATCAGCGCAAGATCGACAAGCAAGTCTTCCAGAATACAGATGAGATGGAAATGTGCATGGACTTGTACAGCGAAGCTTTGCAGCCCTTAGTAAACACTATCGCAGGACTCAACGCTTACTGGAGCAAGAACCCCCGCGATCTGACGCCTTTTGGCTGTCAGCAAGCCAAGAAGAAGTGGTTTCTAGAAGTCGGTCGCAATGCCAACCGTGGCCTTCAGAGTACAGTTCACACTATCTTCGCTATCCTGGCATCAATCTCACACGGAATGGATTTGCTGAAATACCACGGCATGGGTCCTTTCTATATCAAAATGAAGGAATTCCAGGACGAAGCTGCTAAAACGAAGTCTAAGTATAAGAAGCAGGTCCTCGACAGTGACGCTTGGAAGAAGCTGATGGTGCGTCTCCAAGGGTGGATCACGGATGATAATTTTGTTGGGCATCCGAAGCTAGAGTATCTGCAGCAAGTCATTCTGGATCACTTTGTGAATGCAGGTGATGGCGGCAACGTTGATGGTGCGTCTTCATCACAAACGAGAATTATGGTATTCGCCCACTTTCGTGATAGTGCCGAAGAGATCGCACGCATCCTTAAGAGACATCATCCGATGATCCGCCCACGCATCTTCGTTGGACAAGCACACGGGAAGAACTCAGAAGGCATGTCGCAAAAAGACCAGCTGGAGGCTATCGAGAAGTTTAAGAACGGTGAATTCAATACGTTGATTGCGACATCAATTGGTGAAGAAGGACTGGATATTGGTGAGGTTGATCTCATTATCTGTTACGATTCGAAAGCATCACCAATTCGCATGCTGCAGCGTATGGGTCGTACAGGTCGAAAACGTCAGGGACGAATTGTGATGCTCCAGATGCAAGGCAAAGAAGAGAACGACGCAAACAAGGCAAATGATAGCTACCTCAAGATGCAGGAACTCATCGCGGATGGAGGGCACTTCAATTTCCATGACGACGTCTCTCGTAGAATCTTACCACCAGATGTCAAGCCGGTTGTTGAGCGCCGCGTGGTGGATATCCCAACCGAAAATACTCAGAAAGACTGGCTACCGGAACCGAAGAAGGGAAGGCGGACCAAGAAGCCCCCCAAGAAGTTTCATATGCCCGACGATGTGATTACCGGCTTCGTTACTGCAGGCCGTATGGGTGAAGAAATCGTGCCAAAAGCCCGAGGGAAGAAAGCTGCAGCACCCGTTTATCCAAGCGAGACAGCATTCGAGATGCCACCACTGGACTCGGTGCTACTAGACGCTGTAGCGGCTCAAGATCTCGAGAGACGGTACCAGACTGTTTTTGACGACGATGACGCCCCCATGGTGGGTGTACTAGACCTGAGTAAATTTCCCGAGCGGCAGCGCGTCCTGCCTTACATGAATGGACGAATCGGACCAGGTCGCGTGACACGGGTTTTTGCCGGTACTATGCAGCGCATGTACGACATGGAAACTGACCGCCTGGAAAAGTTTCAGCGGGACCTGCACTATTCGGATTGCGAATCAGATGCAGATGACGGTCTCGTCGTGTCGAATACGGAAGTAGCGTCCGCGATTCCGGAAGACATTCAGGAGGACATGTGGGAAGACGATCAACCTGCATCACAAGGCCTTCCGACTACCAAAGCAAAAGCAAAGCCTGGTCCGAAGCCCAAAGCAAAGGCGCCGGTGAAACTGAAGGAGAAAGCACCGCAAAAAGAGAAGACGCCGCCGAAACCAAAAGAAAAGTCAGCGCCAAAACCCAAAGAGAAGCCGGCCCCGAAGACCCCTAAGACTCCAGCACCTCGTGCTCGAACCCGAACAGAGAAACCGGCTGCAGAGACGCCAATCTCATACCCCGAAACAGCGGATGAAACACCAATAACAAAGACGCCCAACTGGCGCGTGTCTAATCTTGCTCAGGAAGGCGACGAATCATCCCCGCCACCGACAGATCCCCGTTTCCACCTACCATCTCAAGCTGACACAATCGGATCTGACGACACGATGGGGGCGGACGAACCGGAGGATCCACTGGCCTGGCAGAACGTGTCGGAGCTGGCTAGTTTCATCGTCGAAGAAGATGAAGAAGAGGTGGTTCCAACCTCTAGTCTACCTAGTATTGACATGTTTGGCGTTGGGGCGGGAACTCAAGCAGTCGTCAAAGCTGCCAGACCGAAGAGGACACCCAGGCGTGAAAAGCTGTTTACCAGCGACATCACTGATGACGACGCAATTGTCAGTAGTGACAGTGATGATGACGCACCGGTCATCAGACGTGGTGCCGGCGCGAGTAAGAAGGAAGCAGTCGTTGTCGATTCTGATTCCGAGGCGGAAGAAGACGAGCCTATTGTTCCCAGGAAGAGAGGCAGGCGAATCATTGTCGATGACTCAGATGAGTGATGTATCATGTTCAGTAACCCTTTCCGGAACTTTGGGCGAGGATATGAACGCATCTTGCGACTATACGTATGTAGATAATGTGGCGAGCTTGAGATACCACGTATGTTGCTGTGTATTTAATGCATCAAGCACGCGTCTAATCAAACTGTTTCCAATACTCGGGCTCAAAGCCATCCATCTGCTGTGTGTAAGGCTCTCCAGCCTTGACCCAGCCCTTGATGCCGCCACCAAGTGTCAATGATGTAATCTGATCATCGCCCTGGTCCGCAATGTAGTCTGCAAACCAGCCAGAACATCTCGGACCTCTTCCATTTGACGCGCCTATCATGTGTCAATATTGTGGTAAAGCCACATGGTTCGTGTTTGGACCGGTCACAGTACCTCGTGGTACGCATCTCACACCACCAGCGCACGAGTATGGCCGCCATGCTGCGTTCAAGACTAGCATGGTAATGGGATGACAGACTTACCACAATAAAATGCGACTTGCTTGACGCCCGCTCTCTTACACAGGTCATACAAGGCGCCGCGATTCATGTAGAAGGAGTGTGCAGGAAGATTCAGACTACCTCGAATGGTTCCACCTTCATAGTCGGTGCGTCGGACATCTACGATGAGCAAGTCTGGAGACGAGAGATTCGACAGGGCCTCTTCGCGGGAGAGGATCGGGGCGATGCACCGTGGGGCGGGAAAGGCGTCAGACCAGCTGCCAGTTGCTTTGGACGATTCTGCCATGTCGATGAACTAGCGGCCGTTGTCAGGGGCTATTCTTAGGATGCGCTGTGCGACTGCTCGTATGTTTTACCACGCGCAAGTGGATTTGCAGAGCCGCACGAAAGGGTGGTCCGTTGAGCCTCCCGCTAGCGCGACATGTCAGGGTCCATTGGCATGTCACCGCCACAATTATCAGTACTGGCCACATTGCTGCAAGTCTGTGGCCCCATGAACGTCTGATTACATTTCCCCGGCATGCCACGGGAGCAATCTAATACATGACACCCGCTCCTTCTACGTTTTGTCTCTTTCGGTCTCTGTTGATTTGTAACAGGCATTGTCCTTCATTTACCTTAATTTGTCTCGAGTCGGAACTTCCTACTCCAACTAGCACCATCACGGCCCGAGACAGTTTCAATACCTACACGCTGGCCTCTTTGCCTACCCCACACGTACTCTCGGCGTCTAATCTACCGGAACGATTCATATAGCCAGGCTACGAGTAACTGTATGTCCTCGAACTTGTTGCTCGCTTTGCAAACACTTTGTCGCGGACGTTTGCTGACGGGAAGACTCAAGTAGCCAGATAATACCATCATCACAATGCGCTCAGCCGCGCACGTGTTCTACCTCGCAGTCTTCTCGCTGCTGGGTAGCTCACACGCTGCAAGCCATGCTACCAAATCGAGTAGTCCTCCGCCAAACGTCTGCGATGTAAGCCACAAGTCGTCTGCTCCACCAGCGCAGCCTGGGGACGCGAATACTAAGACCCTTTTCCAGATATCGCCTGGAGCGATAGTATCCGACGCGTGCGCAAGCTACAACACCCTCGAACAGCTCAACGATGCCATCCACCCTTACCTCGAATCCATCACGCAGAATACCGACTTCTTTTCGCATTACCGATTAAGCCTGTACAGCAAGAAATGTCCTTTCTGGGACGACGAGAATGGCATGTGCGGGAACGTGGCGTGTGCGGTGAACACACTGGACAACGAAGAGGACATACCACTGGTCTGGCGCGCGAAGGAACTAGGCAAGCTCGAGGGGCCCACAGCACAGCATCCTGGCAAGAAGCAACAGAGGGAAGAGAGGAAACGACCGCTCCATGGCAGTCTGGGTGACAATGTTGACGAGAGCTGTGTGGTGGAATACGATGACGAATGCGACGAGCGCGACTACTGCGTACCGGAGGACGAATCGGCATCGGCAAAGGGAGACTACGTATCGCTTGTCGACAACCCAGAACGCTTCACTGGATACGCTGGCGTTGGGGCTCAGCAGGTCTGGGAGGCTATCTACCGGGAGAACTGCTTCAGCAAGCCCCCAAAGAACGCGCCCGCGACTGGCAGTTCCTCAACGTCTGGAGGATCACCTTTTGGCGGTTTCGGAAACCAGCAACAACTACATGCTGCGAATCAGCTGAAGAACGTCATGCAGGAGCAGGGCAAGAAGCAGAAGGTTCAGTCTGCCATTGCTCACGGCTCTCCTGTAGACAGCCTCGATCCTGTCGAATTTGACGACACCTGTCTGGAGAAGCGCGTCTTCCATCGTGTCATCTCCGGCATGCACGCCTCTATTTCCACGCATCTCTGCTACGACTACCTCAACCAGACAACAGGAGAGTGGGGACCTAACCTAGCCTGCTACGAGGAACGCCTACATAACCACCCTGAGCGCATCAGCAATGTCTACTTCAACTACGCCCTTGTCATGCGAGCTGTTGGCAAAATCACGCGACACATCTCCGATTACTCCTTCTGCTCCGAAGACCCCGAACAAGACCACAGCACTAGAAACTCCCTCCTGCGCCTCACGTCTGCTCTTCCCTCTGGTCCCGAGATCTTCGATGAAACCGTCATGTTCAAGGACCCGGACACAATGGTGTTGAAGGAAGATTTCCGGAACCGCTTCAGGAATGTTAGTCGCATCATGGATTGCGTAGGATGCGACAAGTGTCGACTCTGGGGTAAGTTGCAAACAAATGGCTACGGAACTGCACTCAAGGTGCTCTTCGAATTCGACGAGAACGACTCCTCAAGAGACCCGCCCCTCCGCCGTACTGAACTTGTTGCGCTCATCAACACCTTGAACCGTCTCTCCCACTCACTGTCCGCGATCAAGGACTTCCGTCGCATGCTCGATGAGCGAGAGGGTTTGCCAAAAGATGTCGCCTCTACACTCCCAGAGACTGACAAGGGAGTGTTGAAGACAATACTAGCGCTCGGGGACTCTGACGTCGAAGGGCCGATCGATGTCCTGACTGGCGGGGAAGACGTGCCAGATTTCAAGAGGGACTGGGACGCGAACGAAATGACAATGTGGGAGGAGGTCAAAGCCGAGTACAATTTGGTCAAGAGGACGTTCTTTTACGTTCTGTACCAGTGGTCGCAGCTTCCTGGGCGATTGTAAGTCTCAAAAATCCTTCTCACCGGACATCTTAAACAACATGGGCGTTGCAGTAGAACACTGGCTAATGGCACAAATAGTACCAAGATCTTCATCCTCGAAATGAGGAGAGTGTACAACTGGTGGATGGGTTTCGTGCCCGGGCCGAGAAGTTGGGAGATCCGTATCCCAAGGCGAGATGAGCTATAAAGCAATTTCCAAATCGATGAACAGAGACGAACATAGGATCTAGATCGTATACCTTTTTGATGCATAGCATGGGTGTTTGGGGGGGATAGCTGTATTGATGTATATCAGGGCATTAGATGGCGTTGCTTTTGAACATGGGAAAAGCGAGACATGTCATCGGGAATGCATTCGTTTCATCCCAACACAACTTCCTTCGTGTATCTCAATACCTTGAGCGATGCGACCGTCTACAACGCTTCCGAGGCCCCCAGTGCCGAGACCCCTTTTCGTGTTCGTTCCGCGCGCCATGACATATCCCCAACCTCGCGATCTGTACCTCTCAAGTCTCAACTACGTCATCATACATCCACGGACCTTCTTGGCCCGCTCGGCCGACCTTCGTCATTTCACTCCCTGCTTCATAATCACGACGCATTACCATCCGCGGCCTTCCGAGAGGAAAACAAGCTATGCTAAGCATTGAGGAGAAGCTATACGCCTGTTTTCCACGATTACCCAGAGTGGAAAGCGGAGAAGAGGAGATGGGAGGGGAGAAGGAACATTAAGCTATACCAAGATATACGCCTATTTCCTATGGTTGCCAGATTCGATGTGCATATTGGAGATCAACGTTAGACACCGAGGCATCTGCTGTTTCCGTCATGCTTACTGATGTCCACTACGCCCTGGTATGACGATGGCTCTAATCTCTCTTTTGCCGGATTTACACTACCAAGCTTTCAGTTAAGCTACACGCCTATCTTCCACAACTGCCTATGGAGGTAACCTGGGAAGAGGGGGGACGCGAGGGGCTTGTGAGGGGTTTGCAGTCTTCGGTCATTTGTTTGTCTCTTGGGACCCCAAAAACCATTGGTGAAGGAAGGCTACCCGAACATGGCATGAGCCAAGGTGAGGAGAAGATAACGCCTATTTTCTACACTGTTGATAGAGTTACTCAACACGGTAGTCGAATGCGAAACGTTGCGTGATGTGAATTACGAAATTGCGGAATTGCGGCTCCGTTATTGCTTCTTTCTCGTCATACCTACGGTTTCTGTACGTTTCATCGATGTTGGCCGCGGAAGGATGGATAACCCAGAAAGTAGTATGTAGTACCAAAATTGTTAACCGACCGCCTCGTTCGCAACTCGCTCTAACCTTACTCGACGAGTACTTCTTTTCGAGATGCTGTAGTGTGCAGTAAATTTCCACAGATTTGCAAGATAAAGCGAAGGAATGCGCCTGTTTTCAACAGTTACCCTTCTGGGTATTTAAAACAGATATTTAGTTACGGGAGGACGCGCTTGTAAAGTGCTGATTGCTTTTCTCCATGTCTAACAGACAGTACCAAGATCTAAGCAGATGCAAGATGAAGCGAAGGAATACGCCTGTTTTCTACAACTGCCTGTCTGGGTAGGCCAAGTGATACACCGATGTTTGTAGTTGCTTTTTACGGTGTTGAAACTTGGAATGCTTGCGGAGGCGTGTTTAGCAGCTCGAAGGAACGCGATGCAGGGTGCCGATGGCGATCATTTTGTCGCACCGATGGAGGATACAACCTCGAAATCTTTGCGTGGCTGGAGCTCACTTGGAGGACGATGAGACGCAGATGTATTGCGAGCTCAACGGAAGTTGTATGTATTGCGTTTCTGGACTCGACAGATTCCATCATCGTGCTTCGATGCGACTTCTCAATACATAAACATTTGAACAAGCACATACGCATAAGAACATTACTCAGGCGACCAGCACAATAGAATTCAGCGCACGTGACGTTATGTCTGGAAAATGAGGCTCTTATACGCCTACTATCTACACCTGCCCAACACCGTAAACTCATCTGCTTTTCAAGAGAACGACCAAGCTACACCAAGTCTGACAAGCCCTACGCCTATTTTCCATGCCTACCTCTTTCAGTAGTTTGATCGTTCGAGGGGAAAAGTCGACGTGTCGTTTTCGCGTCATCGAGAACAGAATTTTTGCTTATTCCCGCGTAACCTTCCCAACGTACGTACGTGTCGGTGAGCAAGCGACAAGCAATTTTTTCTCTCATTCTCGGCTGGCATTACCAAGCCTTAGCATCTACAATCAACAGAATGCTGTAATGGGTAACTTCGAAGTGGCCAAGCTTTAGAGCCTACAATCAACGGTTACTGTTTAAAGAAATATCGGTGAGGACGAGTCTGTTTCACCGTTGTTGCCGGATTGAGCGCGTTGGTCAATGCTGTAATCTATAGATGGGCAACGATGAGAAAAATGTTATTTCCGACGTATTGCCGAAGCATGTGCATGCGGCTTGGGAAGGTTTTAATATAACCGTTTGGCGCCTGCTTTCGATGGCTACTATATGCGGTAGGTAAGAAGGGTTGAATACGAGACAGAGAGGCAATATGTGGAGGAGAACGTGGTGTTGGATTGGTGGATATAGTCCACTAGTCCTAGTC